AGAGGCACGAGTGCACGACCTGCCGGGAAGACCCAAACGCCAACAGGGTCTACCAGGTAGGGCGGGTCAACGCTCTGAAGGGTATGTTGAGCCATGCCGCAGAAGAGCACCCGGAAGTCACGCGCGTGATGCTGCCAGCGTACCCGAGAGGGATACACACCGGCGGGGGCCCGGCGCAGATGTCCCACTACAAGGTGGGCTACGTCCAGGAGGCGCGCGCCGCGGGAGGTGACGTTAGACTTCGCCATCCCGGACCTCCCATCCCGAACCGAGTGGGCCGGAGAGGTGGGAGTGCAGTGGAACTGCCAGAGCGTCCGTTCAGAAAAAGCAAAAGCAGCAAAAGCGCCAGGCCTGCGGAGGTTGGTCCGGGGGGTAGACAGCTCCCTCATCTTCCTGCAGGAGCACTGGTGCGAAACGGAGGAAGAGTTCGGCGAGTTCGTGCGCTTGTTGGGGGACGAGTTCGTGCTGGTATCGTTCTCCCCCGCAACGTCAGGCAGCGGCGGAAACGCGACATACGGGGGCGCCGCCGTAGTAGCGCACAAAAACGTAAAGGCAGAAGACGCGAAGGACGGTTTTCAGTGGAACACGGAAGAAGGAGGCCGGCACAACCTAGCAGCCGCACACGTCTACAGTGGCACAGCGAAGAACGCAGCCTTCACAGGTGCAGCAGTGTACACCGCCCCCGGGGCGAAGGGGCTGCCACTGCCGAAGGGCAAGAACGGGAGCGAAGTCTTCTTCAGTTGGGACGTCAACGGCCACAGCACAGCAGTTTTTCCACCGGCGGAGCGGGACGACCAAAGGGGTAGCGACGTCGAACAGTTTGCACTAGACCAAGGCCTCGCGACATTCGCGAACCGGGAGACGCCAACGCGACCCAGTTCGGAAACCAGTCCGGACTGGCTCTTGATGTCTGACTCACTAGCAGCGCGGGCATTTGCAGTGCAGCCAAACGGACCGGCAGTAGTACCACTAGCGAGCGACCACAGCGCGCTGGTGTTCTGCATCCCGCAACCGGCAGCGAGGACAGGAGCCCAGGGGGCAAGCAGCACCAGCACGAGCAGCGCCGCGGGCAGCCGCGGCTCCGCACACCAGGCAGGGAAAGCAGAAGGGGTAGCAGACGCGGGAAACAGCAGTGCAACAGGCACCAAAGGCCCAGGCGGTTTCCTCTTCGGAGGGGGCGGCACAGCAGGCGCGCAAGGCCGGCAGCAGGGCGCAACGCCGTCAAAAACGAGCGGAGCGGCGCGCAGAAAGCAGAGAAAGGAAAAGAAGGCGCAAGCAAACAGCAAGGCGACCGAGCCCCGGGGCTTTCGGCTAGGGAAGTGGGCGGCGAGCTGGGTCGCAGCGGTTCCCTTGGTGCAGTCGTTTTTCGCAGGCCCGCAACTACCAACACCGACCCAAGTCCAGTCCCTGTCAGAGCAGAAGGAAACAGTAGTAACGCGGAAGCAGACGAAGCTGGTGTTCGAACGAGCCGACTGGGACCTGTACCGCGAGGAGTTTACGAATTTCCTAACCGCCAACGCGCCGACGGAGGGGACGCCGCTGACCAAGCAGGCCGAGTTGTTTCGCAAAGCAGTAGTAACGGCGACCGCCAAGGCCGTTCCGAGGGTTTCGGTGAACCCCAAGAAAGTGAAGCCACGGAGGAAGCACCACGAGCCCACGGAGCTCGAGGCCGCAATCGTTCGCCGAAACGAATGCGCCCGCCGGGCCCACGCAGCACAGGCCGGGGACGAGCGAGCCCGCTGGCAGAAGGAGACGAAGCTAGCAACCAGGGCCGTGCGGGCAGCAGAGAACGAGAGGCGGCGCAAACAGTTCCGGGAGAAAGCAGAGAAGGCGCAGGCAACAACGAGCGGCGCTTTTCAGCTGTTGCGAGAACTCGAAGCGGGCGGCAGACCGGTCACGGGGGCGGCCAAAGTGCTAAAGTTCGAGGGCGAGTCCCATGCCACAGGGTTACCGACGGTCTTCGCAAAGCACTACGCCTCCTTGCCGACGTTGGACGAAGCAGAGGAGCAGACCGCGAAAAGAGAAGCAGAGAAAATCTTCAGCACGGAGATAAAGCCAAGCACACGGATCGAGTTCACGCTCGACGAGGTAGAAGCAGCACTGGTCTCGCAGTCGTCAACGTCGGCGGGGGGCCCGGACGGGTTGAAGGGGCCACAGTTTAAGAACTTGCCCACAGCAGGGAAAAAGTTTCTTCGCGGTTTTTTCTCCGACTGTGTGAACACCGGAGGAACGCCGCAAACGTTGAAGCGGGAGTTGCTGAAGCCACTGCTGAAACCGTCCAAGCCGGTCGACAAACCGAGTTCCTACCGACCAGTAGCCTTGACGCCAATCCTGGCCAAGTTGTTAGAACGCTGCGTCCAAAACCGCACCCGGCTCCTGTTTGCACAAGCAGGGGCGCCAGTTCGCTCCCACCTGCAGTACGGCGACTGCAAGCACCGAGGGGCGGCGGAACACGTCGCCACGCTCTCCGCGAGGGCACAAAAGACGTTCCGCGCCGGCAAGCGTAGAGCCTTGGTGTTGATCGACCTAGAGACCGCCTTCGACCGAGTGAACAGGCACAAGTACGCGCGCCACGCGTTGAAGAATGGCGCGCGCCTCCCGGAGGACAAAAGAGCAGAACACGCGTTGCTAGTCAGGTGGACGCGGAACTTTTGCGGCGACCGCACAAGGGTCGTCGAGTACGCAGGAGGGCGAAGCGAGGTGCACAAAATCCCGCAAGGAGTACCACAGGGGACGGTCATCGGGCCCACGGTTTTCTGCGACTTTTTCGAGCTCGCGGAAGTGTTGGAGGGCACGGGATGCGAGGTCTTCTTGTACATGGACGACCTCGCAATCTCGGTCGAGTACGATGACCCCGAAGAAACAGAGAGAAAGCTACAGGCGGCGCTGGACCAGTTACACGACTGGTGCCGGCGGAACAACATGTCGCTTTCACCCACGAAGTGCACACTAACGGTGCTCCAGCGGGTTTTCCAACAAGAGGAGAAGGAGCTGAAGCTGTACACGCACAGCGGAGTGGGCACCGAGTTGCCGTATGAGTCGCATCCAAAATTCCTAGGGATCACGCTAGACCGCGAAATGAGATTTCGCAAGCACACCGAGAAAATGCTAGGAAAGTTGCGGCGCCGCATGGTAGCGGTGCGGGCACTCGCGCGGCTCCCGTGGACACGCACAGCAGATGTCCGAGTCTTCTACCGTTTATTCTGTGAAAGCTTATTCCGGTATGGCCTCGGCTCGTACTACTTCGCACTACCACAAAAGTGCAAACAGGAGCTCGACAGGTTCCACAAGCAGGCGGCCAGGAGCATACTAGGGCTCCCGAGGACAACGAACGGCGACTGTGCATTGCATGAGGCAGGTCTCCAACCACTCGAAAACCTGGCAAAAGAAGAAGCAGCCGCTTTGCTAGCGCGAGGCATGTCGAGGGAGAAAACGGACCCGCTGCGAGAGCAGGTTGAAGCAGCAGCGGGGCAGGTCGACTGGGTGACGGCGGCAGCCGACGCGCTACGGGCTTCGGCGCTACCGGAGGGGTGTGAGGTTCTAGCGGAACCCGGGGCACTCCCGCAGAACGGCCTGAGCACAGTGCACGCCGCAAAAGAAGCCGGGAGGCTAACGGTCCGCACAACCGGAACGACGGACGAGGAGTTGCGACAACTCACCACAGCGGCAGACGTCTCGCTGTACACGGACGGCTCAGTCAAGGACTTCCAATGTGCCGCGGCCGTAGTCGAAGACGCGTGGGACAGGTACAGAGAGTACGGCTGGGCAACAACGTCCTACGGGGACTCGTTCGACGCGGAGCGAGCAGCCCTGCTGGGGGCCCTGGCCACCGTAGCAGAGAGACCGGCAGGGGAAGTCCGCACAGCGGTCGTGGTCACAGACTCGCAGTCCAATCTCGAGGCGCTCCAAAACCCAAGAATTCGGGACGGCAGTGACCTGCTGCTCTACGAAACACTACGGGACGCCCTGGAGAAACTAGGACCCGCGGGACGCCTGTCGTTGGTGTTCACAAAGTCGCACAGGAAGGTCGTGGACGGCAACGAGGTCGCGGACAAGCTCGCGACCATGGCCAGGGAGCAAACCGACTACACCCAAGTCGGTGCGAGGGTCACGCACAGACAAGCCAAGCGGGAGGTCGCGAGGTCCCTGCGGCAGCAAAAAAAGAAGGAGCTGCAGGACAAGGGAAAACAGACAGGAGGGTCCAAGACCTGCACGACACTCCGACAGGTGTCCAACTTCGCAGCCAACCCGGTCGACAGCGTGGCACACGCGACGAGGGCGGACGAAGTCGCCTACAACGCGGCAAGGATGGGCCTGCTGGTTTCGGACATAACCGGAAGAGACTACGCCTGCCCGTTTTGTCAAGGGCGGACACAGAACCCACCGGCAGCAACGACGGCGCACTTGATACAGGAGTGCCCAGCCCTGCAACACCTCCGGGCGGTAGACCCGTCCAACCCGGGCGAATTCCGGTCCGCGGCGCTGCAGGAGGACCCGTTTTGGGGCATCGAGTTCATCAGGTTGCTACGGCGCACGCTACAACCGGGTGGGGAGCTCGATGACGACGCAGACTGGGACAGCGACACCGAGGGCGAAGCGCAGCCACACAATATCGGGGGCGGCGGTGCGGGCGAATTTTTCAGCGCAAAGACAGCGCCACCAGGACTCCGCCCACCGCTTCCTCCATCCCATTCATACTACCGCGGGCGCGGGGTTGTCGAGGAGGCGTGGGGGGGTCCTGACCGGTATTCTTATAGTGATTGTTGCTTGCCCACTACGAGTAGGAGTGAAGGCTGTCATGAGTTTGCCCCTGCGTTGTCAGATCCTTGCCTCCCCGCTCAACATGTCACTGAACAGAGCCGGCGCGACCAGTCCCACGATCCGACCCGAACGTCACCCGCTACCCTCGACGTCCCACTGCCATCACAAGCAGACCCGCGACCAAGATCCTCTCTCTCGGACCAGCCGGAGGCCGCGTCCAGCTTTCATCCTCGCCAAGAGGTCACCACCAGCTGGGTATGTGGAAGCTCTGCACCGCCGGAGCAACAAAACCATACGAACCTAGGCGAGACACCGACCCGGGCACCTCCAGGTGGGGGGTGCCCGAACAGGTATAATCACAATTTCTGTGTTGCGCATGGCTTGTTCGAATATCAAGTGCCACAATGCTCCCGTTTGGCTGTCGCTGCTCCACCACCGACCACACAGGTCTACCACCAGCCGCGTCGAAACGAGCACCCGCGCGGAGAGCAAATTGACCGGGATGTTGCGCCTTTCTTCCCGGCTACCGACCACGACCTGCATTTGTACTACGCCTGGTCCGCCCGACCTCGAGCTGTCGAAGTCAGCCACATTTGGACGGCCACCACGGACAGCCGACTGCACGCTTCGGCGGGGCAAAACGGTCGACACCTTCGCGAGACATGGGCGGGGGCGCCCCAAGGCGGGGGCCGCCCCCCGAACAGGTATAATTCCACTTCTAATTGCTGTGGTTCTGAGCTGCATGGAATGCAATACTCTCATGCTCCCGGCGTCGGTGTTCGCTCGTCCCCCACACAACCTCCAGGTCATTCGATACGTTGGGGACCACACAGCATGTTCTGGAAAATCTGGAACTACCGAGGAGGCAACAGGAGGCTTCCTGGGGCGAAGCAACATGGCAATGACCTCTGGTGCCGCAACCACGACAACCAGGGCAACACCCCTACGGCGTGGACATGGGGGCCGCACGCTAGGACGGCGGGCATTTGCGGCTGGCACCAAGGCACGACACCAGAGCGGGTGCCCCGGGACGGGGGGCACCCGAACAGGTATAATTCCACTTCATACACCTGTTGCTCTTTGTGGAATGTTGAGGTCCACGACTCTCATGCTGGCGCGCTTGCTTCCCTCCCCTACAACACCCAGGTCCACCACACGGGGCGGTCCAAATTCGGGCGGTGGAGCACGGCGGCGGGACCATACCAGGCGACGACATGGTGGTGACCAAGCGGAGAAATAAAAAGGAAACGATCTGAAGAGTCTGTTGATTGACGATCCGAGATAATCTAGGAGTTAGCCTCCAGCTGTTTTCAAAATAATAGAAACATCTTGAAATCTAGATTTTCTATTTGTAAAACATATCCAAGTTGCAATTACATCTCAAATCGAAAGGAGAAAAAGAACAGATTTATTTTTCAACAGATGCAGATCAAAATTAAATTTGAATTTTTAGGGAAGTAGTCGTTGCAAAATCAGGAACTTATTGTTGATTGTCGGTTGAAGATTTAGATCCGGAAATTATTAGATCAAGAGAAATCCTGAAGGTCGTCGTAGTTTTTAGTTAATCTCAGTTTGATGGTGATAGGGAAGAATTGATGTGAGAACTGAACGTTGGACATTTTCGGGCCTCGAAAAATTGATGCCATGCCCAGGCATGGAAAGAAAGAAAGAAAGAAAGAAAGAAAGGATCTTGTTGGGAATAAGATGATGATGATGATGAGAATATGATGATGATGATGATGAGAGGATGATGACTCTTTCGACATCTGAATCAATTTGGAATCACGACGAAACTCCCTAGGATGTGAACCACATGACATTCCATCGAATTCTCTTATTCTCTGAGCTCGATCAAATGACCATCTGAAATCACAAACATTTTCTTTCTTCTCTCATATCAAAGATTCAGGGTCCTTAGACCCATTCATCGTCATATACATTGAAATCTCGGATCGATTGAAGAAGATTGATTTATGATTTCAATCTTCTCTTGTTTGAATCGATTCCGATTCGAAGAAAAAATTATTGTAATCTATCTTTCTTTCTTGTCGTGCCTGGGCATGGTGAGTGTCAGATATTCATGGCCTTAAACTAGTCCATCTTGATCTTGTGGTTTATCAATCATCAATCATCATCATGATCAAAGAGAAAATCGCTCTTTGCGCTTTATGGACGTTCGAACTTTATGCTCGATCCATTGCGTTGTCGGCAATCCGATCTTTGCGCTGGCCGATGCCGATTTTTATCGTTGCATTGATAATTCATTCATTGTCCATTGCGCTTTATGTTCTTTTTTTTTTTTTTGAAAACATAATCTTAGCCATAAACTTATAAAGATCACAATAGCAACATCTGATCGGAGTTTTGATGAGAATGATCGGGGATCGATTTCGTCCTGCTTTATGTTCTCTTTTTCGCTCACATATTGCGAACAAGAGAAGTAGGCACGGAAGACGCTGTACGTCGGCGACACGCAGTGTGTCAAAGGAAGGTGGGTGCGCTGCCCTTCGTTCCGTCACAAGCAATGCTCGTCTAGGTACTTGCACTTACAGTGGCTGTCTGCGTGGTGTTGGTGATCAAATCACATCGATCGCCATCGCTGAGAGAATTCATGCAGTAGGTCGTGGACATCCTGGGAAACTGACAGATTTGCCTCACCTGTCGGAGTTCTGATTGTAAGTAAATGTACGACGTTGAATCGTTTGATGATTTTTTTTTTTTGTGTTCGACAGCCTTTTTGCAAGGCTAAATGGTGCTCTGTAAAAATATCGAAAAGAAAAATGTCTTCAAAGTCAACAAGGAACAGGGTAAATGCTGCCCTGATCATCTGCCAGTGCGTTGAATACTGATCTTACACTCGTATTTTTATCAAAACGAACCACGCTACTGGAATTCTTTCCGTGGTCTCCTCACCAGTAGCTTAATGCACCATGTCGATCACGTCTTCTATTTTCGCCCCAACATCCATGCTAAGAAAGCAATTGACCTGACAGGTAGACGTAGACTGACAACATGATCACAATGATTAAACCAGGACTCTGCAACCCCGTTTACCGAACTTGCAGTGCCGTGGTCGATGGTGCGTGCTATGTTTTTTATACCTGCATTTACGTAGAGTTCGCGCAGCACTACTACTTGCACTTCCACTTTTACTTCTACTTGCATCGTCATGTGCATGTGGATATGGCGAAAAATAAAAAAAGACAAAATATATCTTTATTACTCCCATCTAGAAAATCATTTTGTAGCCTAAGTATTCCTTGCCTGAATCCCTTCGAGGCGGGAAGGTGTAGTGCACGGCACCGCCTAGCTATCGGCGTATATGCGCAGCACCGTCGTGCTCGTGCTTTTGTTATTAGGAACGCTGGCGCATCGGCCCACAGGGTGGGGCCTATGGAGGTGCTGCTGCTCCACCTGCTCGCACCGTGAAAGCGCGCCCGCGCGCAATTTCTCGGCGACAATGGACAGCCGGCTCTCTTTTTTGTTTTCATGTTTTTGATTTTGGGGCTTCTGTTTTCGCTGTTCGAATGCTCGTCATCTGTGAACACAGATGACCAAAAAAATGCCCGCAAATGCCAAACGCCATGGCACCCAAAACCGAAAAACCTAGAGTTTTTGAATTCGTTTTGAATCAGTTTTCAAGCGGTTGTCACGTCGTGCGCTTCTGAGTTAAGCGAAAAATAAAAAAAGACAAAATATATCTTTATTACTCCCATCGAGAAAATCATTTTGTAGCCTCGGGGTCCCTAGCGCCGAGGCCACTACTAAAATGTCTTTTTCCCTCTTCGTCATACGGCCCAGGGAAGCCAAAAAGATGGGCGTCGCCTTCTTCGGTTGAAGGTTCTGCGACTTCAAGTACCGCCCGATTGCCCGCTGCAGACCAAGAAGCTGCCGGTAGAATAGAACGTTTTTAATTCTTCCCGCCTCCCCTTCTAGCGTCACTGCTGAGGACAGGTAACCCGCCGCAGAGGTAAACCCCTGGGCCAAAAGAAAGGCGACAAACTGCCGAAACTCCGCAATTCCGACTTCCCGGGCCTGCTCCAAACTCCGCAATTCCAACTCCGCAAAGGAACGGGTCGAACTATCCGCCCTCAAAAGCACTGCAGCAGCCTGGTAGTAGGAGAGAGAGATAGGATAGAAAGGCTGACTTAGCGCGGAGCCTCAAGACCGGCCTAGCTACGCGAGCCCTACACTTAACATTTCGCACACTGTCGGATCCCATTTCCGATCTAACCGGAGCCACCACGTGGCCGGGCACTATGAGCGCGTATTCTTTGTTTTTGAAGACCTTCCTTCATTTAAGCTAAAGTAGACAGAGCCTCAAGCCAATAAAAACAAATACTCGACTGCCGCGCAGTTGGAGCATGAGGAGAACCTTCTTCCAGAGACTTCCCTGTCTCTACGGAGACATGGATCGAAGCACCTAAAAGAGTAAATCGTAGCAACCTATTGTGGCCTCGCTGGCCCTAAATCACAATGGCTCTCGCGCCCACGCTAAACTGCCCCCGCTGGGGCCACCCTCTATGGTGAGAAAAAACGTAAAACTCCCCCCGCTGGGGGATTTACCAAGATCAACGCCCCGGAAGAACGACAGAGAGAGCCGAATGGCGGGGGGCAGGCAGCTCAACGAGCTAGAGGGATCGATGACGAGAAGTGCGTGGCGAGAACTCTGAGAGGTAGGAAAGGAGTAGAGAGAAGAGAGGAGAAGAGAAGAGTAGCAGAGAAGTACTAGGGAGTAGTAGTAGAGATTAGTAGATACAAGTAGTTTGTCTTTTCAATAGTTGATGCTATTTTTCTAAACGTTGAGCTTTTTTTGAATAGTTGAGATTTCACCTTGTCAACCAAATATATTTTTACTCCCATCTTCGAGAAAATCATTTTGTAGCCTCTGCACGCAAGCGCTTTGCCTTTTTGCAGAAAAAAAGAAAGCGTTGGCTCTTTTTTTCAAAAAAGCATTAGTTGCGCTCCTTTCGCTTTGTTCAAGGCGAGCTCCAATCCAAGCCCCGGTCGTGCTCGAGCCGATAGCAGTGGAGCTGGTATTCCTCCACAAAAGTGTGGTGTTCCCATTGAAAGCGACCCGGAAAGCTCGCATCTGTGTAGTTTTTAAGCGTCTCGGAAGCGCAAATCTGGCCCGGTTTTCCGGACGACTCCATCTTGTTTGTTACCAAAACGTCCACGCCCCAAATGTCGTACCGAAGTTTCTTCTGCCCAATCACGCCTATCTATAGGATCGCAAAAAACATGCCAGCACGTCAAATTTGATCTCGATCTGCAAAAAGGAACACAATCGACCAGAAGAGTAAAAGCCTTGGGTGGGAGTAAGTGTAGGATTAGGGCTGGGGTACGCTACAACGCATGAAAATCATTTCTCCGCCTAATAAATCTCCAGTGCCTTCAGATCAAATATTGCATGCCAGTAGTTTTCTGTGCGATATGCCCACAAACGTGCCAAGGTGGAGGCCGACGCGCATGCCGAGTCCGGCGATTTCCAGCTCGTCTCGCACTCCGGCGACTAGGTAGATGAGGCCCGCCGCGAATTTGAACATATCGGCGCAGCCCTTGCGCAGGAGCTCAGGTGTGTAGTCCTGCCTTGGCTCCAGGGTGGCTACGTAGCAATCGCCGATGGTGCACACCTTGTATACGCCCACGCGACGACTGAGATCGTCGATGGCAGAAAAGAGCCGCGTCACCAGCTGCACCACTTCAAAGGCCGTTACCTTTTGCGAGTACGCAGTGAACCCGGAAATGTCCGCGAAGAGACATGTCATCTCGTGATATTCGCGGACCACCTTCAGAGAAGCGCCCCCAGACAGCCGAAATTCCTCCAGCTATTCAGAACAAAAGAGAAACAAGAACCCTCGGCGCGTACCACTAAAAAAGGGTGAGGCGCTGAATATTTCCGATGCATATGCTCGACGCAATGCATAGCAACTACGCCAGCGGCCGGGCTAGATGCATTTATTGATCAACATGAAGGAAGCAACTTGCTGGCTTTCGAAGCTCCGATCATGCAAATTTGCGTATGGATCATGTGAAACTTCTTGCAAAAGATTGACGATATACTGCTTCTCCCTTTCATATATTACGGACCGGGGTTATGATGCATGAAGATTTATCACAGTCCATACGAGCAAGAGCGCCGGCAGCATCTCCTTAAGCAGCTGGTCGGATCTTTTCTCCGTACGCGTGATGTCGGACAAGCTCGCAAAAACTAGGCGCGAAAACCTCTCGCGGGAATAAGTTCCCAGGAAATTCATGACCATAAATCCCGTCACAAATTGCGCCACCTCCACACGATACCACGTTAGAGCGAGAGCAGGCGATTGGTCCGCGGAGGACCCCGCGGATGTGGTCCCGGCGGAGTTCTCGTCGCTCGGGTTCACTTCGTACGCACTAAACGTAACGACCAAAAAAGCTATTAGCAACACAACGCTCCACCAAAAAACTACTGGATAGAGGGGAAGCCCGGACCCATTGGTAAGCAACGCGATCCACAGCAAAAGCTCCAACGGGAAGGCGTACGTCAACCACTGGTCTTCCTTCGGTTTCTCGCAAACGAACAACGGAGCCATGGCGTGCGCGACGAAACCGGCCCCGTACAAACCACACAGGAGTAGCCCAATCCAAAAGTTTCGTGACTCCCGTTGAAAAACCCACTGTTCGTAGGCGCCGCTAAAACAAAGACTGACCACATCGACGAAAGACGTCCACAGCCCCGCTGGAGTCAGCAGTATATCCTCGCCACCGGCACCCACCGACCCGGGAGCGACATCGTGGCTGCGACTGCCACGCCGCACCGGACCGCCCCCGGCGCTCCCACTAGCCACTGACAGGGTGCTGTTGCTTCGATTGCGGCCGACAAGTTCGCGCTGCCGCTGCTTGGAGCTGGCCCGAGGGGATCCGCTTTCACTCCCGCGGCCAATCAGCACCGCCGTCGGGCCACCCTTCCCGTTATTTAGTGCTGTCGAAGCGCCGCATTCGGCGCCTTGGCTGGAAGGAGATTGTTGCTGCGCCTGGCGTGCAGCTGGGGAAGGATTCCGTGCTGACGTCGTGCTCGTGAACGGTGAAAGTCTCACAGCGCTGGAAAGAAAGGCACTAACTAGCTGAGACGACACATTGGTAAAAAGCCCCTTGTGTTGACTGCTTGCGGAGCTAGACGGTGCGTGTCCGCCGCCCGGGAGGTCCAGCAACTTGTCCTTCCAACTAAAAGCAGTGCCCCTGGGCGCAGCTGCCCGGCGTTCGGCGAATCCGGTCAGTGGGGTACTGCTTGTGCCTGCAAACCATTCGTGGAACCGCTGCTGTTTGGCGGCTTCATCTTGATATTTCTGCGGGGCGAGCAGCCCTACCTCTTTTCCTTGTACAAAAACGGCAGATGCAACCGGCGCGGAAGGCGGAGCGACTTGGTTCCCGGCTGCCTGGGATGCTGTCACAGTCAAAGACGAACGCTGAGGTGTAGAAGTCGAGAGGCTCGTACAACTCCCGTCACCTTCTGGCATCTCTACGACTTCGTCTGAATCGTAATTGAACCGGGACGTGCGAGTCGCCAAGCTCCGCAGTGATTTGTTTGTCGGTCCATCAGCCTCGAGGTCGAAAGCCATCCGTGTTGTGCGAGTGACAAGAGATCGCAACACTTTCTTCGGAGAAGCCGCACCGGGCACGAAAAGGCGGGCGCCGAACCCCATCCCCAGCGAAGTACCGCCGGCAACACTTTCAGAGGCACACTCTGCCACGAACGTGGGTTGCGTCGCGCCCGCGGGAGGAGGACCACCCGGTCGCGCCGGCACGACCGCGAAACCAAAATTGTTTGTACGCGCGGTAGAAGTTGTCGCAGCCATTGTTGCCAGTGACGCAGAGTGTATTGCGGTGGATCTTTTCTGTGCAACATTTGGCACACTATCCTCACGAGCCGGCAGAGCGGCGAGCTGCTGGCTCAGCAAGCGGGCTGCGGTTGAGATGCGGTTCCGGGAGCTGGGGGACGACGCAGCTGTCACGTTCACAGCACCGGAGCCGCAACCTGCCTCCCTGTCGAAATCCGTTAGACTATGGGACACGGTTCCCATCGTCCGCCGACTTCCAGGCGGGTGGTCGGACCGACGACGTTCCTGCACCGTGGGTTGGTTGCTAGCATGCTGCAGGTGCTGGACTTCGGAAGCAAAAGCGAAGGCATTGGCCACGCGGTCTCGGACGCGCGCAAAGGTGAGCAAGATCGCCACAAAGACCACGCCGCGCCAGACCACCAGGCTGAGCGCATCCAGTTCTGGGTTCTGCGGCAAAAGAACAAGAAATGCGGAATTTACGAAATGCGCCACGCACAGCACCGCCAGGTACATCAGTAGATTCTGGAAGCGCGTGCGGTCGCCAAAGTAATGTCGTAGGTACCGTTCCTCTAAATTGTAGTCCCGAAACGCCAACAAAAAGTTCAAGCGTCGACCGACGTCCCGTTGGCGGGACAACGAACCGACGTGCAAAGAGGTAGAGGCACCACCAGTACCACCTGCTCCCGAGGAAAAACCACCGTGGTCGTGGTTGTTGGCGATGGCCGCAACAGACACCTGTCGCACTCCGCCCTCCGCGCGCTCTGAAAGGATGTATTGGTATCCCTTCTTCACACGGTCACCGACCCGAAACCCGCAGCGCGGTAGCCGTCCGAAACGACGCCCGGAGGAAGAGCCCGGCGGGGATTCGCCTGTGCTGCCTCTCGCAAAACTACGACCCGCGCAGCACGCAAGTGTGCCCCGCAACGAGCGCTTGGTGCTACCAACGCTGAAGTCGCTGTCCGGTGCGCCCGCACTGGTCGACATCTGCGCGGGAGGAAATTTTCCGTCGGCGTCTGGCTCCACACACACCAGGCCTTGCATCTTATCGTAATGCACAATGGCATTCGCAACGGACGGCAACAGCCTTTCCTGATCCTCCTCGGAGGACCGGTCCGCTTCCTCCCGCGCAGCCGCATCGCTCACGTCCTCCGTCTCGGTGCCATCTGCGTTCCGCAAGCCCTGCAAAAGATAGGTCTTCATCTTGCCTTTGCCTTTCACCTCTAGTTCGCGCTCCTGAAAGTGGAACCGCTTTTCCAGGTTTTCGCGACCTTGCTTGTAGAGGCAAAGGCGATCAAACGTGGATTTGGACATGTGAATCTTGTCCGTGTCGGATTTGCTTTTCATGCGACTCGCCGTGTTCACCGTATCCCCAAAAAGAGCGTACTCTGTATGACGTAATTAGCGGCCCTTGCATAAGGGTCATAGGTCAAATGACTTTTCACATTCTGGCCCACACCACTGACGGTCACGGTAGAAACCAAATGCAGCGCTGCAGCCCCTGCGCCCGCACGTTGGCGCGACTTACCCGATGCGACCCCCTGAGCCCTAAAAGGGGTTTTGGTTTTCGGAACCTGACATAGCCCTCCGCGAACCAAAACAAGAAAACTTCTTCGTGGCGCTGCCGCGCCGCCCAAATTTTGAGGGGGGTATCCAAGGTTTTGGTTTCCAAAACCTTACATAGCCCTCCGCGAACCAAAAAACTTTCTTCACGGCGCTGCCGCGCCGCCCAAATTTTGAGGGGGCTATGCGAGGTTTTGGCTTTCAAAACCTCACATAGCCATCCGCGAACCAAAAAAAATTTTCGCGGCGCTGCCGCGCCGCCCAGATTTCGGAGGGGCTATACGAGGTTTTGAAAATAAAAAGCCCGGGTAGGAAATATGAGTTTTGAACTTTTTCCTACCCGGGGTTTTTATTTTCAAAACCCCGGGTAGGAAATATTTATCAGCTGTTATCACCCTCACAGACGTGCAGAGCAGCGGATAAATATTTCCTACCCGGGGTTTTGAAAATAAAAACCCCGGGTAGGAAAAAACGCAAAATGCATTTTTCCTACCCGGGCTTTTTTTATTTTGCCTACAGTGCCAATATATCCAGCGAGCCCCCGAGCATTGCAACCTATATACGCTGCTTGTCCACCTATTTTCTACGTTTAAGTACGCGCGCACTGCTTTGGTGCGTTTCAGAGGGCTGCTTACTCGAAATTCATGCCCCAATACTCCCCGCGCAAATTTTTCTCCTAGGCTTCCATCCAGCAGTCCCCCCGCAGAGCAGCGGTCCCCGCGTAACACTCCGAAGCGCTCACCTGAGTATTGAGTCAGTACAGCGCAGCGTGGCGCATCCAGGTCCAGAACGAGAACTGCCCGCTTACTTACTACACTGCGCGCGCCTACACAGTAACAGCCTGTAGAAATGTACGGACTATCAGTCTTCTTGTTTTGGCGTGTTTGTGTATTCCTGATGCCTACACTGTGCAAGGTGTTGCAGATGCGGCGCCGATAGACAAAGGAACAGGCGTCGCAAATGCGCAACACACTTGCGTGGTTTATTATACGGAAACACAAACACCAAAGCCGCCCGGCGCACTGCATTGGGTGGCAGCCGACGGGGACTAAAGTTTCCAAGCTGTCGAGAGCTTTTTTTGGCTGGCTGTTTCTACTTCTTCTGTCGCGTTATTTCCCTGTGCAAGCTGCTTCAGAAGCCTACGCCACTGATAAAGCGTAGGCTCCTTGTGAACATCAAGCCTCTTGCTTCTTTTGTTGTACGGAACTAAAGGAAGCGCGCCTGCTGCACAAGAGCGAGTAGCTGCAGACGCAGCTCCTGGACACGTTCCGATTTATATATTTAAAATCTTTGGTATGTGGCAAGGAGTGAAATGTCCGGACTTATGAAAGGGCCGCTAATTAAGTATCTGGGAGTACTGGGGCTTGCGACTGCCCACGATTCCAGCAATCACTCGTCCCGTGTTGAGGCCGATCTTGACTTGGAGAAACTCCGGCTCCCCCGTCTCCGGGTCGTTTCGGAGGAATATGCTCCGGGACACCCGAATTTGGTCACATGCGAAGAGCAGGCTGCGAAAGGCGTCCGTGGCCGCACGCAGGTCCTCCTGCTGCTCCTGCTCCTGTTGCAGCTGCCCCAGCAGGTCCTGCTCTTGCAGCTCGGCGTGTGTGCTGGCCCTCGTCGGCCCATCAGTTTTCGGGGATGGATGTGCGGCCGCCAACCCGAAACCGCGGTTGGGGCCCTGACGCCGGAAGGAGGCACGCGAGGCCGCCCCGCCCGAGTGTATCTCCACTCCGCCGGCGGACAGAAACGTCTCGCCGACTGTTTCGATCTTGGTGATTCCATGCGTTTCGCAGAGCACGTCGTACCGCTTAAAGAGGGTATCCAGTAACTGGACGAGACGCCCGGGGTCCATGTCCATTTGCAACACAAGCTCGGAAAAATTCTGGATGTCGCAGAAGACCACTGTGACAAAGCCAATGTCCTCCGCGATGACCGGAACCCCGGTACCCGTGGAGGCATCGTGGGTCAGCATGCGCTCCACAACGAACCGAGGCAAAATGTTATTCAGAATCTCGTGCGACCGCTTCTCGGCCCGGTCGAGGGCGGTGTGAAGGTCAAACTGCTGACGGTTGCTGAACTCGTGTTGGTAGATATCGTAAGGAAAAATCCCCCCTCCCCATATTGGAAGCGTATCCGTCTGAAAATTTGCGATGCGCATTTGTGACCTCAAATCCTGTCTGTCTTGCAAGAAGGCAAGTCCAGAGAGCGCCCCGAATTTTGCAGGCGGTTTGTGATGCTGTTGGGCTTAGAGCATACACGTTTGTCATGCTAGGCGCCCACGTCAAAACCTCTCGACTGAGGCTTGGCATATGCCTGCAGTCCTCTACTGCAAGACAAATCTGATTTGTGTACGGAAATCCAGCATCAGAAACTTCGTTTCGATATGGGGAGGGGGGATTTTTCCTCACGATAGTAGAGGGTGAACACGGACAGAACCGTGAGCCCGATCATTGTAAAGCTGTAGTCAATATCAAGTGTAAAAGTGTCTGGGTCTGGAAGAATGAAAATTGTGATGCTGAACGTGGATTCCAAAAAAATCTGTATTGCATGAGCAGCAAAGAGAACGCAATTTGTGCTACGCGGAGAGGGCATTTGTCATGCGGAATAGGCATCAAGAAGCCCTTAAAAAATCTGTGATGCTAGGGCATGCATCACCGACGTCGTGGCTCATGCAAAACGTGCATGACAACTATCAGAATCTTCCAGACCCAGACATTTTTACAATCCATAGTCAAAGACGCGACACACGAAGTCCGGGAGCACATTGCACTGGCGGTCGCGGTACGCAGGGTACACCATGCTTTTGACCGGCGGGACAGCTGAGCCCGCCAGCTGGCGGGCGAGGAAAAAGAACAGCAGCACAGCATGCAGAAACAGTGCCTCACTGTACGGCAGCTTCAGCATAACGCGAAAAAATGTGGACAGCAACGCAATCAGCAGGACGCCCTCCGCCTCATTGTACAGATCCTTTGCGAACGCAAGCAGCACCATGCAAAAACCTACTGCTCCTTGCACGCGGAGAAAGTTGCGAACGAAGGCTTCTCGGGTCGTGAGCCACAGGTAGCCGGCAAGTAAGACAGTCACGACCAGAAACTGCAGCGTTCGAAACAGTGGCACCGAGGCGCTCGACACGTGCTCCGATAACATGTACAGAAGCATACCGGCGCCCGCGGTGCTGCCCACCAGACGCAGGAAGACCAGGTTTCTTCGGGCGTGGTTCAGAATGTATGCACGCTCGGTCTCCGGGTCGCGGAACCGCATGGTGAGTGGGTGCAATTTCTGCGCGAAAAGGCGGACCTCGGGAGCGGTGTGCACGGAGACGAAGAAGGTTTTCCACAAGCGCGTTCGCCTGATCGCAGACCCCGTCAAGCGGGCGAATTCCAGCGCACGCAGCATAAAAACGGCGCAGAAGGCCTGACATTTCTTGCGCCCTGTTTCGACAGCGGTCTGCGCACGAGCAGCCGCGGTACCCGCTAATGACCGCCGCGGCTGGTCGTCGAGGAGATAGACGGAGGAGCCACAGTCCTCCGTGTGCCCAAGTCGGCGAAACATCCACCGGCTCTCGCTGGCGAAGGACATCACGGTTACACGAAGCTTGTCCCGCGCCTGCGGCAGGTGCGAAAGAATAGTCTTAGTGCTCCTTTTCTTTATTTTGTGAGGCAACCGCGAAAAGGAGCCCGACTGTGTGGCCTCAGACGACGGCTCCTGCTGCGCAGTTTGATGGTTGCCTCTTGTTCTTCGTTTCAGATCGTCCTCGACGTCCTCGGACGATAGCAGCGACGGTAACGCTTGCGCGCTTGCGTGGCCTTCCCTACTTCCGTCGCGTCCAGTCGCAGAATGCGCGTTTACGTGTTGTTTTTCCGCCGCGTATCCCGCCTACAGAGCCAACTCACAGCTGCATGCTTCATGCACACGTCGCTTCTCGCTATGTCATAAGCTCTATGCTCTTCGTTCTGCTTCAAATGCTTCAGCGAGACACGCTTTGGCTTCAGCAAGTGCGACACCCCTATCGATGACATGTTGCAACAAAGGAGAATCACCAGTATCGGTGGCATCGTTCAGCTTCCTTTTTTTCATTTCGCACGACCACGTATGAATGTTATAGAAGCCCCTGATGCGTTCGAGTGCGGACGGGGACTCGCTTAGTATCGCTATCGCAACACCAACAGAAGCAGAGCATACAAAAATGCAATCACGGTTCGCTGTTTCATTTCTTGCGAGGTGATATTAAAGAAGATTTGGCGCATGCTCAAAAGGTCGCGCTCTTTGAAGGGGATACAACCTGATCCCGCTTGTTAAAAATCGCGACTCCTTCGCTGCGCGATAGCTGCCTGTTCGCCTCTTCTCGGCGTCGATCGATAACAGATAAAACCGACGGATACTTGTCCAGGTGCTTGTGAAGCGCGAGGTCATCGCCATCCCATTTCTTTGAAGGAAGGGGCTGAGCCACTAAGTCAAACCGCTTGCTCACCAGCGTCGGGCGGAAGTGCAGCTGCCACTTGCAGATCAAGACCCACAGGTCCGCAAGGGCGCGTATGTTTGCCTGACTCAACACGAGCTGCTCCACTGGCGCTTCATCTTCAGTGTCGTCCTCGGTTGTGGACTGCCGGCCCCCCGGCGTGAGTTGTGCCAACTCTAAGGCGTTGGCTCCTTTGGATTCTTGAAGCGTCCGCAGATTCGAAGCCTCCACGCCGCACGAAACGAGCATCGCGCGCAGGTCTTGCTGACACCGGTCAAAGAACGCCGCTGTGCCAGCTGACACACCAGCAGCCGCTCCTGCTAGTCCAGACGCAGGCGCTTGCACAGAAGACCTTTTTGCCGCAGCAACATGCTCTTTGGCTGTTGTACTACCAACCGAGGGCTGGCAAGCGTCTGCATCGCTGGCGCTAGACGGGGCAGATGCTTCATTATGCGCATGTGCGGCGGGTGTTCCGCCTGGTGAGCTCGATTCTGACGCCGTGCGCTCGCTTGATGCAGCTACGAGACCCGCTTTGCTGTCTGCGTGGTCGTGATCGCTATTGCCGAGAGGAAAGTCCCCGTCAACTTGTAGGCCGGTGAGTTTCTGTGCGTCGCGGATCAGTTGGGTGACTCGGTCTTGCCATTCGCTACACTGGCGAAGTGCACGCGCGTGCCCCGCGAGGAAGCCGCGCAGATGCTGCACAGGCGTGGGATTGCGCACCGATGCCCACGTCAGGCGCGTGTGCTCCAGGAGCACCCAGGAGCTCACCGACAGAAAGATGGATAGCCAAATTCGGGGACAAAGCCACATGTGCGGAGAGCTCCCCACGAGCACGTACTTTTGCCGTCCAGGCGGCGTGAGCATGTACAGAAAGGCGTCGAACATGCACCAATACGGAATGAACAAAACGGTGGAGGCATATGCAAGAAGAAAACTGTATATGCAAAGCATGCAACAAATGACATTTGTCATGCATACCCGACTGCGCCACATCGAAAACCTTTGCACCGTCGCCGCAAGCAGCTACGGCCGCAGGAGATCTAGGGTCAGAATTGTCATGCTGGACAGACAGGGTTTCCACTTTTCATATGCGTGCTCACGTACTACCTGCGCATGACAGGCCGCTTTCAATGTCAACATGTAGAGCAAATTTGTCATGCTTATGCTGTCCTCTCTCCCAGACACCTACACTGACACAGTTTTTTTCCTCTATAAGACAGCAATGGTTGCCCGAAACCAAGGGTTGGTCTGGCAGCTATTGGTCGCCAGAAAAAGACGTGCGTTCACCAGCAGCACCACCGAATAGAAGATTGACGATCCAAACTCCAACCAGCCTTGGTTCAGCGGCGAGCCGCTGCCGTCCCCGAAGGCCTCGACATGGAACCAGAACAGGGCGGTGCTGGTTACGATGCCTTGCACCATCCAGCGCAGGAACTCCCTGGAGTTGAAGCTTCGCTGCAGCCGGCCCTGCTGGTACAGCTCGGGCACGTGGAGGCAGGCAAGGTCGGGGAGGTCTGTGTCGCACAGACCCGCCACCAGGATCGGGAGCGACGTCCAAAACAGGTTGTAGGACATCAGGAGGTAACTCTCGTAAAGAGACGCTCCGCTCCACCCATTCTGGAAATTGTAGAAGAAGACGGGCACGATTAGCATCACATTCTTGAAGAAAGAAAACAGGATCACCAGCGAGACGCGGTTGTAATTGGCCCGCCCGTGCACGAAGAGCAGGTTGCGCAAGAATCGGAACTGGCCAATCGAGTAGTCGCTGGCAGACAGCTATGCACGAAAAAAACTGTTGTAACTGTTTCTTTTCATCCTGTGACTGTAGCTCTGTGTTGCAGACGATGCGACAAAGCTCCACTTGCCATGTTGCAGCTGGTCACGCGCCGCAGGAGGTAATCGTGTGTTTTGATAGATTGTCGAGGACAAGATATTTGATATGGATAACAAGTTCCTGTTGTCATATAATGCTCTTCGGCTACCACACGTTTTTTTCTTGGATAACACCGCCTGCCGCCCCTCGTTGCCGCTGATGCCCACGCCCACGTGGGCGGCCTTGATCATAGCAACGTCGTTGGCGCCGTCCCCGATAGCTAGAGTCAATGGTTCCGGCCGCAGCTGGCTCCGCATCAGAGTAACGAATGTCGCCTTCTGCTTCGGGGTAACGCGACAGGCAATCACGGAAGCAGCACCCGCGCACAGCTTCAGCCAGGCCTGCGTCAAATATTGATCCTCGAGGACCACGGCGGCGCTGGGTCCGTCAATGACGAGCACGTAGCCATGGTTAGGATGTTCAGTACGGAACCTATGCACGTCCAGGGTGTGTTCGATAAACAGGGCGCGCATACGGCTCAGTTCCTTGTTCCCTTTGCTCATGGCCATGGGACGCGGGGAAGTGCTCGCGTCGAAATCTGTGGCCGCGGAGGTGCTTGTGGCTGTGATTGTGTGGGCCACTGATGCTTCCTTGAGTGCGGGGAGGTTTATGCGGTTCAAAGAGTGCTCGCGCGCCAGCATCATTTTCCGCTGCGACGCCGTCGCGGGGGAAAAATGCTCGGCCAATGACCGCGCACTGGTTGTTGTGATCCGCCGTCCGCTACGAAAAGACGCAGAACTCGGACTGGGGTATAACGGCGGAAGGTTGTACGGCTCTTCTTCAACCTCGCAGGTCTCTGCCAAGTGTTCAGACGGAACGTTGCTATGATTCTGCCCCGGAACCATCGGGCCCTTGATCTTTGGTGCAGATTCATTCTGCTGGTCGGCGCGGGCCGCGCCGGGCTCCTGCCGTGCAGACGGAGGTGGTAGATTCCCTCTGCAGTTCGCAGCGTCGGAAGACGACGGCCCACCGCGGTCCACGGCCGCATCGGCCGGAGAGGCGGGCGAGCTCTTGCGCTGGAGAATCTCCTCATCATGCGGGCCGCTCTGGCGTGGCCCCGTGCGGGAATCAGAATCCTCCTCAGCATTCTTCTTGTCGGTCAGGTTGAAGAGGAAAGTGCGTGCGTTTGGCGGAACCAGGGACACGGACTTGCCCACGTTCACAGCCGTCTCCTGCTTGTCCCCGGTCAACATCCACACTTTGATGCCCGCTTGCAAGAGGCCACCAATCGTCTCGGTGACGTCTTGCTGCAGGCGATCCTCCAACCCACTGCAACCGAGAAGCTCCACGTCCCGCTCGACCCAATCTGCCACGGCTTCCAGCATTTCTTCACGATCCATCACGGCGGCCGAGGCCTCTTTCATCCTTGCGATGTATTCGTTGGCTTCTGGCGCCGTTAAATACTTGCGGCCCATCACCAGCGTCCGCAATCCCGCGACACTGAACTCTGACAGGTCCTGCAGGATCCCTGCGTGCCGCGAGATAGCAGCACCACCACCAGGCATGGTGCCCTCGGCTTGCAAGCTCCTCCCGGTCTCTGTCTGCGACATCTGAGGAGTTATGCCTTCCGTAACGGCGAAATTTCGTCGCTGTTCCTCCTCCTGGACGGCCGCGCCTGGTGTGGTTACAACAGCGCAGCCCACAGCAGTCAACGCGCCCGGACCGCGGCCTGCTGTGCCACGGCTGCTCGAGGTAGTTGGCTCCACCTCCACAGCAGGTGGCAGGATGGTGTCCGGCGCGGCGCGCTCAAGCATGACGGAGTCCGCACCCTTCATGAACAGCACTACACGCTGGTCCAGCTCGGATCGCCGTTGCCCGGACTGCGAGACACCGTGGGCCGCGGAGTTGATGTAGGACTCGCGGTTGTTTGCCAGAATTTTTTCTCGCAGCACAATGCTCATGCGCCGTCGGTCCGAGGTAAACTCATGCACACCTAGAATCTCCCACTTCAAGTAGTGCCCGTTCTCCAGCACCGTCAACTCGTTCGCAGACCGCTCCAACACTTTGTAGCCCAGGTCCGCGATTCCGTGGAGCAGCGCCTCCTCGTCCGGCGATTTAGCTTCCACCTGGAGAGAAAACCAAAGTGCGAACAATTCTTTGTTGTGCTGGTTTTCCTAGTTGGTTCTTCAACAAAAAACTGCCGCGCTGCTTTGTAGAACCACTTCCTGAGTACTGCAAGTGCACGAGCTATACATGATGGGTATGGAGGGACGTGCAGACGCATTTAAGTGACACCGGTTTCCGGTGAGAGGACCAACAACTATGTATGTATTTACTTACTTGCACGGAAGCGAGTTAATGATGTCTACGAGGCTTCTACCTGGTACGCCCCAACATCAGCGGCGTCGCCACCTGGGAACACAAGAAATCCTCGCCTCCGCGCGGAGGCGTAGCCCACGACTTGCTTCCGAAGCCAGTGCTGGATGCAACAAAAAAAAATTCTTCGGCGCGCTGCGCGCGCCGTTCCGAAAATAAGAAATCGACCCCTCCGCGCGGAGGGGTCGATTTCTTATTTTCGGTTTCTTCGTCCGCCGCTGGCGGCCCAGAAAGAAACAGACCCCTCCGCGCGGAGGAGGCGGTTTGTTTGATAGCCGGACCGCTACCTTTTACCCAGAAAACAACGAAAGTTGGCACTTTCGGAACTTCCGGGTCCTAAAGAAGCCGCCCCCTCCGGGCGGAGGGGCCGGTTTCTTTGTGGGCCGCTAGCGAGGCAAGAAGAAGCCGGGCTTTCCTGTCCAACGGAGCACGACAGTTTCACTCAACCCTCCACACGGAGGGCCTCACTTATTGGCTTTGCGAATTGTTTCCGCGACCTGCGCGCGGAACATTTGTTCGCTTTTAATGCTTTCGTGAAGTGGCGCCGCGTCTCGTGCAGTGGCTCCCCGCCGCGGCCGCCAGCTGTTTTTTTTTTTATTCCCGGCCACCCTATGAAACGCTCAACACCCCTGCGCCGAAACCTTTGGCGCGCGCGAGTAAAAACGTCGCGGCGGGCTGCTTTGCTTCCGAGCGGCCGCGTGTGCCTCTACGAATGTGCCGTAAAGACTGAAAACGCGACGCCACATCGTAAAACAGGGGCAAGGCAACGCAGGCGCACGAGGTGAGGCTGCATAGCGCAAAAATGAAGATGGAGCACCATCATGGTGAGGCTAAAGAATGCGCCTGCTCCAACAAAAATACTAGAAGCAGGTCAGAGGGCAACGGGGGCAGCAATACCGAATTTTGTTGGCTCGGGGGGCCGACCGCCCTTCTCAGTCGCCCTCTCTAATAGCCCTATCGGCCCAAGCGAGTGCGTAACCCTCGCGCAAGCGGATTCAGCGGTAAGCTTCTCCAGGATGCAGCCAGGACGTCACGGGGAGTGCCACCTGGACCTGCTACCTTGACGATCAAGGCTTGACCTTGTTCGTCCTCACAGTGCCAAAATGATAAAAAGCGGCAACTTTTGGATCTGCTTAAATTCGCGAAGTATCTGCTACAATTTCCTTCTGGTGAGTACCTGGTACGCCCCGACATCAGCGGCGTCGCCACCTCCGCCCATGTAGAGCAAGCCATCCGGCGGCTGTTCCATGTAGAGCAAGCAAGGCGCCACACTGCGACGCGCTAATGTGACCGCTGGAAATAGGGGCGGCATACCAGGCGGCGTAGCTGTCGCGTCTAGGGTTTAGAAGCGACAAAATTCACAGCAAAACCCCGAAGAAGCGCCCAACTTTGTACGAAACCCTGAGAAAGGAGCACGGAAGCTGCGTCTTAGGGTTTAGAAGCAACAAAAATTACAGCAGAACCCCGAAGAAGCAACCAACTTTATACAAAACCCTGAGAAAGTAGCACAAAAGCTGCATCCTAGGGTTTAGAAGCAACAAAATTTACAGCAAAACCCCGAAGAAGCAAGCAATTTTATACAAAACCCTGAGAAAGTAGCACAGAAGCTGCGTCTTAGGGTTTAGAAGCAACAAAATTTACACCAAAACCCCGAAGAAGAAAAGCTGCGTCCTAGGGTTTAGAAGCCACAAACTTTGCACCAAAACCTCGAAGACGCGCCCAACTTGATAACAAAATCTCAGAAAGTAGCAGAGAAGCTGCAACGAAACCAATGCAGCCAGGGGCACCAGGGTGCCGGCAGTAGAGGTAAGTTCCGCGCTAAGCGTTGAGGGTGAGTTGAGATAATTGGCCTCCACTTTATGGCCGTTCCCTTGGTGCAAGCATGGTCCCGGGAAAGTTCGCCCGAGCTCTAGCGCGAGGGCGGGCCCGAGGTGGGGCTGTGCTACGCGCAGAGGGCGCCTCACTCTCATGCGGGGAGGGCATCGAGGAGCCCCCACAAAACCTGCGACGCTGCGACCCACGTATTGGCACACACCCACGCTCCGAGTCATGCAAAATATGCACGGCAAGGGCTACACCGTTCCAGACCCAGGCACGACGCTGTCTGGGTCTGCGCCTCTTCCATGCACTACTTCTGCGATTTTTCTCGCCGTCTCGGCCTGTTTTTGCGCACGTGGCGCCGTATGAGTCTTCTGCTCAAACACCATACTTATGACACCGCTCTTAAAATATGATTACCAAAGTAGTACCTGGTACGCCCCGACCTCAGCGGCGTCGCCACCTCCTCGGAGCTGCCGACCACTGCGGCGCCTCGAGATCATGGACGACGCTACCGATTTTCCCAGTTCGTCCACCGAACCAGTTCCGTCCCCATCCCCTGGAGGTTCAGTACGCTATCAAAAAAAATGGAGGGTGATCGCTGTCATAGTGGTGAATACACAAGAACATGCAACAAGACGAATTTGATGGATCATACTGCATGCCATAGATTTGACTTGCCACGGTTTTGACTCGCGACCTTCAGCATCTTTACACGATCACATTCACATCAAATCGTAGGGAAGTTGTAGCACGGCTGCTCGTCACTAATTCTGTGCCAGAAACAGATCTGTGTTGTTTCAACTTTGAGAAGGCGAGGAACACGACACAGCGGAACTACGACTTATGCTTTTGATAGCGATCGCTTCTTGGTCGCATGAGGTCCTGGCCCAAGGTCCCCGGTGGCGGACACCATACTTGAGCGGTCGGGGATTTGCGTAAAGTGATCTGGCTCAAGCGGAACATTGAGTGGCAGCGGCCGAGCCTGGTGCGCTTCCTGCGAGATCTGCGCTCGGGACTTGTTCATGACGGGAGTGGCCTCGTGGCAGAGCAACACACACTGCAGAAATTCTGCTAATGGTCCCGTCAGCATATCTACCCCTTTTGCAAAAGGAGAAATCTTGTTCTTGTCCGCCGCGTTTTTCTTGTCATTGGGTGCCGCGCACGACGTCGACCCTTCCGCTTCCCTAGCAGGCTCCGCAATTTTGGCCGTCTTATCCTGGCCGTTGGAGACTACATCTCGGCCGCTGCCTTCTCCGTCGGAGCTGCAAGACGGAGGCTCGGCGTTCGTTGGAGCTTCTGCGCTCACGTTTGTAGTTTGTTCCACCGTCGCAGTTGGAGCCGGCGTCGACCCCGCCTGCGCCTCCGCCGTGCTGCCGGCCAAAACAAAGCGGTCGCCGAATACGCGGCAACCTGCGGAGCACACCCGCAGGATCATTTCGTTCTCGGTGAGCGTGCCCGTTTTGTATCAAATGTAAAAATGTCTGGGTCTGGAAGAATGCACGATTTGTGATGCAGGTTTTCTATGACCCATGAGGTCTGAAATGCGAGACCCAGCATGACAGATTCTTTGAGGTCTGTGTCATGCCTTTCCTGCATGAGAAACTCCCTCTCAACTTGGTCAAAAGCGGACAGCTTTTGACACTCGTCACGCAACACAGATTTTTGCATCATTTAGATTTAGCATGACAAGTTCAAATCTTCCAGACCCAGACATTTTTACATTTGATATTTTGTCACTGAAGATCATGTCGATTTGCCCCATGTCGTCCGAGAGCGCGCTCGCACGGCACTCCGCAGGCTCCGTCTCCCCCCGCTTGTTGGTGTGCCAGCAGTTCTGGTCCCGCGCCAGTAGCAGTGCCTGGCCGAACTTGACGTGCTTATCCAAGAAAAATACTGTCGATTAGTAGCTTCTATCTTAGACGGACAAACACCATTAAGCAGCAAAATCTATTTTCCCTGCGTGGCAAACAAATCTTGTCATGCGCAGTTAGTAGGAGTCAAATCCCTCCGGAAACGAGGCTCGCATGGTAATGGTTGTCTCCACCTCACTGCATGACAGGCACAGGAGTTATGTAAGAGTCTTGCCGTTCATCTGCAACATTACACAATTGCAGCACTAACACAGTTTCTATCGTGCATAAAGGTCCAACGAGATGTAGAGCGACACTATGGGGTTCTCAAACGTTACATTCTCAACTGTTGCATGATTTGTCATGCAAAATGACCATGACCCGCCAGACGATCAAGCTGCTTCGCATGACAAATTCTCGGAGGGCTAAATAGCACGGTAGTCCGCGCCAAACCTGTAATGCAAGACGCGCAAGATTCTCCCTCTTACCTGTGCTAGTCTTGCATTACAAATTCATGTAACAGTTGAGAATGTAACGTTTGAGAACGCCATAGACACGGGCACGAGGTTGTTGTACAAAATGAGGTATGCAGCGCAAATATATGGCGTCGTCAAGCTTGTATTTGCCTCAAGCTGTAAAAAATTTTCCGCGCGCCTTTTTTTGTATTTGACATCCATCACGTTGCACACGTATAGCCCCCCACTATGTTGCGCACCTAATGAACTAGCTAGCTTATTCGCAGCGCATCTCAGTGGCTAAAGACGGAGCTATCCGGCGCTGCTGCTCCTCGGACTTGCCGCGGAGCGCCCCTGCAGCCTGGAGGTGCTGCAACAGGTCCTCTTGCAGTCCAGCCGCTAGACAATGGGCCTCATTCTGTGCAAGTCGGTCGGAGGCGAGGGCGCAAACGGAGCCTGCCGTGGCTGCGACTCCCCTTGTTTCTAATGTCGCGCAGCTGTGCGCGCGTGCACCGGCAGGCGCGCGCGCTTTTTGCCTTTGCGGCTTTTTCATCAAAATGCGAGAAACCCGAGAGCCTTTCGGGAAGGGTTCCCAGAGGGGTTCCGGGACCCCTTTTGGGGAGGGGTAGCACCATCGTGATTCGAAGAAAAAGCAAGAGGCTTTTTTTTAGGGTTCCGGGCACCCCTCCGGCCCCCCCTTTTTGGAAGGGCTTCGGAAAAGCCTTCGCGGCCAACATATGTGCGTGGTGCCCGCTAGAGACGAGGAGGCCAGGGCCTGTGTAGACATCTCGCGGGGCGTTTCCAGCCTCACACGCTGACCCAGGCCATAGCGGCAAATAGCTGCACGGAGAGAGCAATCCGGGAAACGGGGCAAAATATTGCGCGCGCCCGGCGTTTTCTAGGTGAAAACATCAGCCACAGAAGAACCCCCAGCGCCCCGCCCCCCTTCGCGTCAGTACTCACTTACCTACTACAGCACTGCCGCTGACAAGCTAGGCAAAACAAACCGCGTTCAAGTCAGCCCCTCACTAGCGTGCACAGGTTTACTCGCCTTGCGCCGCAAGAAAATGCGCGCAGAATTTGTAGAGCGACACGGGCACGAGGTTGTTGTACAAAATGAGGTATGCAGCGCAAATATATGGCCCGGCCAAGTGCGCTTTTCTCAAGTATGCTGAAAATTTTTGCATGCATATTTTTTGCGAATGCGCCGCCCCCCCACAGGCGCGCACTCGGGTACAGAAACTGTTGAAACGGCCCGCGCATCAGATTGCAAAGGCCCCTCGCGGAGAGAGCCAAACTAAGCGCTCACAGATTTTCTCGCCGCGCTTGGCCGCGCGCATTGGCAGAAATCACCCCGGGGAACGCACACACGCCGCGACGTCTACTCGAAAAGCTTCCGGCAGCCCCTCGCCTCCCCTCCCGTCATGGAAATCCCTTCCGCCACTCCCGCGGCACAACAATTTCACACAAGGGGCAAAAGAAATCCAAGAAAAACGCCCCGGAAGGAAAACCCGCAGAAAGAGCGCGCTACGGGCCACCCGGGTGGGAAGGGCCCGGCACGCACGATCCGGCGGGCCATTGTCGAGCTGCCGCCGCCAGTGCGCCGCGGCTGCTCTGCTAGGGCCCTGGGCAAGGCTGCTGGCCCGGCCTGCCCATCGCCGCAAAGAAGGGAAGGCTGTTAGCCCACGACAAAACGCATGCCGGCGCGCGCTCGCCCGCTGCTTGTCATGGCGGGGGCGGGGGCGCGGCGCCCTTGGCGCTTATTCGTGGCGGCCCTGGCTTTCTTCCGGGGCCTACGCCTCTTGCCCATGCTTTGGCTCCGGCCTTCGGCCTTCCGCTCGGTGGGGCGGAGATACGGCGGCCCCGCCCCCCTTGGTGCGCGCGCGGTTTGGCGCCCTGCGTGAGATCCTCGGCGGCCAGCGGCGCCGCGGCGTCCCAACTTTAACGGGCGCCACCCCTGCGATTGGCCACAGAGCCACCGAGCGTGTCTGTGTGCCCGCACCCACAAAGGGGGCGGCGCCAAGGCCCTCGCCACGGAGGCGGTGCGCCGCATCCCTGGGAAAGCGAAGACGCAGCCTGATGCGGCGCGGCATCGTCGGCGTCTTGGCAAGCTGCCCCCGCCCTCGATTTGTAGAGCGACACGGGCACGAGGTTGTTGTACAAAATGAGGTATGCAGCGCAAATATGTGTGGGCGTGATACGAGATTTGCAGGACAATCAAATCTGTATGGCATGAATCAATGCGATTGGCCAATTATTCTGTCGTGCTGCAGGCCGGTCTGTCTAGCATTTTGCGAATGATCTGCAACAAGCGTTTCGCGAAAAGAGTAACAGCAGCACAAGTTTCCAGACCCAGATACATTTGCAATGGGTATGAGAAACACGACGAAGCCCCCGAAGCCGGACGTTGCGTCGGGATCGGCCGAGCGGTAGTACCGCATCTCGTCGAGGAAGGCGCGGTGAGGGAGGTAAGAGCCCACGATCATATCCTATAGAAAAGTACACCTGCTTCCATACCCGTAGCAGGAGAAAGATGACTACTTTCAAATCTGTTCATATACGGAGACCACAGTGAGTGACCGACTGAATGCGCAATGCCCCTGACGCACCTTGTCAGCCGATCGCTCCGTCAGCTGAGTACTATTTTATTGCGTCGTGCGAGACGCTGTTGGTAATTATGCTAGTTAGCGGCTAGAGAGGTACCGAAAGAGTTCGCCATGCTGAACAACGGTTTTTTGTACCACAAGTACAGTAGTACAAGTTTGTTTTCTTCTGGTATGGGTGTACTTTTCCTCAGGGAGTCTCTAGGATAGATTAACAACGCCATCAAGAGGAAAACAAACCCCAAATACGTGTTGATCTGCTTTTCGATCCGGCTCCGCTTCGGCGTGCGGCGGTTGCTGTTTTGGAACTGCCGCGTCTCGTGGCCCGTGTACAGGACCACGCCAAACGCGAAGTCCGTGTTCCGCAGGGTGCTGCCGCGCAAAAGCAGGTTCTTCATGTCCACCGGAGTCGGGTTCAGCGCGCCCACCATGCGGTAGGTGCCGTAAAACCGCTCCAGGTTGGGCGACGGGGGCTCGCACTGCAGCTGCATGCCCTCCAAGGGAATTAGGTGCGGCAGCGTGCGGCTCTGCTTCGTATCGAGCAGCGCCGCCTTCGTTTTCAGGTTGGACTCCCCGTCGAGCTGCGCGGTCTCGACGTACGCGAGCCCCGCATCCGCGTCGCTGGAAGACAGCAGCAGCACGTCCGCGGGCACCGCCTCGTTGGCCTCCAGGTAGACTACGTGGCCCACCTGAATCTCCTCCCACTTCAACCGCCGCAGCACCGGGAAATTTGTCTCCCAGGTGCTGTCCGCGTGCTCCCGGACCACCCGGCCCACCACCAACGCCGGCTTTCCGTTCACGCGCCGGTCCGATTGGTACCGCCGGTAGTCCTCGATCGCGTCCTTGATCGCCGTCACGAGCACGATCACGCTCAGCGGCACCACCGTAGCGTAGGGTGCGGTCGGCGAGTATGGGGTGAACAGCTGCAACATAGAAATCATCAGAAACCATACGTTTGCCCACCTGTGGTATCAGTTTAATATTTTCCACACTCAGGGAAACGAACTCTGAGGTCGCAGGGCATCTCTCTGTCGTGTCTGTACGGAAGTTGGAAATCAATATGCTTGTTCTCCTGACTGCAGTAAAAGTATCAGCTTTCTTCTGTCGTTCCTAGGCAAGAGGATGAAAGATATGAAGAAACCATGCGAGACATAGATTAATGCAGTTCCTTCATTGTTTTCGGAAGAACTACCTCTGAAACTGTTCCGACAAGTTTTTCGGCACAAAGTTCAAAAGAGTGTAATGCGTTGTCGAGACCGCATTATTTCCACCGTGGTGTATTTGGTGAGAATCGGCATCCGCGGCCCCATATCAAATGTAAAAATGTCTGGGTCTGGAAACTTGTAATGCTGGGTGGCGTCTCATGATGAGGCTACAGATGCTGGCTCAGCATGACAAGTTTCTGAGTTCCTAGGTGTTGCCTATTCTGCATGACAAACTGCGCTTCTGCATCACAGAAAAACGGAGCTCTTGGGTAACGTGCATGACAGATTTAAGAGTCATGCCAGACAAGCATGACAAACATGAATTCTTCCAGACCCAGACATTTTTAAAGTTGATACCCCACAAGGGTCGATGCGGAGCTTGAGCGTCCGATTCGCGGTCCCCTATGCAAGTGGACAACTCCGCTGACCGCTAGTTTGAAATTGAATGCATGCAAAGAAAAGAAATGCTACAGCATATCGCCGCCGGGGGCGAGATTGGAGTGCTTGAATTTTCAAGGAAGAAACCGCACAGCAGTCTCTGCCTCGAGCTTTGCCTGCCAGAAATGGAAAGACATGTAGTCATGAAAGCAAAACTGCAAGGCCAGAGCTGTTCGGTGACCTCACTACTCTACATGATATCGACATGCAAAGACTATCAAAGGGAACAAATTAAGGCCGGAGTGGGACTTGGCGTTTTCATCACAACGGGAAAGGAGTGCCGCAATCTCATACAGCCGTCGTGATATCAGCGGCACTCATCCTGCTGAATTGACTTCCAAACCGCGGCTGCTAAATTGCGTTCGGTTGACAGAGCGATCGTCAATGTTTTTCTTATCCCGCCGATGCCGTTCGGAGGATTGTACTTACGCAGGAGTCCGTGAAAGAACTGACACAAGTATCTCAGTATGCATAATTATCCAACCCGTGCGCACCCGTTGGAGAAGGAGATAATTTCCACAATATTAATCCAATGCTGCACTGACGCCACATAATTGATAGTTGAAGACTCCAACAGGCTTCAACTTTTGCGAAGACAACGAGCACAAACGAGCAGCACCATGCTGCGAGTAGTAAGTGTTGGAGAGTTTTATCCCTTCACAACTTTTTTCTGAAACTGTGACTGCCGAGCAGTAACAACAAGCTGTCGCTCTGATAAGTACCCAGGATGCTTCAGTCTGCCGCATATGATCACATCTTGGTGACACTCTCCCACGGAGATACATCATTATCTTCCGTGCTACAAAGTCTCAACCTTTTCTCTCTGCATCTCTGCAACTTTGTTCCCGAACAACGTGGCGTGCAATTCGCAACCAAGCGCTCCCGCATTCATTGGGATCGAAAGAATGCTCCTCAGAGCGATCATTGGGTAGAGTCGGTAGGCCAGTTCTTTTTTCGGCTTCATAGTCTTGTAATGTCGCGGAACGACTCGAAAAAAAGTACGGAAGATAGAGAGGTATGGATGGAATCGCAAGCCGCGTATCCATTTGGTTACTGGTTGTGCAACAACGCTTGCTGTAAAGACTGGATATGGAAGAGCATTTCGTGCACCTGGGTTTTGAGACGACATGTTTCTTGCATTTCCCGATCGAATTTTTCCCTGAGGAAGGCTTCCTTTTTCTCCAGAAACGCGATGGCCTGCGGTAGGTCCATTTCCACGTGAAACCCAAGTCCGCACTCTACGAAAAGCTTTCGGCAGTCGGGCACTTTGGCCTTCGCGAACACGGTGGAGATCCCGAGGTTCACGAGCATCTCCATCTCGAAGCAATCCTGGCTCCAATCAAGTTTGTGCTGCCGGTTCAGGTCCTCCAGCTGGCTTCGTTGCCTTTGCAGCTCGGATATGCGGTCGGCCAGGCTTCTGGACCGGTCGATTTGCCGCTGCTATCCTGAGTAAAAATAAACGTACCCACGCCAGGGTTGTAATGCAAATCTGCATGCTGAAAATGTTTCTCATGCGGAGACCCATGAGAAGCATTTTCTAGTCGTGTTTTGCAATTTGTCATGCTCCAATCAGCATGGTATGCTAGATCTGTGATGCTGCTTAGCTAGCTCAAACAGCACTACACTACGAATCCAAATTTGTCATGCAAAACAGCCAAAACTTGTGGATTTGTCTAGCCGATTCCCCATCTTGACTCTGGTGTGGGTACGTTTTTAGTCAGGATAGCTGCAGGTCTTGCTTCATCTTCTCCTCCAGGAATTCTTCCGCCTTCAACAGCGATTGCTCCTGCGAGCTTCGTATCAAATGTAAAAATGTCTGGGTCTGGAAGAATGCAACTTGTGATGCTGAATTTGGATTCCAAAAAAATCTGTATTGCATGAGCAGCAAAGGGAATGTAATTTTTGGTACGCGGAGAGGGCATTTGTCATGCGGAATAGGCATCGCGAAGCCCTCAAAAAATCTGTGATGCTAGGGCGTGCATCACAGACATTGCGGCCCATGCAAAACATGCATGACAAGTCTCAGAATCTTCCAGACCCAGATATTTTTACATTTGATACTTCGCTGTTTCCGCCGCAAGGACGCACTTGTCGCGGAAGTTGCCATGGCGCTGCCTTCTAGTCGAAAAATAGAACCTCTACAGCTAGACCTACAATTTCAAAATGAAAGTATGGCCTAGAAAACAAATAAATTCGTAATCCTGATCATGCAATGCTGTTGAAAAGAGTCACAACTGTCACCATTTTTGCTACATGCAGCACATTATACCTCTATTTACGTGAAAGGGCTAGCGGTAAGTTGTAAGTTGTACCTGGAAACATTTACTTCACTCTGTGCAGAATTATGTGTTCGCTTAAGACCAAGCGATCCCGAAACAGGCTCAACAGGGTCAACAAAGATCCATTATCATTTTTTTATCTTTTGAAAAGTGGATGTACCACTTCGGTACGCTGATTGAGTTTCCGTGTAGTTTTTCAAGGAACCTCTTTTTGGTGGTGGATCTTTCTGGTTTTCTGACATTTTGAACAAAGATCAGTCTTGTCAAAGATCATCGGAATAAAGCACGATCTATTCCGTGCCACTGCTGACGCTCAATGCCTAATTTTACAAACCTTAATCCGCTTCGATATTCACTAACTAGCATGCTTGTCTCGGATTTCAAGAACAGAATCAGGGCCGATCTATACCGCGTAGTACTACAACCGTCAACATGCAACGTCCTGATGCGCATTCCCATTCTTCCGTCCCCAAGTACAGACAAATATAATGTGATTGAATTGTCGAACAGATTGCTGGCCTCAGTTTGACAAAAAGAAAGAGCATGGGTCGCACATAAAGTAAATTTTGTATATGAACATGAGACGAAGATGCCCCATGATAGAACGGTTAGATGCAACTGCTTTTGCCAGAATACAAGAAGCGAATCGATTCTTAAGATCTTCAAGTGGCATTTCGTCTGGGGGACCAACATCAATACGTAATAAATTTGATGAGCAGAACTAGTACTTACACCATGAGCAATTAGTTGTTTCTGAGCGGTGTGGGAAAACGTCCGAGAAAGAAAGACTGAAGTCCGAGCTGAGCGCCAGGGCGCGCCCGAGACAAACGCATGCGATAGTACGCGGACAGCGCTCGTCCGCTGCATCCAGTTTGTACGAACTGGAACTTCTATGTGTGCAAAATGAAAATCAGTATAATGTTATGGTTGTAAGTGATGTATGCTAAACTAGTAAAGGGCTATCGGTATCGCATTCGCCACATGTAAAGATGCATGAAAAATCAAGCCGATTTCATGCTCGTCTGAGCCTTGCGAAGACAGGTCGTTGTCGCTCGCCCTTGGCGGCATGCTTTTGAATGGCCCATTTCCGGCTCGGAAGTGACGGCAAGAGGACCGAACAATAAAGATGCGTACTGTAGCAGTATCGCAATCCTTTAGAAGACGGAGCGTGAGTTGAGCTTCAAGAATGTGAATCCCGCTACGCGATAAAAAACCGCGAGGCCCAGCGCGAAAAAGGGCCAGGTCCACACTTGGTAGGCATAAATACCACGGGGACTGATGAAGGAGTCCCGCGCCTCCGCCCAACCCGCCTGCGCAGCGGGGTTCGTTCTGGTAATCTCGGGCTCGAGCTCGCCGAACTCCAACCATTGCCCCACCTTGGCGGTGTACATGACGGGGATCGCATACGCCAGCCAGGAGACCGCTGCCGGCACCTGACTGAGCGGGCGGAAGATTCCCGAGAACACGTTTGGTAGCGTGCTCATGATCAGTGGCGACCACACCTATCCTGAGTAAAAACGTACCCACACCATAGTCAAGTTGGGGAATCGGCTAGACAAATCCACAAGTTTTGGCTGTTTTGCATGACAAATTTGGATTCGTAGTGTAGTGCTGTTTGAGCTAGCTCAGCAGCATCACAGATCTAGCATACCATGCTGATTGAGGCATGACAAATTGCAAAACACGATTGGAAAATGCTTCTCATGGGGCTCCGCATGAGAAACATTTTCAGCATGCAGATTTGCATATACAACTATTGGGTGGGGACGTTTTTAAATGGGATAACACCACGGGAATGTTCGCGTTTGCGGGCGACAGCGTGCTCAAAAAGACCCCCATGGAGGTATCAAAAGGAAAAATCCCCCCTCCCCATATCAAAACGAAATTTCTGATGCTGGATTTGCGTACACAAATCAGCTTTGTATTGCAGGAAGGCATTGAGGCCAGATATCCAGGCTATGTAGGGGCGTATCGGTCTAGTTGTTCAGCATGGCAAACGGCTGCCCTTTAGGCCCAACAGCATGACAAACCGCTTCCATAAAAGGGGCGAAGCTTTTGCACTTGTCTTCTTGCAAGACAAATGCGATTTGTGGCCTCAAATCAGCAACACAAATTTTCGGAAACATGCCTTTTCGATATGGGGAGGGGGAGTTTTTCCTTTCAATAGGAGGAGCCGGCGAGCGCCGTGATGGCGGACAGAAACACGTAGATCCCGAGATTTCCGTTTAAGCCAAAGAGGAAGTATGGCCCCAGCAGCACGATCAGCACGGTCAGGGCTAGCAGCGGTAGGTCTGCCACGATCTGGGCTGTCATGTACGCGGACGCGCCGTAGTAGCGGGCGATGTACTCCCGCAGAAAGATGGGGCGCTCCTTCGGCAGGTCGGTGAGCTGCGCAATCCCGGTGGCGATGAAAACGACGAACAGGATGTTGCACAGCGCGTTGTTCACCTCACCGAGCTTCTGCGTAAAGGCAGAGGCGGTCTGTAGTGGGTTGCCGTCAGGGTCCTGGCCTTGTTCCAGCTGCCGTCCGCAGTTGATGAACGCGAGGCCCTGGGCCATGATCTGTGCCAAGGGGACCAGCAGTCGGTTCACGATGCCCCAGGGGTTCCGCCATTTTACCCGGCAGTTACGCGAAGTCAAGGCGGCCACCTGGGCGCACCACGGCGGCACTTCCACCATGCGAAAGGCGTCCGCTGCTGCTTGCTGTTGCGCCTGCTTGTGAGGGAAGCGCGTGTGAATCACTTTTAAGCAGTTCGGGGTCACGCCAGCGGTTTTGTTGCACTTGATCTGGCTGAGCGCGAGGGTTCCGTGGTTCAACACGGGAACAGGCTCGAAGGTGGGGTCTTGGGCGCTGGAGTAGAGACTCGACTGCTCGTCCTCTCGAAACTTTCCGGGCCCCAACGTGGGTCCCCCGAAACGTATCCCCGTGACGCGCGTAGTACTGGCAACCACATCCAAGTTTGCTTCCAAGTCGACCACTTCTTGACCGACACCCTCCTGGCCATCTTCCCCAAAGGCTTGGATCAGCGGACGACGGACGTCCGTGTAGCCAGGATTCAGCATCTCGTAGATACGGGCTGTCTGCTCGCGGTTCTCCCGGAGCTCCTCGTCAGACAGATGCCCACTTGCGAGGATCATGAGCCAGTCGCTCAAATTGTAACCCGCCGGACAGGGCTTCTGTGCTATGTTATCCAGGAACTCGGTCAACACGTGCAATTTTTCCACCCCTACACGTGCATTCGCGACACTGGTGGCAACTCCGCCCTCTGAGCTGGTGATCTGTTATCCTGAGTAAAAACGTACCCACCCCATAGTCAAGATGGGGAATCGGCTAGACAAATCCACAAGCTTTGGCTGTTTCGCATGACAAATTTGGACGCGTAGTGTAGTGCTGTTTGAGCTACTTCAGCAGCATTACAGATCTAGTCTCTCATGCTGATTGGAGCATGACAAATTGCAAAACACGACTAGAAAATACTTCTCATAGGGCTCCGCATGAGAAACATTTTCAGCATGCAGATTTGCATTACAACTCTGGCGTGGGTACGTTTTTACTCAGGATATCTGTTGCTTTTCGTCTATCTTTTTCAGTTGCTCCTCCGCGCGCGCGCCGATCATGCCTTGGAACAGGATCTCTCCGTACCGCATGGTGATCACGCGGTCGAACTTGGCGAACAGCTCGGAGCTGGGTTGGTGAATGGTGGCCGCAATGATGGAATTCTGGTCGTAGGCAATCTTCTTTAGCATGGTGATCAGGCGCAGACTCGAGTAGGAATCCAGGCCGCTGGTGGGCTCGTCCAGAAACACGACGGTGGGGCGCGTCAGAAGCTCGATTCCCACCGCGACGCGCTTGCGCTGACCGCCCGAAATGCCCTTGATCAGCGCGTTGCCGATCTTCGCATCACGAACGTGGTCCAAATCCAGCGCAACCAGCATCTCCTCGATGTTCTTCTTTCGCTCCTCCTCCGTGGCGTTCGGCAGCTTCAGCTTTGCAGCAAACTGGAACGTTTCCAGCACCGTCTCGCTGCCCACCAGCTCCTCGTACTGCATCACAAACGAGATTGACTGCTTCAGTTGCTCATAGCCCACCAGCTTCCCCCCGTATCGAATCTCGCCCGACAGCTGGACGCCCCCTCCGGTCCACCGCTGCCGCGCAGCTAGGAGGTTCATCAAAGTGGACTTCCCCGCACCAGAGGGGCCGATCAGCGCAGTAACTTCACCGGGGTGCAGTTTTCCGTAGCAATTGTTCAAAATCATCCCGGCCTTTTCCACTTGGAACCCGAGGTTGCGCCACTCCAGGCACAAAATATCTGAATGCTGCTGGAAATCCCTGTCCACGCGCTCCGCCTCCGCGATGGCATCTTGCAAGGTCGGACAGTATTGGAGCTGCGGTGTGGGCTGTCGAACTAGGCTCGCGGCGGTGGTGATCGGAGGACCGTCGATGGCAGGCATGTTTTCCAACTCCTTGACGTCTTCTTCCTCAAAAATTTCCGCTTGGATCTCGGGAATCAGATCCACTCGGCTGAACAATTCTTCCAGACCTCTTCTGCTACTGCCTCCGTCGATCGACGCGTGCGAGCGCTGGAGCGCCGCGTTGCCCGTGCCGGTCTTCAGTGTGCTGCCTCGCGTCACTGACGTGTTCGCCCGTCTCAGCAGGCTTGTCTCGTTATTCTGTAGCAGAAAAACGCTTTGATCTGCATCCATTGCGGATTGAATATCGGATGAATGCTTGCTGTGCTTTTTGTAATCTCCCGACGATAAGAGGGAGCGCGTCTCATCCTGCTCCACATGTCCGCTGCCCTGCCGCCGCTTCCCTTCTCCCCGCCGGCTACTGAACGCCATGGGTAGATAACGTTAAGGAAATACTTCGCCTCAACTTTGCCGAGAGAAAGAAGATTTAGATTTACCTATCTGAGTATCTTCTAGAGAACAAGTTTGCGGATATCAGTAGAAATTCTATGTAGGTTCATACTAGGTATCTAGTATAAGCTAACTTTAAATAAGTACTTACTTAAGCACAAGAGACTCCTCGAAGATGAAAAGAGGGATCATGAGCGCGCAGAATAAACTGGTTTAGTCAGTTGAATCACGATCACGAACTGGTCTAGCAAATACAACATGGTCACCTAGAAACATCAAACCGATGCTCATGCTCTCCGTGAAGATGCTCTAGCTTTCAACGATAGAATCCGGATTTTGAAGATCCAAATTGCTTTTATTTGCGGTCTCAATGTCAACCCTTTGATTGCGGTAGATCAAGAAAAAAATGGTACCATACAAATATTCGGTCAGATTTTCTTTTCTTCACGGCCATTGAATTTTATCCCAGTCTTTGTCATCCGAGCTGCGGTGCGACAGGACAGTTGATATAACCGATATGGGCAGCTTGACACCGAGACACCACTCCTGGATCCTTTCTTCGCACAACAACATCACCTTCCGTTTCTGCATATCATTACCGATTATTTTTTTGCCATGATTGGTACCACAACAGGGCTGCGTACTCCGAGTCAGAAGCGATTTATACTGCCACATCCACATGTTACTGATGTTACAGCTTTCTTATAATTTTCCTTCGTGCAAGCAGTGTGAAGACGTACCGATTCTCATGGGTCATGGTATGCTGATCTGTGCATGCAACTTCCTCAATGAGTTGGAGTGTATGTACCAACTAGGTTCAACCTAGTTTTCAATTTTCAATGCGACCTCGATCCTTTTAAGTAATTTCTACGAAACAAACAGTCAAAGTCATTGGTTGCTCTTAGTTATACTGTTGGAGCGAAACAGCCACAGCCACAGCGATGATCCAAATTCTACACTCGGACAGCACTCCGCAAGGGGTACTACATACTCTGTTCTGAACTTTTGGCGCTTTCTGGTCGTGACACAATCCACGTTCCGCCACGAAATCTTTCAAACTTCACGTTCCTGTACTCCGGACTACTTCGCAAGTGGGACAGCAATCGATACATATCTTCCCGCACCGCGATGTCGCGCTCCGCCAAAAGGGTAAATTTCTCCGTCTGTGCGGACGTGGACGTTGCAGAGACGGTGAAAGATAGAGGGGCGGCACGGTTCTTTTGTTCTGTTCTTCCGATCTCGCTCTCGTGAGGAGGAAAATCGCCGGCTTCCAGTTTGCGAGAAGACGCTGATGAGACAAAGGACTTTGCGGCGGTTGTTGATGCTGGTGAACCACAAAACAACAGCTGAGCTACAAGGGAGGTCATGCAAGCGTTCGGTGACGGTGCAGCTCTGTTCAACGTCCCTGTAGTTCCCCAATTATCTACAAAAGCGTTTAGCTTTTCACATCTATCGTGCGGAATTTCGTCGCCTTGCTGCTGCTCGTCTCGGGCCAGAGCTGCAGTTTCCTCCTGTGCCAGAGCGCCACCACCTATGGCTTCTTGTAGGAGGGCGCGCATGTACGGGAACATTTGCTCCCCCAGTTTGTCGTAGCCGAAGCGTGCTGGCACCGCCGGGGTCGTGCCAATATCTGCTGCTGAGAGACTGCGGGACTTCATCTTGTAAATGAAGGCGAGGGCCTGGTAGTACGCCACCGGAAAAGGGGCACTGCCTTGGGGTAGACCGATAAAAGCGAAACTGTGACGAAGGAACATGGCATGTGAAAGGTTTTCCGTCGGTACACTGCGGGTACTCTTGCCGGGAGAGAACTTCGGCAAAAGGGAGGGGTGCAAAAAACTCGAATAGAGTTCGTAGGAATATCCAGTCGCGAGCAAAAGCACCACCGGCGAGGACGGAGCGTTACTTACTTCCGGTTGTCTTCTTTTTCCACCAAAAGGCATTCTTGCTGCACCGGCACCAATGCTGATCGCTATTGGTCCCCACTGTTCTTGTCCGTCAATGCCCCCGAATAGCGACAGCGACACTTCATATGTTCTGGCATCGAGATGGTCGTTGGGACTTCCATTTTTTGGATCGGCGCACATCGTCGCGTTCGCCTGCGCTCCCTCCTCGGCGGTGATTTGGACGCGCGCGAATCGCTGGACAGGGCACAAACCTCGGTCTTGCTCTGCCCGCTTATCTGTAGTAGTCGTAATGTTCTTGACGCCATGCGACTGTGCTTGGTTTTTATTGGACTTCTTTGTGAATAGATTTCGGGTTCTACTTCGCAGTGTAGTTCGATCTCCGGCTACAGTTTCATGTTCAATCCGACACCGCTTCGCTTCTGGTTCCATATGAGAGTCTTTATCAATATTGGCAGTCGGTTGCACCACACTTTTCCCTTCGTGTTTCGCGTACCCGTCTAGAAAAGTGGCCCCGGGAAGCACCCGTGTGTGTGTATTGTTGCCTGACCCCGGCGCAGCGGAAGTGCCAAGAGAAGATGCCTCGCCGATTACAAATTTCGAGTTTACCCAGAGAATTTTCCGTGCATAGGGGCGCGCGAGCTCGACGACGTCGCGACCCGACGGGCCGGCACCAACCACGACTAGAGTCGCTCCTGCGAAAGCTGCCGCTTCGTCGTATTCGTGGCTGTGCAGCACTCGAAAATTATTCAGGGAACAAGTCGGTGCGACGTCCCGCTCATTTACGTGCAGGCTTTTCAGAGAAAATGATTTGTAGATCTCTCGAAATTCCGGAGGTACATATGGAATTGCGAAGTGACCATTGCAGACCAGAACTTCATCAAACACGGCGTCTTTCTGTCCCTTCTCATCATGATCTTCCGTATGGTCATTTTTCTGCTTCCTCGATCGGTCGCCGTCGACTCCTTCATCTGCTGCTCCTCCATCCGTTTGCGAGTAGCAGACGCGGTACAACCCGCTCTGCGACTCCGCTTCTCTTCTGTGTGGACTCTCCGAGCAGAACGCTTCCTCGCATTGCGTAGTACCTGATGTGTCATCAGGCCCAAACTCTGACCTCCGCAGCTTATGAGCTAGTACGGGTTCCACCCAATTTACTTTTGTGCTATAGTGCAGGCGAAAGTCACTCCCAGCTGCACCCGCACGCCCGACACAGGAGGTGTGCGTTGCGGCGCGTAGCTGTTCCTCGACGTGCGCCGCGAACCGTTGCAGGTAGTTCAAGACCACGGAATGGTGAGGGAAAGAAGTCGCGATGGCCGCCTCACTTGTTCTTGTTAAGGAATCTTCTGTATCGTTTTGGTCAACCGCTCGAACATCAAAAGGAAATCCTGGAATATCCATCACAGTCATGGGGAGGTTCGTTCGGAGGTCTCGATAGATAGGCGTCTGATTCCGCGATTTCTCATACACCCACAACCCACCTGATTTCCCTTGCTTCTCGAACGCATGGATCTTCCAGTACTTACCACTCCACAGCGCAGACCGGAGCGCGATCAATCCGCTGGCACCCAGACCAATGATGGCAAGCGACTTCTTCGCTCCCTCCTGAGGACCGACTAACGCTGTCGCACTCGCACGGAAAGCATTTCCTGCTTCTGCATGGGATGGCGGCATAGATCTCTGCCGAAACTGAGACCGCATTTGAAACTCCAAGAGCAGGTGAAAGAAAGCTGCCACAAATAAAATAATAACGATCTACATCACATGCGGAAGTGGAGTCTATAAGTATAAACTTTATCCTCAAGAATTTTGCGCTGAGTGCGACTGACAACTTCGATACTCGTGAACGTGACCTTCATTCAAATAATATCAGTAGTTCGTCATGGGGACGCTGACCATGTTGTCCGTGGTTCTTTTTTTGAATGGGAAAACACAAGCAGGTCAGATGCGATCTTGATTCGCGGCATCTATTTTGATGTCGTATCTACGCTCCATTTCTTCGTGGACCGAACAATGCAACTTCGAGGAAGAACATCAACTTCTGTTTCGGAAAATTTCCACCTAAAAAAACTCGATCGATAAACACATTTTGATTGCATGTTGCCACCCATCATGGACGGACGCCTTGATGAGATTCCGGTGTGCATTTCGACAAGACACAAATAGCAATAGGGGTTTTCCTGCAAAACATATTTATAAGTAAAACAAAAACCCTGGTGAATCGGTACATTCATCAGAAAACAAAAGATGGTCACGCTAGACCGTTCTGTGAAGTGACAATGAGAAAGTAATGATCATTATTTGTTGAGGTAATCAAGACATTCGAGGCACAACATGAAGCCAAAAAGTACTTCTATATTTTGTTTATTGCAATGCTATTTCTGTGGCATATCGATATCGTTGCCCATCTCACCGTGCAACGACCACGGTGATCACCTTTTGTGAACAGCTCCGATAGACATGACGGACCCTGAAAATTGCAAATTCATATCTACTTTGTTCCTGCCGATGCGCTCGTTTCTGCACCTCCTTCACTATGCTTCAAATCTGTGCATATTGTTTTTCTATTTTACGCTCGGCAGCAGGTTCTGGTTCACGTGTTTCCGCAACGCTTTCCCTTCTCACCTGTCGTGCTTGCGCGAGAAAAGCTGCAGCAGCGCCACGCTCGCGGTCTAGCGAACTCGTATCGCCGTTTGCTGCCGCACGACCTTCCGTCACATCCGTAACAATCCATTCATTTTCTGTTTCCCGAGAGGAGACCTCCGAAGTGACGCTGTGCTCAGGCGTGTTTCCTTCTTGGTGAGGGCTGTTCGAGCCGTCGGCTATGGCTGGATCCTCGCCTTCTCCTACTCCACCGTTTAAGATTGTGCTGCTAGACCCGGAATTACACTGTGAAGCAGGTCCACAACTTGGTCTGCTCGACTGTTGCTCGCAGCTAGCAAGCACCCCAGAGGCGGCGGCCAAATCCTGCCCCGCGGAGGAAGGAATTCCTGGCTTTATTGTCTCATCAGCCAATCTGCTCGACAACGACTTTTGCCCGGCTTCCGCACAGCGTTTTTGATATTCGAACGCAACGTTTCGCAATTCGAGCATTGAGTGGGCCGAGGACTGAACTAGCTGCTCAGCCTTTTGCAACCTGGCGAGCAATTGTGCGTTTGCGTCCACGAGAACTGCATTTTGCTGACGCAGTTGCTCCGCATTCGCCTGGTGAGCTTGACTTTGGCAAGCAAAGTACTGCACAGCATGCCGTAAGCGCAGTATATCTTGTTGCTGTTGCAGCGCAGCTTCGCCCAGCGCACGAACCGGGTTGTCCTGCTGGAGCGAGCCAGCGCGAAAAGGCAGTTGGTCTATCAGTTGTGCCACGGTTGGCTCATACACATGCAGCTCAGGTGTCGCCGTGGCTGCATTGGAAGATGGGGGTGACGCGTGGTATGTCCGCCCTTGGTCAACATTTTCAGTTGCATGTTGAGCATGAGCAAGTGAAGCTGATGATAAGCTGCCTTCTGGTCGTTGTTCAGAAGTTCTTGTATCTTCACTTCTGTTCTGAAAGGCACCACCAGCACCACATGCTTGATCCACCGCTGGGAGACCCTGCTGTTGAGTCGGCGCAGGAGTTGTACTGCCACTACTCCCTTGCTGCCGGTTTCGTCTCGCTGCCTCGTAGCATCCCTGCAGCTGCGGGCAGGTGCGGACCTTCTCAATAATGTGAAAAGGCAATTTCAGCAGCGCACGTTGAATCTCAGGGGTGCTTGAAGTGCTAGAGCACAACAGGCTGTACACGTGTTGCAAGCTCTGCGTCAAGGTTCCCTCGTAGAACACCCGGGGTGTCACACCGGTCTGTGGGTTCGGCAAATCCAAATCGGCGCCAACATGCGCGAGCAGGCCAAGCACGTGGTGGTGCCCATTTTCTACTGCCTCCATGAGGGCAGTTCTTCCCGTCCTCGGGTGCGGAAAATCCGGTGTGGCTCCAGCCCGGTTCAACAGGGACCGCACGATATAGGGTAATCCCGAAGCAGCTGCGCTGTGCAAAAGGGTGCCGAACACCCTCTCCCTGTCCTTCGCGTCAGCAGCCGGCAGCACCGGATGGTCGCCACTGGCTGTCGAATTCTTGCGGACGAAATCACTCTCGAACAATTGACACTGCTTCTCCTGGGCGGCTAGCACCAGGTCGCGGCTTCCGAACGACATGACTTCTAGACTGCACGCGCGGGGGAACTGTCCGAACTTCTGTACCGTGACACTGCTGAGGGGGCCTGCAAAGGAGAACCTCGCAACCAAGGGAAAATATCAAATGTAAAAATGTCTGGGTCTGGGAGAATTCATGTTTGTCATGCTTGTCTGGCATGACTCTTAAATCTGTCATGCACGTTACCCAAGAGCTGCGTATTTCTGTGATGCAGAAGCGCAGTTTGTCATGCAGAATAGGCAACACCTAGGAGCTCAGAAACTTGTCATGCTGAGCCAGCATTTGTAGCCTCATCATGAGACGCTACCCAGCATCACAAGTTCCCAGACCCAGACATTTTTACATTTGATAGAAAATGGTCCGACACGACGGGTGCGGACACGTCTAAATCACGACTCTGAAAGCCAACACTTGATGAATTCGGGCTGTCAGACTGCGACCAACTACTCGTGGCGGCGGCGCTAGCAATGTTGCGCAACTCTCCTGCCGCGCCAGTAGACAAAGGTGGTTCATCTGGCGGGCTGCTGTCAAAGCCGGAGGTGCATCTGCATGCAGCGCGGTCGTACGCGGTGACAACGTCTGCGGATTCGGCCCGTAATAAGTCGCTGGTGACGAAGAGGTAGTCAAGCGTCTTGCGCTCGAAAACAGAAGGACTGAACAAGGTCGCGTCCAATTGAAATTGTTCCTGGCTCTGCGTAAATGCCGGCTCCGCGCCCTGACGCAGGAGGTCGAAAGCGCTTCGGAGCGGCAAGAACCGCTGCTGCGACTCGGCCTGGGTCTGGGGGCGGCGGATCCGCTTCAGCAAGTCTTCCTCCCACCGCTGCAGCCCCGTCATTAAACGCGTGCTATGGCGGAAAGCGTCGCGGACAAGAAGATCGGTCGGTACATATCCCGACTTCATGAACTGATACAACAAAGAACTCGGCTCCGCGTTGAAATCGCCACCGAGTATCATCGGCAGTCTGTATTCGTACGCAGGCCCGCGGTATTCCTTCTCTAAAACCTCCCGAAGCGCGCAGGCCTGCCACAGGCGGACGAGGTCGTGATTCGCTTCGCTGCCGTAAATCAAGTGCGTGTTCACTATCACGACGGTCTTTTGGTGGTCTTGGTGTAGTTGTACCGCTAGACTTCGTTCGTCTGCAGAAACGTCGGTGCTTGTTGTTGTTTTCCTGCGGCCCTCGGCAGAGTGGTCAACATCAGATGGATGCTTACGGTCTTCCTTCAGTCGCAGGACCAGCACTAGGGCGACGTTGTAGCTATCCATTGGTGTGGGATCCCCCGAAGTGTGGTGTGCGGACAGACCGGCTGCGCCGCTGCTGCCCAGGAAGCTGTTCCTCTGCGAGGCAGCCGACCCGGAAGAGCCCGCTTCGCTCTCGCTGCCGCCGCTGCTCTCGGTACGGCTTCTCCGGGGTACAAATTCTGGTGCGCTCGCACGAAGAGTTTATTGAGAGGAAAAATCCCCCCTCCCCATATCGAAAAGGTATGTCTCCGAAAGTTTGCGTTGCTGATTTGAGGTCACAAATCGCATCTGTCTTGCAAGAAGACAAGGGCAGAAGCTTCCGCCCCATTATGGAAGCGATTTGTCATGCTGTTGGGCCTAAAGGGAGGCCGCTTGCCATGCTGAGCAACTAGACCCATACGCCCCCAGCTAGCCTGCGGATCTGGCCGCCATGCCTTTCTGCAACACAAATCTGATTTGTGTACCCAAATCCAGCATCAGAAATTTAGTTTTGATATGGGGAGGGGGGATTTTTCCTTTTCATAGAGTTGTCCTCGTGGTCGCTCTCTCTCTTTCGTCCGGTTGCGTGGTTACCGCGCCAGGTGGAGGCTTTATCACCGGAGACGCTCGTAGCTCAGAGCGTGCGGACGACGAGTCCGCCCGACCGCCTGACGTCGACGAAGAGAGGTCATCGCCTGAATGGCTCACAGCCGAGACGATCTCAAATGATCCCTCCTCCAGCGATGATCCCTCGCTGCAACTGCTGGGATTCTCACGTTCTGATGCCCGGTAGTCTCCTGCTTGTCCGGAAATTGCAGGTCTTGTTGCTACACCTCCGTCGGTATCTTTGCCTGCAGCGCTATCACTACTGCCTCCTTGTTCCAGGGAGAGCGCACTCAACCTTTGCGTTATCTCCAGGGCAGCTTTACTATTTTTCTTCGCGGATGTTGAATCACTCCTGCCACGTTTATTCTTTCGCGACGCGGAGGGGTCACGCGTAGCCGGGCGAGGCGCTGCTGCAGCTGGGGCGACGCCATCTGTGCGTGCTTGTGCTGCTCCTTGCGGGTTTGTTTCGTGCATGATCGCGTCACGCCTTGCAGTTACTTCCGCCGACTGCAGCGCGAGATCGCGAATGGCAGTCCGCGTGTGACTGTGGGGAAGGTATTTTTCCGTGTACAAGGCATGAAAGTCGATTGCTTTCCCGGAGTCTGCGAAAAACTTCGAAGTTCGCCAGAGCGTGGCGCACCCATCCGCCTTCCGGCTCCCGTTTTTCGAAAACTTGGCCAAGTCGTAGTGCTTCACCACAAATTGCCCGTCGTAACCACGAGCCTCCAGCTTTGGCTGGAAAAAGTCAGTCCACAGCTGCTCGTCGACCTTGTAACATAATCATATTGTGTATGATGACAATCCACTGACTCGCACAGAAAATGTCATTCGAAAATGGTTTTCGGTAGACCACACTCACACACGAAATGAGAGGGTCAAGTTGAAGATGCGTGTGGGTCGACACAGCTGGGCTGAAAAAGTAACAGTCAATAACAGTAACCTCTTTCGTCTTACGTAAAACTACCAGCTGTTGTAAGTACCTCCTGCAACAAGATGACGTCCGGATTCTGTTGTTGGATCTGTGCAAGGATATTCTGACCGCGGGATGCCCAGTCAGGACAAGCCACTTTCATTCGCGGCCGTAGTTGGCGTTGCAAACACGTATCCGATAGAATATTCCAGCTCAGAACGGTGAAAGAGGGGGGCTCGCTTTCAGAGGTTTCACTTTCACCACTGATCGCTTCGGACTCGATTTTTACGGGCCTCTCGCCATTCTGCACAGCAGCAGCGCCACTAACCGAGGATGCTCCACCTCGTTGCGCGATACCAACAAGACTGGATCGCAGCTGCACCGCGGAGCATGAACTTGTTGTTCTATCGCCCATCGTGAGAAAATATCAACTGTAAAAATGTCTGGGTCTGGAAGAATGCGCGATTTGTCATGCTGCTTTTCCATGACCCATGAGATCTGGAATGCAGGACCTAGCATGACAGATTCTGCGAGACCTTTCGAATGCCTATCCTGCATGAGAAACTACCTCCCGACTTGGTCAAAACTGGACGACTTTTGGTAATCATGCAACACAGATTTTTGCATGCTGCAGATTTAGCATGACAAGTTGCATTCTTCCAGACCCAGACATTTTCACATTTGATAGAAAAAGAAGAATCCAGGTGATGCAGACGGCCATTCGTGAATCAACCACGACTATTACAATGAAAAATGCCCCCTCCCCATATCAAAACGGAAATCTGTGATGCAGATTTGTGGTCACAAATCAGGTCTGTGACGCTAGAAGGCAAAAGATGCGAACTGTAGTGCTGTCTAGCGTGAGAAAGCCTTGCAGCTCCAGGATGACAGTAGGCAACTGGAAGGTGGAAACAGCATGACAGATTGCCTGCAATTTAGGCCGCAGCTTCGTCTCTTGGCCTTCTAGCAATACAAGTTGATTTGTGTACTCAAATACAGCATCACAAATTCGCGCATCTTCCGTTTCCGATATGGGGTGGGGGCTTTTTTCACTTTGATAACGACGGAGCTCCAGAGGCTCTCGCGCAAAGCCGAGGAGGAAAACCACATTCTACTCCGTTGTCGTCCGCAATAGTACTGGCACTAGATATAATATACACAATCTATCAGATATTCCAAATGCGCTGCAACAAGTATGTAGTAAGGAAAGAACTGGGAAAGTATTTCGCCATCATCCTGGTGCAAAAAAGCACATTGATAACCACACGCACTTGAAGCAGAAAATTGAGACATATCTTTTTTTCGGTGCGGGCGGACACTAAAAAACTGAGATCTGTTCACAAGGCATCACAGACACAAGGAAGAGCAGTCTGTTCGTAGGACGAGATCCGCGAAGAAAAATTAAAATATATCATAAGCCTTACTAGCCTTGGAAAAATAAGAAATGATCGTTGTGTTCGGCTTCGAAGCTACTTTGATCCATTCTGCATTTCGATTTTCGCCGTTTATCATTTTCTTTTTCGATGTCTGTTCTACATGTAAAAGATGCGATGGGGCGGCCGTTGCAATGCTCTAGTCGTGATGGAAAACCAGCAGGCGCGAGTCAGTTCGCCGTTGTTAATGCTTATGTGTAAAAATCTACGGATGTGCTTTACATTGGGTTCACTCATCACATTTTGATGTGAAAGTTGTGCTCCATCACCAGTGCTGCACCGGGCAGTGAATCGAGCTGCGGAGGACCTATATCCATGCATATGATGACAGTACAGCTCTAAAATTCTCTTGCGCTGCTTCGCAGGATTGAAAAACTTGTGGCTTGCGTTTTTGGTTCTCCCTACAGATTCGAGTTCTTTGGTGCTCAGCTTTTGTTTATCCACCTACCGCTACTGATACACGACCGGGGGTGGCGGAGACGCATCCTGGGGCTGCTGGATAGTTGTGAGAAACAGTGGTGGTGGGCTAGTCGGTGGTGGAGGCGGCCCGCGCCAATGCTGGATTCGAGATAAAAATCTCCACTGGTTCGGTTCAGGTCTGTTCTGTTGCGTCGCACCTGCACCTGCCGCTCCGTCACCTGTTCCGTGAGCAGGTGCAGGAGGAACCACTTGTGCTGCCTGCATAGTAACCATGTGGTGCTGCTGGTGCAGCAGCTCAGCATGCGGTGTGGAACCTGTTGTTGGGTAGACCGCCGCTCCTGGCCAGAAATGCGGCGCGTGTGGCTGTGCAGCGAAAGATCTCCCCTGTAGTTGAGGATAGGGAACAGGAGGGGTCACCATGACCCGCTGCTGTTCCACGTCCTCCGCAGCGGCATGGACGCAGCACTGATGCTGCTGCGCGGGCCACAAAAACTCCACCTGTTGCAGTTGCTGCGGATCAACGGGAACGGGGGCGTGTACATTATGAATTATCGGGTGGTTGCAGGGGCCGGGGTTAGGCACGAGCGGTTGTTGTTGCCGTGGGTCATGATATTCGTCGACCATGCGCTGCTGATCGACCGGCTGAAACCGCTTCAATCTCTTTGCGGGGGCTGATGTTGCGCTAACCACGGATGAATGGCCTTTTCCTTCTCCAGCACCAATTGCGGTCCCGTGCATCGTTGAGAAAGCGGGCTCCAAGTGCACCACCTCCAGGGGACCCCCCGCGGAGGGCCCAGCAGCCCCGCCAACCGGCCCAACCACCGGCGAGCAGCCCGGGCTCGTCCCGGACAGCGCTGAGGAACCACACCGCGGGCCAACAAGTTCCGAAGAAGATCCGCTGGACGGCATGTTCGCCGAGAAGCTCCCGGCACTCGCTGCGCCACCGCACGCGGAGCCGGCCGAGGTGCTAGTTCTCGACCCCGCGCGGCAATGGTGGTAGCGGCTTGGAGGAGAAGTATGTTGAGAGCAGTCAAACGCGACCTCCAGTTCCTGAATCGTGCTCCTACCGCAGCTGTTGGAGGTCGCTTGTTCTTCCAATGCTTGCTCTGGCCCCTCTCTACTACTAAATTTGGGAGCTGGCGTATTGAGAGGAAAAATCCCCCCTCCCCATATCGAAAAGGTATGTTTCCGAAAATTTGCGTTGCTGATTTGAGGTCACAAATCACATTTGTCTTGCAAGAAGACAAGGGCAGAAGCTTCCGCCCCATTATGGAAGCGATTTGTCATGCTGTTGGGCCTAAAGGTCAGCCGTTTGCCGTGCTGAGCAACTAGGCCCATACGCCCCTACCTAGCCTGGGGATCTGGCCGCAATGCCTCTCTGCAATACAAAGCTGATTTGTGTACGCAAATCCAGCATCAGAAATTCCGTTTTGATATGGGGAGGGGGGATTTTTCCTTTCGATATGGCGGCGCGGCTCCGTCTACAACCACACAAGAACCGCTGACGCCAGCACCGAGGCAATCTTCAAGAGAAATCGTGCGCTTCGCAAGAGCGGTAGGTCTCCTGCGGTTTGTGACCATGGCGCCCTGTGCCGAATCGGGGTGCTGTTCCTCGAAAGATCTTCCATGACCCGCCGCTGAGGTCGAGGGAAGTCGAACCAATGACTCGCCAACCAGAGCATGTGATAAACCAGCTTCATGTGCTTCAGGCGGTCCTACCTCGTCGTTGCCAGCATCACGATCTTCAACCGGTGCTGGAGTCGCCAACCTTTCATTCAGCAAGTTCATGCGAGGCAGGTGCAGGGAGGGTGTCATATCCCGGACTCGCACCCGCCCACTGTTCAGCAAAATGCCTGTGGCTTTCGGCGACAGACGCCCCTCGCCCGGGCTTTCCTCGGACAAGGGCATGCGCGCGGACTTCCGAGGAACAGCTTCCTGCGGCACAAGGGGGCCGCGGAGGTAGATCGGGGCAGCGAGGAGGCGCTGGTCGTCTAACCACTGGACCGGGCAGGAGACGTGATACACGACGCCACGCTGGTACATGCTGTTGTACACCGGATCGGTGCTTAACTGGGCGAGGTAATTTTGGAACGCAGTCTGCGCTTGCTGTATCTGTTCCGACCGCTGCAGCTGGACGTTTTGCTGGACGATAGAAGAAGTGTAAAGATCCTCGTTGTGGCCGGCCGCGTGTAACAGGAGTTGCGCCTGCTCATCGTGGTCATGATCCTCAGAATCGTCCTCGTGTGGCGCTGCTGGTGCTCCAGCAGGATCATCCCGTCCTTGCCGTTGTTCCGCAAGTGGTCCTTCTCTATCAAATGTAAAAGTGTCTCGGTCTGGAAGATTAGAGCTTGTCATGCTAAATCTGAATGATGCAAAAATCTGTGTTGCGTGAGTACCAAAAGCTGTCCGCTTTTGACCAAGTTGAGAGGGAGTCTCTCATGCAGGAAAGGCATGATAGAGGCCTCAAAGAATCTGTCATGCTGGGTCTCGCATTCCAGACCTCATGGGCCATGGAAAACCTGCATCACAAATCTTGCACTCTTCCAGACCCAGACATTTTTACGATCCATATTCTCCGTGAAGGTGCAAGTCTCCGAGGCGTGCTTCCAACTCGGCACAATCGTACACGGCTGCATTGGATGGGAAAAAATCGCTCCTCCCGTAGCTGTTGTCGGATGTTCTCGCCTCGCCGTCAGGAAAGTGGCCTTTCGCAACAACATCACTTTCCTCGTCGATATGACTGCGAGGCAGGCCAGCTCGCATCCCGTGGTCGTGCTCGCGACTTCCATCGCGACCACAAAATACTGCGAGCTGTTTCCGCGATTGCCGCTCATCGGTCACCGGGTAAACGCGGCGGCTTCTGTCCTCTTCAGCTCTGGATGGTTTTTTTCCTGCTATCCCCTCGTCTTCAGATGAGTCCGATGCCCTGCTGCATTCGCGAGAAAACTCATCCCTCAGTCCAAGCAGAAAGCGCCGCGCACGGCGGAAACGCCGTGGGCTTCCCCCAAGCTCATTTGCAACCTCGGAGTCCGATTTGCACCCTCGCTTCTTTCTTCGACAGTGTGCGTGAATTTCGGACACAAAGCGATCCCAGTCGACACATATGCTTTCGTAGTCTTTTTCCGCAGGCGACAAGTCCTGCCTTCTTGCGTTCGCGGCAGCGCGGGGGTCCTCCGCTCCTCCATCAACGGAGACGGTGTCTGCTTTTTTTACGGGATGGAGCGCAAGTGCCGAACTAGTTCCGTCCTCTGATTTTCGACAGCGTGCAGATGCGGCCGCCGTTGCCGTAGCGGTTGTCGGCTGCCCACTAGCGCCTCTTTTACAAAGCGGAGCGGGAGGACAGACCGAAAACCGCAGGCAATCTCGTCGGTATTCGTCGTATTCGGGAAGATCGGACGGACGCCAGCCACGCAGGAACGGCCTGTTTTCGTTTTCTTGCGAAGACGTCCACAAAACTAAGTGATACCATATAATTGTTTTTGGATGCATACATTCGAGGAGCGCATCGACTCCAACGCACCTTTTGGTGTTCTATCACGATAGAATAGCAATGCGGCGGCACAACGCATCTTCGAAGTGTTATTGTGGCTGTGATCTGTGACTCGATAAAAATCAATCGGGTGCTCGCTTTTTCAGGCGAGAGAGTTGTAACTGTTTGACGTACTATTTATGTTCCGGCTCGTTGTAAGTAGCTGGCAATTCATTTCCAGCGAACATTTTCTTTTGGTCTTAAAAACATTGTATTTTCGCCTCAAATTTTACCTTGTTCTGCGATCCTCCGGCGATTCCGGCTCCGCACTATCATCATCCGAATCTGCCTCAACACCATGAGCCTCATTCCAGAGGCCATGTTGGGCTTCAGTAGTATGTCCGCCACTGTTTTGCTCAGGTAGCGACGGCGGAATAGAATATTGACGACCTTTTTCTTGATGAGAGACGTTTGGTCCCAGTGCAGTCGGAGTTTTACCGTGTTCACTTCCGCCGTAGCGACGATCTTCTCTCCGAGCCACGTTCGTCATATCTTTACTTCGCTCAACGGTGTTGCCCCAAGTAGATGAGGACGCCTCGTTAGGACGGGTGCTGCTTGATGAGGACGCCTGTGGTTGGCTGCATCTCTCTCTTCCTGTGCTGCAGTACCCATATCTCCTGCCATGGGGAAAGCCGCAATTTCGCATCCACTCATTAATCACTGCCGCATCCGTTTGCTCTGCATCTCTAATCGTATCCCAATGTCGCTGCGCGCTCACATCAGCCCCTGCGTAGCCTGGAGCTACTTGTTCTGCTGACGTACTACCTTTACTTCCGGTTGAGCGCCGGTGCGCCTGATTAAAATTTCCATAGTTTCCTGGCGGTTGGCCCGTGTGCCAGGAGCCTCCGTGCCGGTCACGAGGACCTCGATTGGATTGCTGTTTGTAGCTGTGGGATGGGGGGCTCATTGCGGGCTCGTGAGAACAAGCCGCCGCAAAGCCGGAGGAGGTGCTAACATCTGCTCTATTGTGCTCCTCTTTCCAGTTCTTCACTGTTGTTGTTTTCCATGTAGAGTGGCGAGTGTCTTGCGACGAACCTGCTGGTGTAGTTGGCCACGAAGTAGTACAAAAGCCGCCTCGGGCTCCTTGCAGACTCGATCTACTGTAGTAGCTTGATGACGCTGATCCTGCGCCGCTCTCTGGTTGTGCTGCGCCGTCGTGGTGCGATTGCCTATCGGTATTCCCTCTGCCGGGCGTCATAGTGACGCCGTGCGTGGCCTCGAAGATACTGGACGAAGTGGCAACAAAAAAAAGCCCCAGTGGAAAAGTAAGCAAGGTTGCTCGTATTTGTGCTCCGCGCTTCTGGGAGGCCTTGTTTTTTTTGTGCATGATGGGCGAGGAGAGCACACCCGAAGCCGCGCGGTGAATGACAATGAGTCCTGATTGGTATAACAACGCTCGACCGAGCGAGTTTGGTTGGGTTTTCTTTTTCTCGTTTTCGCAGAAAGAGATCAGTAATTTGCTGTTAGATCATAAGTGGTTTGTTTGGCAACCATAAAAATTACAATGCGAACAAGCAGAGGAAAACAAGGAAGTGTGTGTGCAGCATAATTGTACAAAGCTTGATGAAATTGCTAGAAAAAAATTCTGCATTCGACGGACGTACGACTACTCTACCCAAAAATGCAAGCGGTTCCGAAAAACCTCCCGTAGCTATAATGCGAGACTCATTCACAAACAAAAACAAGCTCAAACCTTCACTAAAAGTCACCCCAAGATGAAGTCGACAACAATGATTCATGACTGGTCGTGGCAATGCTTGACGAAATGTAGCGAATACAAATCCATGCAGAACGTGAATTAGGATCGATTACTTCAAAAAAATGAAAACTTCGCCTCCTAGCAAAAAAATCTCAAATTGATGACCTTCTTTGGTAGTCAAGGACCCAGGCTAAGATGTTGTCCATCTTTTCGGAGTGTCAGATCGAGAACAAAGATACACCTCTAACCCCCTCAACTATTAGATCTGTTCGCGCAAGTGAACAACGTTGGTTCCTGACATCAATTAGATGCTCATATCAAATATTTCTGTTGACGACCAAAGACCGTGGGATCTGGCTTGCTTGCTCTTGCAACTTCAATTTCACCTGACACGACATTTTGTCTCAAAATCAGCAGCGAACCTGTGAGAAGATTCTCCTTGTTAACACGAGGATATCCTCCACGCGAGGGGGTCACGATCAAATGGAGGAAATGCGTTTCCTTGTAGCAGAAGTAAAACATATACGAAAATCCAATGTTTCATTTTGTAATCCATCTTCTTGCGGATTTCGGCTTTTTGGGCTCCGCGTGCTCCGGGGCCTTTCCCCGCAGTTTATCTGCTAGATCTTTCTTTTTCCCTCGACCCCCGAGCTCCGACTTTGTGCTTGTAAAACACCCAAAAGTTCCAGATGAGCGCATTCCCCCGTCTGCAGGCGACAGTACCTGCATCAACCGCTCTTGCATCTCAATCTTTTTCGTTGAGCCTTGGTCTTCCTCAGCCTTCCTCGTCCTCTTCTCGCTCCCAGCCTTTAGCCTCAAGCACTGCTCGTCTTCTTCTACTCGCCGTTGTTCCCCTAGCACATTGAAGAAGAGGTTGCCCTGCCGAGTCGCAAGAAGCGCTGCTCGCTGCTTCTTATCCTTACCGAAATCCAAAGGCTGCTGCTCTTCCGCGTCTTTGACTTCGTCGCGCGGTCTCGTCTCCTCGTGGTCCTCATCGGAGAAGCTAAGAGGTTCCAATAGCGTCGTTTCCGAGGTGACCGCGGCCAAAGTCAGTTGGTTCGGACTGCTTCCCGGCTGGTGTGTCGGGCCAGCGCCCGCGAGCAGAGCTTGTGCCTCCTCGATGTGTTCGGCGCTATTCACTGCTGTCCTCCCACCGTAGTTTCCACCGTCGCGAGTCCTGGAAGCTTCGTCTGGTGTGTTTCCTGCCGAGATATGGAGGAGGTTGGGTCTGCCCGAGCTGAGCTGCTTTCGCTGTGGATTCGCAAGTTGGAGGAGCTGCTCCTTCTGCGCCAAGAGCGACCGCTCCGTGCAGTCGCCCCCTTCCAGCAGAGCCATGTAACGCTGCTGGCCCGGGTGCCTGCGCCGCTTTTCCACGTAGCGCAGACTGAAAATCGCGCACAAACGGTTCACGTGCGGACTGGTGTCGATGGGCTGAATCAAGTCGATAACGTAGCCCAGGCGGGCGAAGTGGTACAGTGGCTTCTTCATCATGTGGATTTCGTGCTCGACGATGAGGATGAAGTGCTTGATGTTCAGGTGGAACCGGATGAACCGCCGCACACACGAGTTGTGGCAGTCCTGGTAGGTGAAAATGACCAGATCCGGGGGCGGCAGGTACTGTGGATAATTCTGGAACTTCTTCCTCGCCACGTCCTCGACAAATAGCACCTGGTCTTCCGGATCCCCGTACGCACTGCTCCTACCTGCATCTGCTTCAGCGGAGAAGGACTCGAACTCGCCAAAGATGTCGGTCGCGTCCCCCGTAGCCTCGGGATGGTCCCCGTCCTCGTCAGGATCCCCTTTTTCGCCCTTAACCAGTTGCGCGTAGCTCTTCGCGGCCTCCTGAAACTTTGCTGACAACCAGGTATCCCGCGACTTGTCGGGGTGCCATTTTTTCGCCAGCTGCTTGAACAGGGTCTTGAGCTTCTTTTTCCACTGGTCGTCGACCTCGGCACCCTTCTGCTCTTCTCCGTCACTGGCACCTCCCGCTGCACCAGCGTAGTCGAACTCTGGCCCGCTCCTCTTCGGCACCAGGGCCCCCAGGGCCGGATCCACACCCGAAGAGCCGTCCTCGGCTGTGGCGCCGCCGGCAGCCACGTTGCGACTCAGCGCCCACGCCTGCATGTGCTCCATGGCCATACCCCGGCCTTGGTTGACCTCAGTCTGCTGTGACACGTCGAACTGAAAGCCGTCCTCCTTCCGCGCCAGGACCAGCAACCTCTCCAAAACCGGCATCCGCCCCACGTCAGCGCAAATGCGCGTCAATATCCTGAGTAAAAACGTACCCACACCAGAGTCAGGGTGGGAATTTTGCAACACAAACCTGGGAGTTTTGTGAGTCACGCATGACAAATTGCATTACGCAGTGTAGTGCAGGTTAGCAAGTGCAGCCGCGTCACAGATTCATCTGCTCATCCTGTTCACAGCATCACAAATTCCAAAACACGATTGGAAATGGCTCTCATGGGGATGCGCATTACAGGTCTTCCTGTCTTTGCAAATCTGCATTACAACTCTGGTGTGGGTACGTTTTTACTCAGGATAGTCAACGGCTGCACTTCAAACTCCTCGTCCAAACACTTGTGGGCGCGGCCCTGCGCGTCGCCGATTTGTTCCGCCGACGTTTCGGCAACCTTATTTTTCTCCTCGTGGTCCCGAGAAACAGCATGAAGACGGTCATCGTCGACCTCCTGTGGCGGCGTTCGTGTAACTGTATCGCTTTGTTGAACCTCGTTTGGAAGGGAGGCATCCCTGCAGGTTGTATGCCGATCTGTATTAATCAGCGGCTCCGTGGTACAGGTAGATTCGTCTGGCCGCTGCTCCATCTCAGGAGAGGCGGCGCCCTCTACAGGACCGCTGCTGAAGGCAGTGACCTCGTCACCAAACCATTCCACCTGTTCACGCTGAACGTCCGCTGCGCTCGTTTTGCTTTCCGCAGGACGTTGCGCTTCAACCCCATCTGGGGTCCGCATTCGGATGGCCTCCTGCCGCTGCCAAATGTCGCGCGGGTGCTGAATGGACACGATGCAAATTTTCTTTGACGTCTTCAACTTTTGAAACACGGCGTGCAAGCATTCTGCCAGCACCCAGGAGCCGCCAAACTCCCAGATAACTATGCGCTGCTTCTTCTCCACGCATTCGTCTTCGTCCTGGACAAGCTTGAAGTTCTCCAGGACCGGAATCAGAAACTTTTCCAGCACGACGTCAACAAGCTGCCCGAGGTTAGCCCTGCAGACCACGGGCCAAAGGCCGAGGTCGAACTCTAAATCGACGAACCACTTCGGATCCAGAGGGACGAAATTTTGTGATTTCATTCGAGCAGCATCGGAGTCTGTTCTCGCCTGTGACCTATCTTCGCCTTGTCGTTCCTCCGCCCGTGGTGCTGATGCGCTCGTCAAATCCTTTCCTGCAGGCCCCAAGTCTACTGCACGTCCCAACCGAGACGTTGTCGGCACCACAGGTCCAGAGCAGTCTCCAACTCGACCTAGGCCATGATCGAGCGCCGTCGTCTCAGATGAACTGCGTAGTACCTCTATCCCTTCGGACGCCTCCGTAGAAGTACCGGAAGATAGCAACCCGCTCCCAAACGTCACCGCTTCCGATCTACTTCCGGGTCCCGCCTCATCGCTTTTTTCCTCTCCCCCAGCGACCTTCCAGAGCGGGCCGTGATGAATTTCGCGGTCGACATTGACGAAAATTGGGCGGTCCAAACCGCCCGGAGAGTCACTCTCCGGGCGCAGCAGGTCCGGCCGTCCTTGGACGAGCCTCGCAAGAAACTCCACGCGCACAAACTGCCGGACCGTCTTCGTTTCGCCGAATAGGATGGTGCGCCCCTTGTGGTGCGTGAGGCTGGTGACGTACTTGTTGCGCTGCTTAAACACCTCCACGTCCATCTCGTCGATGAAGTACTGCAGAGAACCGCCACGGATATCGATCAGGACTTGGAAATTGCCCGCCCGGTCCGAGGCACAGATGCCCTTGAACTTCGGTGCGTACCGGTAATCGAAGGTCTCCGCCGCCTCGCGCATGGCGCGGAAGAGGCGCTTGGGCAGGCGGCTGCACGACAGGGGGCTGGTCTCCACGTCCGCTTCGAACCCGCCCCGGCCGTACCCCGCGGGACCCCGGCCGCGTCCGTAATGCGGGCACCACTCCGCGGAGTACTCAAACTCGCGATGCCCATGAATTGCCGGCAAACAGCGCTGGACCTTGTCAGGCACGCACACCTTTTTGTTCCGCTCGTGCACCGACTTGCCGCGTGTCCCACGTACCAAGTCTATCTGGGGAATGGCGCGGAGGTGCATGCCGTACTGCAGTGTGGGGAACGCGCGCTGCAGCCAGGACCGCTTCTCGATCAGCTGCCGGGCGTACTTTACGGACGAAAACATGCAGCCGCCGCACTCGCCCACGTGGGGGCACCACTTTCCCTCCTCCTCTTCCGTGACCCCGAACCGTCCGCGGTGCAGAATCTTCTTGATCATCATGCCCGCCGTGAACTCTTCCCGGTCGGTATACCGGATGCGGTCCCGCTCCCGGCTGGACACCATCAGCTCCACCTCCGCTTTCGGCGGGTAGTTCTCGCACAGGAGCCAGATCTAAGACACAGCACAACCCCCCCTCCCCGTCGTTGCTCAAGCGAAATGCCGAAGAACGCGACCTCGGCCCACTTGCACAATGGTCATAACAGGTGGTGCCAGAAGCTGAAACGACATCATAATCTCGTAGGTACAAACTTGGCATGCAAAGGGTGCATCTTTGCCTACGCTGTATCTATCATGGATGCCCTTCAAATGAGACAGAGGGGGCCGAGTTGATCACTCTGATAAGAACCGCTTCCGCCCCATGCCAACCTCCATCTCGGTTTGCCCGCTGTCGCGCAGACGGTCGAGCTTGGAGACGAAGGTGAACCCCACCTTGGGCATCTTCTTGATGTGCAACGCGTCCGGGTTCAGGGCTCGGCTGCGGTTGTACCACTTGAAGTAGTGCGGCTGCATGGGTTGCACGCAACCCCCCAACCCCTTGCGTTCCTTGTTGATGCGCAGTATCGGAGACTGAAACAGAAGACCCCCGGAGCGGCGGCTGTTGCGTCGGCTCTGATGAGCGGTTCCGGAGTCGGTAGCGCATAGTTGACTTTGCGCCAGTCCAATTTCTGGCCGTCCCGCTGATCTGCCGCTTGTGTACTTGCGCACGTGTTGCGCTTTTTGGCTTCGCCCTCGGCAGAGTCTCACGCATGATCCCAGCTTCCACCGTGACAGGTCCTTGCGCTGCTGCTGCAGACCAACAGCAACACCTCGATGCATCGATAAGCCAAAGACACGACCACACAGCATCTCGGTAGCAGGCCAAGTTCTGCTTCTCATGTAGGGAGACATGCAAAGAAGCAATGCAGTCTCCTGATTCATGTGCGCAGCCACGGTCTCTGGCTTCGTAGGAAAGAGAACGTCGAAAGAGCAAACAGAATGAAGAATCCGCTAGCGGTAAGAGGTGAGCTGGTTCGGACATCGTGTTAGTACTGCGCAAAGCTCACTGGTATATCGCGTAGTGGACAAAAGTGTATAGGTGGACAAAAATAAGTGACTCATACCAACTTTGCTAGTTGAACGCGGCGCCACACTTTGAATACGGCAATATTCGTCTATGTCGATCTCATCCTGGCAGGCTCTTCCATTTTCCAGTAAACATCCACGTGTCGGCAGAAGAGCAAAAGCTTCTTCTTTGTAACGATGAAAGATCAACTTGAGTGAAAGACAAAAATGTGTCTGTGGAGCCAAGCAAAGGAATTTTGACCAAATTAATCACAATAGGCCACTGAGGATCAGGCTAGTCCATGTCCTACCTGCAAAACAGACCGTGTTGATCACGAGAAACTATACTTTACAAAACTACAAGAAAAACCAAAAGGGCTTCGCGCAAGGCTGGTGTCGCTCAATGAAACAACCTGAAACAACACCAACGTCACCCCGTGACAAGCTCAGACAGCGACGAAGCACTTTTGACGCCGAGCAATCGGTTTCCTCAAGCGTTCAAAAACTCACTTTGCATCTACTGTCTATAACTGAAGAAGTGCTTCGTCGATTACAAGACTTAGACTAGGAGAAGTTCTAGCCTTCTACTAGGCTCTGTGATTTCCGACCCTCTTGACCTGTGTGCCAGTGGCGCAATTGAATAGGTTTCCGATGGACCGCCTCAACGTGCCCCATTTGCCGCGCGCTCCGCGATTAATTTGCATGCGCACCGAAAGCTTAGTCCCGTAGTGGCTGGCCCCGTAATATTCGGGATCCGTAAGATGCTTCTGGAAATGGGCGTCCTTCTCCCTCCTTGCTTCGGTCACACGCAGCCGGAAGGCCTGTTTTTCCGCCAATGCCGCGGCGTGTCCGTGCTGGCGGCGGGCATCCAAGAAGGCAGTCACTTGTGACAAGGACGACCTTTCGCTTGGAAGACGCGGACTATGCGTCTGAGACGTGTGCGTGGCAAAAAAGTTTTTCTGACAAGATGAACCACTGCATGCTATTTCAGTCCTTCTTGCAGTAGAATACCAAAACATAGCGAAAACCGCACGGGACCGAGAAGAACAACAATGCATCTCCGTTCTGACTTCGTCTACGACTGAGAGCATGCGACCACTAAGAAGTACAATTATTTCTTGTTTTCATGCAACAACAAATTCGAGCACCCGAAAAGCGAAAAATCGGTTGGCTTGTCGGGAGAATCACAACAACAAGGGCGAATGCGACCACTCATTTGAAATCACGAGCAGCTGCCCGTTCAGAACACCACAGTGAGTTGCGCTCCACTGCAATTAACAAGCAGCGGTCTTTTATTTCGTTAGTTTTTATAGTTGACTCAAAAAAAGCGAGAAAAGGTGCGACGACACTCGAGCCGCGGTCGGGTAAAGGCGTTGTCAAAAAATCAGAATCATACAGGACGATAGTGGGTAACTCGTTGCAATGCTTTCTGTTTCTGTCGTAGTTGCACCTGTTGCCACTGTTGAAAACGTCAGACGGAAAAAGGGTAGTGGCTGTCGCAGCACCAAAAGCATACATTGTGAATGGTTCCGTGTAACCGCGAAGTATGCTAATGCTTGTCGTCCAGAAACTATGAAAAGTTCGATAAATTTATTTTCGTGCAATAAATCGTCTGATCTTCCCCTTCAAAGAAAGAGAAGGAATCAGAAGAGGAGAGCAATCAAACAAGAGTATCGTACATGTCAACACTACTTACACGAGTGAATAAAGTGGCACCATGCCAAAATATGGAAAATCTTTGGGGACACAGTGAACAAGAAATCTACACACACAACTTACTCTTCAAACGTAGCTCGTGGGTTGTACAAAAAATCACAAAAAGCCACGGAAGCACTCTCATATCAGAGAGCAACAAGCATATGCAAAGGTCAAAGAAAAGTTTTGAAAAGATAAGAAGGCATTAAGTCATGCCAGATGCTTTGTGTATGTTCCACTAGCAAGCAGAAAACATATATTTTAAGCAATGGCAGCTTTTGGTTCCCTTTCTCGAGATCATGATTAACGTGCTTCGTTCCCTAATCTGAAGATTTGATAGAATTGCAGGAGGCGCGCCGTTTCTTCTGCGTCTGGTGTCGTCGCGAAAGATATACAGCTGGAGGTGATTCATTTTCATTGATTTTCTAGTTATGCATAGCTGCGAAGAGAAACGTTCGAGCATTTTACATCTTCACACCTACACAGTATTAGTCGCGGTGACTGCAGGATTGCCGTTGGTAGGGAAGGGTAGGTTGGGGGCAGCGGGCTCGGTCGTGTCAGAGGGGGGATGCGGCTGGGTAGGCTGGGTCGGGGGTTGCTCCGAGGCTTGGTCCTGGTCCTGTTGGGCGTACTGTTGGCGTTCGGACTCCGTGAGCAGGGGAGCGCGTAATCCCTGTCCGGGCGGCGGGGGATCAAACAGATGCCGTGCGAGGCCGTAGGTTAGCTGCAAGTACAAGTACCTGTTAGAGTAGTTCTTTCATCATCGTGTGACCCTCAGCTCATTTCGGCAGTGGAGAGGTGCTTCCTTCGGACTTTTTCTTCCTGGTCGTGATTTTAGTACTTACATAAAAAAAAATGACCTTACATAAAAAGTTGTCAATGCTTCGGCTCCATCCTTTCCTCCCCCTCAACAAAAAACAAGAACCGCGAAGATAGATACCAGTATGGAGAGAAAAAAGTTCGTCACAGTCACTCACTAACCTGCGTGCTTTGCATTACAAATTTTCTCAGCATCACAAACTTTTCTTGTATTGCAGAAACACTAGGGAAATCCCTAATAGAGTTTGGCTGTGATGCATTTTTACGCATGACAAAAAATTTTGTATTGCAAGAATGCGCATGAGGGATCGTGACGAACTTTTTTTCTTCGATAACCAGGTGTAGTAGAGCAGCAGGCAGATTCCGGCGGACCCGAGGTCACCGGAGAGGACAAAGATCAAACCGGCGACTAAGATGCAGATCTGGATCAGGATATCGCGGACCATGCTGTGGTTGAGGCCCATCAGACGGATCGTGGCCTGCACCAATTGATCCACGTTCCAACGCGTTGGCGGCGGACCGCGCCTCTGGTAACCGCCTCCTTCGTATTGTGAGGAAAAATCCTCCCTCCCCACATTGAGAAGGAAACTTGTGGGGCTCGATTTGCGTACTTATACAGCTGTGTCTTGCATCAAGGAAATGCAGGCAAGGCAGATCACAAAACTGAGTTGGGGTGTCTCTGCGTCGGCATAGCTGTTTTGCATAACAAGTGGCTGCCATGAAGGTCCAACACCATTAGGAATCAGCCGAGCATTGCGACAGACACCTCTGGCACTGCCATGTTGCAAGACGAAGCTGATTTGTGGCCACAAATCAGGAACGCAGATTTCCATTTTGGATATGGGAAGGGGGGATATTTCCTCGTGATACTCCGCCGGGAAAGTCCGGATTGGCGGCGCCGCGGGGTGGGCCGAGTCGCGGATCATGATTCGGCGGGCCCGTGTTGGAAGTGGTGCGCACCATTTTCGTCTAAGTAAGCTGTACCCTTCTCGTTCGGCAATCCTCTTTCACAGTTGTTCGGATTTCAAGGTACTAGTACTAGAGCTGCTCCTAGTAGGTCGCTCCTCTTGTTCCACCTCGACTGCAAAGCTATACGACGCAGTTGATTCCTCGGCGCAAACGGGCCCGGTCTTGTTCGAGCTTTTTCCGGTTCCTTTGCCGCCGTTGCGTCGCGTAGTACTCGTCGATGCGTTGGTTGATCTCCTCGATTTCTCGCCTATGCTCCAGAATGACTTCACGCCCCGGGCGGCTCAAGGTGGCGCCCCACTCGTTGAGATTCGTCACCGTTCTTGCGCTGCAATTTGGCTGGCAGGGAATTCTAGAAACAGGCGAGGACGTTGTTTCACCTGCCGGTGGTCCTCTGATTCTTCTTTCGCAGCTGCTGGTAGATGTCGCTGGTCTACTCGCTGTTGTTCGCGCGGAAATCGAATTATGCACGATGCACCTACTTTTCCATCCGTCGTCCCAACGAAGATTGGCGCCACGAAATACCATTCAAGAACCTGAACCTGACGCACCCTTCATAAATCGTCCATGCACGAAGCAGGAGCACCTTCTGGATCAGTCAGATGATTTGGTCTCTTATTCTTATATGAAGAAGTACAACGATGAAATGGTGCAACCTACTGGGACGTGGTATCTACCAGCATTCCAACAACCGCGGTCACTACAGCTGTTGTTGGCAAATGCAAGGACGGGTCACAAGAGCACACCCTGCAGGTCGTGCCAGCGACGGACTTACTTACGCTCCTCCGACGGTAAGGCAGCACTTGTCTGAAACATTGATGGTAGAGCGCTAATGTGAGCTGTGTCTTTTCTATCTGAAACCGAAACGAGTATTTCAGAGAAAAATTGTGAATCCGTGCAGAGATGTTGAAACATCTACAAATAGAAGTTGCAAAAATTTCAGTACGAGGCTAAAGAGCTTCACGATTTTGCGAACTTTTATAGGGGCTCACTTTTTTTCCTCTGTCCATATGATTATCGATATCGATTCAAAACTGATACATTTTCATGAAGCTTTTCACACGTTTTGTTGCTTTTTTGCTGCTCTGCTCTCACAGGTCTTGTTGTCCCGATACATTTTTGCGCTCGCGCTCCAGAATGTTACAGCAACCGTCAGCTATTCCCTCTCGTTTGAAATAGAAAACATACACCGATTCTGTACTCAAGTAAACAACTCACGTAATCGTGGCTAGTACTAACTCTGACAGGAACTATCTTCTACGCTTCTGACCGATAATTGAGGTTTTGCGGTGAGCACATGCACCAGCTGTAAGTCCTCCACAATGTAGATTGATTTAACTGCTGCGCCATAACAAAAATCGCGTGTCCAACAGAGTGGACATCAGCGCAGGATGAAAATGGGAAAAATCGACCGAGATGAAGCCTTCAAATCTCTCGTGATTCCTTTTGATTTGCGCAGCAAGCACAGCACTGTCCTACCCCTGTAGCTGTTCGTCGGGAAAAAATTTCTGTCCTGGCAGCAGCAGCACAAAAGTTCTACTTGTAGCAAGACGTAGTGAACGTGCAGCTATTCTTGATGACTCAGCTGGTAGTTGTAGTACAACTTACTTACTACTAGTGCAACCCCGACTGAATCTTTGCTCTTCCCTGGAGGTAACATATGCAGCGTACGTGCCTCGTCCTCCACCAGTTCCCTTGTTCACAAAGCAGGTGGTAATCGGACATTTTTCGCGGCCTCCGGATTGGAAACGGACTTGCGCGCAGACATTTGCATTAAGCCGCCAATCAGCAGCGACCAGACGGCATAGATGGCCACAAACGTGATCAGGCAGCCTAGGCCTTCCGTGTAGTACAAATTTTGTTCCGTTTATCAAAACAAAAAGCTCGCCACGACCACTCCCTGGCATCTTACGTTGTAGCAGTACAAATACAAAAACGCCGTCTTCCATGCATCAAAATGAATGCACCCTCACAGCGTAGCCTCAGAATACACATGAGAAGTGGGGTTTCTGCAAGCTGCAGTTATGCCCGCCTGAAAAATTTTTCATGCAGCAGAAACTGCAAATTATAAATACTGACTGTGACAAAGTTTTTTCGTTCCATACTTTCGTGGCGTCGGAAACCCACCGGACAAACATGGCGCTATCGCTCTGCGTGAGCCCCCACTCTGCACAGGCCTGTTTGGCAGCCTTCTTGAAGACGTCGTAGGCCGAGGGGAACAGCGATCCCGGGCGGTCCAGCACGACCACTGCAGACCGGGCCCGAGGATTCCAAACGTCGTCGCAAGCGAATCCCCCGCGGGGTTGGCAACAGTTCAGCCCCGTGGCCCAGTATTGCACGGCATCGCAAGAAAACTGCGCCACAGCAAACTTGTGATAAGTTTGCAGAGTCTGCACCACAGAAGTGCCAAAATTCAACTTCAAAACACGGTAGTTTTAGCCGTACTTTACCTTGGGAGAGCCCACATGGCAGATCTTTTGCTCGGTCATGCAAAGCAAACTTGTGCTGTCTGTGGTACAAATATTGCAATAAAATCGTTACAGTGACACGACAGTTTTTGTGTGCGATACACCGTGCTAGTGGCGTAATCCATGATCGGCGCCACGCAATACACGTCCTTGGCGCGGTAACCAAGCGTGCGCTCCAAAACAACCTGGAGGAATTATGCTAGTGTCAGGATAAAATCGAGCGAGTACTCGCATTTCATGCCGACGTGCGGGTCTCTGTCTGACTATGCTTTTCCTTTCCATCATTAAAATTATAATTATTCACCTTCTACTTCCTGCGTGCACGAAATTGTGTGGTGCTGTTTCATCCACCTCTATCTTCAGAACCTTCATGGGGACATGCCCTCAAGGACGTGGAGCTTTCCAATCGAAAACCAGCAAATCATTGTCAGAGAGACTGAAGAAAGCCTGCGTCAAGATGTAGATGTTGCGAAGAAAAATATAGTAATCACACCTTCGAGTCTATCAGCTGCAAAAATGTTTGGGTCTAGGAGAGTGCGCTTGTGTCTCATGCATCTCGCGGGCCACGTAGAGAATGCACACGGAAGCATTAGAGATTTTGCGCAAGCGGCTTAATGCCTATATTGCAATGTAAAATCCAAATATAACACATGACAACTTCCAATCCTTAATGCCTATAACACATGACAACTTCGCCCTCTGCATTGCAATAAGTGCGAAATTTCTTTAGGAGCTTATGCAACGCAGATTTTTGTGCGATCCAGACTGAGTGTGACACGTTGCAGTGTTCGAGACCCACACATATTTGCAATGCGTAGAATCCAGCGTGAAGAGTATCTTTCCCGCGTCGGAATGGGCAGAGGCCGGCTCCGAGGGTAGGACGTTTATGTATTCGCTATTTTCTTTGTAGGACCAGTAGTTGTTGAAGTAATGGTGATAGCTGTACAGCGACGCAAACACTCCCAAAACCACGGACACAACGGAGAGTAAGCCCAGTTTCATGTACCTCAAGTGATTTGCACCAGTAAGGCTCTATACGTACTATGTGCTTCCTTATCAAGTAATTGCCAGATGCTTATTTTCGCATGTAGATGTAGATGTACATCGTCCTGAGATCGAAAAAAATAAAGATCAACTTCGCACTCTAGTACTACGAGCGTCGCAGCCCTAATTTTGTGGCCGCGTCCGCGTGGTCAGCAAAGCTATATTCCAAATATAAACACTTTCTTCAGAGTTGATCTCCTCAGGAACACGAACCATCAAACACGCCTGCACTGCTGCATTCTCTCTTCGCTGCTTCGTGGATCCATTCATGTAGAGAACCATGTTTACATGGACTAAGAAATGTTGCGCACAGCTCGTTTTGGCTTTGCCAAATCAACAACGCGGGGAGTGGGTAGTGCTTGAAATCTCTTTCGAAAAAGCATTACAAACTCCTAAAAAAAGTGTAAGTGATCCATCGGGTGCGCGCAAGAGCGCGTCGCCATGTGTGGTTGAAGCAGATCTGGTCTGCTCGAGCTTAAAGCCGTGGCTTTGTACGCTATAACGCCGTATGTAGTGAAAGAAAAAACCTGACTAAGTAAAAAAAAATTTACAAAACAGGAAAACAAAACATACAGCCATTTGTGACTCTTCTGCATAATTACAACGCTGGAAGAGTCACCTTAATAGGTTCTTCTACATTAAAAAGGTCTCCTAAAACTTTCGGGATGCCCCACAAGTGGCGTGATTGCAGCTGGTCGGAGCTGGCTTCCACCTGCACAGCATTCGGAAAAGCTTCTAACAAAATCGGCATCCTTGATTTTCTGGTTAAAACGTCTGCCACATTTTGAGCAGATGCTAACCAGCACCAGTAAAAAGAAACATCCATCTGTCTCGCAAGCAGATGGAAACTGGTTGAGATACGTTGGATCAACCAGCTTTTTGAATTGTTGCGACCCAAACAAAAAACTCCTGCCACATTGTCGCAGTGAACTATTGTTCTTTTTCCCGCAATTTGCTTGCGGAAAATTTCTAATGAACACCTGGCTGCGAAGACCTCGAGGACAGCTATGTTGAAACTGCCTCGATCCCCCGCCATGACAAGATCTTTCAAAAGATCTTTAGGAATTTCCGTGAGCTTGCAGTGCCAAGCGGTAACTGTGTTGTCGTGTGCAAAAAGCACACCTCCAGCCCGCATGTCAAATTCGTCAAGTTTGTCGAACTGGCCACCCCACAGTCGCTTTGCCGCTTGATCCAGATTACTACCACTCGCGTCGATGTACAAATGGCAAAGTTGGCGGCCCACTGTTTGCTTGTTCAACGGAATTGGTCGGACACTACTTCCAATTGCAGCTGCAGTGACGACAAGCTTCTTCAATTGCCTCTTGTTGCGCTTGTGCTTGATTTGGCGCGCAAAATCCAACTCACTGGCCCAGGTATTGAAGCCACGTGCTAAATACGCCAAATGTGGCGAAAGTTGAATTATGTGGCGGAGCAAGCCAGTAAAACTTTGCAGGGTGCGAAGTTGTATGGCATTGTCTTGCTCTTCTTGAACGAACCTGTCACGCAGCCCGAGAAGTTTAGCGACTTTCTGCTCTGGCACCACAATAAAAATTGTTTGCGCCTTGAAATCAAGCTCGTAGCCAACTCCGAGCGCAACAAGCAGCTTCTGGAATTGGTGGCTTTCTTTCTTGTGCTCCGATTGTTCCCATCCGCTCAGATCTAACCAGAGGTCGATCAGCTGACTATCTTGCTCCACCAATTCTCCTCTCGAGTTTCCATGTATATCGTCTATGAAGACGGTAGCACAGACTTGGAGATAACCCGTAAAAACGAGCTGCATGATCTCGCTAAGCGAGACGCATTGGTGGACGCTGGCGAGGCTTCCGAACAAAGCACAAATTGCTGAAAAGAGGACAAAGCCCCTCTCGACTTCCTCGTCGTCGCTGCCTCGCGGTGAGTTTCTGGGAGCAGGAGGAGACGCTTTGGATGAAGAAGATGACGACTTTTGTCGTTGTTTCGCCCGGTTGTCCCGCATTTTTTGGATTGCTGCCGCAGCCGGCGAGGACGCGATCTCCTCCTTGGTAAGCGTCTCCGGAACCGGCATCCACAAACAATGACTTGCGCATCTCAGAATCAATACCGCACTGGTTATAAAATTTTTTGAGATCCTTGGCAAATTGTTTGGGACAGAAGGAGTAGCCCGGCTTAATGCGTTCCGTGGTTTTTCGGCGAAAAGACTCTCGCAGGACTTTGCGATGGATGTCAAAACTTTGCTTGATCTCTTGTTCCGTCGCGATGTCTTCTTTGATGTCAACCTTCCACTGAAAATGGGATGGGTTTTCAACACAAGTTGATAAACACCTTTCCACCAGTTGAACGGAGCTTCTTGCTCCGATCAGCCTCATCTTCTCTTGGGCCAACTGTCTACAATTCTTTTTCCTCAGATCTATGCAGGGTCGTGGCCTCTCACTGGGATCGGCCGGCCGACCCTGCGCGTCTTTGGATTTGTAGACGGGGAAGCATTTTGCCGCGGTGTAATCCACCTTTCGCTTCTGCAGGTCCTTGTGGTCGCGGAACGTATACAGGCCTTTCTGCTCAAAAACCAAGGCGTCCTCCCACATCGCCCGAACTTCCTTTTCTCCCGCCCAATGGGTGCGTGGAGGATCAGGATAGTGTTTGATTGGCGTGGACAAAGCCTCAAGCAGCTGCTCTTGCACCTCATCGTCATCCAGCTTGGACCAAAATCCGCAAGGCGGAGTGTACCCATCGCCGGCTAAAAAACCGTTGCGAAGGTGATCGATATTCTTCAAGATTTCGTTGACGCGGTCGCTGCGTACCGCCCCGCAATTATCGATTGCTGCGCTCAGCGTTTTACTCATGAACAAGAAATTTTTCTTTTCATAGTGTTTCTGCAGGTGCGGCCTGATGTCCTTGTGGACCATGGCTTCCGGAGCTTGCAACGCGTGGTGAAAATTGAGCACTTCCCGCGTTTTAATGCGGTTCTTCTCTTTCAATTCCTCGACTGTGCACTCCTTCTGGACATCCGCAGCTGCTTGGCCATAGATGTCATGCTCCATTCCGATGCCGAACTGCCGACTTTTATCAACAGAAATTCGCTGGCGGAAGTCTTTGGCGGTGAGCTCCGCCTGTGACTTCGCCCGTGGAGACGAGATACCACGATACTCCGCATTACTTTTAGGTGTAGTTGTCGGTCGGATAGGAGAATGCTTCCTTGCGGGTGGCAGTTCAAATTGGTCGACGCTTGGTGTGGCCGATGAGCCCGAAGAGAAAGACAACGGCGGAATTTGCGGCATTGCCTGTGCTTCCGAAGACGAAGTGCTCTCGGTTTTCAACCTCGGCAAAGGGTGAAGGTTTCCCTCCACTGGAACCGAATGGATGTCAGGTGGGGCTGCCGCAAAAGAAACCTTACTTCTTCGAGGTGAGGCTGACCTTGGTGGTGTGGATGCCGCGGCACTGCGTGGCCACTCCGGCGCTGTAGTAGTGCTTGTTCTCAAAATCCCCCTTGTACTTGGGGATTTATACCGGTCTAGTTTTGAAACTTTTAACGGTTTCAGATCGGTAGACTCCGCTTTCTGGCGCTTCGACGGTGGCGGCGTCAGGGAGCGAGGAGTAGCTGTTTTCTCCGGTGTCGTGCTTCTTTTCGCTGATGCAAAAGCACCTAACTTCGAAACACTTTTTGCCCGGTTCGTCGGTGAAAACGGACTCGACGAACCCGGAGAATCCCGACTTGATCGGGAAGTACTTAAGACTGACTGCGACGGAGAACTGCGGCGCGGTGGAGTAGCATGACGACTTTTCAGATTTCCGAAAAAGTCTCTGCGTGGACTCCTGCGCTCCGCGGACGTCCCCCTGCGGCCTGCAGGTGTACCTTGATGGCTAGAGCTGCTTGCAGCATCATTTTTCTGATTCTGTGACGACGACATATTGGAGAAAACAATTTGTAAATTTATTTTTTACCTCGTCAGGTTTTTTAAGAGGATAGTATAGGATAAAAGTCAGTATCGTGGCTGGAAGATAACGAAGTAAAAGGAAAGGCAAAGTGGGAAAAATGTTAGATTTGGCTATTAAATTGGGATAAAGCAATGCAGGAGCTGCCGTATTATCCAAGACCCATTTCCATTATTTTCCTGTTTTTTCCGGTCGACGACCGCGAGGCGAAGACGAGCTCGGATGCAAATCGGAGAGATGCGGAGACCGACTCCCGTTGCTCTCGGACCGAAACATTTGCACGAAGATGTTTTAGCGGCGGCGAAACGCGCGGCTATTCAGCGGAACGAGCGGAGCTGAGAGTTGTACGATGGATGTTATTCCTTGCTCACAACAATCATCATTCGAAGCACGTTTGAAGAAAAGCCAGAGTTTGCCCGAGATGCTAAGGAGACATTTTTTCCACGACAAGTTTTGTAATAAAAGTTACTAAAACGAGGCTGAATCTAGCGTAAAAGGAAAAGCGCACTACTGCCGGGAATTGCTGCAATGCAAATTGCTAGCCCCTAACCTGCTGCAATACAAATTGCTAGCCGGTTACTTCCCGTTGGAAAACTTCTTGATCTGCTCATCCGTAATCTTGATGGCAAAAATTCGATTGACAGCACGGATGCGCTTTTCGGGAGCGGAATGCAAACGAGGGCACTGCGAAGCACTTTTCTTACACTTGCCGCGCAAGAACGGAATGCAAATACGGCCAGCACCCCCCGTAGTAGTAGCGCCACGGTCTCCTTTTTTCTTCTTGATAGGATCGGCATCATCGTCAATACCTTGCAGGCGCTTTTCCAACTGGATCCCGGTGATGAACTGGATCCGCCACGTAGTCGTGACCGAGAGCGTGCAGGCGCGCTGGTAGCGGGTCTCCGGCGGGTTGGCGTCGACAGTCGGCAGGTTGGTCAAGGTCAAGGCATTGCGCATTTCGCGGAAAAACACTTCCGAGACCTGTTTCGGGGTCAACTGCGCCTGGTTCTCCGACGAAGTGCGCTTGTTACCGCGAAAGCCCGGCATTTCCGGGATCAACGCCGCGCTGACGATGTTCAACGCCTGCAGGTACTGTTCGTTGTTCTGGAAAATCCCAATCGCGCGGCGCACCGTTAAGATTTCCGACATGTCGCACAAACAAGTGGACGGGCACAGCGGGCCGAGGCCGTCCAGCAGTCGTTCGCTCGCGAGTAATTCCGTAAAATAGCGGAAAGCCCGACCGTTGATTTTCTTGACACAAATTTCGGCTTCCGCGGCGAGCAGAGCCGCCTGCGGTCCGTCTAGGACTCCGACACCCAATTCCGCGTTGACTTGCTGTTGGGCCATCAAGGCGTCGATGGCCGCTGCTCCAGGAGCAGCAGGACCGAGAGCTCCGGGTGCCAATGCCATTTTTTTCTTGTTTGTGTCGAAATTAAAAGGGAATGATCAGGTGTACCAATGCGATCTTGTGTATCTTCTGCCTCTAAATAGAAGGCCAAAAGCTAGGAAAACAAAAAGGTGGGCCCTGTGGTCAGTTTGGCGAGGACGCAGACGTTGCAAAGCAACCGCAGACACCAAACGTTGGTCACACAACAGCACGGGGGTTTGTTTTCTTTCTATGAACGAAGAGCCTCATTTGTGTACGATCCGAACAAAAATTTTTTGTCTCTCGCCGAAGTTCTTTTGTTGTTCGATTGAAAGGCCATTTACTTTCCTTTTTTGTACATTTTTTCATTGAGAAAATCTTTTGATTTTTGAATGAGCGTTGATTTTTTCAAAAAGAAAAAATAAAGAAGAAAGCTACGATGTGCGATGCTTCATTTCTGAATTTGCAATGTGAGCTAGAAGTTGGCCAGAGCTTTAAAATGCGCGCAAAAATACGTCATAGGCTCTATCAATCTTCATCAAAGCGCATCACCACAAATCCGGTTGCGCCGGCTGTTCGAAGTAGAAGAGTTCTGGCTCATCTCCTAATGCATTTTCCGGGTCTCGGAACTCGAAAAAGGCGTCTGAAAGTGCGCGAGGTGGTCGTCGTCGGTCATTCGGAAGTGTTGACTTTTTGTAACGCCAATTCTTGGCTACAAACTGCGAGGAGGATGCCAGCCTGATCGCCGCGGATGCAGATGTTGGACCAAAGTGTTGCGGGACCAATCTCGGCCACCAAATGCTAACCGAGTCCGGATAGTTCCTACTCATGTTGATGTAGGCGTCCGCTGTTTCAACACTTTCGTGTCTGCACATCCGCCGCAAATCGCGGATCTCCATTCCACCCTCTGACGCACTTTGTATCCCTCCGATTCTGAGAGAATGACCCCCGTAAGAATCGCTGGCGAGGCCGTCCAATTCGGAAACAAAGTCCGAGCTTTCTAGTTCACTCCAAGTATCGGTCGTCTGAAGGATTTCCTTGAGCGCCGCCCGCAGTCGTGGTTTTGGCCATCGGCGAAACCTGACCCATTCCGCTGTGGATATACAGCATGTAGGGCAGAACTTCACCTCCAATTTTCCTTCCTCATCTTCCCCGATCGGGGTGGAGCGGGGTGCGTAACTACACGAACGCCCCAGAATAAATCCTTCGCGTCGAAGGCCTCGACTGTTTGTTTTACTACTAAAAGTTGCGAACTCGGTGCACTCGCCGTTCGAAAGACGACGCGTTGACGCCAGGTCATCGAGACGTAAAAATGAAAACCAAAGACTGATCATCAAGCGGAGAAACCGCACGGGTCGTACTCCGCCTGAAAACTTTGTCGAGCCGATGAACGGAATACCGAATCGTTGCACCGCTTGAGCGATCAGCAGCAGATGGGATAAACGGATGCCCGTTTTCTGGGCGGGGGGTTGCTGCGTCCGCGAAAGCATTTTAAAATGACCCGAATACTCCATCGCCATCTCGTAGCTGAACTGTTTATGCCGGCATAAGAGCATTTTTATATGCGAGTAGTTCGTGGTCCTGGATTGCGCTGCCGCCCGTAATTTTGAATTTGTAAAATACGTCGCGCAAAGCCTCATGCTGTAGGAACTACGGTCTGACGGCTGCGGTGATAAACCTACAGCAATCAGCAACCGAACATATCTCGTTTTCAGTTGCACGCGGTACTTGTCGCCCGTTTTCTTCGAGTGGTGTGTGTCCTCGTTCGGAATGTACAACATGTTGACGAAGTCATCCTCCGAGAGCAGAGCCATCGCCGGAGTTAACAGAGGGCGCAGAGGAGGGTCCTGGAGATGTGGTTTGTCTTCGTTCACAATCTCCACCATTTTCTCCAAAGCTGTTTTCTCGTCGTAAGTTTCCTCCGGGTCAGGGATGCGGATGCTGAGATCCAGCTGCTCTTCGTCCTCGTCTTTCTCCATGTGCCCGCACACGTGCTTGAACAAGTTATGCTGTTTCAGCCTGTCCGTGTCGACACCGGTTGCTGCTCCCGGTTTTACTACACGGCGTTGCTCCGGTACGACTGGTAACTTCGCGAAAAAATTGGAAGTCTTGACGTCCGAAAGTTTATCTTTGATCGTGCTGGGCATAGCTGGCTGCAATCGTAGTTTTGGCGGTGACTCCGAGCTTGGCAGTGGCTTGCGCTTGGGCGAATTGTCCACCAATTTCCAAGAGTATGGATTTTGGTGTTTGAAATACTGCTTCGCCACGGAATCCGGAACTACTTGCAACTGCTGCTTCTCTTCCGCGGATAAGACTGCGTCCTTCTCTCCTTTAAAATAAAGGTAGGCCGGCTTGCCGTAGTCTTCGCCGTGCGAGATCACCACATGGCTGCGTCTTTCGATCACCTCCTTCTTCGCGTTGAAGAAAGCTATTATCATCGAGTCCGGTCCAGTGAAGCTGGATTTTAGTGCCGGCCCAAACATACTCGGCCCCGCTGAAGATGACGACGAAGAAGAAGAGGATGCTTGTTGTTTTGGTGCGAATTTGTTTCGCAGTCGACCGCGCTTAGTTGCCACCTCGTGCAATGCGCGTTCCTCTTCCTCCTCCGATTCATCAGCTGTTTCGAGTTTAGCTTTTTTCTTCGGCGGCTTTTTATACTTTTGCTTCAACATGTCTCGCGTCTCCTCGCCGTTTGTCAATGGCTCAGCTTCCCAAAAAGGCTTGCTTGAGTCCAATAGCGACGAAGTAATTGAGGACCAGGCTTGGGCGACATCCTGGCGCATCACCGGTGACCCCAACTGCGATTCGTCAAAATCTGAGTCCTCTACTGGCTGCGAGAGCATGCTCCCACTGGCGGAAGAAAAGGATCGCGGTCGCTTGACCCGCGACTGATCGAACGGAGCCGGGCGGTAGAAAGGTCTACTCGCTATATCCTTCTCCATTTGTAATTGTTTCCGATCAGTTTCTTGCCGCTGGAGAAGCAGTTCCTCCTGTTGCTGTTTGCGTTCCAAATACTGGGCTACTGCCGGTGATGGGCGATGCGGTGCTGACGCCGCCTGGTGTTGCTTCAGCATATCCATCCACGTCGTTGTGTCGTTTGCGCCAGCAGAACGCCGGAGACGGAGGGCGGGGGTCAGAATTCAATCGCAGGTCGATCAGGTGGTTACCGAGGATGTCAAAATTGTCCGCGTCGTCACCTAAGATCTGGACCAACCTGTTCCAGAACCGTCTTGGGTGTCCCCACCTTGGCCAGTGCTGGAACTCGTGTCGCAATTGTGTTCGCGGGAAGAAGATTGCTCTTGGTTTGCCGTCTGGGTGGCGGTCAAACCCGATTCCAATCGAAGCTGCTTCCGCGAAGCCTAGTTCTCCTGCGGCAAGCTCAATTGGTCGTCGGTTGGCCCGTCCGTCCAACCCGAAATACTCCCCCCACCTAGAATAACCGAAAGGGCAGGGAACAGTAACTAGTTGCCTTTGGTACCGCAAGGATACTTCCAATCGACGACGCAGAGTGCTGAGTGGGATTGAGTTCGGTGGTGGGTCGAGTTGGGCGGGAAACAACTGGCCCTGGATTAAATTGATATCCTCGGTGTAGTCCCAGGGGCGGTAGGTCTCGAACAGCACTTCTCTGCACCCACTGGGTGCGGCTAGTTCGTGGTCTGCGGTTGCGTCGTGCAGCTCACCGAGCACCCACTTCTGGAAGAAGGTTTTTACTAAATTCCCGGCGCAGCGGAAATCGTTAAGAAACGCTATCAACTGCAGACGGGTGAAATCCCTAATCGTGATAGTTGTGATTGCTGCGACGAGGCACTGGTCGTCCTCCTGCGTACGCAGATGCTCCGATGCGGCGTGCGTCGCCGCGTTACGTTTGTCTCCGCGCCGGGCCACGAAGAAGTAGCCAATGACGTAAATGAAACACGTTGAAATCAATCGACGTTCCACGATATTTTCCTGGTGGACTCCGTGTGGCCCGCGGATTTCGTACGTCGGCGACTGCCCGATGATGTCCACCGCTTTTCCAATTCGGTTGACGTTCCGGAACTGCTCCAAGCTCTGCGCGGACGCGATTGTCTGCGGGTACTTTTCCAAGTCCCGCAAGTTCGCACCTAAATAACCAATGTCCTCCTGGTCCGCGCTTTTGAAAGCGTAGTCGTCCCAGCAGTCTCGACTATTAACGTGTCCGATTGGATCCACTCGGTCGCACCTTCCCTCCAACAAATCGGAGTTGAAAGCGTCGCCCGCGACTCCCGGCGTTTCGTCGTGGTGGAAAATATTATTAGAAGACGCGTTTAAGCTATAGTGGTTGTCGGTGCACACGTCTACTTTAAGCATTTGCCAGAAAAGAGCTTTATGTGGAAGCGATGCTGAGTCTAAAGCTTCCGCCCGCGATACTCGCGACGTCCTTGGGTGCACAAGACCACTAGAATCAGAGGCGTGATCAAAATTAACAGACGACACTGAAGATCGTGCGGACATCTCGACAAGTACGCTTTTGTAAAAACAAAATCATTTAGCGCTGTGTAAGCAGCGTGTCCTGAGGGTGGGAGAAGTTGAAGCTCAAGTTCGAATCAGGGTGGGCAGAAAAAGACAGACGCTACCTCCTCAGTGAGACGAGGAGGAAGCTATGGCATTCCTTACCCATGAGATCGATCGAACTATGAAGAACATCCACTATATTCCAAATATAAACACTTTCTTCAGAGTTGATCTCCTCAGGAACACGAACCATCAAACACGCCTGCACTGCTGCATTCTCTCTTCGCTGCTTCGTGGATCCATTCATGTAGAGAGCCATGTTTACATGGACTAAGAAATGTTGCGCGCAGCTCGTTTTGGCTTTGCCAAATCAACAACACGGGGAGTGGGTAGTGCTTGAAATCTCTTTCGAAAAAGCATTACAAACTCCTAAAAAAAGTGTAAGTGATCGGGTGCGCGCAAGAGCACGTCACCATGTGTGGCTGAAGCAGATCTGGTCTGCTCGAGCTTAAAGCCGTGGCTTTGTACGCTATACGCCTTCGAGTTCTCAGCCCGATAGTATAGGATCAAGTCAAGTCAGTATCCAAAGCAAGACGAAGCGCAGACTTCGTCACGTTATGATATCCATTGTAACGAAAGCGCAGACTTGAGACGAAAAATCGCAGTAAGGCTCCAATTTGGAGAAAGAAGCCGCGAAATTTCAAAATTTTATTTCTATTTGAAAACAAATTAAAAATAAAACGGAGGTCGAAATGCTTAACAAAACATTTTCGATTTTGGAATTTCCTTGAGCCACATTGGAGGTGGTGTAAGGGGATGGTGGTGGGAGAGCCGTAAAAATAAACGGCGAAACTCCGCAGAAATCCGCGAAAATTCAAAATTTTATTTTTATTGAGCTGAAAAGGAGTTCTGGGGAGGGTGGTGGACAAACTAAGTCCAACGCTCATACCTTGGCTTGAGCCAGACGTCAATTTCAAGTAGGCTTGAGCCAAGACAGAAAAAAGACAGACGCTACCTCCTCAGTGAGACGAGGAGGAAGCTATGGTATTCCTTACCCATGAGATCGATCGAACTATGAAGAACATCCACTATAATTTCACCTAGTGGGAATGATTCATAGCACATCGGCAAGAATAAACACGGATCCTACCATCTTCCTCCGGTTTTGTTGCGGTAGTCAACCATGATGAAGAGGACGCTCACGAAGAGTAGGAAGGACACCAGCAGCCATACCATGGAAACGTATGATAGTGGACAAGCCCTCGTCCCCCTCATTCGCAGTTCTATTTTTGCTTCTTGTCCCCCGACCCTTAGCGAGAAGGCATGAGCACCATCAACAACCACACACTGAAGGTCCGTATTGCTTCAGCGTCGTGACAAACTTCTGGTCTGGCTGCGCGCCTCCTGTTCGGGCTTTCGAAGTTTCTCCTATTTCCGTAGACGCGGCCAGAAGACAGGCACAACCACAGGCCTCAATGTAACTTGGAGGACTTTGCAGTACAACGGATGAGGGGGACAGAGCTGTCCAGCACTTTCATACGACGTACCAGTGGTAAACAAATGCGAAGAGGATCCCGGTCAGAAGGAAGAAGGACCAAGGAACCCCAATCATTAACGCCAATCCCAACAGTCGTGACTTGGGTCCTGATTTGTATGGGTCGTGGGCGTTCCGAGCATTCGTGGCCCCCCCGTACTGCGCGTTCATCCCGATGAAAAATCATCCCAAATAATGACATAGCCATGAAGACATGATCGAGAGCGTTTAGTAAGTTCTGATGGCGGCAAAAAAAATTGCGAGCGGGTCAGCTCTCGGCAAGTAGTAGGCGTTAGATTTAGACATAGATACTCAGCCCAGTGTGCATCAAGATGCAGTTTGTTCTAGCCCGATCTGCAAGAAAGACTTTCGCACCGAAATAAAGCCTCGTCATGTACGAAGGTACTATCACCAGATGATTTCTCTGCCGGATAGTCGTCGTGCCGCCGCTGGCCGGCAACAGTGTCTGCGACGGATTGTTCATCTTGTTGTATCTATCCGGACTAGACCCAGCGCAGCAAGGTGATAAATGCACGTCCCCGAGCAGACAGCCACGCTGATCGAGAAACAACTTCTTCTGAGTCGAAGTTCGTGGTCGCTTGGCACCTCCAGCAGGGCGCTAGTGGCGGATCTTTTTTGATTTTGCACCAGGCTTGGTGGATTACGAGGCTGGACCAGGCCCTTGCAGAGGATCAGGGTCCTCGATGACCACGACCTTGCAGAGGATCTTGATCTTCACGAGGGTGGTCCTACAGCAAGCAGCTTTGTCTGCGCTCTGAACTTCAAGTTCAAGCACATGGCCGACATTTGCACATTGTGCCGCCACGGCCTACACCCTCAGTTGTGCTGCAGTCTGTTGATCTTCACCAGAAATGAATCAAAATAACCTTCAAGGTACTTCCTATCTTATTTCCTCAGACGCGTCACCGCTCAAGCTGCGTTTCTGAGCGCCGCTATCGCGCACGGCGGTGGAGAATCTCCAACACAACACACGTCGAAAGCTCGTAATTCCAACCTAGCAACCGAAAAATACTTGCTTTATTCGCAGATAAAACGAACTTATGTAGGCTGTACCACACAGACTTCGGCAAGGTTATTCCGTCGAGCCGGAACCCATATTTAAATCAAAATCCGTAAGGTACATCCACCAATCTGAATCTTGGAGAAAGCGATGTCCTCTGCGCCACCTCTTTGATGAAAGGACCCATCCTGTGAACTGCGCCGAAATTCTCACTCTCTCACTTTTGAATTGGACCTTGGAAACTGAAAAGACGGGCACCAGTTTGCAAGACTCTCAGATGTCTCTCGTACAGTACTTTTTGCTCTTCTCTATGACAACCCGGAGCATTACATCTCGCTCTTTGTTCCCAAAAAAAGAACGAAACTCATCCCAAAAAGCCTAGCTGCATCGTCCGAGAACGCCGTCGCTTCTATTTGCAGCCATTCCGTTCGGTCAAACACAAACTGAAACCCTGTGTGCGCTTGATGGCCACACATTAACGCGATTGCAATTGCAATGCACAGACATGCAATGAACGTGGACAATTACGTAGAAAATGTCGAGTGTTGCTATTGGGGGGGCGACTGATTGTTCTGAAGCATGTGGTCAATACGAACAGTGATAGAAGTGAAAATCATACTGACCAACATTAAGATTTACTAGTGCAGCAGGCTGCCACTACATAGATATGCAAGAGCAGGTGCAAAGAGTGACCACCTACTTACTTACTTACTGAAGTGTTGACTTTCACTTTATGAAATTTGGAAATTATAAAAAGGAAATAACAGATGATCTGCGTGCTATATGAACTGCTAGTGATCCGCCGCCCTGGTGTGGACTTCTACTTGCATCGCGTAGCTCTCCAGCGTGACTCCGTTCGGGAGTACTATGTCTTCCGTGCGCACATGGTGCGGTGGTCTGTTTTTGTGCACGTTGAGCACGCCGAGGCGCGCCAGGGTACTCCTTTCCGCCTCCAGGATCCAGCTCGTTCGCTGCAGCAGGTACTCGTCGTTCGCCATGGTGCGCACGCGGTGGTAGGTGTCCGCCATCATCGCAATCAGGAGGTTGAAGAGCACGATCGCGGAGAGCACGACAAACATGTTGTACACCAGCAGGGAGAAAAAATTGTACTGATTGCTTGTATGCGGAAGAAAACTTCGAACACCCACACCAGTTGTACCACATAATTGCGCATAATTGTAATTCAATTCTTTCATCACAGCTGCATGAGAGCTTGTTTATTTCCCTTCACTAAATCCCGATTTTCATTTTTCATTTACATTTTCCTCGGAGCCGCGGCCCAGTATTTTATACATACAACATCGCACGCCATTCTCTTGATATTAATCTTCTCCACCGCGGCCCAAGACCGTCGGTGGTGGTCCCATTTTTGTTCATGACAACGCATCTCTTCATCTGAGCTGCAAAAAAAGAGTAGAGCCACCAATTTTGGTACTCTTGATCGGAAAATCATTTCGCGAGTGGCTTACTATACCATCTTGCTAAATATCTATGTAGACAGTGTGTTCTTGCAATTCTCGGTCTGATAATTTTCTGCGTCCGAAAATACCTCGTCGTCCATCTCCCCGAAGGAGCCTCGGAACATGATCTGGACGTTCTTGTACACCTTGCCGTAGTCCCCCAGAAAGGTGGCGGAGAAGTCGGAAAAGTGGGGCGCGGGCGTGGTGACCATGGTTCTGTCCAGATCGTGCGTTGTGAAGGTGCGGTTGCCATACGCACCCACAAAGGCCGCGTGGGACGTTTCCCACGACAGCCGATCCCGGCGGATGGTATCCAGGAACATCACCCGCAGCAGGATCCCGAATCCCGCCGCCACTAGCACGTAAATGATGCCAAACCGCGCAAAGTCCTTCTTCAGCATCAGCTTGATCATGATCACGAAGGGTCCGAGAAACTGCATGCCGCGAAGGCTGTGCAGAAAGTGACCCCACCCGAACAAGGACGCCACCCCGAGCAGCACGCGCGGCGACACGGAACTCGGGTCGAACCACGCTACCTCTATCATTTGTAAAAACGTCCCCATCCCAGAGTGAAGATGGGCATTTTGCAACACAAACCTTGAAGTTTTGGGAACCACGCATGACAAATTGCAGGCTGTAGTGTAGTGCAGTTTAGCAAGGGAAGCCGCATAACAAATCCATCTCCTTATGCTGTTTACAGCATTACAAGTTCCAAAACACGATGATTAATGCCTCTCATGGGGATGCGCATTACAAACGCTCTTGTGCTTGCAGATCTGCATGACAACTCTGGTGTGGGGACGTTTTTACTCAGGATAACCTCCGTCGCGTAGTCGTAGGCCCAGCGAGAATCGTAGTCACTGACCGAGGACTATGCATTGCGAATATGTCTGGGTCTGGAAGGTTGGAACTTGTATTGCTGGTCTTACATTCCTACGAAATCTGTATTGCATGTGATACGAAAGGAGAGAGGAACACCGAAATCCGCTATACAAAAAAGCAGTTTTTGTATGTACTGCCGGACGCATACAACGGAGTTGTATGGTCCAAGAAAAGCGAGTAAAAAGCTGGCGGCGAGCGTGGCAGAGCAGCAAATTGCTACGCAAAGCAGGCCACAATCCACCGCGCGCGAAAAGATCGCTCCGCGGAACAACAGAAGAGCGCAAAGGGAGGCTTGCGGAGAGCGCACTGCGCACAAGGAGCGACACAAGCGGAGAAAAGGGGCGCTAAACCAAAAAAACTAGCGGCGCGCGCGCGGTGAGGACCTATTGCGGATCGATATTTTGTTAGCAGGCGGCGGGGGCACGCTTGCAGGCGGCGCTTCGAAAACATACAAGGGCCGAGCTTGTTTCGTGTGCGCGCTTTGGTAGCTAGCAGAGTTCTCTCGCTCCTTAGCACTCTTGCTGCAGAGTCTCCTGAAAGTGGAGAAGACCGAGGCGTAGCTCTTTTTCCAATGTTTTTCATTGAGTGGCTGTTTTGTTTTGGCTACGCAGCCACGTATTGCAGTCGGACAAAACCAGGGCAATATAAAACGAGGGCGCAGGGGCATCGTAGGACCAGTTGCGTACGGGGCCCCCAGTAGTTACTGGGGGCCCCGTACTTGACGGCCGGGCCAGTGCTGGAAGGTTCCGGCGGGACCAGAAGGTGCCAGACAAAGTGGCCATTTTATATGCACTGGCGATTTGTATGTGGCGTTTGTTCTAGGACAGGAAGGGGCAGGGCCCTTCGTGTACTGGCATACCAATATATTATGGGGGTATCAGTAATTACTGGCTCACATGACTAGCAAAAGTCGCAGCCTCTCTTTTCATACAAATACGTCGCAGCCTCTCGTGCTGATTGCGTATGAGAAAGCGTGCTGCAAACTGAAACTTGTCATGCCTTCCTGCATAAGGAAGTGCTCTCATCATGCACATTTTAGCATCAGAACTTTCCAGACCCAGACATATTTGCATTTGATAAGGACGAGGTGCCACCGCCGACCCGCCCCGCCCCATCGTCGAACCGCCCCAGCACCACACGCACGTACACCACAAGCACGAAGAGGCTGTACAGAATGAGCGTGCAGCCCTCGAAGGTGATAGTGTCCGCGGCTCTACGCACCGCCATGAAGGTGGACGCGGCGCCGCAGCCAAGGTGCCGGTCGGGGCCCATATTTCGTTGGGACCAGTGGACAAACTTGCCTCCCTCGAGCGCGAGGATGAGCAGAATGCCAAAGGCAGGCAAGTCCATCGGCACGAAGTTCTCTGTATCATACAGAAAAAAGCTGGCAAGAATGCTTTGTATTTGTATTAGAAAAAATAAGAACAATGAGCGCTAGGGTTTTTCTTGAAATAGCGCTAGAAAAAGGTGTGTAAACGCGTTCCCACCTTCACGCATGAACACAAACAAACAAACAAACAACATACAATGAACAATGAAACCCACAATAGCTCGTAGAACCCAGAAAAATCTGTCATGGGTGAGCCCATAGAAGCATTCACGCTGTTCCCGTTTGTTGAGACATGCAAGAGAATAAATTTAATATTTATTGTGTACTAATTTCTTTTCTCTTTCCCTGCCAGCTTTTTTCTGTGTGATACTCCGTCGCCAGCACCACGAGAACCAGGTTTAGGAAAAAGAGCGTCATGTGCAGGAGGAACACCTTGGAACCGTACATCTGCCACTTGTCCTGGATCAGCTGGCGCACAATGGGGGTAAATAGGCTGTGGCACTTCGTGTCTACAATAATCTCCAGAACTGAGCGGAGGCTGCGCCCCGCGGCTGCATGCATGTCGTCGTCCTGGAGTTGCTGGGTGGGCGATGTTGTAGTTGGCGTACTAGCTGGTGCAGCTGCAGCCCCAGCATCCTCTTCTACTACTTCGCCTTTGTGGTGGTCAACAACATCTTTGAGGAGCGGCTTCTTGTCCGGCGTCTGCGGGGGGGCCTGTGCGTACCCAGCCCGCAGTTGCCGGGAGAGCACGGAGTCCAGCTTGAGAAGCGGGTAGCGGATGCACCGTACGGGCCCGTACGCCCACAAAGTTTCTCCGCTGAGTTCCATCAGAACATCAAAGATTGCCGGGTTCTGGATGGTATCAACTGTAAAAATTTCTGGGTCTGGAAGATTCTGAGATTTGTCATGCATGTTTTGCATGACCCAGGATGTCTGTAATGCACGAGCGCGCATCACAGATTTTGCGCTGGCTTCCTGATGCCTACTCCGCATGACAAACGCCCTCCCCGCGTAGTACAAACTAGACTCCTCTTGCTGGTCATGCAATACAGATTTTTCTAGAGTCCAAAGTTAGCATCACAAGTTGCATTCTTCCACTGGAAGAATGCAACCAGACCCAGACATTTTTACATTTGATAGATGGCCGCAGCCAAGTTGAGGGGCGCGAATCCGATATGATTCAGCTGGAAGAGCTCGATTTCGTGTTGGTACGTACGCAGCACGTGGCGTAGCAGGTTCAATTGACCGTGCAAAACCATCAAGTGAAGTACTGTGTTCCCGTACTGGTCGCCCTGTTGCATAAACGCCTTCCGCTGCTGCTCAACCTCTCGGAGCTTCCTCCTGTCCCCGACGCGCAGATGAAAGAGCGAGGGGCCGGAGCATGACCCCACGTAGCCTGTCGCAGCACTCCTTTGCCCTGCGAACGGCGAGGGCCGCATGACAAGCCGCGATGTTGATGCTGTTGATCTTGTTCCCCTTGGAGAGGCGAGAGGTTGGCTCCACGCTGTTCCACCTTCCCCTGCTTTTATTACTCGAGGGCCGCTAGTACTCTCCGTCCCCTTTGTTTCACGCGCCGCCGTGTGGCGGTCGTTTTTGTAGGGATCGGGCTCGTCGCTACGGAGGTTCGCGCCGCGACCGCGGCGGTCCGCGTTCAACACCAAGTCCGTCGCCTTTACAACATCCTCGCGCGTATCTTCTTCAACCTGGTGGGCCTCGTCGTAGGCCGCCGCAGCGGTCTGAGTATACTTCTCGAGGAGAAAATCAAAGATCTCTACGTTGCCGTGCGCCGCGGCGAAGTTGAGCGGGCGCCCGCCGTAATACAGCTTCCCGCGAAAGAAGGACCCGGTGGTCATCACCCAACGCGTATCGCACATGCCGTCTTCGACAAGCAGCTTCACTTGCGCCAGATCCCCGTTGGTGATCGCGATGTGGATGCAGGCCTCGCCGCGGTAGCTGTCTCCAGTGTACGTGGCGTCCACGTATTTCACAAGGGTCGCCTTCGTCGCACCCGCTCCCTCCTCGCCGTCCAGCCTTTCCAAAAGCGCGTCGGGCCCCTGGGCGCCGGTCAGCTCGGAATAAGAAAGCGGGTGAGTGTTCCGGCTGACGGCGTCAACGGGCAGACTCATAGCGCCACTGCGCAGACAATATGTATCTAAATCAAACAACGTGTGGTTGACTTCCTCACTTCCGTCAAACACTTTGACTCTAGTTGCGGAGACGCGTTGAGCAGCAGCGGAGGACGTCAGGTGGTCCTCCTCGTCGTTGTTCCTGTTGATGCTCACGGGATTAGCGCCGCCTGAACGAGATGTCTCTTCAGGTAGTGGCCCTACTTTTAGGGGTTCGGTTCTACTACTCCCCTCCTCAATAGCCACGGAGGCGATCGTCGAGCCCTCCGGTCGCCGTGGTGCTCCCACGCTAATTTCGATGTCGTGCTGCTCCAAGAGAGACGTGCCGCCGCGCGTTTTGTTGACAACTCTGTTCAGATTTGTCTTGGCTTGTTTGTTCGCTTGATCATCTCCACTCAACATTGCGCTCGTCCCGGCTAGTTGTTTCTCAGCTGCCACACTCCCGGAGGTGGACTGCTCCTTTTCATCAATGCCATCGCCGTCCTCGCGAAGCTCATAGAAGTTCTCCCCCGATGAATTATAATGAGACGATCCGGCGGGAAAGTCTGCGCCAGTAGCTTCTTCTTGATCGGTTCCATTGAATGTGCTAAGCAAAAGATCACTCCTCCCATCACGGTTGGTTGTGCATGTCGGCCGATTAGATTCATCCAAGTTGGTTCTGCTCTTCGCCCAGTCCGTAGAAAAACTCAGTGACGTCGTCAAGATGGGGTGACCGGGATCGCTTTTTTTGTTCTTGCTCAACTTCTTAAGCAGTTTCCAACGGGGATCCTTGTCGCCGAGCTGCGCGTGCTGGTGGATGAGGGAATGTCCTCTTCAAAAATGTCCCCACCATGTGACCACATTGTGAATTTCGACGCTTCATTTGTACAACAATTCGGGAAGTTTTAGTTCTGGATGCGGGAGTTCCTGCGGTTACGCATTTTAACAACAGGAGCGTACAACAGGCGAGCAGCAACATAGCCGTGACTAGGTATCGTGGAACAAGGCCACTCGTCCCTTCATCCTGATCATTAGATAGAGTAAGAGAAAAACTTCCCTCCAGTGAACCCGTCGCTCATGCAATGCGAGCCGCATCATCTTTATCATTGTGGACACTCATTCATTCCACAGGCTCGGATCCCCTTGACACGGGGATGCACAGCTAGGCATTTTGCTTTGGTCTTATGGATGCTTAATAGAAATACATCAATTCTGCATAAGAAGTAAACTAAAACAAAAACTAATCTATGTCTAAAACGGCTTTTAGATCAATTTTCTTGCTCATGAACTTCGGCCTGTGGAATGGAACGGGAAGTGATTTTGAAAAAGGGCAAGAGCGAAGAGGAAGGTAGGAGGCAAGACAAATAAAATCATTTTTCGAAATCAAGTCCATACCGTGCTAAGAGCATGTGCACAATGAAGCGAAGGAGGAGCCAGAGGCAAAACCACTCACGAACCGCATTAAGTCAAATGGCACGTGTGTGACGGGGACATCTTTGCACAGGATACGGGGTCCCACGCCTGCCGGCACAAGATTGTCCCGAATCGCCTCACCATGTAGGTCGCTAGCGTTCGGTGCGGCGGGGTGCCGAGCAGAAAGCACAGATGCAGCACCGTTTCACCCACTATCAAAATGAAAAATCCTCCTTCCACATATCAAAGTGGAAATCTCTGACGCAGGATGTCCGTACACAAATAAGCTGTGTGTTCTTGCAGTAAGGGAATACAGGCAGATGCATAGCCTGGGCAGGGATGTTTTGAGCTAGGCGCTTAGCATGGCAAACGTCTGCCCTTTAGGTCCTCTGACAGCATCTTCACAAACCGCGTGCATAATGCGGCGGAATCTCTTGCAATGATTTGTGATTGTGACCACAAATCTGCATGACAAATTTTCAGAAGGATGCCTCTTCAAGATGGGAGGGGGGATTTTTCCGCACAATACCCACGGCTCCACGACCATGCAGAAGTACGTCAGCCCAGAGGAGCTGCGGCCTGTACTCCTCGGGGTCGACAGTCATCCGCGGGTCATCGTGCTTCCCATTGCCCATCGGGCGCAAGATCTCCGGGGGCACCGGCTGGCTCAGATACCCGTCAAGCCGCATTTGAATCACCTCGGCCGCACGCTGCTTTTCTAGCGCCTGGGCGACAGCCTCCGCTTGGTCCTTGGACGACGCTTGCAGCTGGACATCCGCACCTGAGAGAACAGTTCGGCCGCGTGTTTTTAGCTGGTGCGCATCCGTTTCACGCGAGACAGTTCGGCCCGATTCACGCGACACAGACCGGACCACCGGTGGTGGAGAACTATGCTCACTCGTCCGCGAAGCACCGGCCCTCGTGTTCGTGTTCGTCGCCGAGACCGACTGGCTAAACACCGGCGCGGACGCCAGCTCCAACAATCGCCCTCCATCGGGCTCCAGGTTCACAAGGTAGTACGCGAGCGGCCGTCCATCCTTGTCCCGCAGGTAGGAATGCAGCTGTCCCCCAAGGGAGCCCGTGCTCTGCGCAACCACCTCGGCCGCGGAGGGCTGGAAACTCCGGGACGTCTCCGACTCTCTGAAAAACCCACGCAAGTAGGAGGCTTCATGGTCCATGTACAAAACGCCTTGATCCACACGAGCGGAACCGCCAGAAGACTCCTCTCTCTTCCGGCTCCCGAACATCCTCCTGCTCTATGACTGAAATAAAGCTGCCAGTGCTGCGTGTTCTTCGCTGTACAACATGATCATATGCTTACGCCAGTTTCATCTTTCGATGGCCACCTTCGTGTCTTGTTCTTCTCCGTTACCGGTGTACTACGGAGTTCCCTGAAGAATCTTGCACCAACAATCTGCCTTAGAAGATAACAACTCCTCTCCACTTGTTTCAGAGTTGTTACGCAACCGAATGCAACCAACCTTTACCTTAGAAAGACAAAGATAGAATAGCAATGCGATTGTCGTGTGTGTTTAGAAAAAAGAAATGAGAAACAGTTCATCTTCAGAAATGGGTACAACTTACGTAAGTACTTACTTTTTTACTGCTCGTCAGAGGAGGCGGAGGCCGCTTGAGCTCGCCGCCTCCACATTGCATTTGCAAACGATGCTGATTAGGCCTTGTTGATGTGATCCACACTGTGTTTATTTGGGGGGGAGCAGTACAAGTGAGAAACAGGGACTAACGACAACTCGTCTGCTGGTGATAAATCATCACTCAATATCAATAAGATATCATCTCTTGTCTTTGCCTGTGGAGATTCTACTATTCTTTCTCCGTACGCAAAGACGCTGACGCATACGTCTATTTAAGTATTTGTACTTTGTTCCATGAACGAGACCGACCGACGACAAGTACAACGAGAGGACAACGGTTGATTTACTACTCCGAGGACCGATACAGATACGGATACGACGCCGACGTACGAATACGATACAATCGGTGCACGAAAAAAGTTCAGCGGACGAAGAAACAGAGAGAATTGTTCGCACGAAGGACCGAGACTCTTACTCTTGAACGTCGCAAGAGGGATGATATTAAGGCGCTGGGCCTGCTCGCAAGGAAAAGGACCACAACGGCGACGCAACTAATTGACAATGGCGCCGATATTCACACGCGAAATTATTCTGGCCAACTCCGACACTTGACCCGACGGCTGTGGCTGACCGACATTTTTACTTAAGGGCGCTGCAAAAGGTTGAAGCCGCCTTCGCAAATTGATGAGGCTATGAGGCTGGAGTAGCGTTCCAGAACTTTACGAGTGCCTGCAGCTGGAATTCTCTTCATGAGCTAAAGCCTCTGCAAGGCGGCCTCTGCAAGGCGCCCTCCCAAAGCAAGATGGATAAAATATTTTTAGAAGCATCTTTGTTCGTCAACGTGGTCTAACACTTGTTCGAATGAACGCTGTCACCTGCACGACAGCGGATTCCCAGAAGGAAACGGCGTTCTTGAGCAGTCGCAACTGAAGAGGATTTTTAATAGCAATACCTACGACAACAACTACTTGGCCAGGAGGCACGGCACGAGTGAGGAAGTTTTTGCTCCTTCGCAGTCGCTCTTTACAACTACTTACAATGCTGAAGAAAGTCCCAAACTTTCCTCGTGCTGTCGCACTAGGAGCGAAAGAGCGGCGTCTAGTCGCCGACGTCGCTGCTCATCCGTTTCGTGGCCGGCGTCGCCGTCGGAATAATTATGCGTCGCGGGATTTTTCGAGGAAGCTGCTGCCGCCGCCGCCAAAGGCGGACCCCGACCCCCTCTGGCCGCTCCTGTCAGGGATTGATATGGCCGGGATGAATTCGCCCTGTCCTCGGTCAGCACCTTTGTCGAAAACGTAATACCGGTTTGAATATCCTCTGCGGCTCCTGGCGGCAGCAGCTTACTCCTGTTAATAGCTTGGTGTAGTTCAGGTGTGGTCTCCTGCATGGAACTGAGTGGCGAAGAGGAGGAGGCGGCCTTGAGAAAAATTTCACCCAAGCGATGAATGGCCTCGATGCGCCGCAGTCGCTCCTGTGGCGTCGCGGACCTGTCCTGGCAGAGCTTGCGGCAAACACGCCGGGAGGTCTGCTGCACGTCGACCAACGTGACCTCCCACAACGCGTCCAGAAAAAAGCTACCCTCCTTTTCCGCCTGCGCTGCCTCGCGCTCCTCATCAGACAGCAGCACGAGATTTCCCTCAGGCTCCTCAACCTCGAACGAAGTCATATCCACCCGCACCAGTGCTGTGTTTTGCGTGCCAGCATCCAGCGTACTACCAGAAGACGTGGCACTTCCGCTTCCGCGCACACTGCTTTGCCCCGATAAGCTCCTCCTCGACGAAAGTCCTTCTCCCGTGGAGGCAAGAACCCCAACCACCTTTCCAACCGACAAATGATATGGCGCACTCGGGTTCACCACTCTCACCAAGGCTCCGGCAGTGCGAGTAGTTGCCGCACCAGGACTCATTTCCCGACCCGTGGCGCTAGTACCTGAGCCGGTCTGCTGCCCGTCTCTGAACGCAGCCACCGGCTGCTGACCGGAACTGGTCGATGTGGCACCTCCTTTATTTGTCACACGGTCGTCGCCTCGGAGAGCTCCGACCTGCGATCGCAAGACCGTCGTCATCGCACGCATGCGGGTGCGTACGCGCTGCCGGCGGTCCTGAAAGCGACTCCAGAAGTTCCCGCGGTTCGCAAACTGCTCGCCCTGGTTGCGGTACACCCACCCTATCGCCTTCAGCATCTCGCGCCCGTTTGCGGCCTCGGCCAGCAACCGCTGGGCCTCCTTCGCGAGCCGTGCGTCAAACTCTTCCAGTGTCTCCAGACGTCGCGACGATCCCGAAGTCGGCGTGGCAGTGACACCCGTTCCCGCGTTTGCTGGCGATACTACTTCGCTGTTGACCTCCGCGGCCACACCAACCGTGTAGGGTTTCAACAGGGTTTCCGCGAAAAAGGAACAGCAATCGCACTCCCTTTTCCGCTGGTAAAACTGCATGCGCTTCTGCAACTTCCGCAGCCGCACGGCCGGCCAGGCCACCGGGTTGGCCCGTTCCTGGTGTCGCGCCATCCGACTGTTCGCAAGTTCCTGCTCCGCCTCCGCAAATTGCGCCAGGTGCAGCTTCCCCACGTAGGGCTCGAAGTGCTGCGAGCCGAACAGGACGGCGAAAAACAGCCCAGGATCGATCTCCGGCAAGTCGAATTTTAGCCCGCTACTGCAGGTGCTACTCCGGCCCCGGGAGGAGGTTGTGGATTCCTTTTCGAAGTCGAACAAGCGCTCCCCCAGGTACAGCTTCCGGTGTGATTCCACGCGCAACGATTCGTCGTACACCTGCCTGCGCTGGGGGTCGCCCAAAACCTGATACGCGCGCGTGATCTCATGAAACTTACTGGACGCCGAGGAGCCAGATGACGAAGCAGCAGTCGCCTCCTTGATCATGATCTGTGGTGCAACGGGAGGCCGCGGAAACGACGTACTAGTGGAAGTAGTTGGCTCGCCTCCCACAGCACCGCCTGCACCACGCTGCAGCAGTTCTTGTCCTTGTCGTTCTACTTGATGTTGTGCTTGCGGCACCACGGATGAATTGTTACTGGAATCTTCCGCGCGGCTGCGCAACTTGTCTGGGTGGTACAGCAGCGATTTCTTGTAGTAAGCCTTGCGGATGCTGGTTGTTGTGGCGGTGTCGGGATCCAGATCCAGCAGGTCGTATAGCGTGCGGCCACTGCGCGCCCGGTTTGCCTGCGTGCTGCTGGTGCTGGTCTTCGAAGAAGTTTGCTCGCGCCCGCTCCAGGATTTCCTCCTCGTCCCCGCCGGGGGCTCCGGTCCCGCCGCTCCCGTCGTAGCGGACAAGTGCTGACTGCTACTGGACTGGGACTCGGGGTCGCTGCTCCCGGAATCGTCTTGCTCACCCCCGGCGGAAGACCCCGAGCTGGAGGACTCGAGCGACGAGCTCGAGTCATCCGTGATATCAGCGAAATCTTGGTGATGTGCCGGCCCCGCTCGGGCCACATGATCCTTTTGTGTCGCTTCGACGCCCGTTTGGTCTTTCTTCGCATACCTTAATATATCGCGTTCTTTGGACAGCGACCGCTTCCGCTCCTCTCGTGCCTGCTTCAGTAGCCTCCGTCGGTCCTCCGGAAACAGCTTGAGGCGCTGCTTCTGGATGCGCTTGCGCTCGCTATGCAGCGAGAAGTGCTCCCACTCCAATTCGTCCCGGTTCCAATGCCGGCCGCTGAAGCGCAGCACGACGGCCGCAGGAGTGTTGCACGCGCCTCGCACCATCTGGAACCCGCCGACCAGCACCCCCGCCGTGGTGGCGGCGGCAAAACCAACCAAGCCGACGCCCAACCCCTTCAGCAGCCCCAGCAACCCGTGGTTGCGGAACCCGACGACCGGGGACCCGAATAGCGAACCAAAACCCAGCGCCGCGCCCCTTGAAATCGTTTTCACACCACTTGACGCGCCAGCGACCACGTCGCGGGGCTTCTTCAGCGAGAACACTGTACCAAAAACCTGCATTATCGAAGGAGAAAAGTGTTACAGTTACACACGACATCGAAAATAGCGTATTTCTTCAAGGGCAGGCTAGAACTTTTTTCGAGCCGCGGCTACCTGTCGTGCCTAATGCGTTTTCATTTTCGTGTCAGGCAAAAAGGAGGCCTCCACGTAGCTGCGGCTGCTTCAGTTCACTGGAATAGCTAAGAAGGCAAGCTGCTACATGTCGCGGACCTGATTGAGAACTACAGTGACTGATAGACCGGGCGGCGGCAGAATGTCTCAGCGAAACAATAGAGCGGGCCAAGGTCAAAGCGATGCTTTCGACAATGTGAGGGACAAGGCCTGCTGTTTCACTTAGTCGCAAACCTGACGAACCACAGCGACCGTTTTTGACGCCTCCAGGCCGACTTGCGCAACGGCGACACGCGCGGGAGCGAAAAGTGCAGAACAGCGCTCGCTGGCATTTGACGCGACGAGCGGGCGCGTTTGCAGTGCCAGCCTTTTCCTACCCATCGTGGTCTGTCATGATGGCTCTACGTAGTTTGCCCTTTCCTGGCCAAATCGACGCCCTGTCCCGAAAGCCAACCTTCCACCCGGATTGCAAAAAAAAGTGATACACACTGCATTTTTTTGAGGGGTCAAAGCAAGGCCAGAAAAAATAGCAACTGTATCACTTTTTTTTCCATGTGTAACACTTTTTTCACCGGGCGGAAACCAACTTCGACACTTTTCTCCCCAAGCGGAATCTTGATACTTTTTGAAATGTGTAACACAGTAAGTCGCAGAATGCCGTCGGGGTTCGCAAAAAAACTACCGTGTTACACACCAAAAAGTGTAACTTTGGCCAGCCCACAAGGGAGGGCCAAAATGCTGGGTGATTTTGCGCAAGAGATTGCCGTTTTTTTTCCAAATGTGTAACACCTCGACTGAAAGCAAACACGCGAAAGCGCGAGCCTTCAGCTAGAGGCTCTGCGTCAAGTTTGCACACCACGCAAAAGAAGCTGGCCCCACGTCCGTGATTGAATTTCAGGGAACCTGCGGGCGCAGGCTGCTCCGTGGCTGTCTGAGAACATATCTCGCCTACAAGTCAAGCCGCGCATGCCTGATAGCGAAACACTCGTGCTACAGGGCTACCAAAACCCTGCCAATGTTCACCCGGAGGCGGTTTGCCACTCTTGTGACCGAGTCCCCTTCCATCTGTATTCGCTGCTTCATGTTCTCAGATGGGGCCAGGAAACAAAAGGCCAGTGAACCGCATTCCGGGCCAGCCATTGGGACCGGGGCGCCAAAATAGGTGCGCCCTTAGCTAGCTAGTCGCGGGGCTTCTTCAGCGAGAACACTGTACCAAAAACCTGCATCGCGACGTCCTCCTCTGCCTCCGGGTGATGTTCCGAGTAGTTCACAGTGTATTTCTTGCTTCGGGTTTTTTTCTTCTTGTTTTTCCTAGCCTGGGCACCCTCGCCTTCAAAACCCTTTGATGTTCTTGCCGACGTGGTCGGATCTGCTTCTTGTGGATACATGTTGTTAATATTCCTCGTGCCCCCACCGTCCCCGGTGCGATCGGTATGATCAAGAGCATCTTCGCTGCTGAGGTCGGCACAATTACGGTGCAACGGCGAGACAGCCGACATGCCGCCAAACGTAACTGACCCCTTCGCTGCAGCATCTGCATAGTGGTGGCCTCGCCCCTCTGACGAGGTTGGAGACGTGGACACTGCAGCAGTTAGTGGTCGGGCGCGATTCTGTGGCGCTAGCAGTAATTCTCGCGCATCGCTGCCTCCTGTGCCTTGGCTTTTGCCCTCATGATCCTGCGACCGAGGTGCGGCAGCGGGAAGAGTTGATGAAGTTGCTCCATTGTCTTGCGCTGCTGCGGCGGGCAAGCCGGTAGCTGCTCCTCCGAGCGGTCGTGTATCTATTCTCCTGTCCTCTAAGATCCCAGCAGGAGTGCGGCTAGTGGCTTCATCTTCACCATGGGTACGGTCGTTGTTCTGTTCCGGGTCCACCGACGAGTGCGCCGGCCTGCTCGTCGACGATGCTTTGCACTGCTGCTGCTCCCACGCGCTGACTATCGTGGGGCCGTAGCGAAAAGATTGCGGTTGGCTTGGCATCTCCCCCGGGTTCGCAAGAAACTTCGAGGAGTCGGCGCGACCGCCGCTGCGGCGCACGAAATTGCAACAGGACATGCCCTCCTGTGTCGCATCCGCGCCCGCGCGGCGCCTTTTGAAGCTGTACGAAAGCGATGCACCACCAGGTCTGGCGCTAGAACCCACCTTGCCATGATTGCCGCTGCCGAGTTGTTGCTCCTCGAATCCACCCCCTCCGGCCACCACTCCAGCAAAAGCCACCGCGGGCTCTTGTTGTTGCGATCGCGCATTTGAGACAGAGCGTGGATCCTTTTGTGCAGGGGTTTGTTCCCTTTCTTCTCCAAAATTGTACTCATGCTCATGATCCTCTCCACTAGAAGCAGAGTGGAACTCTGTCTCCGCCTCTTCTTCAGGATTCATATTGGTGTAAGGACTCAACAGCGCGGACGAGAACAAGAAGCTGCAATTTAAATTTCCACTAGCAACGCACACACAGAAACCACATCGCTTCGAACCAACACAACGAATGGTCGGAGCCGGGACGAAAAACAGTGCCGCAATTACCACAGATTTCGACCACGAAAGTAAAAGTCTGCACGCAATTCTTGGCATTACTATGTACAAACTCGCGCCTTGTTCCCTCGTGGACAACTAGCTTTCACTTGTGACCGAAAAATAGCGCCCTCTTGCTACGACTCTTCTCGAATGAAAAGCCTCTGTGCGTTTCAGGGAAAACGGGGCAGGCAGGTCAAATAACGAGTCTGCGGGGTGACGCAAATGCAGCATGCCAAAGTCACACTGAAGGACTGCGTCCACACATAGAGGGTTCGTTCACTTGTAAAATTGATAGTCATATCTACAACTTTAACAAAAATTCAAAAGAGTTCAGTGCATCTCTTGAGTTCAGTGCACCTTTTGAGTTCAGTGCACCTTTTGAGTTCAGTGCATCTTTTGAGTTCAGTGCACCTTTTGAGTTCACTAAACCTTTTGAGTTCTTCTTCGTCACACATCATACATAGTTCACGAGAGTTCACAAAATTCACAGAATTCACAGAGTTCACAAAATTCAATCTTGATCTGAGAATCATCAATCTTACAGTCATCATCTCATTCACCGAGCCACTATCTCGATCTTCAAGTCATAATCTCATTTAGAAAATCACAATCCATCATCTCGATCTCCGAATCCTTATCGCGATCTTAAAGTCGTAAATCCTTTTCGAAAGTCATAATCTTCGATCTCAGACACAATATCTCGATCGCAGAGCCTTCATCTCAATCCCATTCATAATCTCCATCTTGGAAAAATTATACACACTTTCATGCCATCACTATTCCAATCGTAAAATCTTCATCGCAGTCTTAAAGTCATGCTCTGCACTGAAAATCGCAATGCATCACCATCATCATATCGAATGGGCGGGGGGGGTGCGGGGGGGGGCGAGGGCCCCCCGCACTTATCTCGATCTCAGAGCCTTCATCTCAATCTCATCCATAATCTCCATCTTGAAAAAATTATAAACACTTTCATACCATCACTATTTCAATCGTGAAATCTTCATCGCAGTCTTAGAGTCATATTCTGCACTGAAAATCGCGATGGATGCATCACCGTCATCATATCGAATGGGCGGGGGGGGCGCGGGGGGGGGCGAGGGCCCCCCGCACTTCATCACCATCATCATCATATTGATCATCATGGTCATCATGTACGTGGGGCGGGGATAATAATCACCATCATCGTCGTCATTCATGAGATAGCCGCGACTCTTCAATCATCATCTTCATCATCATCGCCATCATTCCTATCCGAGAAGATAGCGGCGAAGAGCAAGCTGCACCGTGCGCCATTTCCTCAAAGGCGAGGCGGGGGCCGTGCTTCATTTTTGTTTTTCAGCTTCCAAAACACGAACGGCCTGACTTTTTTCCGCGCAAGCGACGACCGAGGGACCGACAAGTGGCGCGTGGCAGCGCCCTAACGCAAAGAAGAAGCCGAGCGGAAGACGAAAGTAGACCGATCGAGGCGCCACATTTCAACTACCCATCGACAAGCAGCTTCCTACGTAGGAGGCAACATTGGCTACAGACGCCAACGCGTCCACTTCGTTCTAATGACACCACATGCACAACAGTGGCGCAACACACGCTCGAGCTCCAGCCACAGGGAAAAACATTCTTTCGATGCGCGCGGCGTTTCCTCAACATGCGCAAGAGGGCCACGCGCACGGGGCTGCTAGCGTGCCGCTTGACAAATGTACTGCAATCGAAAATCAGCGTTGGGGTTTGGGTCTTGAAATTGAAAACACAGACACAGAGTGACAACCTAGCCGCGGAGACTTCCCAAAAACTCGCTCTCTTCTACAGCCTCTAGCTCGGCGCCCTGTCCTTAGATATTTCTGAAATAGTTCGGCCGCAGAGTCACGTCAGGCCGCAACTCGCGGAAAGCGCGATCCGCCACGTCTATAAAATTCTCCGAGGCTCGGTAGTCCAGGTCCATGATGTACTTCCCCGGGCGCCATGATATCAGCCACCAATCTTCGCCCGCAAGCATAGCACTGCCGGGCTCCTTTTGTCCCTTTGGTTCCTGCGACGTGAAGAACCAGCAAACAACGTGGCCGCTAGCGGCCTTCGAGTCCCCGACCCAGATGTATTCCGCACGGTTTGCGCCGTCGGCGCGCCCCTCTCTCTCCGAACCCGTGCGCCGGTGGTACATGGCGCCCCGAATTAAATCCACCTTCCGCCCCTTCTCATCCGGGTGCGTGATTTGGGAAATCAGGCTTCGACATTGGTTGCGGAGTGGAGAATGTTTCAAATAAGGCTTCTACTACTAGATGCGCGGCTGCACTTGCAGGAGAAGACGGCGCGCCAATGATGCAGACTTACCAAAAGGAGCGATGGCGCCAACTACACAACGACAGAGCTTCGTATAGCAATGGGCAAAAGCTAGGCTTTCTCTAAATGAATGTAAATGGTTGCAGTGGTAAAAAGAAAAGCAAAAGCTAGACCGTCGCTGTTCGGGGATGAATTGTGGATATGAGAGGGTGGGGCGATTGTAAGTATGAACCGCAGCAAGGCCCCTAGGGGTTCGCCAGCGCGAGGGCGAAGCAACCTGCCCGCGCCCCCGCCTGTGGCATACGTGCCCGGCGTAGCTTTTTGATCATCGTTTCTTGCTCCTGGGCCTGGCCTACTGCAGATCTCGCATGCCGGCTAGCCAGCATGACTGCGTGGCCGGCCGCGCAACTTGAACCTCTAACAGCCTTGGATGCGTATCTTCTTTTCTAATCGATCGTTTGCTTTTTTATCATCGTCTTATCATCATCATCATCATCGCCATCGTCTATCCTGCGCGGGGTATTGCGCAATAGAGGGCTAAGAAGTTTCTTCGTGGCAGCAGGAGAGGGCGATTTTAGTTCCTTCATTGCTGCAGACGCGACCTCTACTGTCTGGGTGGTTCTGATGTGTACGCAGGAAAAGTACGAAGTCGGACCCTCAATACGTACGCAGGGACAGAATCGCGCAAACAGGGGGGGGGCTTGCGGCGGTCTTCCCCACGACCGGGAAACTGCGGCGCCATCCCCCAACGAAGGCTTCGCGTGTGTTCCCTACCGAGTACCACTGCGCCTCTGCGAAAAAAGTTCGCGCAAGCGGCTCCGCGTTCCTGCGGGACGGGTTGGGGCCGGTCTCCCTCCCCCCAGGAGTGAACCGCCTTCCTTGCTTCCTCACCCACCACCCCCACTAACCCTACTACCCATTCTAGCGCAAGTTTGCGCTGTCACGCCGAGCGGGCGAAGCTATTCGATTCTCGTACAGTAACTATTGCTGCACTGTTCTTACTTTTGCGGTCAGGATGTATGAAACTGTGGCAGAGAAACATTATTGCGTCGTCTGTGGAAACGAAAAGCATAAAAACTCAAACATGGTTCATGACAGAAACATATACTTATTCACTACTTTTGCTACTACTTCTACTACAACTTCAGGTTGGTACATTGATAGGAATGAAGACTCAAATTCGCAGGGCGCACTGGTTGCGTTTGCGATAGCGGTTTCGAAACTGACACACGCATTTTTATGCGAAAAGCACAGCGGAGCACTGAGTAGGCACATACAAGAGCGAATCCTCCGCAAAGACGACAAGGGCGCTGCACGTACCAGCTTAATGTTGGTGGAAGATCACCGGAGGTTTTTGATGTAGCCGAGAGACGAGGCTGGCAGCTCCCCTTTGAACAAGAGGTCGACCTAGTTGCACCCAACCTTGTCCAGCAAGGCGACGCCTTCTGATGCAATCATCAGTCGCTCCAATCGGTGAGCCTCCGCGATGACTTCCCGCACCGCTGTCTTTTCGTCGCAGGAGTCCACCGTGGAGAGCGGCATCCGCATCAACATGAAAAGCGGCCCTACCAAAGAACTTCAAGAAGAAGAACTTGAAAGCATTTTTATTTTTACGCATGATGATATGATTATGATCGCAGCGCTGCTGCTTCCTGACGGAAACATTGACATTCGCATTTTTTCCACCTTCCTGAACATTCATTTCAATCCTCGATGCAGACCCGTATAGAAAAATTTGTGTTGCAAACAGCAGGCCCACCAACAGCGAGGCTTGTCGTGTAAGAGGTTATATGCTTCACGCCTAAAATCTAAATCAGGAAGCATCGTAGTCCTCTCATGCAGGACGAAGATCTTCCAGCATCTGGAACCTTTGCATCAGAAATCTTTGCCAGTTCTGGGGGCGGGGCAGTTTTCAGCATCGTAAGCCAGCAGCCTATCGTGTGATCGTAAAGGTCTAACTCACACAGCCGCTCCAGCGTTTCCGCCGACCAAACCGACACCCGGCGGTCAGCGCCCGCGGTGAGCAGAACCGCACTGCGAGGAGACGAGGACTTGTTCTCGTCAAAAACAACATCTCCCAATCGATGATTTGTTTTGACTTCCCGTCTACCATCATCAGACGGACTCGTATTTTCGATCAACTGGATGGAGGTGATCGCCCGACCGGCAAACGAACCCTCGCAGTGCACGTCCTCCGCCTCGCGCTGCAGAACTGTGCCGTTCCCCCTCTCGTTGAAAGAAGAAGCGTCCTCGAGCAGCTCTGCGACCAAAGGCAAATGCTTTCGTTGAAGTTTTTTTCGATACTCCGCACTCTGTGCCACGGCGAGTTTAGCCGCTAGACTACCATCTACTTCCGCGACACCTGCATTCACTTTCACGCTCCCGGACCCAGATGAATTAGACCCCATGCTCTTCAACATCTCCGCGCGGTTAACAAGTCCACTTGCAGCTCCATGCAACTGCTGGTTCAGAAGTTGCCCTCCCATTGCCGACCGCGAAGCGGCTCCCGTACGGACACGGCGCGTCTGCGCAGTATTGACTCCTGTGCGACCACTTGTTGCCGGCGCGGTGGAGGCAGGGCGCCCGTTCGAGATCGCCGCCCTGCTGACGGTCCCCCCCAGGAGAGATTCCGGCCCCGGCCGTGCTCTGCTACAGAAAAACACACCCATACCAGATACGTAGCAAAAATTGGAATTTCTGATGTAGTCTTTTACGAAATACAATTAAAAGTCGGCTTCGTCTGCTCAGCGTCACAAATCTGCTGGGTACCTTTCCGATTCTTTTCCCTTTGCCTTTATTTCCAGCAAATTATTAATTTCGAGTACTTATGTAATTGGCGACTTTGCATGCCAGGTTTCCGTCCTTCATTGGCAGGAAAAAAAAGCAGCACAAACTGTTTTTTCTGGTATCAGGGGCGTAAAAATTGTCTCTCGAATACGTGCCGCACGTCGCCGAGACGGCAGATCGAGCAAGCAGCCGAGCGTCGAGCCGCCAATCGCCGTGACCTCCTCCAGAAGATGAAATTCGTGGCTCTGCACTTTCACATCGACAGCTGGACTTGCCGTTCTTCCCGCGTAGTTCAACATTTCCGAAGGGTCATCTTCCACCATCAATGCACGGGTGAGGTCCCAGCAGCGCAGTGCTCCGCTTTCATCCCCTATGAAGAGCCGCAGCTCGTAGGCGAGGTCGGTCGCACATTCTTCGTCCTCAGCAACAACTTCGTTCCGGCCTCTGCTTTCTCCTGGTGTAGTTCCAGCCGCCGGTCGTGTCGCAGCACCGTAGTAGTTGCTCCTCGGAACAAAGGTCTTTGTTGCAGTGGTCGCTTGATGTTCACCAGTAGTAGCTGATCCACCACCTTCTAGAAAACTAGCATCAGGTGGCTCGAGAATCAAGTGAAACGCAAAGGCCGTAATGCATCGTGGCTGGTCCATCGTGGAGCGCACATTCAAAAACCGCGACACTAACGCAATCTCGCAGAAGTCTCGCTGGTCCTTCTCTCTTCGAGCCGGCTGTTGTTCCGTTCCGGAAGTAGATTGTGCACCATTCTGCTGTTGTACAACTTCTAGCACCTCCGTAGCATAATTCCCGTGTAGTTCCCGCAGCCCGCCAGTTTCTTTCGCAGGCGGCGTTCTCCTCTGGCCTCCGCTGCGACCACGCACGCCCGGCTGGAGAATGTCCAGTCGCCAGAGCATCACATTACCCTCGCTGTCCCCGGAAATCAGCAGATAGTCGACAAATTGCAGCGCTGTGACGCGGCCGGAGTGGCCGGCGAGAAACGCCCCCGTGGTGGAGGCATGCTGCGCCGCTGCAGCAGAAGACGGGGCCGCGGCGGCGCCCGCTGATGCAAGCACACCCCCCGGATACTGGCTCAGTTTTGCGTAGTTCCGAAGGTGGATGACGCGGTCGCTGCCACCGGTTGCGATCGCATCCAGTACGGGCGAGAACGCGACACACAGAATGTCCGCGTCGTGGCAATTGGTCACAACCCGGCACGGCCCTCGGGTCGTGGCTCGCGTCGTGCTACCAGAAGTAGAGGGTGAAGTAGCTGCGCTACTAGAAGTTGTTGTACTTCTAGCAGCTCCCGCAACTACGTTCGGATGCTGCTGATGTTGGTGAAGATGCTGTGGTGCGCGCCCTGTAGTACTTGATGTTGCCGTCATTTTATTTTTAAAACAGCTGAAATTATGTTGGACGTCACCGCGCTCAACAACATCACCGCTCGCATGCTTATCACGGCTGCCCGACGTGGCCTCGCAATCGTGGATCATAAGCGCTTTGTCCGCGCCGACGGACAGTAACGATTGATGTTTCCCGCACCAGTGCAGTATCCAAGAAAAAAACTGTGTTAGTGTAAGTTTCTTTGGCTGACAGCATGACAACTTTGCTCTACATGACAGAGAAAACCTGTCATGCGCGGCTTGTAAGGGAAAACACACATGAAAAGAGGACATCATGGCTGTCTGGCATGACAGGCGTAACTCTGTGGCATGTTCTGCATTACAGAGTTACACTTACACAGTTTTTTTCTTGCATATGCAGCTGCGAAATTTCACCGACGTGCTCGTTCGGAAGAAACCGCCGGAAGTTGAAAGTAATCCCGTTCCACTCTGCAATGCGCCCCAGCGAATCGGCAACGTACAGGCGGCGCTCACTTGGCAACTCTAAACACATGTCTGTGATGAACGCGTCCTGCTGATCCTGGCCGCTCCTCGCCCTGCTCTGCGTTGCTTTTGACGTCCTCGCACAGTCGGAGCCGTTGCTCATCATGGAACTACTACACGACCCAGCCGCGGAAAACGCTGATAGCGTCCGCTCCAAGTGTCCCGACGCTGCGTTCCACGTACGAATGCGGTTGCCCGTGTTAGCGGTCCAAACGCGGTTCCTATGAAACACCGCCCGACAGACGGTTTGCTCGTCTGCCACTGGGGTCACCGCTCCTGCTGAAGTGGCCGAAGTGGGCAACATCTTCAGGCCCCCGCCTCTGTTGCCAACCGCATTTGTTCTTCCTGTGCTGTCACTGCTAGCCCCTGCCCCGGACGAGGAGGTCAAAGCAGTATCAGTGGAAGACGCATCGTCAAACACAAGCCAGGACTTCGCGCCGCACCCCGCCAGGACGATACGGGCGCACTCCGGTACGAAGCACATCGTGCTGATAATTTTCCGGCTCCCTCCAGCACTGGGGTTCGCAGATGCGATTGTCGCAACGGCACTGAAGCTTTGTACGCAGGTCAGCTGGAAGACGTCGAAAACCTTGCAGACCCCAGCTTCGTCCGCCGATACGAAGAAGTTGTGTCGCGATGTTGCCATGCGCTTGTTCACCGGACCTGCACCTCCCGTCTGGTGGGGATGGGATCCACGGCCTCCACCTCCGGACGTGCTCCCAGATGTCGCGCTCCCTCCGCGGCCCAGGAACTCCACGCCAACGAGGGCAGCGGAGTGCTGGTTCTTCTCGACCAGACGCCCATTCCCCGTAAACGGGTTCCACACCAGCAACCGATTGTCGAAGCCACCGGACACCAACTTCTTCGCCGCTTCGGAGTAGGCCAGGCAGGACACCGCGAAGTGGTGGCTGGTGTCGCCCGCGAGTTGCCGCTTCAGAGTTCCGTTCTGCGTGTCAAAAATCGCCACCGTGCCATCCATAAACCCGCAAGCAATATCGTTACCGGTCGACGCAGCTGGAAGCGCTTCTTCCAAGGAGGTTCGTGTGGGGGAGTTCGCTTGGTCGGAAGGCTCAAAGGTCGCGCTGGTGGCGGACGATGCCGCGGGGGTCGACGAGGAATTGGATAGGTTTTGCAGCAGCCGCATGCAGGTGATCTTTCTCGCTCCATGTGGTTGCGGCCCTCCAGCATGTGGTTGCCGCGAGGACGACGAACCGTGAATAAAATTACGGTACGATCTCGTGCCCGATGGCGAACTGTGACCGAACAAGTTGTTCCCCCTGTTCCTTTTCCCACCCCCGCCGAGGCTGATCACGTATTCCGGCTTCGTGAACGCGCTTTCCAGCAACGCACCCGAGGCGGCGTAAAGCTGGTCAGGGTGCTGGTAGTCCAGAACCGTTTTCGCCACATCGTAAACCTTGATCTCGTCCTCAGAAGAAGCCGCGCAGCTGCGCGCATGGAGGGAATGCCCACCGCCCCGGGGGCTACTCGCGAACGCGGCGCCACCGCTCGTCACTTTTCCTTTTCCCGGGGAGGTTGCGCTGGCGTAGTTCATTTCCGTGGTTCCGTGTTCTATCGTGCCAGAAGTCGCGCAAACGACAAACAAAAATTGGGATTTCGGGCAGTACTCGAGGAGCATTCCGGGCGTCGGAGAGTGCTCCTGCTCGTGAATCCACCTAGTTCGATCGGCGGATGATGATTCCGTGGCGTCCGCTGGTGCGACGTACGTGCCGACGCGAATTACAGCCTTGTTTATGGCAGAGAGTGTAATCCCGTCGAAGAAAACAATACTGCCATCCGCATTGGACACCGCGATGTACGGACGCCGCTCTAGCACGAAGGGCTTGTACGCAAGCACAATGCCGCGTGCACTTGTCTGCTGCTGCTCCTCCCCGGACTGCGAGGCCGAGGAGGCAGACCCCCCGGCTGCAGCCGCGCAACTCAAGTACCTCTTGGTGTGAATCCCTCGGCGCTCGCTTGCCGTGGCAATCCGCTCCACCACGGTCTTTTTCCTCGCAGCGCCGCCGGCCCCTCCAGTTATTTGCTGCACCGTGCGCACCGCGAAGCTACCGCGTCCGAGGTTGTTATTCGTGTCTACTTTCGCTTTCACCTGCTGCTTTTCGAACGACGCCCCTGAAGTGGTTGTTGTACTACCTCCGTCGAACTTGCCTCGCGCGAAGAGGTCCTCGGGAGCGCAGAAGTGAAGTAGCGTGCGGTCTTTTCGGTCTTGGTAAAACAGAAGCTGCAGGGGAGGAAACCAGCACACCTGCGTGATTTCGTGAAGATTCTCCGGCACAGGAGCCCCTAGGTTGTTTTTCGTCCCCTGCAACGGCATGGCGGGCGCGGAGCAGTTCTGCGCCTGCTCCATGAGCCGTGACGGCTGAAAGTGCACCCGGATGGTGGAGAGAGAATCGCTAGCACGCGCCTCGGAGGACGAGCTAGCGGCAAGAGGGGCCTCACTGGCCGTTGCTGTACCAGAGGAAGATGTTGATCCCGACGCAACATTGCAGCTGCCTCCGTGCTCGACGAGGAAGTCTAGAAACTCGTCCCACGAGAGACATTCGTGGTAGATGTCGCGGCCATCGCAGGCAAGGCGAAACATCTCCAGCAGTTCGGGAAACAGCACTTCATCAGGCAGCAGGGACGCGTCAAAACTGTCCACCGCCTGGTTCTGCAATCGGGATGAAAGCGACTTTCGCATCATGTAGGTCTTACCTGTATAATCCACCAGCGTGGTGCCGCCGGACCAAGAACCCCGCGGTAATTTTTTCGCAGATGGCGGGACACCTGCTGCTCCGCTTGCGGTGCCCGAATTGGAGATCATGGGAAGCGGGGGCCCTAAGCTTTGCTGCTGTAATATGTGGCGCTTCATAATGAGCAGAAACTGTGCGGCAGAAACGCCGTGGTTCTCGACGCTCTGCTCCGAAAAAAAAGCGAAATCCCGCTGCAGTTCCTCGATGCGCAAGTAGTCGATGAAGCGCGAGGGGCCGCCTGAAGGCACAACAGTACAACCTCCACTTTTACTCGCGGTTGTTCCGTGCGGTTCTTCCCAAGTTCTGTGTCCCCCGTCGTGGCCAAAATCCACCTCATCGTTCCGCTTAATAGTTGTACCCGTAGTATCGACTGCAGTCCTCGCATGATTGTCTGCGTGGGCTCTGGTGTAGTTTCCGGGAAGTTCTAGTGAGTCATCCGCGGCGGAGCCGGCGTGGGTCAAGAGGGTTGGCAAATTCTCGTGCTGGTCAGACGCTGCAGCCCCCTTTGCCGAAGGAAACAATAGATGGCCGTCTTGCCCGTCCGTTAGAAACGTGCAAGGCGCGTACGACTGGATCACAAGATCCACTATTTCGCTCCGCGCTGCCTGCTTTCTGCTGCCACCCACTGGCATCGCCATCATGGAACAAGGAAACCGAACTTAATACTTATATGCCGCCCCAGGATTTTTGAGTGAGCAGCACCACAGGGAAACAAACTTGAACGCTCCGCAAAGAAGAGAATGCGTTCGTAGACAACTGCTCAACATAGAGTCTACAACACGAGAAAGGCCCCCGTCGTAAGTGCTTTAAACAATTCTTCCTCGCATCGGCCTGCCCCTCTTTTGGTCGCTCATCGCCATCAAGTTGTATTCAGTGGCATCACCATCGTTGAAGTGGCATGTCAAAACACGTCGCTCCAGCAGGGGACGTCCTGAAAAGGAAAGACCTCCTCTTTCCTAGGAATCAAAAAAGAAAAACGCATCGCACAACTACATATGAACCACAACACGAACACCCAAAAACTTACTATAGAGAGAGGCAATTTCGTCCCAGCCTCTTGTTGCACTCAAAATATCAGCCCAGATGAAGACGAATCATTGCTTCTTTCAGCAGCCACTCTTGCTTCGCAATTACCGAGAGCGCCCGCGATTAACGCGGACCAATCCTGCTTTAGTGTTGCAAACGCAACGGCGGGGTCATTGCGAGGGAGCTCCTTGAATTTTTGCAAAGTAAATTTGAACCCGTTTGAAACCCGGGCACCTCCGTGATAACTCCCGGTGCACAGTGTCAGATCAGGTGTGCGCGTGAAGAAAACTAGCATTTGTCCCTCGCGCGGCCGCACTTTCAACAAAGACGTAGTACGCGGCCCCGTGGCAGCCGAAACTGGATCCCTCTCTACATCTCCTGGCCTCTTCTCTGAGGCCGCAGCTTGCAGGAGCCGGCCCTTCGCTGCGACAATTTCCGGGTAGACAGCTCTCGCTGCCGCCGTCAGCTGCGGCATATGCAGTACGTCCTCCAATAGTTTCCGAAGCCCGATCTCTCCGAACAGCTTATCGACGCTGCGCAACTCGTTCGGCAGGTTCTCTAAAAGCCGCTCCCTCTCCTCGTCAACGAGGTCGGTGTGCAAGACCCCATGCCTGTGCAACAGCGCCGTATCTTCCGTTTTCGGCAGAAAAACGGTCTCCCCGCCCCCATTTCTGGGTAAATCACTCAGATAAATGATCGCTGTCGCATACCGGAACGGGCGCCGGTTGGCATCCAAATGGATCCCCAGGTGGAACACTGACTTCGGCTCCTCTTGCTGCTCCTGCGAGCTACCCATGGCTTGTTGCGGCGGGGTCACCATGGCCATTAGCGGGTCCTCCCCCGGGTGGCGCGGGCAGTTTAAAAGCTCTCCCAGCCCATTTTCTAGGCGCTCGAGCACCTCCCTCGCCTCGGACCCGACCGGGTAGCTTTCGGGGGCCAAGCCCGTTCGCAACTTCGTACTGAAGGTCCGGCCTTCATACGATTTCAGAATTAGTTTGCGCAGGACCTCGCATTCCGACTGCGAGAGAAAATCTGTGAACAAATAAGCGGCCGGTCCGGTGCTGGACAGCACCTGAGAAGAGGTGGCAACAGGCGTTGTTGCACCTGCTTCCACACGTCCATCGGCATCGAGGTGCTCGTCACATCTGCTCGTGAGTAGATTGCGAGCCATAATCCCATCTTCTTCCTTGTGGACTACAGCAGGAACCAGAAGATTATGACCCGCCGCGTCCACCACCTGCTTGATGTTTTCCGCTCCTTTTTTATTCCCGGTGGTCTTTGTCGTGTCTATTCCGTGCCTTCTTTCCAGCTCCTCCAGGTTCTGCACACTCCTCGCGTCGGGCTCTTCCTCCGAGAGCACGCCCAGTCGGTCATATTTGCGCTCGAACAAGGCTTCCCACTCCCGCAGCGCGACGAAGTTCTCCCTCTTCAGGTCGACTAAGTCGCTCCTACCGATGTGCTCCAGGTCGAGGGCGGTGAGCGCAAAACTACGCGTACACACCTTTCCCGCAAACCGATGGTAGCCCCCACCGAACCCGTACAAATCTGGGCGGCAGGAAACATCGTACACTTTGCCTAGCAACCCCACGCCAAGTTGCAACCCGCTCTCCCCGTCCAACTCGGATAGCTCAGCTGCAGTCCATGATCTTGTAGTGGTACTTTCTAAACCTGGCATTACGTCGTGTGCATGCATGCGATGATGATATAATTCTTCGGCAAGACAAAAAAGTATCGACAGACGAGGAACCACGTAGTTCCTTTTTGCAGCAGCCCGGCTTCGTGATTAGTGCCGCAGCAGAAATCATAGTCACCAACCGATCAAGAAATCGCGAGTTCAGGTAATTTTGAAGCATTTTTCCGCATTTACGTAGTTTGCTTAGCTTGTGTTAGTGCCCCGTTTGTTCCAAAAAAGCACGAACACACATCGAGGTTTCGAACACAAAAAGCGGCTCAGCACGCAAGTCTTTTCTTTCGTCCCAGTAGCGGAAATGGAAATGGAAATAGTCCCAGTAGCGTTCGAAGAATAAACGGTCAAGAAGTACAATTGAGCTCGAGAACCCGAAGGCCAATACATGAATTATGGGGTCGTCAACGTTGTATTTGCCTCAAGCTGTAAAAAATTTTCCGCGCGCCTTTTTTTGTATTTGATATCCATCATGTTGCACGCATATAGCCTCTCGCTACATTGCATACCGAATGAACTAGCTAGCTTCTTCGCAGCACTTCTCGGTGGCTAAAGTCGGAGCTATCCGGCGCTGCTGCTCCACGGACTTGCCTCGGAGCGCCCCTGCAGCCTGGAGGTGCTGCAGCAGGTCCTCCTGCAGTCCAGCCGCTAGACAATGGGCCTCAATCTGTGCAGGTCGGTCGGGGCCAAGGGCGCAAACGCAACCGGCCGCGGCTGCGTTTCCGCTTGTTTCTAATGTCGCGCAGCCGTGCGCGCTTTTTCCGGCAGGCGCGCGCGCCTTTTGCCTTTGCGGCTCGTTCTTGAAAATGCGAAAAGCCCGAGAGCCTTTCGGAAAGGCTTCCCGGAGGGGTTCCGGGACCCCTTTTGGGGAGGGGTAGCACCATCGTGATTCGAAGAAAAAGCGATAGCCTTTTTTTTAGGGTTCCGGGCACCCCTCCGGCCCTCCCTCTTTGGGGGGCCTCCGGAAAGGCCTTCGCGGCCAACATATGCGTGTGGTGCCCGCTAGAGACGACGACGCCAAGGCCTGTGTAGACATCTCGTGGGGCGTCTGCAGCCTCACACCCTAACCCAGGCCATAGCGGCAAATGGCTGCACGGAGAAAGCAATCCGGAAAATGGAGCAAAATATTGCGCGCGCCCGGCGCTTTCTAAGTGAAAACGCCAGCCACAAAAGAACCCTCTGTGCCCCGCCCTCCTCCGCGTCAATACTCACTTACCTACTAGAGCACTGCTGCTGACAAGCTAGCTAAAACAAACCGCGCTCGAGTCAGCCCCTCACTTGCGGGCACAGGTTTACTAGCTTCCCGCCGCGAAAAAATGCGCGCAGAAATTTTTTTACGGTCTGAGGCAAATACAAGTTTGACGCCCCCATATGAATGGTCAATCAATTTTAAGAAAAAAAGCGGTTACTAGTACGTAGAGTGGGAATGGGAAATTTTTACCAACTACATGAAAACTGAGAATGAAAGCTTTAATTTTACAACTGAAACTACCAAATGGTGCAATTACAATACAAGCCAGAATGTCGATGTCGAGGGATGAGTGTATGCATCCCTAAACAGGAAGCGCACCCTCCGTTACAGCATTCGGTCTAAAAAGACATGCCCTGTTTGTACCTGGTGGGTCAACAGTGACAAACAGGGAAGTGAGATAACGATAAGCATCAGGTGGCGGTGTGATTACAGAATATATAAATCTGCTCTCCGCCAACTAAACTAACAATCAGGGACACGAACCAACAGTGACTGGTCAAGATTTATTCATGACAGGTCGGTACTTACTGGAGCCTTATCCTTGAGACTCTTATTTTCGCCCTTGCTGGCGACGTCGCCCGACTCGTCATTGTAGTTGACTCCGTCATCGAGCTGCACCGAGAGATTTACCTCGGCCTTGTCCCGTTCGATCTTCGGCACCAGCACTGTGCCCATCAAGAACGCGAGGGCCATAAATCCAGCACCTGCGAGGCCGACCGACAACATTTTGTTCGTGGTCCGCTCTACCAAGACGCCGGCGAGAATCGGCGCCAAGATCTCTGCAACGCCGTACTATCACAATGAAAAGTGCCCCCACCCCCGAACTTGGGAGCATTTGTATTGCAAACCTTTCCAACTGAAACATTCGCCATCCTGCATCTATCTGCATCACAGATTTCCAACCGTGAAGAGCAAAAATTTGTATTGCAAGAGACCCCAGCAAGAGCGGTGCTTCTCATGCAAGCGATGCGATACACGCCGAGACTCTGCATCAGAAAGATTCATACTCCTTTCATGCATGACAAAAAAGTTTCATTTGGGAACTTCGCATCAAAAATTTTTGCAACTTTGGGGGTGGGGGCATTTTTCACTGTAATACGTACACCACGTGGGTCATGGCGATGGCGTTGCCCTTGTTCACCGTGCTGACGGACAGGGACTATCAGAAGAAAAAAGTTCGTCACGACCACTCATGAGTATTTTTGCAATACAAAAAATGCCTGTCATGCGTAAAAATGCATCAGAGCCTTTTTCATAAGGGATTTCCCTTAGTGTTTCTGCAATGCAAAGAAAAGTTGTGATGCTAAAAAAATTTGTAATGCAAAACCCCCAAGACAGTGACTGTGACAAACTTTTTTCTCTCCATAGGGACATCATGGTCACCAGTACGGTTTCGCCGACCGACAGAAACATCCCCAAAATGCTCGAGATCGTGATGTAGAAGGCCAGCTTGCTCGCCTGCGTGGTGATGTTCGCCTGCTCCGCTATAGTCTGCACCTCGCCGTAAAAGACGAACAAACCCAGCGCCAGCGATGCGTTGAGGAGAAAGATCCACTTGTCGTTACTGAAACAGAGCGTGAACGGGTAGAGCAAGATCGCATTGGCGACGATGACTGCGGCGGCGTTTGCAGCGATGAACACCCCCTGTTCGCTCGACTTGAAGCCCAGCACCTTGTCCGTGATGTTCTGCTGACTGGTAAAAAACATCAGCTTCCCGAAGGAAAACGCCAGCTCCACCAGGAAGATGCCACGCAGCACCGGATTCGTGAGAAACAGCTCGTAGAAGCTCTGCGGCTGCTCCTGCTCTGTCTGCACGCCCGCCTGCTCCTCCGCAGAACGCTCCAGCAAGTCGGTTTCCTCGTGGTCCCGGCGGGGGGTACTTCGGGTCGTCGTGGCACCTCCGAGTCCCGTGGTCGCCACGACACTGGCGTGCCCCGAGTGCTGCCGTACCACCCCCTCGATGGACTGCGTGCGCTGCACGACGGGCGAGCGCGACCGCTCGACGGCGCCTAGCCCTCCTCCGGCCAACGGAGGCACTGCGAGCGCGCCCTGCGTCTCCGCGGACATCTGCTCCGCACTTTTCCGCCCGAGCGCGACGATCTCCGTTTGGGAACCTTCCTGCAGTTCCGAGACCGTCGGGAGAAACGCGAGCAGAATAATCGCCATGGCGATCGAAAGCCCGAACCCGATCCAGAAAGGCGTGCGCACGCCGGCCTTCTCCGTCACGTAGCCGCCGAGAAACGCGCCCACCACGCGGCCCAGGTTGTACATGATGTAGACGCGAGACAGCGCGACGACGACACTCCGCATGGCGTCAATCACCGTCAGCTGCTCGTCCTCGGGGTCCTCTCCCCGGCGCAGGGCGCGGATTTTGTTCGCCGCCTTGTAGTTCAGGCAGGCCTGGGCGTGGATTTTCGCGATCATCGCGGACGTGACCAGCATGGCCGACATGAACAGCCCCGGGATGCGGGCCACATACAGCCCGATCATGTTCTGCGCCAGCACAAAGGCAAGGTTGAAACTCGCGTTGCCAAACGTGAAAGCCACGATCAGGATGATCTTCGGCCCGATCCGGTCCACCAGGTGCCCGAACACTATCGCAAGAAAAAACTGTTTCACTGTGAACTTGTGATGCAGAAAATGCATCACTGAAGTGTTTGTCTTGCTACACATGCAAGACAAGTGATTTTTCGCGGTGTTTTCCCTTAGGATCCTCGCATGGCAAGTTTTCTTTGTAATGTGTAGCAAACTTGTAATGCAAAACTTGCAAAATCTTGTTTACAGGGAAACAGTTTTTTCTATACGATAAACACCAGGGAGGCGATAATCTGCGTCACGCCAAACACCGCCTGGAGCCACCCGAAGTCTTCGGCGTTCCCCCCAAATTCGTCCGTCAGCTTGATGACCGCCGTCGCCTCCACCAGCCAATAAGAGAAGCCGTACATGAACGTCGAAAGCATCAGCAGGTACACGGCAAACAAAATCTGCCGATCGCTCTCCACCACGGGTTCGGGGAACCCCAGCAGAAACGCCGAGCTACACTCACACGACATTTTTGTGATAATAATTGCAGGACTTGGTTGTTCTTTTAGATGATTCCAGTTGTAAAGATAGAAATAGAAATTAGAAAATGAAGAAAAATATTCACCGCATTATTTTAGAAGGGACATGGAGGGCGGCATGATGCAGTTGTAATCGTCGTCGAAACTGAAACTCGAGGAACAAGTAGAAAAAAACCGCATTTTAATCAGCTCGGTAGAAATTAATACGATTGATCTATCCAAACTGGGGGGTCCTGGAAGAAGTGATGAAGCCGATAGGTAGGCTCCTACAACTACGATGAAGTTCTAATAGTCATTCTTTTGCTCTATGGACTAGTAGGCTCGGATTAGGGAGCAGCGCTGGAGATGACTATGAGGCGTCGCCCTTGATTGTCATGCGATATGTGCTCGCGCGGCACAAACTCGGTCGCTCCGTGTCGTTCAGCAGTGTCGCCAAACCGCCAGACTTGTCCGTCCTTGGCGTAGTCCTCACCGCGACCGCTTGGTTGTGTGTGCACCTCCATCGCCTCCGCGATCGATGGAAATTCCGCAAGTGATTTCGAGCACCAGTCCTGCGCGTCTCCGCACCGCAGTGAAAGTTTTCAGCTCGTTTAATGCTAGTAACGAAAACACGTCTTTTTTTCCGCAGTACGAGGGAGGCACGGGCACCGAAAAAGCGTAGAATCGTTGAAAATCATCGGAAACGAAGCGCTAGGCCGATATTTGATACTCGAACGAATGAATCGCACGACCGACGTCAGCTTTTCTTAAATTTTTTTCTTTGCACGATGTACAGAGACAGACGACTCGTATCATTAATTGAAGGCAATAAGTTATCCCGAGAAAAAAGTGTTACAGTTACACACCTGTTGGAGTTTCTGCATCACAAATTTTCTCTGTGTGGTAGAGAAAACTTGTAATGCGAAGATCACAAGGGAAAACAGGAAGGAAACGAAGCTCCGAAGCATTTCCTGCATGAGAAAGGTTGTCTCTGTTGCCAGTCTTGCATGACAATGTGTAACTGTAACACTTTTTTCCTGTGATATAAGTTAAGAACCGAGAAACGCCATTATTGCAACTCTATCCACGGCCAGTGGCAGCACCGCATGTGACAAACCGACTTTTTCCTGAACACCAGAAGCGACAAAATTATAATCTACCATCTTCGTACAAGGAGAAACAATCGTACGCCAATGTGTATCGTTATAAAAGTGTATGTACGGAAGCGTCAGAAATTGTACAATAAGCAAAACGTTACGAATTCTGTGCTGCATGCAAAAGGGAATAAAGTCGTATCATTATTATTTCAAGTGAAAGCTTACCAGTAAATTTTTCATCTTACTTCCATCTTTTACGTGCAAAAAATCCTTGAAGTGATATACTATACTCGCATGTTGTTCTTCTCTGTACTAACGCATCTTCGGAGACTTGTCAGCATCGGGTTCCGCATTTGATGAAGATGCAACGGAAAACTTTTCACGTTCAACGGTCTCACCAGGCCTCTGGAAACCTAGGAAGTTTCCAACTTGAAATCAAATTCATCTCCCTCGCCGCTGCACGCCTGCTCGGACTGTTTGCGCCGGCCGAGGCCGAGAGCTTTTTCGTAGCACCGCTCTTACTACGTCCTGTGTCGGCACTTCCGTTAGGCCTCGACTCGCGCAGCAGCTTCTCGACTCCCTGCTTCTGGTCGATGCAAAACGGGAGCTTGCGCTTTCGCCCGTCCGCGGAAAACATGCGGTTCGCCCCGTGGCTAACACGGGCGGCTAGCAACTCGATCTTATTCAAATACTCCTGAAATTGCTGCAGCTCCGCACTGAGCTCCGTTTCCAGCTTGGTGTGCGCCGCCGCATGGAAACCCTTGCACAGAATGCTCATGTCCTTGCTGCTGGCCGCCTTGGCTATCACGGAGGTGGCACTCGTTGCAGTGTGCGCCGCTGCTCGGCCCAGGTTTGTCCCATCTGCGGCTAGCAGCATCTTGTGCAAAGCGCCAAAAAGCTCGTCCACGTCTGCGAACACGTGTTGTACACACAACGGCCCGCCGTGCTCGCTTGTTTCTCCCAGCTCCGCCCTGAGTTCGTCTTCCATCAGCTGACAAAGTCTGGGGAACAGGACGTGGCAGCAACTCTGTTCCTCCTGTTGTTGCGCCCGGCTGTTGTAAAACATGGATCGATAAGAACCATTTTCACTTTGCTGTGGGTTTTCGCGCCGCTTTGCAATCGAACTTTTTCTTCCATGCACTTGTCGTACTAATCCGTTTTCGGCCACATCGACCAAACCAGCGGTCAGCGCATTCAGCAGAATTAACGTATCTTCATCGACCTTACTTCGATTCGGGTCAACGAAATTCTCCTCCATGGGCAAGAGTCTTTGAGAGATCAAGAAGCTGACAAACTCCTTTCTTCGCACAAACAGCTGCGCGCGGGGACGCGCACAAGAGGGGGCATCTCCGATGGTAGAATGAAAGCGATTTTGATATAACCTGCTCAGGTGTTACAATCTCAAACGTTACAACAGAATCTAGAATTTGTGTTGCAAAATGCACAACATCTGGCCTACTCCCACAGGAGCGCGCATGACAAGTTTCGGAACTCCAAACCGCATGGAGATCTGCCGAAATTTGTATTGCGAAAAGCCCAAGTCTCTCTTTGGTATTCATGCTGTTCATGCAACACAAATTTCAGATTCTATTGTAACGTTTGAGATTGTAACATCTGAGCAAGCCATATCTGAATTTTCACGTCTGGTGGCATGGGAACGACATATCAAAAGGAAAAATCCCCCCTCTGCGAGAAGACGATGGCAGAAGCTTCCGCTTCATTATGGAAGCGCTTTGTCATGCTGTTGGGCCTAAAAGTGAGCCGCTTGCCATGCTGAACAACTAGACCCGTACGCCCCTACCTAGCCTGGGGATCTGGCCGCAGTGCCTCTCTGCAATACAAACCTGATTTGTGTACGCAAATCCAGCATCAGAAATTCCGTTTTGATATGGGGAGGGAGGATTTTTCCTTTCGATACGACATTCCGCACACCGATGCACCGAGCAGCACCTTTCTCGTACTCCCGACGCGCTTCCTCTGGAATTGCCGCTAACCTCGCAGCGACCTGGAACGCTCCTGCTGCTCCAGAGGACGTAGTAGTTGCCACTTCCTTCACTCCGATAGGAGAGGATCTACTCCGAGCAAAGGCGCCCGGGCCACGACCTGCAGACGACGTAACTATCCGCGAGGCCTGAAGCACGCGACTGCTACTGCTGTGTCTGAGTCGCCGGGCAGCCTCCGTCTGTTTGTTCCGACTTCTTATACGGGCTTCGTAGGCTGAAGACGAGAGCGAGTGGTGTTCCTCAGATGAACTACTGCTGTCAATGATCATGTCCACATCCAGAGAAGTGCCACCACTTGAATGGAGCGCAAACCGCGTTAGCTTCTTCTCCGCGACAAACTTGAAAACATCGTAAATTTCGGCCAGTTTCTGCAAGTGTCCGCTGTTAGCGTCGGTGGGCTTGTTTCCGAACTGGCTGCTTCGCATTTCCAATTCCTCGACGGCGGTCTTTACGCCGGCGTAACTGACGACGGACGCTCGGATGACATTCAACAGACCGAACCCGCAGAGAAAAAAGTGGAACAGAAAGATGTACCCCAAGGACGGGTAGCAGCCCAGGGCGTGCCGGACCACGTCGTGCAGAACGCGGGTATCCATGAAGGCCACGCGCGTCAACTGCACGAAGCTGCGCGTCGTCGTGCCAAACCGCTTCGTTGAGTTCCACCCCGACATCTTGCTGTACTGCTGGAATGCCTCGTAGTTTTGCTTGTACTCCATGGCCACGTAGAGCGCCAGCACGTACGACAGAATGCCGAACAGAAGAAAACTCCACACAATCGTGGAAAATATCTTCGTCAAGGAAACTCGCGTCGCCAACGAGGACGGCCCTCGTCCTTTGGAGGTGCTCGTACTTTTCAACGTCCTTGTTCTCGGGCGAGGGCTACCTTTGTTCCTATTCGATTGCCCGTCCCCTTGGCCGCCCGTTAGCGTCTTGAGAAAGTCGCGAAACGCCAGCAGTTCCTTCTGCTCCTGGGTCTTCTGGAAAAACAGTGCCTGGATCGGGATGCGCACGCGGACGAGCCACAGCAAAGCGAGCACTTGGAGGAAAAACGCGTCGCTCCGCGTGCTGGTCGCGGGCGTGGCAACGAAGAGGTAAAACAACTGCGTCAGCGTGGCGCCCAAGAGGAGCAAGACTTCCACGACTTCCGGCCAGGAGATCCAAGGAAATAAAACCGAATTCGGTTTCGGCTCGGGCAGCGCAGTTGTATTAAACATACGACCTCGTCCTGCTTGGTGCGCCACCAAAAAATCGTTTTGATGTGATGTCATCCAGATTAGCCGACGCACCACCAGTGTGTCCAACAGGAAAAAGATGCCATTCGCCAACTCCACCGTGATCAGAAGCAATTTCCAGGTGCTCTCCGTGATCTCCCGCGAGAACACGGGATCGCAGCGGAACGACAAAAACCCGGTGTAGGCGAGGATGCAGAGGCAGCGGAAGCGCAGTGCCTTTTTCTTTCGCATCAGCAGTGCATTTTTCCGCTTCACACGCGAGAGAGCGGCACTAGTATCAGCCTCAGAGGAAGCACCGTAGTTCCACAAGTCCTCGTCCTCGTCACTGTCCTTTGCGAGCTGCTGTCGAATATGCCCACGCATGACTTCCAGTTCCTGTGCTGTGTATTTGGAATTAGAGTAAGCGTGCTCGGAGGCATCGACAAGCTCCGCCAGTAACCAACATTCTTGATCAGCACTTGTTGACGCGCTGACCCCAGAGCTCTTCGGCGCGGTCGTCGCGGTCGTGGGAGATGTTGGACTCGAGCTAAGCGGAGACGTCGGACTGGTTCCGGAATAAACCTTCTTGCCCGCTGTGCGGTACCCCTCCTGGTCGGTTTTTCGGGCGCCTGCATGGCCGCTGCTTAGACGGTGCCGAATCTGAGGCCGGGCTTCGTTGCTTGCGTTCCCGAAAAAAATGTCGCGCTGCAGCTGCGCTATTTCCTCGTCGTCAATATCCAGAAGCGTGAGCGACGGCGACCCGGTTCTTGTACTATGATCATTCCCCGTGTATGTCTTGCAAAGTTGTACATCAGCTGTGCGAGTCTGGTATGTTGTGGAAGAGGATTTCGACCCCGATAGGTGTAGCCCACCGTCGGATCTTGCGTCAGCCGTTTCAACACGATGATCGCGATCCCCGTCAAAAAAGTTATTGATACGACTAGTGCCTCCAGCTCCCCGAGCGGACGAGGAGGCGGTTGACCGCGTTGAAAGCGACGAGGTCGATGATCTCATTTTATAGTCCCTCAAAAATCCGCGAACGGATATTCAATTGGGGAAAAAGAAAAGGGGCGGGGTCGGCAAAATCACAAATTGTAAGAGTCAGTGTGTGAAAGTGGAGACAAAAATCCAATGAAATAGTGCCTCAAGAAAAATAGCACAAAAAATGATCGCCGGAGGCAAGGGGAATGAACTCATGGGGAGTAATAAAGTTCCAAAAAAACCCAAATAAATGGGCGCAAAATTGATCCATGGAGATCTTCGTTCCTGTTGCTTGATCGGAAAGAAAAAAGCTGATGATGATGTTGGCAGTGTGCCCTTTGGCGGAGAAAGAAAAAAGCTGAGATAGACTCAAAAATAGCATATGCAGCAACCGACTCCTCCAGAGATCAGTCACAGCCATTGCAAAATGACGCACGAAGTGAAAACCGTTTCGAAAAACATTTTTATTTCCAAAAAACTCGCTCTCTGACGATTATTTTGCACCGGGCTCTTGCACCACGCTCACTCGATCGCTCTCATTTTTCTCCCTCCGATCGTCTAAATATCTTCTCGCGCATCGCTCTGTTATTTCCCGCATCGCTCACTCAAATGGCAATGACAACTCACAGCTGGAGATATCCTACATTGTAGAGTACGCTCAAGAAGCAAGTCGTGGCTCTTCTGCCTTCAGATGCATTTGGTTGCTTTTCTTTTTCATCAGCCGTACCCTATTTTTTCTTTTTGTGTGAAAAACTCGAAAATATAAACCACTTTACGCACCAGTTTGTGACGTCAGTAACATGAGTTTGCATATTCGCCACATCGTCACGTGCTCAGCCCGCTCGCAGGATATAAAAAGAGTCTTTCTATCGAACCCTTCACGCCCCAGAGCCCTGCAGGCTTTGCAGCCGTTCCTGCATGCGCTGCTGCATTTTTTGGAGTTTGTCCGGGTCGGACAGCTGGCCACGCAGGTGCGACAGCATGGGGTGATTCTCGAGCATGTTCTGCAGCTTGCTGGGGTCCCCCGTCGCCAGGTCTTGTAAGTGCGGCAGCACAGTTTCCTTAACATTTTGCTGCTTCAGCACCGTTTCGGCCATTTGCTTTCCCATTTCCTGCAGAAAAGTCGGCAGCGCCGGTTTCTTGTCGCCATTCACCTCGGTGTTGTAGTTGTTCTTTCCACGCGGATGATCTTCGGCGTTTCCTTCTTGATCGTTGTTCATTCCTGCCTGGACTTGCTTGGAAGACGCCGGCGTGGTGTCAAGACAGTTCTGCGGCGCACGACCCTCATTCAGGGTTGCACGCGCCGCCGCCGACCGTGGAAAGCCGGTCGCAGCAGCTCCACTACCGGGCGCAACCTGCTCCACATCCACAAATACCGGACCACCCGCAGCGAGCAGATCCGCCACCGGGAAAAAACCCAACCAGATGCGCTCGTCGGACGTATCTTTGTTGGTGGTCAGCCGTGTGGTATCAAATGCAGAAATGTCTGGGTCTGGAATGTTGCCGGGTTTCTCAGCATATTTTGCATGACCCAGGATGTCTGTAATGCACAACCTAGCATCACAGATTTTTAGAGGGCTTCCTGATGGTGCCTACGCCGCATGACAAATGCCTCCCCGCGTAGCACAAACTAGACTCCTCTTGCTGGTCATGCAATAGAGATTCTTTTAGAGTCCAAAGTTAGCGTCACAAGTTCCAACCTTCCAGACCCAGACATATTTGCGGTTGATATGTGGATTTCAGCTGGAACCCCTTTTCCAGCTCCTCATCCAAACAGGCCACCAAGTCGTCGACCGTGGCCGCGTATCAAATGCAAAAGTGTCTGGGTCTGGAAGATTAGAACTTGTCATCCTAAATCTGAATGATGCAAAAATCTGTGTTGCGTGAGTGCCAAAAGCTGTCCGCTTTTGACCAAGTATTGCGGGGGAGTTTCTCATGCAGGAAAGGCATGGTAGAGACCTCAAAGAATCTGTCATGCTGGGTCTCGCATTCCAGACCTCGTGTGTCCCGGAAAACCTGCATCACAACTCTTGCACTCTTCCAGACCCAGACATTTTTACATTTGATACCGCGTCCGTCTCGGCGTTACACGTCGCCGCCATCACGAACTCTGTCGTGTCCAGGTCCAGAACAGAGCTCGCGCCTCGGTACACGAATTCGAACCGCATCTTATTCTTGTTGTGGAGCGCCATAGTAGTACAACTGTTCTCACTATCTCCTGTATGTTCGACGAGGAGTGCCGAAACTTTTAGAAGTAAACTTGCAGCTACTTCTGACACCACAGCTGCGACTATAGTTCCAGTGGTGATTGTTTAGACGTATGTTGGTCGTGATGAAAAAAGGCTTTGGCAATTTGATTGAAACTGCCACAACAAGACAAAACGGAGCTGCGGTGAAAACAGCCACACCAAAAGAGAACGCCAGCAACAGAACACCATCAAACATCGCTCTTGCTGTCAAAAAAAATCATACCGCGGAACACCATGTTTCCTCCATGTAAACATGTAGCCTCCGTGGCAACGCCCCGGCTCATCCTGGGGTCTGAATCCAAGAAAATTGCTTCGTCCAACTACACTGCCGAGTCTATTTCTTTGTGGTCCCTCCTGACAAAAAGGGATAAAATCATCTGTCTGTGACCTTCTTCGCATCGCTTCCGCTTCATGCGAGAAATGAGCCGAGTCATTTTACACAGATTCAAAATCCTTCGTGTTCGCGGCAAAAAAAGGGCTTATTGAAAAGCCTGAACTTCCTTAACTTCCGTCCACGAGCGCTTTGTTAACGTAGCTGACTGCAAAGGCGGCCATGCCCATGCCCCCCGCCAAGTGCAGCATCGGCTCATCGCAGTTACTCTGTGGACAGTCCTTGTCCGGGTGCCAGCCTTCTCGATACACCTCGAGAGTGGAGCCGGTGACATAAAAGTACTTCCTCAACCGCTCCAGGATGCTCACTTCGAAGCTGATGCCCCCCTTGGCATTATTGCCGAACTCCTTCTTGCGCGGATCGGTATTGCTGCCGAAGTGCACCTCCATGTCCAGTGTCCGAATCAAGTTTCGATCCATCTCGTGTTCCGGCGCTGCAAGTTTTTCTAACACACCCCATTCGGACCCCTCTACATCAATCTTCAAAAAGACCGACAACTTAGGTTTGCTTCCCGGCGGATTCGAATCATTTTTCCCAGCGGCTGCAGAAGGTTGTTCAACAACTGCAGGAGTATTAACACTTTTAGTAGGCACCGCGACCGGTGGTCGCTGCCGCCAGTGCTCCAGCACGTTCGACAAGGTCGTGTAGTTCCGTCGCCACCTGTCGAGCTCCCTCGACTCGTCGCCCTGCACAAATTGGTAGATGCCCGTGCTGTTCAGCGAAGTCCCTGGCTCAATCTTCTTCACCTTCGTGATAGCATCCCTAGCCGGTTCGGAAAGGCAGACCTGGTAGCCCTCGTACCGCCCGGAATAGCAGTGCGGTCCGTTGTCGTTGCACTCCCCCGTGTCCGCCGGCGGATTCGCCCGCCCCGTCAGCGCCGGCGACTTCCCGGGGTCCTGGAAGCAATCGAACAGCTGCACCAGGGGGACTTTGAACCAATTACTCATTTTTTCGCTCCACAGATCCCGCTCCTCCACCCCGAAAGACAGGCCGACTGCAGTACCTGGAACTCCGCTCCAGTTTTCCGGCTTCACGGCTTTGTTGCACCAGGTGCTGTCTCCAAACAACGTCCACCCGTTGCACTTCTTCTCAAGCGCCTCAGCCCCCTCGGGCGTGACCGCGGCGAGAATGCGTTCCCCGAGCTCCGCACGCCACGGCGTCCAGCTTTTGTAGGGGTAGCGCTTCGCGGGCGGCATGCACGGCGTGCCGGGCCGCGAGCTTTGACTCTGCGACGCGCGCGTACATGGCACGAACTCCTTCGACGCCTGTGAAAAAGTAATGTTGAACCGCGGTGCAGCTGTCGCCGCGTCTCGAAGTGGAATTCCTGCGGCAACCGCCGGTGCTGCTGTCGTTGTTGTAGCTTCTTGCAGAGCTGCATTCTTTTCTTGCTCTATTAAAGTGGGCGCAGCTGCACCTCCGATCGCCGGCGCCTTCGTGCTCTCTGCTGGAAGATGAACTGCAGCCAGAGTACTACTCTTTGTTGTAGTACTAATATTTGTTGCAGGTGGTGTCCCTGCAGTCGCGGTACCAACCGCAGCACCGCCGCCGGCAGATGAGATACTGGCCGCGGCCCCTTTCGGCGTTTCTAGGGTGCACAACACCAGGTTCGTTTCATATTACAATGAAAAATGCCCCCTCCCCATATCAAAACGGAAATCTGTGATGCAGGTTTGTGGTCACAAATCAGCTTTGTGATGCTAGAAGGCAAAAGATGCGGACAGTAGTGCTGTCCAGCGTGGGAAAGCCTTGCAGCTCCAGGATGACAGGAGGCAACTGGAATTGGGAAACAGCAAGACAGATTGCCTGCAATTTAGGCCGCAGCTTCGTCTCTTGGCCTTCTAGCAATACAAGTCGATTTGTGTACTCAAATACAGCATCACAAATTCGCGCATCTTCGGTTTCCGATATGGGGTGGGGGCTTTTTTCACTTTGATATTTCAGACTGCTTCAGCCGGTACAGAACGAGATAGATCAACACATTCAAGTATCCTGAGTAAAAACGGTCCCACGCCAGAGTTGTAATGCAGATTTGCAAAGACAGGAAGACTTGTAACGCGCATCCCCATGATAGGCATTCCCGCTCGTGTTTTGGAACTTGTAATGCTGTAAACAGGATAAGCAGATGGATTTGTAATGCGACTTCCCTTACTAAACTGCACTACAATACAGCCTGCAATTTGTCATGCGTGGCTTCCAAAACTTCAAGGTTTGTGTTGCAAAATCCCCAACTTGACTCTGGTGTGGGGACGTTTTTACTCAGGATATCAAGGCTAGAAGGGCCCCTCGGACTGACGGCGCGGCGGACATGATAACTGTTAGTTTGACTCGGGGAGGGGACGCAAGGCAGCGCCGCTTTGAATCCGTCTCACCAACTCGTCAAAAAAGCGAAAAGTAATAAGTCGAAGACACACATAGGGATGGAAGAAAACTCATTTATAACCCACTCATGCACTACAAGCCATTATGTTGCAGCAAAACGGGATATTTACAAATTCATCGAAAACGGGATGTTTTTCACGCTGAACAGACGGCGCCAGGTGCTGCATCACCGGTGTGCCACACCTTTTGTAGGAAAAAGAATACCGAAAGTAAGTAGAGAGATTATTGTCAACATCGTAGCATTTTTATATGGATACAGTACACAGATACGAACAGCCCCAGGTCGCGCGAGGCTTCCAACAAGACGAGCCAATGCTGGTAGCAGCGATCCATACTTTGTGCCTTTGGTACACCGTAGGCGGCTTCTAGAACTAGATCCATGTCCAGAAGTAAATTCTAGGGCATCATCACACACCACTGTCTTGAGTTCATATAATTTCCTCACTGCAATTTCTTGGCTTTGGTTGCCGTCGCTTGTTCCTGCTGCAACAGCACGGTTTCCGACCGGTGGTAGTACTCCAGTGCGTAAAGAAACAGATCGAGTGCACACGTGAATGCGGTCGTGACCAGCACGGACTCGACGTATGGGTGACGCACCTTCGTCACGGCCTCGTAATTGTGCAGGCACCGCGCCAAACTCCGGTGTTCCACGTCGGCGTCCGTGACGAAGTCGGCACATCGGTTGTACAGCGTGTGCAAGTAGAAAAACACGTTTCCCAGAACGATCGACAGAAACAGGTAGTTGGTCTTCAAAAAGAGCTCAAGGCGTACGCTCTTCGACTTCGCAGGCTGAGAAGTTGAGGCACCTGCAGGGGATTGCTGTGCCGTCACTCCTGCACCAGCGGCATCCCCTGTAGCTGGTGCAGCGATTTTATTCCCGATCCCGCTCGCTGTACTTGGTATAGTACTTGCTGCAGTCCCTCCAGCAGCTACTGACACCGACCTCCACCCGGCCTTGGTGTCGAAAAATACCGCGCGCAGAATGCCGGGGCCGCAGGTAAAGAGCATGATTCCCCAGCTCATAAAGCAGAGTTGCTTCCGGAAGTTGCTTCCGTCCTCTACTCCCGCAAGCTTCTCCGAGGCCTCCAGGACGTTGAAGCTGACGCGGGTCAGGTCCATCGTAAACAGCACCTTCGCAACTGTCTGAATCGCGGCTGAATTCAGCACCCGGTCCCGGAAGACCCTGGTTAGCAACAGGAAGAAACGCACGGGCAGCGAAAGCACGCTCTTCAACAGATTCGTCTCTTGCACTGCACCGCTTTGAGCCATCAGGCTGCGACTTGAGCCGGCGGCAACCAGGGGCGACTTCCCGCTGCCTGTGCTTGTTGGCAAAGATGAAGTAGAACCTCCTCCCGTCGTGTAAAACAGGTTGCAGCGAAACAGGTCCAACACGATGGATTCGACGTGGTACAGGAAAAAATAGAACAGCCAAACGAAGAAGAGGTCCGGATTCTGCATGGTCTTCGGCGTGCGCGCGAAAAAAACAACGTCCGCAGCGACAGTACCCGCGTACGCGTAGCAGACGAAGGAAAGAAAAAAACGACTCACGTACGCGGCAACGTTCCCGTTTCCGCCGACCAACTGACCAGCGGGAGAATCAGTCGAAGCTTTGGGCGGCGGGTTGTCGGCAACAAATCGCTTCATTTGAATCAGCAACAATCCAAAAATGAATATCTTCGGGTAGCCAGTGCGGGCATCCAAAATGAGCCGCTCGATTAACTTGGGCGTTGCCAAATCCATCTGGCTCGTGTCGTACCTGGAAGCCGCTGTACTAGCCGCTGCCCCGTTCGCGCCGATCGTCTGCGCAGCGGCCCCTCCCACATTTTCCGGCGCGATGCCCCCCGCGCCACTCATGTCTTTTTGTTTTTGTTTTTCGCCGTCAAGTATTCAATTACTCTATCGCGTCTGACATGCGCTTGAGAGGGTCGAACAAACCGAGACAGAGAAAAGACAACGAGGTAGAGGAGCTAGATAGAGACAAGCTTCTTCATCACCAAACGCGACGGATAGGAAAACGCGATACCAGTTCGATCTTTCAAAGACAGATCCTTTCCGACGTAGAAAGAAAGTTTGTGCGAAAACGCTGGGTTCGAAATGTCAATGCGCGATCCTCAGAACACCGCACGACTGCTTGCTACTTAATCTTCAATTTTTTGAAGCGGAAAATTGCCTTATCTCATCATTTCAAAGTCTTTTCAAAACTTGCGCTGCATGAGCGATCTAACATGGCATATTAGATCGCAATAGTTTTTCCATGCGGCTACAAAACTAAGTAGTGGGGAGAAAAACGGTCTTTCAAGCATATTTGGCTGGGTCAGCGGAGGTTTGCCGTTGCTCTCAGTGCTAATATGCTCATGCGTGTACTTCTCGGTGTCAGTCATTTTACAAAAACAGATCAACAGAAGGCTTATACACTTAGCTTTGTCAATTCGTGGCGGTGCCCTTTTCGTTTAGCTCATCTTTATAGATGTTAGACTTACATCATCATACAGTGTAGTACCTAACGCACCTGGGGTATGTAAGTAATAGATTTAAGTACTCAGATTCTAGAGTAAAAGTGCGACAGTGTTGAAGATAGCGCGCCTTGTTATCACACCGATAGCTGACAAACCTGGCAGCAGGAAAAGTCTGCGGTCAAGCAATTGACGACAAGCACACGTCCTCGCAGCCAGCAGTTTTAGTGCGAAGAAGTTGTCTCCGCTTACAGCTGGATCTTCTTCGCAACGATCTCCAGGACACGCACATTCGGAACGACGCCTTCTTCCCAACCGCCTTCGATCAGAGTCGGGTTTTCTTTCAGCGCGCCCTGCACCGCGGTCGGAACCACAGCTGGATCCATGAAGTGCTCCGCGACACCCTCCATGCTGTCGAAAGTGTCAATGATCGCAAACTCGGTCGGATCCTTCTGGTTCTGCACCGCAGCCCAGAACGGGGTCTTGGGCTCTTTCTCGGTCACTAATTGGTGCCCCGCGAGCAACAGGTTCTTCAGGTTTTCCTCTTGCCCGGGCCCGGCCTTCAGGGGCAGGTACCCGAGAAACTTGGCGTTGTTCATCTGCTCCGCCGCGTTGACCTTCGGGGCCACCAGCACGCTCCACCCCTTTGCGGAGGCCACGATCGCGTCCAGGCCGCCCTTCACGATGGGAGCCTCCGTCTGGTCGTTGGCCATCACCGCCTTCGGAACTTCCCCGGCGAAGTGGGCGTCCTTAGCGGCATCATCCACGAAGAAGTCAACGATCCCAAAGCGCTCCGGCTGCGGGGACTGCCCCAGCTGTTCGATCGGCGTGTACTTCACGCCCCACCACAACTTGGTACCCGGCTCGGTTTTGGTGACCACCTCCTCCGCAACCTTCAAAAAACCTGCGGCATCCGCTTCCTTCCCGGAGTTCGAGAAGAACTCGATAGTGGACGCAACTTTCAGATCAGACATGGTACTTTTCGAGTTCTGAATGTGCTTCAAGAGTACACGTGTAAGTCTAAGTATGTGCTTCTGCTTTTAGATTGGAAAATTAAATTTAAATACAAAAGGAGACTTTGAAATATGAAGTGATTGTCGTCAAACAGACCTATGCGCAAGCGAGTATGTGCACTGTGTGGTCTAGGTGTTTGTCGGTGTATTTCGCGGCTTTGAGTGTGGTGTTTGCTGAGTTTAGTGCGATCTATGACAACCCGCCGATCTAATTTGATCTTTATGTTTTAGATCTGGAAAACAGGAGCTGCCCGCCGAAGCAAATTTTCTATGATCCAAGACAAAGTCACTGGCGACTCCATCATCAAACTCCAAGACCTATTCTACCAGATGCGCAGCGCCGACAAGCACCATCAGTCTATGGTAGCACTTCGCAACAGGTGTACTCATTGTCTAGTCATCAAGTTATGGCATCGCTGGCGCTGCTGTTACATCAGGATGCGTCGTAGTCTGAGTTGGTAGCACTGTCGGAAGCGAATAACTCGAGCGGCCCGCTTCAGTCTCTCCACCTATGATCGCACCGTCGCCACTTTTCCTCCTTCTTCTTGACCGCCGATTCAAATTTTGCAGGAGGCTTCTAGGGAGCAGCAGCTGGTCCTCGCCAAGACTTTCACGAAGTAGCTGCGTCCTTGCTCTCACCGCGGCGCCACCGGATTTATTTGCAGCATCCAGCAGGTGGTGGCTTGCTGCCCCAATGGCGCCGTCCTCTTCTTCGCGCGAACCAAGCTCCACAGTCTCACTTCTTTTTCTGTTGAAAAAGTCAGGCGTGCGCAGCGCTTTCCGTGCAAAAATCCGCCTTTCCCGCCTGGTCCCGTGCTCGAGCTGGTGCTCGATATACCGCATTCGCTCCTCGCCTACCGGACGCGCAGGCTTGTACTCCCCGGGCCGGTCGACAAACTCTAAAAAGCCCATGGGCGCCCCGTCCCTTTCGCGCGTTTGCCATTTGTTCACAAGTCGCGTGAAAAAAAAAGGCCGATCCTTGTACCGTGGTACCAGCTGTTCATACCTTGTAGTTGCGCGATTTTTCAGGATGATTTCTTTCAGTAGTTGCGTCACTCCGGTATGAATTCATCATTTTGATGACAGTACTGTGATCCTGATTTCCGTACCCTTGCGCGCGAAACTTTTTATTCAGCTAACGCGAAAAACCTCAATCAAACTATAGTAGTACGTCGATGTAAGACAGGAGCTTATGGCGATACAGTATTTGTCTTGCTGCGCTGGACACTAGCATGGATTCGACAAGCCCGTTGTAGTGGGGGGTGTTTTTCTTCGCACAATACATCATGTCTTCCGCATACTGTTGCAATTCCTTGGCCCAGGGCAAGGTCAAATGCAGCCGCTGCTTTAGAATCAGGTCGTTCAGATGCCACTTCATGCGGAACCACTGCTTGTGATTCGCGAAGAATTTGCGGAACCACACCTTCTGCCCCCGCGACTGCGCACCCAAGGTGATGTGCTTTGTAGAGCACATCCATCCCCGACGAGGGGGTGTAACGCGGACTAAGGCCATTATACTTCGCTTGTACCGGCTCCAGTTGAAGTTCCAATTTTCCAGAAGATAAGGACAGTTGCGATGTCAAGCCTCTTTTTCGGGTTCACTGCGAACTTTTAGAGTTCGACGCAACATCGTTCCACAAACCAAGGTGGATCAGACCGAGCGGCACCATAGGCAAACGCTAAAAGACCGATGGCCTGGCCGAACAAGAACTACTTCCAATTTCATCCTAAAACCTGATCTTTATTCTGCTAGGAATAAAAAGCGAAAGGGCATCCGAAAAGCACTAAAGTCGCCACTTTTCTAATGCCTTTTCTCCATCGAAATTGGATGTCCCGATTGACATCCCAGGTCCTGCATTTCTTCTGTCAATTCATCGCAAATTCTCTTTGTTTTTCAGAAAATTTCATCGCCAATCAAGAAAATTGAAATTCCATCCATCGACTTATACTCGATACAGGCCGATGCAGAGGCGCATGTAACATCGTCGAGAGCAGCAGCTCAATTCAAAGTACAGCAAGTTATTCATCTTACCCGCCTTTCTTTCATTTCGCGTTGCTGAAGTACGTAAGTAGTTAAATTGTTCAAGAACTATCAATTTTAGGTGCATTTTTGTCGTGCCAAGACAATATTTTTGTGTCTGCAATCGCACCCGAAAGAAACATTTTCGCGGTCTCGTCCCAGAAACTAGTGCAGTGGCGGAAACTGGTGCAGTACAACGCATCACACAGCAGTGCAAAAAATTCTTGCACACCAAACCTCTTTTTCTGCGTCGACCCGTGGCTGCTATCGTGAAACATCATGTAAAGCCTATTTTGTAAAAAGTTCCGTTTCGGCTGACTGGTTCATCTTTGCTCAACAAAGACCCTAACATCATCTTGGATCGGGCTTTGCTTTCTTCTTTTCGGCGGTTGCGTTCTGCAGAGAAATGGGTCGCCCCTTGGGTGACGGCAGCTTGGGCCATTCTGCAGCGTCCAACGGAAATTGCACCTCCTCCCTCGCATACTTTACTGCACTTACTTGCGCCACGAGCCGCAGTGCCTCGTCGCTGTCTGCAGAATCGACGCGCTGGCGGGTCGCGGGTTGAAAAGGATGCGCTTCCCGGTTGAGCGCTGTGCGCCACGGGGACAGGTTTCCAGTTGCCGGACTCTCAGCAATGGTGACAACGGACGCTGGTGTGTTCAGAATCCCCTGGCTATTAACGTGTTGACTGTTTTGATCCATTCTGTCAACATGATGTTCTTGTGCATGTGGCGGGCAATGGCTTTGCACAAAGCACCCTCCCGCCGGATGCGGGACTGCCAGGCCCAGCGTCGTACTGGGAGCGGGGCCGGCATAGGGAACTTGCACAACATTTGTCGGTTGGTACACGTAAAAGCAGCATGGCGGTTCAGCCAGAACACAGCCCTGGCCTACCAGCTGCCCGAATGTCGCGCCTCCGCCACCGGCAAGCGCACAAGAATCCGGTCCGCAGTGGTAAGCCGTGGGAGGAGCGAACGATCCTGGTGGTGTGCTCGGCGAAGCTTTCGACGAGGAAGCAACACTGGACGGTATTACATCATGTGAATTCCTTTCACTCGACTTGGACCCTAGCTTTTTTGCGGTCCCACTTCCTGTCGGACCAGCGCTGTAGTTGTGCAGCTGCGCGGCGGCTGTGTAGTCCGGGGCTCTGTGGCTGCCCAAGAGCAGTCCAAACCTGGAGGCGGTGCTGTTGGACGAGTTCTTCGTCGACACAGTAGGTCCTCCGCCGCCGGCCTTCTTGCCCTTTTTCGGCTCCGACACGATCTTCGCGATTCTCTGCTGGCGCTGCAGAATCGAGATCTTGTGGCGGACCGTTTTCTTGAGCCTGTAAAAGTGCCGCTGGTCTTCTGCAGTGCAAGTGTGGCAAAACATGCAGGCGGCTCCCTGCTCACATCCTTTCGTCCGGTGAAATATGCAAGGCTTGCATCCGAAATCAAATCGACAGCGCCACCACTCCGCGAGCTTATCGTCGACATCCTTCTGCATGGGGCCGGCCTGCGGGCGGTCTTGCTCTGGTCCTTCAACGGAACAATAGCGTGCAGCCCGGTCGTTTTGGGTGGATACCGCCCCCGTGGGGGAAATACTGTCCCCTGGCGTCGCCGTTATTTCGAATCCGCTCTCCGGTGCACGTTCGTCTTCGTCGCCACCTCCCGGTTCATGCCCCGGGTAGTAGGTCTCCTGGCGCTCCTCGTCTCGCTCCCTCACTTCGGGTTGTTCGGACCGCAATTCACGCTGTTGAAGTTCACTAAGACGGAGCTTATCATGATTTTGCAGTTCCTGCACCAACAGTGACAGGGGGTGCAGCACACTCCCCAAGGAGGCGCGTCCCCCCTCGGGCTGAAGCACGCCCTCGTCGCGCCGTTGTTCCTCCAACATCCAAGATTGTTGCGAACCACCATCGGCATCTTCTTTTGTCGCGCAGCAATGTAGTTGACCTTTGTCGTTGTACATCCGCCCCTGGTAGTTCAGGAATCGCTTGCCGTGAAGCACTTCGTGCAGCAGACCTCGGCTGCGCCGCACGCGGCGATGCAAGTCCGCCGTCGCTTTGTCCGGCCGGAAGCCGGGTTGCCTTTGTTCCAGCCTTCTGAAGTGATCGAGCGCGAGTCCCAGCTCCTCGTAGATGGCCTGCATCTTCTCGCGCGCTGCGAAAAAGCGCGAGTTTGTGCGTTCGAGTGACAGGCATCCGGCAACGAACTCGTCTCCACTCCGTTGACAGGTGCGCAGGAAACTGGTGCGCTTCGGCGACGCCTTCTCCAGTTCATCAGCAAAAACGCAAGCCAAACTTTCTTCTGCTCCGCACACAGTCGAAAAAGATCCGGGGGAGCTGCGACCCGGTCCTCTTGTCCATCGTGCCTGTCTGCTGGAATGCGGGAACGAAAGTTTATTTCCCCCACGGGCAGCGTTTCCCGTCGCACCCTCCGCAAACCAAAGCTCGTCCTGCTCCGGCATGCTGACGGCGTCGCGTAGTAGATTTACAACCGTCGGCGAAGGAATGCTCCCGGAGGGGCTGGAGGAAGCGGGGACGGAGCTGCGGGGGCTGCTGCAGGGCGACACGGTCGCGGTGCCCCTTGTCGAGCTTGCCATATGCGGTCGGGGATTCGTTGAACTGCAGCTGCTTGGTGTCTCCGTGGCACCGCACCAGCGAGAAGTTCCCGAGAAAGGCGCGAGCTGCTTCTGTATTTCTTCTGCAACGCGCTCCAGTGCTGGTGCGCTCGCAAGCCTAGACGACCGAGTATCATCTTCTTCTGACGCACGTTCTGCAGCCGGTTCGGCCGGCTCGTCGGAGGGAGAGCGCGAAAACCCGCTCTCGTATGCCAATAACTCCTCAACCGCCTGAGCTTCGTCCTGCTCTTCGTCTCCATACATGTCCCCCCAACGCCGCCGGTTTTTCGAGCCTTGACGCTGGGGCTGCTGCTCGTGCATGCCGGCGCCGAGCACGTCCAGTGCCGCCCATTGCGCTGGTGCCGCAACACAGAGACGCACAAAACGTGGAACCCTGAACGTCACCATATCTTCCCTGTTGAAAACCTCGCTCTGTTGCCGTTTGGACCAACCAGATCCAGTGGTAGGCCGTCTGCCTCTGCAGAGTGGTGGTCTTGGTCTTGTTCAAAGCTGTGACTCCAACTTCCTAGTGATTTTGTCTTCGCACACTGGTCACACAAATAACTTGCACGTGAAAAAATTTGCTGGAAAAATGAGAATTCGTGAAATTCAACTCAAAAGTCCGCTGACATTTTGATTTTCGTTCACGATCCCGTGCAAGATAAAGCGCCGATCTAGCAAAAAAAACAACCAAGACCGCACAAAAAAAAACTGGATCCGCAAAGAAAACGCTGCCGCAGCTCGATCACAAAAAACTAAAGATCTCCAGTGCAAAACAAATCGTGATCGTAGCATTAGGGAGTAACTTGAAAGTCTGATCTCTTCTCGCCGGTAAGACCATGATCCTCGCAACGAACAACTAGATGCCTCACTAGTTTTGACAAAGATTTCTCACATTCGTCCTTCCGTGATGCGAGGTTTTTTTCGTGTCGAAAAAGTACTTTTACATACAACAAGGATTTCGATATCTATTTTTGGGCGACGTTCAATTCTTTCTCGCCCGCACGGCGGTCTTCGTGATCTTAACAACTACGAGCTGCAAGGAGTGGATAAGTACGTACAAACATCAATCTCTAGACGTTTCATCTTTTAGCTCTTGGTCTTGCTTGAAGTCGGTAGTTATTTTACAACTCCAGCCTTATCTTCTCAGCGGCACGGTTCCTCACGTATAATTGTAGCCAGCGGCTGTGCTCCGACGATATAATTTGGTGCGGAGCACTTTCTTGTTCTCGACCCGGTACCACGCTCGTGACCCAGCCCCCGCGCCGGGCGGAGAAGAGGACAATAATCCGTCGAAAGATTTTTGCTGTTCAGCTGCTCTGCTGTGCGGGTACGTGTTGAGATATCCTGAGTAAAAACGTCCCCACCCCAGAGTTGTGATGCAGATCTGCAAGCACAAGAGCGTTTGTAACGCGCGATCCCATGAGGGGCATTATCAATCGTGTTTTGGAACTTGTAATGCTGTAAACAGCATAAAGAGATCGATTTGTTATGCGGCTTCCCTTAATAAACTGCACTACACTACAGCCTGCAATTTGTCATGCGTGATTCCCAAAACTTCAAGGTTTGTGTTGCAAAATCTCCATCTTGACTCTGGGGTGGGGACGTTTTTACATAGGATATGAGATGCGTAATGTTCAGACGCGCAGGCGTTGCAGTGGTCCAGTACTCCAAGAGCCCGCTCGTCGCACTGCTTACGCGGAGAAACACAGCGGTTTTAACTACATCTTGCGTGTCCTCTTCGCGGCCCGGAGGTTCCGCCTCTCCCAGTTCGGCTTCGAAAACACACAGATCCACCGGCCCGCGGTAGACGCCGTGTGTGAGGCTGTCGACGCGTGCAGCAGTCGCCATGTTCTCGGGATCCAAGAACTCCGCCCGCAAGTCACCTCGAAAGAAGCACGTCTTGTCTCCGCTGATGAAGAAAACTTCAACGTTTTCCATCTCTATCGTCATCTCTCCCACGATTCCCTGGCACTGGCACCGCCAGTGTTTCGGATTCGATTTGTTCTCCGCAGCAGTACTCCCGACGTCCCCTTCCGCGTAGGAAAAGCGAAGCCCGTTTTGTGGATCGCGTGCGCGCACAAGATGCTCATACTCTTGCACCCGAAGGCTGTTCAGCCGCCATTCGTCGCGTCTGCAGGGAATCCAGTCCGCTGCTATCAGAGGGTTCGTAGAGCCAGACATATTTTTCGGAATTGTTAAAGTCCAAAATTTCTATACCAAAGCGTGATAGAAAATAATGCTTCGCAGGGGAAAATAGAGTGGGTCATATTACACGTCATGGAGATGAAAGGAAATCGCGGTGATAATACTACGTCGACTTCATATAAATGAATTTACTTCCGCTGTCACGATAAAATTAAAAAAGTACAGTATCTTCATGGCTGCTAACGCAAGAATGGAAGATTTCCTTCTCACTAAACTGAAACGCAACTTCCAAGTGCCCTTGTTTGTTCCGATGTGGGTCACTTGGGGGCAACCGATACTACGCTACCTCGCAATCGCAATATCAAAACGCAACCGACTGTCCAAGCCACGAATTCATTTTCACAAACCGAGAGTCAAGAAGCAGACGCTTGTGTGGTCAAAACTCCTTTGTTCTTGCCGACGCAGACGTTATCGCCAGTAGTTATGGCTGTGCAAAGAGATAACCGACGCTCCTGCATCCGAAACGGAAGTGACAAAACCGAGGTGGGCCCATGAACATCAACAACCACTTACTCAATACAACACTGTCACTGTGTCATCTGGTGTAGTTATCGAATCTAGAGCGTTACGAAGGAGCGAATCTACTTGGATATGGTAACATTCTCCGTTCTTGCAGTATTTGACTATACCCGCACCCAACCGCACTTGGGCCCGGGAGTCCCGAGTCGGCCGTCAGCCTGATCTTCGAAGATCTGAAACCGCACCCGCGGCCAGTACCGTACCCGGCACCGCGGCAGCAGCACCACCGGCAATTCCACTTCTGGCCACGCCTTCTGCACCTTCACTTTTGGGTACAGCGCATACAGCGCTTTCGGGGGCGGTACGTAGGAAGGCATCCGCGACAATTCACTTGCCGTCGTCACAAAAGGTGGCTCGGCCGATGGTAGAATGTTCTCCTCCGGTTTCGGCGAAGATAAAGATTCTACTGCAACGGAAGTAGATGCGGCTGCTGTGCTACATGGCTCAATCTGTTCTTCTTGGTCTCGTCCATTTATTGCCTTGCCTGCAGATGAAACGCCCTTTGGCTTTGCCACTCGGTCCTGCAGGAAGTGCACGCGCGGCAGAATTTCCCGTCCATGTGGGTCGAGCACGCGCTCCCAGGTCTCCTCGACCGGGTTGTAGAAGGCAAACACCAAAGAACTCCGACTCATGTCCATTTCGGAATCTGAGAAGGTCTCCTCCGCCCGAAACCCGTCCACCTCAGGCGTCATCACGCACATCTGCCACACGGAAAAGGAGATGATAGAGCCACCGAGCAACGCACCCCACAGGGGCACGTTATGCACCGCCGGCGGACAGTCGTTCCGGTCGCCGCGCGCATAGCGCCGGTACCGCTCGCGCCGCTTCTCCCGGTCCTGCAGACTCTCGTTGTCCCAGTGCCGCGTCCACGACTCCTCCTCGACCTCGGTGGCTACCGCCTGGGCGTTGCGCAGGTCTGTGTCGTACAGGCCGCGCTTCCACTTGTTTCCCAGAATCTCGTACGCCTCCCGTATCTCCCGGAACTTCTCCTCCAAGTTTACGTTTTGCACGTGCGCTCCTGCGCCGGCGGCCCCCGCCTCCGCGTTCTGCTTATCTGGGTGGTATTGCTTCGCCAATTTCCGAAATTGCCGTTTGATCGTGGCCTTGTCGCACTGTCGATCCTCAATTTCCAAGACATCGTAGTACGTGCGCAGTCGCGCTGCACTTTTCCTGTTTGCTTGAAAGCTAGAACCACTCTCTGTCGTCCCTGCCGACGCGGTGGAGAAAGCTCGAGCGTTTCCGTGGTAGGCGAAGAGAAACAATCTCTCCGATTGATGCGCGACATGAAAGACCGTGCGATGTGGGCGAGATGCGAAAAATCCTCGCAGATTTTTGGATTTGGAAGTACTAGAGTCATGACCGACATCATCCGGAGTCGCCAACGAAGCGCGCGCGGCTCGCTGAACAGTAGATGCGGCTTTCCGTGCCAGAAAGCGCGGTGGTCTCAGACTTCTGGAGGTAGAACAAGCCGCCGCCATACACTCTGGCCTCGGCCGATGAAGATAGCGAAACCTCTTCTAAGAATTTACATCGATCCTATCAGATAAGCAAGAGGTGTCAGCAGACCCAGACGCGCGTGTAAAAATAAAGCATATGCTACATGATCAAACGAGAAGCATTTGTCGCTCAGTAAGCCTCCTCCTCTCGATTCATTATTCTATCTTCTGGAAGAACCTCAACCTGCCCCCACCTACCATGTACAAAAAAATGGACAGTACGACTGCGCTCTCAATGAGGACACATCTAAGAACACTGGTGAAACTACTGGCGCACGGAGGCGGCAGGTCGGGAAGCCAGCACCTGAATTGGCTGCTACTTGACGAGCAACATGTGACAAATTCAAATACTTTCTTACGATGCGCGTCCGAAAATCACAAGTGTGTGGATCGTGTTCGTGGTCCATCTTCACGCTGATGATGATGTTGTACTGACAATGCATTAAATCTTCAATTTTGCGAAGAAGTCGGCAGTTTCACACGGAAGAGAGTTGATTTCCCGGGACGCGCTACCCATCGTCTCCTCCGGTAGTAGACCACCCATCGCTATTGCAGGGGCTGCCGCGTAAGGTCGTTCTGTCGCTATGTCCTCTGCTGCTTCCATTCTTATTTTTCCCGACAACGGACCGCTATTATGACTTTTGGCGTTGCTATACAGAGTCAAGTGAAGGAACCTCTGCAGCAGGTGCTGTGGCTTTGGCAGCACGTGACTCGCGGTATGCGGATCCACGACCCTCTCGATTAAGTGCTTATTGGTGGCTAGGTACGGAGCAGCTCCTCCGCCGTTGCTCCAAGAAGACGCAACTGCGCCCACGGCCTCTCGTAGCATCTGTTGCCGTCGAACTTCGTCTTTCGGCAATGTAGCGCTGGCATCACCCGATGACGCTTGCCCAGACGTCGACTGTGCAAAGAGTCTGGAAAAATGCATCCCCTTCACTGGTTGGCTTGCTTCAGCGTCGTCACGAATTCCACCTTCTTGTTGTTCCAAAACACTATGTACTCCGTCGTTGACAGCAAAAAGTTTGTTAGCCGTCGAACTACTACTTGAGAAGTTAGTTTCCACCGCAACGAGTTGTTGTTTGTTCAGATTCCAGACCAGAAGCCGGTCTTCCGCCTTCTCAAACCACACTTGCACGACTTCCTCCTTGTCTTGTGTTCCCACGGACTCGGAAAGTTCTAAGACCTCGACGCCATTGCTTCCCGTTGCCGACGGCGCGGGAACGTAGATCTGATGAATATGAATGAAAAATGGCAAAAATGCTCGTCACGTCTCTAAGTGTCGGTATCCACAAGCTAAAAACGTGGGCTCACACTTCGAGGGGCATGCATCCTACAGGTGGTAACTGATTCAAATAGTGCGAGTGCATCGTGATAGGAAAGAAGATTCATCGTCGCATTCCATTTGGAAGAAGATGCCAAGAAGAGCCTTTTGAATTTCAGCAATTTATTGAAAAGGAATCAATACCTTGACTTCCGCCGACTCGGCTCCCTGACCACCGAACACATTTGGCAACGCCAGCTGCAGGGTGTTTGGATTCCAGGCGAAATGATCGGAGAACACGTCTGGGATTTGGTGAACGATTCGCTGCGCTCGAAGATCCCAAACGTTTAGCTTCCGAAAGCCCAAAGCAAGCAAAGCAAAAAGCTCGCTATTCAGGACGGCGAATTCCAGCTGCAAGATCTTGTAGTTTGGGGGCGGAGAAGTAGAGTTTTTGATCTTCCACTGACCTCCTTCCTCCTTTGCGTTTGGCATCTTGCTCGCACCTGCATCCTCACGACCCGCAGGAGCTTTATTGTTGCTCCTTAGGAGCGCCGGCCCCTTCTGTGTCATTACTTCGCCCAGTTGCGTGAACGTATCTGCGCTCCAGAGGACAATAGATTCCTCGGAGGAAAAAGCGAGCGAGGAACCGTCCTGGACCGTTAGGGCGGCACAATCAATCTTTTCCTCCTCTTTCCACTTCCCCACCTGGGTGGCTTGCCAGACGCGGGTGTTGCTGTTTCCGTTCACGGTCGTCCGCTCGTACTGCCACTTCTTCACGGTGCCGTCCTCCGACGTGGTGATGACAAACGAATTCGACGCAAACGACGCGCTGGCGGTCTTGTTCTTTTTTCTGCTCGCCTCCTGCGGTAGTCCAGCTTGTTCCTGGATGTTGTTTCCGTGACTGGCAGCTCCTGCGGTAGGGTAAGAAAGTGCCGCGCAGTTGTAGTCTCCACTGTAGGCCAAGAGGCCAGTCACTGGCTTCCAGTGCGCATCGTACACGGAAGTGTCCAACACCCAACTACCCTTCTCCTGCTTCCAAAACTTCAGCAACGCGCCGGGTACCACGTCCAGTTGCTCCTTGGAGACCGCCCCGGCCGGTCGTTGCTCCACGGTCACCAGCCACAAGGTTAATGTTTTCGCAGCTGTAGAAGTACGGGAGTGGTGAAGAACCTGGTTCTTGTTCTGCGTGCTGTCTTTTTGTTCCCCGCCTTTGCTACCCGCCGTAGTGGTCGCGTCGCCGGATAAGTTCACATCGAAGCTTGCGGCTTCAAAGTGCGCAAAGTGCGTCACGCGCCACGGTTGCTCCAGGTGGTTCAAGGCACTGTTGGCGTTTGCGCCCTGCGCGCCAAACTTCTTCCAGTAGTACATCCCGCGGCCGCTGTCCTCCTTGTTCTGCGCCTCCTCTAACAACGACTGAACAGCGGTCGCACCATTCCGCGCCTGCACCGCTAGGGAATGGTAGGGGTGAATCGCCTCCAGGCCGCACAACTTTTGTTCGGCCGCCGCATCTTCCTGCGTTCTTTTCGAATATCTTCCGGCCAATCGCATTCTCCCTGCTGCAGTATCGACTGAAGCGTTGTTCTTGAGCGCGTTACTATCATGGCCGAAGAACTGGACGCAACCCCTGCCGCTGTGGATCGCCAGATCCCCGTTCGGAAGGTTCTGTAACTGAATTCGGTTGTTCTCGCAGACGTCTGCCGCTTGCTCGTCCACTTCGTGCGGCGTGAGCAAACCCCGGAGACGCGCAACCTGTTGTATGTGCATTTGCTGGTTGACAGTGGTACCCCATGGATTCTTACTTTTTCCAATCGCTGCAGCAGGATCGGAACGATATAAAATTTGAATTCGTTTATTCAAGCCTCACCGCACGATGATTTTTTCGGGAAGGACGACTGCGTCATTAGAGAAAACCAAATGAACTCGAGCAAAAAACTCTTGAATCTAATTTAAGTAAAAGTATCTCGGCGTAGTAAGTAAGTACTGCATTCGGCACACAACTTGTCATGCATAGGCTCCACTTATGGTGGTGTTTGTATTGCTGTTCATGCTATACCTTGTTCGCCTCATGCAGGTCGACGAAGGCGAGGGTATTATCGCTCATGGCCACGGCCATTTTCCGAAAGTCCGGGCTGACTTGCAGGTGCACGATGGGTCCGCCTCCCAAACGCGGGAAAAACTTCTTCGTGTCCGTCTCCAAATTTCGCAAAACCAATACCGACTCGAAGGAACCCGAGAAGATTTCGCTTTCCCCTAAATGCCCGAGCGCGGTGACCTCCCGCGCATGCCAGTGGTGCAGCCCCGCGTTTTCCGTCAAATTGGCTTGCGGCAACAGGAGCGGCGCGGTGTCGGGTTGCTGTACAAGCAACTGTTCATCTTCGCAGTCCGATTCGTCGGAGAGGCCCTCGTCTGAGAAAACATGCTCGTCAGTATTTGTTTTCTCGGTGGTGTTTTGCTTTTGGTTTTGTTTGTCTGCAGTCTTTACTGCCGAGGATTGTCCGACCTTCTTCTCGTGGTACTGTGGTGTCTTCAGCTTTTTCGAACTCGAGGCGGTGGGCGTGAGCGTCGGTGTTAAGAACGGTGCGAAGCAGGTGTACACCATACCACGGCTGTCGCCAACCGCCAAATGCCGGCTGTTCGGATCCAGGCTCAACGCCGTGATGCACCGCTTGTGCACGAAGGGAGCCCAAGCTTCGTCGTTGGTTTTCGCGACTAGCACGGTTCTGCTTCTCGCCGGCAAAACAACAGCCAAGTGCGTCTCCGTTGCAGCGAAAAGCACAGACGAAGCATTTGCGCTGGGATTGCTCGACGAAAAGCTGGGAAATTCTGGAAAGCTCGGCACCACGTTCGGCTGAAGCGTGTCCTCGGCAAAGGCAACCACACGGTACGTCGTTCTTTTCAGTTTGTTTTCTTTGCACAGTACTCCGAGCACCTCTCCCGTTGCCTCCCGGTAGCTCAGTTTGCAAACGCTTTCCCCCTCTGCAACATCGTACCTCACAAGCGCGGGCCCTTTTGTGCTGCATGAATCCTGTGCGGCTCCTGTGCCGGTAACGGTACGCAGGATGTGCGTGCCTGGCTTTAGCAAAATTAGCGCATTCTGTCCTCGGCGGCCTGTGACCGCTCTACCGAGTTCCTCTGTCGCCCCTCCAATAGACACCACCACATGGCTTTTCGTCCCCTGCAGTGCGAGCACCTCGCCGCCGGCATCGTAGCGGTCGATGATCTTTCCGTTTTCGGTATTTACCGCCAAAACAAAACGACCGCTGGCGATGAAACTGTGTGTGATTATGATTCGATTGCTTTTTCTTTATAACGTTCTCGATGGCCGTTCAAAATTCATGCTGTCGTATGTTTCGATCTCAAAAAAAAACGCCAAATTACAACTCAAGCTCTTACCATGTCTGCGGCCGGTCGCGTACGAAGGTGGGGGCCCGCTCGTAGTACCGCCCTGGAATCCAAGTACTTCTCATTTTGCAAACTTACTAGCTAAAAGCGGGTGCTGGTCGAGGTAACATTCACAAATTCGCGGAAATAGAAGCTTCTTACTTTCTACTACTGAGCCACAGATCGTGTTGTATCTATGTAGGGCTGGCAATGACTAATCTTCAGCAGCAAATATCATAAGCATCATTACTGTAGAGATTTTTGCACGAAAAGCGGCCCTGTGCGACTATTGAGTTCATCTTTACGTTGTAATCGTCAACTCTTCACGATTGATTTTGTTTTTGATTCCGGTTCGTATTATATCAGGTGCATTTCGTGGTTTTCTGATCTTCCTCTTCTTCTCGTCAGCACATAGAAGTGGATCGATTTTTCTACACGTCGATCGCTTTTCGTTTTTTGGGATCAGTGAGAGACCGGACCAATCCGGTGCACATTTGAGGAGACACGCGATTGGATCACTCGTTGCACCAGACTTTGAACTAGCCTTTATTTCCGATCAACATCAACGATTGGCTGAAAGATGATCCTGATTTCTTTTTCACGACAAAAGTTAGCATCAGAAAAAGATCCTGATTGGTTCCCTCGAGGAGAGACAGGCGCGATCGAATTTCTTTTTTTGAGAGAGGGGCGCATTCTGTTGAAACACAGCAGCAGACTGTTTCCATTGTTTGATCTTCTTGCTCATCTTATCGTACCTATCCCCGGAAGATGTCTGCGCAACATCTTCTTTTCAAAGTGCAACTTTTCCAAATCCTGAGCCAGCAATGTTTTCGCTATCGCTATCTCTGTTCTGTCTGAGTAATCGTGATTCACACTCATTCCTAACCAAATAATTGAAAAGTGTTTATAATTGTACGCCATTAGAATACAAACTGTTTGTTTTCTTCGCTTAAAGGATGAACATCAAGAAACGACATAATTGTCTGTGCCGTCATCAAACGACACCTAATATATGTATCAGCTACTACTTCGCAGCTGCGTGTACTAACTTCACTCCTATCAACTGTAAAAATGTCTGGGTCTGGAAGGTTCTGACACTTGTCATGCACGTTTTGCACGAGCCCTGATGTCTGTGATGCATGCCCTAGCATCACAGATTTTTTGAGAGCTTCTTGATGCCTATTCCGCATGACAAATGCCCTCTCCGCGTAGCAAAAATTGCATTCCTTTTGGTACTCATGCAATACAGATTTTTCTGGAATCCAAATGCAGCATCACAAGTTGCATTCTTCCAGACCCAGACATTTTTGCATTTGATAACTCCTCTCCGGGGACCACGTTTTCGGACGGGTTTCTGGAGGTATGGAACTGTCAGGATCGAAATTGACAAGCTCGACAAATTTGTGATGCATAAAATGCATGACGCGGAATGCGTGTGTTGCAGAGCAGGCAAGTGAGACCGATTATAAGCCTGCTTGGGGTTGTATCTCGAGCTGCTACAGTAGCATGAGAGAATCGCCCTTCTTTGCTTAAACAGCATTACAGACTGGATTTAGGCACCACCAGAATTTGTCATGCGCCAGTTAGAAACTGGGTTCGAACTGGAAGCCATTTTATGCATGACAAATTATTTCGATTTTGTCAATTTCGATTCTGACACTTCCATAGGAGGGCAGACACGTGTACAAGTACTTGCGCCACTTCTGCCTGTCGTGTTGCAGCCCCTCGTCACACAGGTATTTGACCACCTTGGCTTTTGCCGCCCGGCCGATGGCCAGGGATTCGCCGAGGTAGTCGAAGAACTCTTTCCGCAGCTTCTCCGGACCGACGTCGTCAACCATCGGATGGTGGTCCACGCAGTACTGATCGAGAATAAATTGCGCCGCCACGAAGCTGCTGCCCCCAAAAGCGGGCTCCCACTTCTTCATCTTGTAGTCCTCATTGTGGTACTCATTTTCGCCGGGGCACACCTAGAGACAGTTTGCAAATTCCCCAAATCTTCCAAGACGTAAGCACGCATTATTTGCTACCTGTTGCAAAATCTGGATGAGCGAAGAAGTACAAGTTTTCTTTCACGACGCAATCGTTGCTCACTTGCAGTTTTTCATCAAACTACAAAAGAAGTAAAGTAGAAGTACGTCCTAAATTATCAAACGCTCTACCTGGTCTATTCTCTTTTTTGCTTCCGCTTTCAGTTCTTCGTAGGCGACGAGATCGCCGCGCAAGTAGTCGAGCCATTCTTCTTTGTCGACCTGTGGCGTGCCGGACGAAAAAAAGTACTCCAGGTAGTCCGCTTCCGCGGTACCTAGGCGAAGGCCGCAAACGTCCAGGCCCCACTGAAACTCCCGCTTGTCAATCTTGCTTCCAACTCGGTTCAACGTGTGCATAATGTTGAAGGCCTGAGAAGGTGATAGAATCATCAAGAGCCGAGATTTATTTTTCCTGTAACGTGACAAAACTTCTTTCTTATCCTTTCCTTTTCCAGCTGGAAGTGGAACGTGGTAATATTAAAACTGTCATGTTTACTTTTCAAAAGTAGGCGACAACGACATTGTACCACTGACAGCCCCCGCGGATGGAATTTAATCAGGTGATTTCGGATCTTGGCACACAGCTCCCGTGGTTCCGCGTCGGGATCGTGTGCCGCGGGTCCGCTGGCCCTAATCTCAGCGTAGTCCGCAGGTCTGCCAAGTTCGACGCTTGCATACTCCATGCAGTAGAAGATGTATCGCAAAAACGGACCGCTCTGCAGAAAAATTATGTGTTTGTTTTATTTTGAAACGATAAAATACCTGTTCCAACAGGCAGCACGATCCAGATCTAGTAAATGCTGACCTGTAGCGTGCCTAGCATTCATGGAAAAAGCTGTGCACAGAAAAAAAAGCAAAACTAACTAGTAAACTTCATACCACTATAACTCCAGTGGGTCCGAAGAAGTCGAAGATAAGTCTTTTCTCGGCCGGTGTGATGTTGACGCCGATTCCGATGCACATCGCTTCGAAGGACGGGTAGTCCAGCGCCATTCTGCCGGCCGGGTCGTAGTAGTGAAACAGCATAAATACTGCTCGGTGGTCCTTCATCTCGTTGAATTTCCTGACGAAGAGGTCCACCAACGCGAGCTGTCGGTCGAGCGTGTCGTCTTTCAAAGCTGTTTTCTTCGAAAACATGCCCATCACGTTCTGAAACTGTCCATCGAGCGCGCACAGCGACGAGACTTCCGTGCCATACTGCATGAACACTTCCGCGTCCACCTTGATATTAGTTCATCATTGCCAATGATTTTTACACAGTAAGTAACCTAGTCCCCAGGTTCTACTACTTAGTCGAAAGCAAATAGAATCGGATTTGAAAGTGACCTGAGTTGTCTTTTGTAAGTGCTCTCTCCTACGCCTAGGCCTACCATCCATGATAATAAATGATCCAGAAGACGAAAATACCGCTGACTTTCCGAGCATGAGCATGAGGTCCTCGAGCTCCGACAGCAGTAGCTGTTTGCACTCCTCGTGCGAGACGCGCCCCGCCTTCACGTGCGGGAAAGCGCCGGGGTTTGTGGCCTCCACGAAGTCGAGCAGGTCGATTTGGTCGCTACCGAACGCCGCACAGCAGCTCTTCCACACGTTCTGCACCAAGCCTCTTCTTGGGGCGCTGCTGATCTCGGTCGGGATCAGGTCGCCACAGAATTCCGTTCCCAGGGAAAGCTTCTTGTCCACAAAGGAACCGTCGCCGTACTTTCGGGACAGCGTGCACAACTCCCGGTTGTCCAAAAACACCGAGGCGCTGCGGAAGCACTCGTCGGCTTCTTTCACGGTCAGAAACTCGGCCCCCCTCGTCTTCGCGATAGCGTGCCGGATCGCGCGGTACCCGATACTTCTTGTGGAGTACACCAGGTTTCGCATCTTTATCAACACAATCCCGGCGTCGGACACCGCCTCCGGCGGCAAGCTGCTCGCAGCAGAGGCCATATTTGCTGTTTTTCTCTAGTATACTCCTATACGCTCTACAAAGAGTCCTCCCCGCAGCCTCAACTCGATGTAGTGGCCCCCACCATCGAGATGACAAAAAAAAACACGATCTGATGAAAATTTTCTGTTTATCGTACGCAACTTTGTACACGATCGCGAAAGAATTATTTCCGCTTGAATTAAAAGTTCCAGCCAGAACGAGTCAGACGAGTTTTCATTCGATACGATTTACTTTTACGTTTTATCGGCTTCCGTAAAATCTAAGCAGATGACCCGATAACGGACTACAACCTACGACCCAAGACAATTGCATCACTTCTGAGATTGCTGGTTTACCTCTTCCACCCTGCGCACGGCGAGACACTCTCACTACCAATTTTGCCATACCGAATCCGAATGAGCGCAACCACCAATTTAAAAACAAAACGGCCCGAAGTATACAGGTCTCTCAGCTGAATGGCGATGGATTCGCTTCATCTACTAAGAAAGTAGAACTCCGACAAATATTGAAGGCCGTAGCGCAACAATAATTTCATACTCCTGTTTCACATACTCTTGCCGGGAACTACGGAAGGTCAAGTTGCGTGCACATCACTTTTACGGTTCGTTCATTTGGCATTTCCATCGCGTTCGAACCTCATTCAAATCTTCTTGCACCCTCGGCCAATCCGCGTGCTGCCTGCACTTTTTTCCGACAGTGACGGCTTCTGCGACCTTCGTTGCGAGCACGTCGTCCGCACTGCCGACGAGTGCCGCAGCTGCATCCAGAGTGGTGAAGGCGGTAGAGTTCTTGTCGACCAACTTTCCGTAAAGACTGCACTGAGACCCATTTTCGCGAAAAACGTAGTAATCACAGGAAATCAGATCGGAACTACGGGAACCTTTAGTACCGAGTTCTTGCCGCAGTGGTACCCTTGAAGTAGAGCCACCGCTGTTTTGTTCGATTAGGTTGATGTCCTTCTCGAAGTAAAAACACGCGCTCGCACACTGCCCCGCTGACAGGGGCCATTTAGGTAGTTGTACTACCGGTGGATGTTGTTCGCCGACCTGTTGTAGTCCTCCGCAAGGTTGATACGACGGCAACACTGCGCCCACCGTCCGCTGCAGCAGCGTCAGCCCTTGTGTCTTCGCATACCGGATTTCCGCGTTCTGGAGCACACACTGTCCCGTATGGCGTTCTCAACTGTTTCATTCTCAACTGTTACATAAGTTTGCGATGCAAAAATGGCAAACTGACAGGGGGAAGATTGCGCCTCTTGCATGACAGATTTGGCGCAGATTCTCATCCTGTTTGTCCCTTCGGGAACTTGTCATGCGAAGCAGCTTGCTCGTGTCGATTCTGATTGGAATTTTGCATGACAAATCATGTACTTAACAGTTGAGAATGTAACACTTGAGAACGCCATATCCCGCAATTTCCACTTTGGCTGGCTCATCGGAACTTCCAGCTGGTGCAGCACCGCCAAATGGGTGGTCGATCGGGGCGAAAGAGGCTTCTGACTCAAGGCCCTCCTGGTCCGGCGGCGGCGGTTGTACCGGGGCATCACCTTCTTCCGGCGGTGAGGGTCGATTGTTGACCAGCGCGGCCTGCTCTGGAACAGCAGCCTTTCTCGCGAAAGAAGCACCTGGGGCCACTGCGCGCTCCTGTGCGCAGCAGGTGTATTGGAAATAAATTTCTGAGTTCAGCTGCGCGATTTTTCCGGTCTTCTGCGCCACCGTGTTGCGACCTCCACATGGGAACGAGCTTTCGCCGAGTGTACCCGCCCAACAGTCAAAAACAGCGGCGTTGTGTTGGTCAAACACCGAGGGACTACGGCACATATCCAGAGTGCACTTCTCGTTACTTGCAGTTACGGGATCCGTCGACATCGGCGTAAGTGTGCTCATGATCTCAGCGGTCGGCGCACAGCAAGTCGCTAGACCCTCGTCCGAAGAAGCAGATCCTCCTCCATCATCTCCAGCCAGTTGACAGCTTCTGCGTGTTTCGGGGTTGGAGAAGTCAAAAAGATTGGCAAAATGATCGCCGGAGCAAAAGGTGTTCTGCTTGTTGTCGTGCCCGACGAGGAGAAGGGACTCGACTTCCTCCTTCGCAACACAGCAAGCATTTTTCGTGTCGTGTGAGTCATCCGCAGCAATTCCGTTCCCACTGGTGGTAGAGGCAGCTGCGTGTCTATCGAAGGCAGCGACCGCTGCACATCGCTCTAGATTACTTTCTGACTCACAGTAGTTTTCCAGCCAATCCGAGCACACGCGCCACGCACGCTCTTGCGGACTGATGGAAAGCTCGGGAGCATGCAGCCGCAGCGCAACGTCCGCTGAACAACCACGCGCCGCACACACTTTGATGATCCGCCTGTTCGCAACAGAGTCTTCAGCTGTTATCAGGGGTCCTTCGAGCGCGTCACGGGTTTTGAGCGCACACACGGCAGTCGCAGAGGTAAACGAGTACACTGCACACCGCGGATGTAGGTCACACAGCATGCGGCACTTCCATTCTAGGTCTGGAGTACTCCAGCGCGGATCCGACCGGCGGTTTTGCCACGCTTGTTCCACCTGAGTCACGTAGTGCAGTCCCTCGAGGCAGCGCTCCCCGTCGATAGTCGATTTGCTGTGCGCTTCCGCTGAAAGCGTGGCCATCATGGCCAGGGCCTGCTCCTTGCTCGCCGCAGTCATCTTTTTTGCGGCCTCGATGATGAAAAATTGGTTTTCCGGCTCCAAGTGATCTTGATGGACGGAGAGCTGCTGCGCGCACAAGTCCCCGAAAACAAATTCCGTGTCGGGTAACCGCTCTATCCAGCCGGACCAGCACCACGGAGACCGGGGCGAGTACGGCGGTAGCTGCGCTTCGCTTGTGTCCGACAAAACTACAACATCTTCACTTGCACGCAGCAAAGCTGCTGGACTCAGCAATATAAAAAACCGAAGCTCCATCCTATAAACTCGTTTCCTACACGTAGCCGCGAGGCGTCAGGTGCCGTGCTCGGAGCTATAGATATCGAATTTGCGGGATGGGCATGTTTCGAAGAAAAATAAATCCCCCGGAGCCAATTCAAAAAAAACGCTTTCTTAATCCAGGTCCTTCTACACTTCTTCTAATGTAAAAGTTATACCGCAAGGTGGAGACGACAGGACTTTGAAAAATCCGAAACTTTCCGTACACGATGACGAACCAATTCCCGCCCACATACACGATGACGCCGCTTATTCCCATGTCTACACGATAGAAACGTGAGTAGTAGTGCACGACGCGTTTTTACAACAACTACCAGTACCACGATATATTTCTTTCAACGGCCTAAAGCCATTACACCAGCGGTCTACAGCGATTGTTCCTGCATAGTGATGACGAGTGTAGTGGTAGACAGCTACTGCTAGTACAATTCTGAACATCCCACACGAGGCGTCGCTACATGTTATGCTGGTTCGCCTGCGAACCGTACGAGAGAATAGAATCGGATGCACTTGCTTCTCGCCTGAAACTTAGATTCCATTCGTCGCAGGCACAGTTGTTTAGCTGCTCCCTTTCGAGCACGAAAGATCGTGCGCGAAGAAAAGCAGCAATCTCATTGCAATCGTTTTCCACCTGCGGTACTGACGTGAGGGTAGGGTCATGACTGAACAGAACATCATGATATTGATAGATCGGCTCGTAAAGCCACGGAGGGCTCTTCTGGCACTCGACAGTGATGCGTTGCAAAAGCTCCAGTGGACGAGCCTCATCCGGCTCCTGTGGTTCTTCTCCTTCTCCAAGAGACCGAGCCCGCTGCAGGCGCGTTCTATTTCTGCCTGGCATGGACGAAGATGGAGTACTTCTTCGTAAATGCGCGCGATCCTCCGATGAGGCCGCCAAGGAATAAACCAATGCGGCGTCTAGTCCCTGCGCGTCGAGTTCGAGTTCCAGAAGCGTATGCAAGTTTGTATTTTCCCCACTGCTGGTGCCGCTAGTACTTTTCTGGCGATGAACCACAGACGCACTACTGAATTGCAGGAGCAAATCCGCCAAAGAGATGCCGAGCGCCATTTCACCGCTGTAATGGAAGTTTTCGAAGGCCCGGCACCTAGTAGTTGCGTCTATGGCACGGTTTGCGTACTCCGTGAATGAGGAGAAATTGGTCGAGCCCCACAGCTGGTAAAGAGGCGCATCTTCATCGAGCTGCGTCGACACAACCTTAGTTGTTTCCCTATCTACTTCCGCCGCTGCTGAAGGTAGAAGGGTAGTAGTTGTCCTTACGGACTTGTTTTGCTGCACCCTCCGGCAATTCTCCAACATGGCCTTTTCCACCGTCGCTGCGTCGTCTGCTTGTCCTTCCTTGCCACCACGGACCCCTCCCCTCCCCCCTGCGCGGCCTCGCAACAAGGAGGAGCACGATTTGGCGGCCCAGTTTTCCCAAAACCGGACGTGCTTCGTTTTCGCGTCGGGGATCACAACAGCTGGAAGCGTGAGATGGCGTGGACTCAGCGACAGAATGCGTCCCTGGGGCTCGAATTCCACGGTGAAGGATTTGCGCATTGCTTCTTTTGGTGCCCTTTCGTCCTTTGCTGCTTCCTTTACTGCCCCTCCGTCCGAACTCGAGTCCTCTGGCGCAACAAACCGGTTCGGGTCCTGCACTGTGTATACGCCCGCCCCTACCCGAATTTTGACGCTCACGGGAGCGTCAGTTCGAAAGAAGTCCACGCCCACGTGGGTCTTCACTAGCGACGACAAAGCAGTAGATCCGCCAGTGGATTTCTCTCCTTCTGTGTCTACCCCGTGGACCACCTCCACACTGCGCGGCTGGCTCGGCTCCTGACCGCCTTCGATCTCAGAGGATAATTGTGTTTGCTCTTCACCGCCTGGTGCTATCGCAAGCAGCCCCTGCCCGTACACTTGATACAGCACGCCATTCTCTGCCTGCACAAGACACGGAGATCGCAGGTCCTCAAAAGTAGAATTTGCATCAACTGCTTCCTCCCGGCACTGTTTCCTGGCGCGGCCAAAAAGAAACGAAAACTCTTCCAGAACCAGCTCAGTGTCCAGAGCAGCTAGTACAAAGACGACGAATCCATCTTGGAGCAGTGCAGCTTTCACGACAAAGAGAATGACTGCTTTGAAAATCGATGAAAACGAAGATCCGAAACCGAAACGTATCATTTTGATATCCCTTGCTCTCTGCCTGCACCCCTGCTGATGCTGTCTTCTGATCCAAAATCTTGGGCAATTTCTTTCATACTTTGACGAGGCCGCCGATCTGTCGCGCATTGTCTTTTATTTTTGGGTCGTGGTATTCTTACTTGCTATTCGCGAGATGTAGAACAAACTGCTTCGGGTTATTTCCGCATGCCCGTCGACATTCCCTTCATATTTGAGAATTGCATTTCCACTTCACCTTCTAGCGTTCCGCCACAGAGGCAAGAACATGTTTCTATCATCACGATTGGTCTTTGCTAGGAGGTTCTTTCCCAGGTGCTCCTATATGCGAAACGTGTTCAGAAACGATGACATAGCAATTTTCATGATCCCAACCCTTGTGGTGCGGTGCAGAAACGAGAAACGTCGATGTCTACGGAACTTTTCTAAAAGAACTGGTCTGAACTTCTAAGCAAGGTTGCGTTGCTTTTGCGACTTTTTGATAGGATGAAACAATCGAGGTCAGGTCAAAAAAAAAACTGTAGCTAGGTCGTAAATACAAAAAAAAGGGTAGCAGGAGTACGGGCTAGTAACAAGAACCGAAGGGGGCGGCTCTCATTGATGTGAATAAGTACTTGCATCTGGATGTTCGAAATGCATCGATCGTCCATGTTGTACCATTTCAAAGAACTCTGAAGTGCAGTTGCCTAAAAGTCTAATTTCAAACATTCTCTTACAAGAGTCAAACAAAAAGCTGTTACAAAATCACGAGAACTGCGTGTACGCTGCATCGTACGCACCGGGTCCCGGATTGTCAGGCCGCTTGAGTTATCAAATGCAAATATGTCTGGGTCTGGAAAGGTTGTGCCTGTATTGTGTGTCTTGCATTCGTGAAACATCTGTGCTGCGCATATGCAGCAAGAGTGCCACTCTTTCGTCATACAAGATCGCAGTTTGTAGTGCGCACTACGCATTAGGAAGCGTTCGAGAGATTTGTCATGCGTCGCTGCACTTAGAGGCGCGGCACTCAATCATGACCATTCAGCAACACAGCTTGCCAGACCCAGACATATTTGCGATGCGTATGAGTTTTGGCCGTCCGCCCCCGCGGATCGAATAGGCTGGGGGTTGTCTCGCGCTGACTGAGGTGCCAGCCGCGTGGTCATACGCACCTGGACCCGGGTTCTCGTTGCGGAAGGGCGCTAGATTCCGCTGGCTCCCGGAAAACTTCACTGCTCGGCTGGAGTGCTTCGCGATCCCATGCACCGACCTTGCCGTCGCGCTGAGTTGGTGTAGAAAGGCATTCATTGGTGTATAGCAAAATGAACAAAAGTCAAAGTTGCAAAGAAAAATAAAATGCTGTACTGAATGAGCAGTGTTGTTCGTGGTCCGGTGGAACGCTAAAATGAAAATCAAATCGAAAAACATAATTTTCTAGATACGAATTGGAGGCTGCGGATGCCGGCGCCTCGTAGGCACCTGGTCCAGGCGTGCCTCGTGTTGGATCCATAGCGGCAGGTTTACGCCGAAAGCTGAACTGCAGCCCTTGCTTTGTCATGTCTGCGCGCGTATCGTACGCTCCAGGACCGGGCTGGAAGCTCTTGAAGGATGACGGTCCCGCGGACCGCCGCGCATGCGAAAAGCCGCCGCGACTGTAATAAATTTTTCATCATATTTTCATTAAAGTGCCGGGGCTCTTGCAGCAAACTCTTTACTTCATTCTTCACATCTTCACGAGAGAGTGGAAGCAAAAATTTTAACTTTCCGGCCTATGTCGTGTTTGTGTTTCTTTTACACATAAGTTATACCTTGATGCTGGTTTCGAAAGCTTATCGCTGGGGTCGTAGCTGCCCGGACCAACAACGGCGTTTGTGTTCGACTGCAATGAGCGTGGTTTCGGGCGGAAGGAAAACCTGTGATGAGGAGGAAAACACGCAAACTCGATTTTGATTGTTTGGTTTTCTCTGCTTAACCGAAAAATGGATTTGAAATTGAATTTCATCGAGGCACACAAGGAAGCAATCGATTGTGTCACAAACAAAAGCATAGCAGGTCTGAAAACTGCAGAGAGAATATAAGTATTTGGGCACGTGAAGATGCCCCCCAGCAAAAATATTATGAATTTAAAGTATAGCGTACGCCTGTGCTGTCCTCTTGCGGCCGTCGCGTGACCCTTCAGGCTCATAAGCGCCAGGCCCTGGGACGTCTGCGGCGCTTTTTGCGAGCAGCTTGGTCAGTCCTGAAGTAGCGGAGCCGAAGGAAAACTTCGGCGCTCTGCGAACCGTGGAGCTCACTGCCAGGGACCGGCCTTTGTACGGCAGTCCAACTTGACTGGTCGACATCCTGCTTGTTCACGAAAAAAGCTAATGTACAAGAAGACCGCAATAAACAAGAGATACAGTTGCGCTCGCAATCCTACAGGCGAAGGAATGAACTCCAACTCTTCAAGGCTGACTACAACTAGAAACGATGGTCGTGTGCGCTATGTTCTCAAGGAAGCTGTGGAACTTGCTCCTCCTATTCTTGACAGTTATTTAAACTATCAGTTCCGAGGTGTGCGGGTAGTGCGTGGGATCAACTCATCAAAGGATGACGAGAGCCTGGGAAAATATATCGGACATCAACTTCTGGTATGCATTCAAGTCAGTTACAGTTGACGAAAGAACTTGCGCACATGGCATTACGACAACGAAAAGCTGAAGCCTGCCTATAGAACGAAAGCGCAGCTTGTAGTTCCTGTCTGCGTATACAAATAATCCTTGCACGATCAAAACAAACTGAGGCACGTACCGAGGAAGGGTAAAAAAAGCCGAAACGGGAAACGTGGAATGCCAAAAAACAAGGAAGGAATATATCACCGACGACCTTTGCATTAGGGATAGCGCTACGTGTCACAGGAACGAAGAGCCAGGGGGGACGAGCCAATTTATACGACGACGAGGTGGACAGCAAGATTTCATGTATACGATTGCAGCATAAGTAATGCGAATGCACGCACAGCAGATGGAACGGAAGTGGCGAGAAAAAGCTCAACACCGAAACTAAGTGAGTACGAACAAAGTTGCATAATTCGTGCATCTCTCACAAAGCGCATAGCGCAGAAAAAGCGCTCTCAAAGCGAAAGCCCAAGACCGCCTGACGAATTTCGTGAAATAATGCACTTTCCTATACCGCGAATATCACCACGTTTTTCTTCAATCACATTTTTCACGTAGCCATAGCCTGCGAAGCGAGACTAAAAAATGCCTGAATGTAGCGACAAAAAACCACGGCCGTTGCAGGGACAATAACGATATCTTGATCATGAGCATAAAAAAGTCTCTCAGCGCCGATCGGTTTTGCCGATACTTCGTTTTCCCGTAAACAAGTGCTTCGGCTTGAAGTCCGGAATGTGCCGGTCGCCCTCGCCCTTTCTTGCCTCTTTGTTGCGCACCTTCCCCGCCTTTCGCTTTTCCTTCTCCGCCTTCTCCTGCAGTTCGGGCCGCCCGATACTGGTGGCGATCCGGCTCTGGCTGCGATCCGTGTGCACGGAGAGACCCCGGACCTTGACAGACTTGGAGCGCCCCGCTGTTCTTGAGCGCATGAGCGATTTCGACGTTCTCTTCGCCGATTTCTTGTCGTTGTCCACGTCCATAGCCGTACCGTCGTCCTGTTGAGCAGAGAAGTTTGATTATCATGTTGACATTGTGATGTTGAATCGAGGAATTTGTGCAATAACATCACCGGCACAATGTAGTAAGCCGAGGCCGCGCTGTTCTACTTAGATGATCGCTGGTGCAGCAATCAAATGCGAATCCACCGCTAGGAACAAGTCCAGCTAGACGAGAAGGTTCTTTTGCTCGTGAAAATGGTGAAAAGATTCCATAAAAAGGTTTTATTTCTGAATCGAAGAAATTGATTGCGACAAGCATATAGAAGTAGCGTATACCGCCTTTCGCTTCTTGCCCCCGGTCTCTTCCTCGTCGCGATTCAGGCGCTTGCGCACCTTGGACCGACCTCGTAATTTCTCCACGTTAACCGGCTTCTCCTCGCCGATCGTTCGCTTCTCCAAGCGCTCGACGACTTCCTTCAACGACTTGTTTCGCTTGCGTTCAATGCCCCCTGTTCCCATGGCGTTGCGGGCCTTGCGATCGCGGTTCGCGTTCTGTTTGGCCTTGATCGCCCGGTGCATCAGCCCGATCTCCTTTTCGCAGTCCTGCCAGGACTTCAACACCTGCTCCGTGTCCTCCAGGCCCTCGGCCAACAGCTCCGCGCGCTCCTCCTCCTCGAGCTTCGCCAGCTTTTCCAAAATGTTGGTGTCGATAAAGTCCGCGACGTTCATGCCGTCCATAATTTCCGGAATCTCGTCGTACTTCCAATTACTGTTGGACAGCTGCCACTCCTTGTTCCAGTCCGCCACGTAGACACCCGCACCGCCGTGTTCCTCCTGCAGATCCTTCTCCAAGACCCTCTTCGTCCCTTCTGCACTCGTCGCTTGGGTCGTGCCGGCGCTACTGCTGCTACTGCTTGCGCTGGCCTGCTGCTGTTGCTGCAAGACCACGCTTTCCGGAATGCACGGGGGCCGCTTGCTGGCAATGCTCGGATTCGTGGGTTCCGCGATGAAGATCCGGTTCTTGATGGCGTCTACCTTGCTGCTGTTGATCTTGCTGTCGATCCGGCGGGAAAGCAGCAAGTCGCACGCTTTCGTTCGCACAGCGTCAACACCCTCCTTCTGCTGCACGGACACCGGAAAAAGCTGTTTTCAGTTTCAGTACAAGACGGTGAATATAAGTAATTACGCTTAAGACTACTTTATCTAATATCATCTTCGCGAAAGTTTCTTGTGCACGAAACGCGGCTAGTGAACCTGATCTTTGCCTGACGCCGGAAAATCAGTCGCAAGCCACGGACACCCAGATTTGCATCGATTTTTGGAGTGTCTGCTAAGTACATCAGCGAACATGTTCAATAATCCAGCGCATTTAATCTCCGTTTTTCTTTTTCGACAACAAAGAAAAAATTATACCGTGACTTCGTTCTCCATGTCCTTCGTCATGGATTCGAGCAGCGCCTTTTCTTCCGGCTGCAAGTCGTCCATTTTTCGCAAATCAATCTTGTTCACGATGATCAGCAGTGGCTTTCCCCGGAAAAGCGGCTTCAGTGAGTTGAACAGGTTCACTTGCTCACGCAAATTGCGTCCGCAGCTGTGATGTTAAGGTATTAAATTCAGTTTGCGATTTCTTCGCGATATGAATAGCATATGGACTACAGCAAGGAAAGCTCCTGCACAGCAAAATTAGTAGAGAATCGCAAAAACATCATCCTCAGAAGCACAAAAACTACTACATCAAGAAGCCAGAATAAAGGTATACGTTTCAGAGATATCCATGAAGTAGAGGATGGTCGCCGGAATGTGCGCCAGAGCAGTCACCGCTTGCATTTCGATCGTGTTCCGCTCTTCCATATGAATTGCAAAAATGTCTGGGTCTGGAACATTGCAACTTGTCATGCTAAATCTGGATCATGCAAAAATCTGTGTTGCATGAGTGCCAAAAGCTGCCCAGTTTCGGCCAAGTTGGGCGGGGATTTCTCATGCAGTGTAGGCATGACAAAGACCTCACAGAGTTTGTCATGCTAGGTCCCGCATTCCAGGCCTCATGGGTCATGGAAATCCTGCATGACAAATCTGGCATCCTTCCAGACCCAGACATTTTTGCATTTGATATTCCAAAGCGTGGTCCAAAATCCCCGGCGTGTCGATCACTTGCCACCGGGTGTATCTGTGATTTCATTTATTATTTTTCGATCATGGAAAAATATTACTAGCAATGGGCACAGTCACCAAGGCGGACTGTCTGCATAGATACAACTACTAGTAGTGCAAAGAAAGAAGTGCCACTGGATACGCTGCACCGGTAGTTTTTCTTTTTGTTTTTCATCTATTCTCATCAGCCCCGCATCAATAACTATACATAGATCGTATCTACCTGTAGTCCATGTGGCCGAGGAATAGAGACTTGGTGGTGAACGCGTAAGGCTGCACATCCACGTTGGCATTTGTCACCGTGTTCATGAAAGAACTTTTTCCGACGTTCGGGAACCCGGTAAGAATCAGGGTGCGTGTCGTGGGATTGATACCTGTGAAGAGAAGAAGTAGAACCATCAAGATTCCTTGCTAGGGAGCACGCACGAAGATAATTTCCTTCGATTTCTTCTACGCGAAAAAAATCTTTTTATCTTTATGCGCAGTAGTAAGTTGTAACATCAGAGCGACAAGACGAGTAGAACGCAGTTGAACAATAAACCAAGGCCCTGTAGAACGACGAAGATCGGCTGTAGAAGATGAACAAAAAACGTACTTGGCAGGCGGCTGAGGTGCTGTCGGACCTCCTCGAGGTACTTCAAGCTCGGCCCCAACTTCTTGACCGCGGTGCACATGCGTCCCAACGCGGCGCGCTTGAGCATCTTGCACCGATACAGAGAGTCGGCGAACTTCATCATGCGCACGTAGTCCTTCGCGCAGTTGTCGATGATGTTTTTCGTGGTGGAAATTTGCCCCAGCGCGAGTTTGTAGTGGTCTCGGTCGTACAACACATTGCACAAATCTGCGTAGAAGGGGTGAATGTCGTCCAACCGCGGAAATTGCGAGAGCATGTCCTGTATGCATTGCAAAAGTATCGTACTAGTATAAATCGCAATACAAATTGGCTCAGCATTACAAATTGAATTTGTAATGCGCATTTACCTTATCAAGTAGATTTGTAATGCATAATTGCGATCACTACGAGTACGATATTTTTGCACAGGATATCCTGGAACTTTTCCGCGTACGCCGACTGGCAAAACTTGATTTTGCGCAAGTAGAAATTCCGAATCCGCGAAATCTTGTAGCCCGGGTGCACCACCGTCGGTGTTTTCCGGTTCGTTTTGGAGAGGATGATGTCAATCATCGCGTCCGCTGGCGGGACCGTCTGGATCTCCTTGAACTTATACATGTTGCTGTATCAATTCTAGATAAAAATAAGTGAAAGAACAAAGGCAACTAGAATTTATTTTCCGGCTAGTTCTTTATTTTCTACGCAACAGCTGAACTTTCGACAAACGTAAAGACTAGAGCGGCAGTGGCTGAATGCGGTGCAAATAAGTGTTTACGCTTTTCTTTCTTACTACTGACCAGTGCCGGACTGCAGTCTGTCCTTTCTGTTTTTTGATAAAAGCAGAGGCTTGTGATATTCAAAAAAACCATTTTTAGGTCGGTGAGCATTCGATAATTTGGCTTGTCTACATCGCCCTAGAGCAATTTGATACGTCATCTATTGGCCTCGACGATCCTTGGTGAAGAGCTAACAAGATTTGCTGTGGATCGAGAACTCAATCTTGTCAGATCGCCTTTTGCTTTATCAAGATCTGCTTGATGCGCTGGGCAGACGTACAGCGTTTCAAGAAAATGGTGATCTCGATATACTTCTGATTGGATCAGGTAGAGGGATGGAGGTATTTTTGCTTGCTACTACACTGAGTTCTTGCGACGAACGCGAGAAGCTGGATCTTGACCGATTTATTGTGCTACCTAATCGGAACGATGTCGAACAACATTCATAAGCTGTTTTCGTCATCTCGTGCCCAATTTCGACATGCGTAGATCCTTTGGCATCTGTGCCTCCTTACAGGCGTGGTCTGCGCTGCTCGTGTGTTGATGCTTTACCATGACATTTGACAAACTGGTGTACAAGGTTTTCAGATCCGTTCGAGTTGATGCTTATGTAGCATGACAAAGTCCTTCTTTTTTGATGGCACTGCATTGACCTCCGCTGTGGGAGTCCCCAAAATCCCGAATGCTTACACGTGACTCGCTTAAAAATGCAAATGACTGATGCCTGCACTTGCTGAGATACTTGCCTCAGTGCAGATGCAAATTATTTTTGACTCGTTTTAAAAGGGAACTGGTTTAGTGTAAAAAGGGAAAATCCGAGAGAAGTAGAGCCTCGTGGGTTGTCGCGGAAAAAGCACGTCTCACTTTAATGTCCGTATGATTTAGGGATCCAACATTTCTAACAACAAAAAATGGGGTACAGTTTTTTTGTAGAAATTTGTAACAGGATCTCAGCAATGAATGGGATGCGAGGGGCTGTGCGAAATGACCTGGGCACACATACTGGGTTGGAGCTCTTCTACTTCTAACTTACTCAAACTCAATTAAACTACATATAGATTCCTCGTCTCAACATCAACTAGAGAATATATACAACTAACGTCCTGCTTCACGCAGTTAGGGCCGCGAACCGCTCCTTCTCCTTGCGCGCGAGTAGTTTCTCGATGCGCTTCTGCTCGGCCACTTGCTCGACCGCGCGTGCTTTTGCCCGCTGCTGCGCCTCGACGATTTGCGGTGGCGGCGTGTACGGCTGGAGCTATCAGTGAGCACAACTCCCTCTCCCCCTCATTTGAAGGAGCCAAGAACAGCAATAGAGATCAGGTCAGACTCAGAAAAGTGGCATCTGCATGACAAATCACTATATTACAATGCGTGCGAACTATTATAGTACTGTTTGGATTCCCAAGTCCGTTATGCAAGATAGCGATGTGAGGCAGTGGCTGGAAATGGAATTGCGTTTTCGCATGACAGAGGGGGAGGGGGAGTTGTAGTACACTCACTCTCATAGGAGCAAGCAGACGGCGAGGAGCGGGTCGCGCGTGGCTCCATCCGCCGGCTTAAACGGCGAGGGTTCGTTGTTCAACAAGTCGGTGTAGGTGGGATTCATGTCCATAAAATTGATGTCCTGAAACAACTCCGGCGATGGCAAGGGATCCATTTGATCCGGCGTTTGCATGCCTGTTGTGGTCGCGTGGTTTTACTGCATTCGCTTCGTCATTCGTTTGCATTTCTTCTAACAAGGGGTGCTTTGGTCCTCTTGATGTATTTTTCTTGATCCAGGAAATTCTTAGTTATCGTGTAGTCATACTCAAACAGAAACACGATAAGTAGTTCCCTTGCATGTTGTACGATGCAAAACGAACTCGTCTATAATAGTGACTGCAGGAAATTCAAAACCGCAAGTGGACGAAATACCTCTGCTCTGCTGCACTTCCAGATGGACGCAGTAATTGTGGACGATATCCAGCCGTTTTGGAATCGACTTCTTCTTCAGCGCATCCTGCTTCAGCGTCTCAAATAAAGCGTCCGCCTGCACAAGTCCCTGCTTAGACACCTGGAAAACGATTTTCATTTTGACTCGATAGCTATAGTACTCCAATGAATTCATCTGTTGCAACGCTCAGAGCCTGCAGCGAAACACAGGCTTCTGCTCTTCATCGAGAAGGATGTACCAACTAATTAATACCCAGGAGCGCAGCTCACGTACAAAAAAAAAACAAAGTAAACCCATCGACGGAGGGTGTTGTAGTAAGTACTTCCGCAAGTTTTCCCGGTGGTCGGCACAGGATGGCGTCCACTTTCTTTTCGTTGTTCTCGTGCAGATTCTTGATGAACTTCATCCGGGCCTTGGACACGAATTCTAACCGGTCCATTTTTCGTGCGAGCTCGACCTTCTTGACTGCGTATTCCTCGCGCGTCGGCGGGTCTGCGGTCTGGAGAAGCGTCACCAGATGCTCATCTAGCGGTCGCTTCTTGCGCTATGGATTGTAAAAATGTCTGGGTCTGGAAGATTGTCAGATTTGTCATGCAGCTTTTCCATGACACACGAGGTCTGGAATGCAGGACCTAGCATGACAGATTCTGCGCGATCTCTCTCATGCCTACCCTGCATGAGAAACTCCCTCCCGACTTGGTCAAAACTGGACCACTTTTGGCAATCATGCAACACAGATTTTTCAATGCTTCAGATTTAGCATGACAAGTTGCATTCTTCCAGACCCAGACATTTTTACATTTGATATGCGCTCGACGTGTGCCATTGTTGTTCTGTTCTTCTTGACAGTACTAGGTCTACTGCCGCTTCGAAGTTATTTGCAACTGAGGCAACAAGTGGTGTCGTAAAGTGACGATACCGTGACCTTTAGTTAGCGCCGAGATCTTTACTCAACTTTCCGATAATCTTCCAGACGATGAAAGAAGTGCGGGTTTACTTTTTACAGGGTCCAAACATAATCTACTTATAACTTCTGAGGGGAGTAGCTGCGATTGTATTCTTTTTTTTCCGAAGACAAAAAAATTAGTTCAGAGTGTCCCGAAAAGGAGCATGTGCTTGTCTAAAAACGAACAACGACGGCGACGGACGACGAACTTGAAAAAATTGAAAACGATTTTGTCTTGAAAAAATCATCAGAAACCACAGCGCACGAAAAAGTGGAAGAACGAAACCGATGAGGGAAATTATGCATATGCAAATTCTAATTCTTCTTTTCTGTACAAAAAAAACCACGGACGTTGACCGACCAGGAAAGTTTGCTGCAACAAGGCAAAGGCTGTCTCGTCACCGATACTAAGTATCTATTATGAACCGACCATAGAAGCCGCAGGACACACGAACACTTCAAATTCCTTCTGGCAGCACAGAAGCGACGGAACCATCGCAGACGGTTTTTTCCTATATGAATGCTGTTGTAAAAGTGGTTATCCTATGCAAAAGTTGTGCACCATCTCATCTTTGCGACATTGCTATCGACAGCCTGCGTGAAGATCATGACGCACATTGCAAAAGTTCTTTCATATACGCCTCAGAGGTTCCACGAAAAGATCGGTAAACTTTCGTGCACAGCGTGATCGATAGAGTCGATACGTATTATCGCATCCGCTGTATCGCCCCCGCCGGCCCGGGTCTCGCGTTATCAAAAGGAAAAATCCCCCCTCCCCATATCGAAGTGGAAGTCTGTGATGAAGAATTTGCGTACACAGATCGGATTTGTCTTGCAGTAGAGGACTGCACACAGATACAAAGCTGGAGTAGGGCCGTTTTGCTGTAGGGGCCTAGCAAGGCAGGCATGTCCTCCCTAGGCCATACAGCATTACAAATTGCCTGCCGAAAGCGGCCAGATCTTTGGATATGCGTTCTTGCAATACAGAGACGATTTGTGGCCTCAAATCAGCATCACAAATTTTCAGAAGTATCCCGTTTTGGTATGGGGAGGGGGGATTTTTCTTCACAATACGCGTCCTTCGGTATCATCTCCGCGGTGTAGTTGAAGCTGTACTTCGGTGCGCACACCTCCGTGCCGAACCGGCGCACGTACTCCTCCCGATTCCAACACATCTGGCAGATGTTGATCGCGCGCCGCGCCCACTCCTCCTTGGGGCCGCGGACCCGCCTCCCGGCCCGCACGACCGACAGCATCCAGTCCGCCGGAAGTGGTGCGGGTGGAGCCGCGTTCACCTCCCGACTTTGCCCCACGGTGGTCGTGGACGCCCCGGCCTCCGCCTTGGCGGCTTCGGACAAGCGGATGCGCGTTGCCGGCTTCCCGCCGGTGATGTCGCGGTTGTAGTGGATAATGGAGACGTTCCGCTGCGGCTGAGTCGGGTCGGGATTCGACCCGTAGGCCTGGCGCACCGCCCCCCAGGGCGCGTAGGTCCATCCGCGGAACGCGAGCGCGATCGGCATCGCAAAGTCGGACGAGTAGACCGCGGCGCTGGGACCCAGCTTGTAGATCTTCTTCCAGTCCATTTTTTGAGCCACCTCGTCCGCGAACGCATCCAAAATCGCCGTGCGCCGGTAGTAGCTGCCGCCCGCGAGCCCCGTGCTATCAAATGCAAATATGTCTGGGTCTGGAAGAGTCATGCTGTTTCTGCATGACGCAGAAGGTCTGGCATGGAAGCTCTAGCATCACAGGTTTCGACAAGCTTCCGCAATGCCGAACACGCATGACAAGTCCCCCATTTTGGTGACAGAAAGTGGGCAGCTTTTGCTACCTATGCATGAGAGATTTTTGTGTGTTCTGAAATGCGCATCACAGGTTACATCCTTCCAGACGCAGACATTTTTGCACTTGATACGTGCCCTTGTAGACCCATTTGAACGTCTCCTTGCCCGGGAGCTGCTGCGCCAGGCTTTCCCCATACTGGACGAGGCTTTCCCCAAAGTTCCCGTTGTGGTCCAGGATCCCGCCCGCGTCGTGCGTGAACGTGCTCACGTCCACGGCCGAGTGCAGGGTGTTGTCGGGCTCCAGCATGACCAGATACTCGACCTCCGGGAGCGCCACCGCCACGTCGCGAAACCGCTTGAAGAACGGCCACGGGTGCCACCGGTCCTCCGCGGACGGGCACGACACTGCGATGCACTTTGAGTCGAATTTTTGGCTCAGCTCGCGGCAGAAGTCCTCGTACTGCTCGGCGCCGTCCGACATGATGTAGATGGGGGCGCCCGGGTTGAAATACAGCACCCGGGAAGCCAGGTAGGTGACCGCCGCGGACTCGCCGCGACCCCCGACGTGCAGGTAAAACCCCACGGCCGTCGTGTTCCGCAAGGCCCGCCTCGGCTGCACGACAAACTTATCCTCCCCGCAGCAGCTCCAGTTCTGCACGTCGCAGCAGCTGTACTGCAATCTGCACGCCTCTGTCGGGGGCTGCCCGGAACCGCATTTTTTGGTAAGCGGTCCGGCCCCGGCGGCGTTCTTGATTTTTGTACCGTCCGCGTGGTCGTCAGCTGCGCTTGGGTTCGCAGGGGCAGCCGTCGTGAGTACTACTTCTACGTTGGGCGCGGCGGGGGCCGTCTCAACAGTTGCACCGGATTTTTTCACTTCCGCTGGCGGCAGTGTGGTGACCCCGGGTTCCAGTGGGGGTTGTTGGGCCGCAGCCTCTACTTTCCCCGGCGCGAGGACCAGCGTATTTTTATTTGTGCCGTTGGCATCAACGACTAGACCGCTCCAGGGGTCCTGGGGCTCCGCTGTCTTTTTCGGGTAAACATCCGTATTCGCCAGGAGGAGGGAATCGGGATGGCTCGAGCAGCTGATTGGCGGATTTACTCTTTGCCCGCAAACCCCGAGAACGTTGCGCGCGCTCTCGCCGATGGCCTGCGCAATGTACGTATTTTCGCACAGATCTGCGACCGCCTGCTGCCGACCGCCTCCCATGTAGTGCATGACGTGCAGCTGGTGGTCCGGAAGCGGCACCGTGGGCGCCTGTGGTGCGCGGCCCCGGTTCCAAAACTTCCCCGATCCGAGGAGAAAATACCGGTGCATGGGGAAAATCGCCCCGGCCTGCGTCCGCGGGGGCCCGTACATCAAGTCGCTCAAACAGATCTGCTCGTTGGACGAACATTGCGCCACGATGCTATTGAGAGGAAAAATCCCCCCTCCCCATATTAAAAAGGTATGTTTCCAAAAATTTGCGTTGCGGATTTGAGGTCACAAATCGCATCTGTCTTGCAAGAAGACAAGGGCAGAAGCTTCCGCCCCATTATGGAAGCGATTTGTCATGCTGTTCGCCCTAAAAGTGACCCGCTTGCCATGCTGAACTACTAGACCCATACGCCCCTACGTAGCCTGGGGATCTGGCCGCAGTGCCTCTGTGCAATACAAAGCGGATTTGTGGTCACAAATCAGCATCACAAATTTCCGTTTTGATATGGGGAGGGGGGATTTTTCATTTTGATAGATGCCGCCCGTTGTCCAGGGGGTCGAGGTGCGTTCGTTCCCGCGGACGTGAGCCTGGAAGGTATCGGTGAACAGGCTGCGCGAAAACTTGGAGTTCGCGGCGAAAATCAGGCCGCCGTTGGCGCGCTTCGCGTGCGAAAGCAGCGCGCCTTCGCTCTCCCCCCGCAACCAATCTTCGTTCCCGACGAACACCTGCTTTTTTGTCTTCGCTAAATTCCAAGCGAGAATCCCGAGCGAGTCCAGGTGAAAGTTGACGAAGGCGGCGTCCGCGTCCAGCATGCCCACGTGCGTAAACCGATACAACCTCTGCGAGTCCTCGTCCCCGCTAGTACCCGGTGGAGTACCAGATGACCCGAACTTCAACTGCAGGTAGTCGTTCAGCATCAAATGCTTTTCCCAGTTGAAGTTCTCCCGCTGCATGTCCTTCATGCACTGCCGTTCGTCCTTTTTCTCCCGGTCGCAGGCTTTCTTTTGCCAGGCCTGCAAGTGGGTGCCGTCCAGCTGCGGGGTGAAGTCCGGCCGCAGGATCAGGCCATGGCCGAAACGTCGCAGGTGCTGCAGCGACGCCGCGAGCATTGTGAGCAGGAACGGCGGCCGCTTCTCCGCCGCGCCCCAATCCTCCTGGCCCTTCGGCGTTATCACGCTCACCACGAGCACCGCACGCACTCGCCGACTGGTCTTGTGCGGGTTCACGTCGAGCGACAGCAAATCTTTGCGGACCAGCCAGTCCGGCTGCTTGCACTGGATGGGCAGCCCGTTCTTCCACTGTCCCGGCCACGGGAGTCGCTGCGGAAGCGGACCCAGCGACAGAAACTCTTTCAGGTTTGCGAGCGACACGGCCGCAGAGGCGTCCGGCTGCGTAGTCTCTGCAAGCTTCTCGCTTGGGAGATACTTTGCGGGCAGGAAGTCCTTCAACTGTAACATCGCGGGGGTACTAAGTGAAGCTGTCGTATTCATCGCCGCAAGAACAGCAGGTCTTGAGACTACAAGACCTTCCACCCCGTCTTCCCGGTACAACTGTTGAATTCCCTTCTTCAAACACTCGTTGTCGTCGGACCCGGCCCGGGCGGGCTTGTGGTGCCCGATGACCTTGTCGCACCTCGCGCCGCCAATGGCGTCGCACCCGGAAGAGAGCTGGTAGTTCCACACACAGCGATCGATGGACGCCGCCCGCACCGCGGTTAGCGGCAGCCCGGCCTTTCGGTACGCCTCGCGCACGACGGTATGGTCTCGCCGGAACAGCATGGTGAGCCAGTAGCCCTGGCCGCACTCCGCCCCGATGAAGTAGTACTGGTTCGGCCAGAACCCTGCGTCGGCCCAGCCGCCTCGCTTGGGTTCGAACCCCGCGACCTTTGAGAAGTGGACGGCGGCCTCCAGTAGCTTCGCCTTCGGTTTCAGCGCGAAAAACCCGACGTTGATGGGCTCGCCCACGCCGCCAGTCGTGGTAAGAGTCACATCCAGGCCGTCCACGCACTCAAACAGCGGCAGATAGTCGCCGCGGAGCTCGACGTCGTTGTCGTAATAGGCGACCGCATCGTAGTCCGTCATGTTCCAGGCGTGCAGGCGGATGAAATCCTGTTCGCCGCACCACCCTTCGTTGCCCCGGTCAAAGCGGGCGCCCGGGGGAATGGTCCAGGGCACGCGTCGGACCTTCACGTTGTGCTTTGCCTGCAGGTGCTTTATCGCCGTTTTGTCCAGCGGATTGTAGTGCGCGGCAATCTGCCGGCCCGGGTGAATCAGCAGGACAACGTCCACCGTGACAGCCCCCGGCTTCTGGCTTTGCATGCGCCCGATGGCGCGCTGGATGCTCGGAAGCTGCTGCAAAAAGTCCAGCTCCTGCGGCACCTGCCCGAAGAAGCTCAATACGAAGGCGTAGCGCCGGGGCCGCCGCAGGCCCTCGATCAAAGGCCGGGCATTCGCGGCGCACTGTTCGACGTCTAGGCACTTTCCCTGCATGGTCGACGGCCGCGTCCCCTTGTCCGATTCCAGACTGCCGATGCAGCAGGCGCTATTGCGGCAGAAACCTGTATCGGTGACGACACTGTGGTAGTCCGGCAGCGAGGCGACCGGCACCTGCCCTGGCTTCGAGGAACCACCATCAACTTTATTTATTGTATCCGGATTTTCTTGCTTGCTGTTGTCACTAGTACTGGCTTTCGATGAATCTGCCGACCAGGGCCACCAATTTGTGCTTCTACTCCCTGAGTTCGCTGTAGTAGCCGGTGGCTCTGGCGTGCTGCTCGTAGGTGACGCAACTGATGCGGTTGCAGCAGTCGCGGAGGGTGTTGCAGGAGGTGGCTCGCCAACATTTGGCGCTGTCGTGCCGTCCGCCGGCTGTGGTTCGTTCGGGGGAAGTGCATTCGCGACAGCTTGTGCAGGACCTTCTACTGGGGGTGATTTACTGCGATCCAAGCAGTGGATCGCGCGGTCCCCGGGGCGCGACTGAAAGTGCACAAGCCGCACGAGGGCGACAAAGAGAGAACAGCCAATAATCGAGACAAGCGGGTAGTACGTCATGATGCCGCCGAACGCGCCCTGCGACGGGGGCTTCCCCCAGGTCAATTACCGTTCTCAAAAGGTCACATACTTACGTAGTACCGTGGTACTTAATTTTGTGCTTTACATCTCGTACGCGATTAAGAAGCTCTTGCAGATCAAGTCACATAACTCCGGCTGGTGAGCGTGGGCAACATCTCGAGACTAGTGATCGTCCGAGAAAACCAATAAATGATCTACCGAAGTTAGTAGTGAGGAGCGACCAAATTATAAAAATAGTTACCGATGTGCTTGAGGGGTTAGGACCTGTTGATAGGAGTCGCCATGTACACTTCTCCGCAATGACGAGATAAAAATTCGCACAACGTACAGATCTTCTACGCACCTGACTTCGACCGACACAATTTACTACGCATGACGAGGGCCCTTTGCCTGTCGTTTCCCAGCAGAGCATCCTGTGAATATTTATTTCCAGCCAGTTTTCTTCGTTACTTCGCTGGGCGTCTCTGTCGGGATTTGAAAGCTTATTTCTTTCTAAAGAAGTTTCCTACTCCTAGTATACAGAAACAAATGTTGGACCACCTTCACACATCTGTGCGCGTTATAACAATGTTTACAATGGCAAACACAGCCACGAAAAAGCACCACAGCAGCAGCCAGTGCTCGGTACGCATAGCGGCGACGTGTTTCTCCCAGAAAGTAGCAGTACCGCCAGCGGTTTGTTCGCCAGCTGTTCCATTTCCACACTCCTCGTCGTGGTTTCCGCCTTTCTTATTCCTCTCCTTCGGGCGTACCTCTTCCTCCCCGCCCCGGTCCCGTAGAATTTGCTCCCCCATTCTTGTCCGGTGACCGCGGGTTGTCGTGCGTCGAGCTCGGTTTCCGAAGGCGCCACCCTTTTTACTTCTACTAGAACAAAACGCACGGCAGCAATTCAAAGAAGCGACGCCGCTATTTTTATAGGACGCCCTTTATTGTGGGAACGTAGAAGTACTCTCCGTATCTTCCAAACGGATCGGCGCCAACTTGTTTCTTATCGCCTACGTTTGCGAGGAAGGAAACTGTGATGTTGCTGGGCTGCAGAAAACTTACAGCAAGTAAACCGTACTGACACGACACGACAGGATGCTCTGTAATCTCCAATTCGACTGCGCTCCGCTCCGTTCTTTCTCAGTCTCGCTCCTCGCTAAGGCGGCCGCTTCGTCTAGAAAAATCCGTCTTTTGGAACGGCAGAACCTTCCCGCTCGTGGTGTTGCTCCTTCGACTCAGCGCAGTTTTTCTCGGCGGAAAAGCTGTCGACTCCAGAGGCCTCTGGCTCAGACCTCTTCCTTGCTTCTTAGTCTCCTGATAGACCACACCCGGTCCGACGTATAATCGAAGACGCGGCCACATCGGCTCTTTGATGTTGTTTTTACTTGCACTTTGCTCATGACACTAAATGCTCCTTGTGGGTGTACTTCACTGAATAGACCGATGCTTGTTCACTAACGGCACCCCCGCTTGGACGGAGACGGACACAACTTTGCGTATATTCTTCTCGAGAGTCGTCGCGAGACTCCTTGTCCTGTAGGTCACTCTGATGTACTCGCATCTTGATTTCAAACAAAAGTCCGAAGGACCACTAGCGGGGAGGAGGAGGAAGGACATCTTCCAAGTCGAAGGGCGAAAAACCCGGCGTCCGTCCACCTTTGCTGCCCTTGCTAACACCGTTGTCTCGACCTGAAATGGCGTGGGTAAAAATTATGTAGAGCGCAGTCCGTCGGCGCACCAAAATTTTCGTCCAACGTGCAGCAATTCCGGAACAACTTGCTTCTGCCAGATCGACTCAACACATGTTTATATAAGTACTTGCAACATCATCAAGCAGAACACGTGCTGGCAGCTCAGTATCATACCTCGGAAGAGGTGCTCCCGCAACGCCGCTGTGGACATGCCGCCCCCTTTGGCCCGCTCCCCGTAGGGCAAACCCCCTTTTTGCCCATGCCAGCTACCGCCCTTGCCGCCATACGGACCGTCCCGCCACGCCGGGCCCCACCAGGCGTAGGGATCGCCCCACCCGTCTTTGCCGTATTGCCCTCGACCGTGGTCCTGTTGCACGCGCTCGGTTCCCGTCCGCTTGTTCCCTATTTTTCAATCCGTCATCATTGAAACACCATGACCATGTGACAGGCAGGCAGAGGGACGACCGTCAAAAACACACATGTTGAGTTGCCCTTCATCTTGTCATAGGAGTCTCAAACAGACAAATGGTGCAAGCAAGCTTTTATCTAGGGAACCAGGAGTACTTCGGTTTTGTGCCTCCTGCTCCTCGTGGCTGGGATTGTACGGCCCGAGCTTGTGCTGCGCGAGATAGGTATCCAGATCAAAATCTGGATCGGTGGCGGCCAGCAGCTGGCGCTTCTTTGCCTCTGCGCTGATCGGGAGCAGGTTTTTCCCCTGCGGTTTCCCCTCTTTGTTCAACTCCACGCTGAAGAAGACCTCATCGTGCTTCTGAAAAAGCCCAATGGCCAACCGATTGATGTAAATATCGCAACCGTACATCGAGAACGTGTGCTCGCATTCCAGGAAACCGTAGCCTTTCTCCTGTTTTTTGGGTATATCGATCTAGTAACTATCCCCGCCGCAGTTAGTAGGAGATGGAGATGGTACTATGAACAGTACAACCTAACAGAATGAAGCTAATCCTAAGTGTAAGTACAGAGATGTTATGGGCATCTTTACAGATCGAAGCTAAGTACCGGCCACCAGCTTTTAATGGACCCGCGAAACCGCCCGCACGCCGGGTCTGGATCCTGTTCTTCTTCGCACAAGTCGACCAACTCCACCGCCATGGCCGGCTTGGCCTTCAAGAAGATGCCGATCAAGTTGTTGCAGGCATCGTCCGACAGAGAGCAGAGGTCCAACACCCCGCCTCGTCCGAGCAACGAGGCGCTCGCGCCCGCCGACGAAGTGGTCACCATCTTTTTCAACTGATATCTTTGTCTTTAGTCACGCTTGCGGCTGCTCAGGTTTTTTAAGCACTTTCCTTCTTTGTCTGTGCGCTCGGTCTTTAACACAGCAGAAAATAAAGATGTCGCAAGAATATTAGCGCTTGCTTCTGCTCTCAATACGAATACCGGGTGAGGACGAACTGCGTGAAGGAAAATTATGCGCTTCTGGATATTTATTGTTCTATCTCGACCGAAAAGAAAAAAAGAAAAACTCTAAATTGTAAGAACACCCACCGTCAACACACACTCCGCAACGAGGCTTCACTATTCGCTCGTTGCCCGGGGCGAATCATCAATGTGAGCGCTTTGGAAGGACTATTCTTTCAAAACGATCTTGTAGTCCTGTGCTACAATTATGCGTGCTACAAGGGACTTGTCGCCGGAGATCATAAACAAAGAAAATTATGTCCTGTACAACTGCTAAAGGGGAAGCAGTGAGTTGTAGTGCGCTGAGGTGTAGAGGTACTTGTGGAAAGTGATGCGGAGCTCCCAATCGGCAATGTCCTCACCAAAAGACAGCACCGGGTCCCCGTCACCCTGGTAGACCTGCACGCGGCACTCGAGCGCGCGGGCGAGCGCATTGATCTCCATGTCCCCGCCCCAGAGCGCGTTGCGCACCTTCTGCAGGTACTGCTGCCAGCTTGCCTCCGACCCGTCCATCTCGTCCGAAATAAATAGCTTGTACTCGTCCTTGTACCGTTCCAGCGTGTCGGCGCACAGATTGCGCAGATCGTCGTAGCTAAACCGCTTCGGGTACTCCGCCAGCTGCAGCTGGTGGTTGAGCGCCCGGTACAGGCAGTTCCCGTCCGACGGGATGTCGAAAATCTGCATACCCTCCCGCGTCAACTGTTTCTCCATGCGCTCGTTCTCGATCTGGGACAGCGGTACCTACAAAAAAATGGGGAAAGAATTCGATACCATTCAAACGATGGGAAACGAAAGTCAACCGGCAAAGCTGCAAGGAGTCGCAAGAACGCACACAATCACAAAAACAAACTATTCATAGACAGCTTTTACAGGAAGAGATAAAAGTAAATATTTCTGTTACCACGCCGGCCATGAGTTTCTCCCTCTCTGCTACGGCATCCTTTTTCTTCTGCTCCTTGTTTTCTCGCTGTCGCTGCTTTTTTGCCCGCTTCCTTGCAATCTTCTCTTCTTCTGTTAGCCCCGCGGTAGGCTCTTCAGAGGCATCCGCATCGCCAGCCACTGGACTTTTGTCAGCTACAGCAGTGTCGTCTCTTGTTGCAGATGATTCCCCAGTTCTTGTCCCGTCGCCGCCCGCGCTTTTTGTTTGTTCACCCGCCGGACTTCGCTCTTTACTGGGCGAGGATCGTGATTCCCCGGACGGCGAAAGTTGTTGTTGTTGTTCCTGGCATTCTTCATCTTTTTCTGCCGCTTGCCCCGATCCAAACAGGTCCTTCATTTTTTTCTCAAAAGCCTCCACCAGTTCGTCTTCCATTTGCTTGTATTTCGCCTCGACCTCCCGCTTGGCCTGCTTGTCCGACTTGGCCTTCTTCTGCTCATTTTTGCACTTGTCTTTCAATTCCTTTAGTTCCTTTTTGTGCTGTTGCTCCAGCTTACCCCGGCCGCCGCTCGTGGCGCCCGGAGCAGCTTCCTCGTCGCTGCTAGTCGTCATGTTTAATGTCCTAGAGCAGGTAATAAAGCTTTATTCTCGTCAGAAACAACTGTTGTGCGTACTCCTTGTTCAAAAAAGTTGTGTGAAAACGAATTTCTTCAGAGATACGGACTAAGTAGCATGGAGCTGCACGGGGCGCGTAAAGAAAGTACGAGGTTTATTTGGAGGTCGCTGTTGGATCGCTTTTTGAAGTTCACGAAGTCGAAATATAATACCGGTAAAACGACCTTGCGTCACATGACGAAACCAGGAAACCGATTTTCCAAACCAATTTTCGATCAACATAAGGTGATTTCGAACAAAAGCCCATTTGCTACGTTACTCCGTTTCCAATGACCTCGAGCGATCGGTTTTTTGTGGTGCTGATTTTTGATGACGCGACCAGTGGCCGCGATACCAGTCTTCGCGCGACCATTGCTAAGTCGTAGAACTGCTTCACTGCGTCGCTTCATTTACTTTTTTCGCTTTTTAAATAAAACCTTATCGCTTCATAATTCGTGAAGCTCTGTGAACAAACAAACATAAAACAATTCGAGCAGCATGCAGCTGGTTCCAGAGAACAACGGCGTCATCAACCATCCCTCGATTTATTTCAGCCCAGTAAATTGGCTTTGTTTACACGACGCGTCGCAAACAACAACATAGAGTTCTTGCGAACAGCAACAGCTAGGCTTCCCATCCGTTTCTGTAATCGCAAAGACACCTACTGGTTGGGGTCCGCCTTCACCACCTTCTCTTCCCCCAAAGAATTCGCAATCAGCCAGCTACTGCTGTTAATTTTGTCCCCCAAAGCATCCACCATTTTGATTCCCAGCTCGTTGCACACAACCGCCTCTGGCACACCTGCGATGATCATCACGTATGCAGCCATTTCATGATGTTTCGTAATTGATGTTGTTAAAAATCGACGTCGCTCTCGATACTAGCTGCGGGCTTGAGGAAGGAACCATCTGCGGTCATTCTCACCTACAAATGAAACATTCAGCGACGGGGATGACTCTCCGTTGCACTATATGTCAGTGCAGCCGTCGATGAAGACATCTCCACAGCGATGAAAGAACAAGGAAACCTAAGTGTAAAAATACCTTCGTTCTTTTGATCGCCGCCGTTGGTGAAAATGTCCGGCTTGATGATCCGCAACGAAGCACATACACTCCGGTCCGCGTCGCACGCCTCAATGGCGGCGTCCACGCAGGCGAGCGACCGGACTATTTTCAGGCGATCCACGCACTTCATGAAGGGCTTGCCCTTCTTCATCTCCGCCTGCTTGTCTGAGTTCACGATCACGTACAGCTTGTCCCCGAGCGATTTCGACCTTTCTAGGTACTCGATGTGGCCCGGGTGGATATGGATGTGTCAGGATTGAAATCGACAAAGTTGATGTAATTTCTCATGCATAAATTGCAAGGCACGAAGTGCCTCTCTTGCAGGGATTCTAAGTGAGACCGACTGTCCGCCTGTTTGGGGTCTGCGATAGAGCTGCTAAAGTAGCATGACAAGAGACGCCCTCTGTTCCTAAACAGCATCACAAACTGGATTCAGACGGTGCCGAGATTTGTCATGCGCTGCGTGGAAATTGGGCTCCCAACTGGTATCGATTTTATGCATGGCAAACTGTTTCAACTTGGTCAATTTCAATCCTCACACTCCCATAGTGGATCGGGTCAAAGTACCCAGACGCACAAACAATCGTTCCCGGCATGATTCTATTGGTCACCACCTACCACTTGTTGCAACGGATCTGTCGCCCCTGCAACACAGGAAACAAGAACACTTGCTCTATATAGAATGCAACTTGGGGGGACGTGCTACTCTGTACAAAACGAATGACCTCGTCACAAACGTGTCAACTAGCGGTGCAGTAGTGTCGCAAAGACAAAACACAAGCAATTGCAGCGATGCTGCCCAGTATGTAGAAACAGTTCGAAAAACCAAATCGCGGATCCGTTCCTGCGAAGATGCGGAAGAATGATCTTCAAAAATTTATCGCGGTTATAATCTGATCGCGCAGCTTTCATTTTCGATCAAGTGAAATAACAAATCGTTGCGGGAAGACATCCTTTTTCCACCACGTGTCAAAAGAACTACACCTGGGCCGCACAGGTGGCACACTCACGATGCGCGTGCTACCCATAATTGGCTAGAATCACTTACATAGTTAATACTCCCCGTTCTTTCGCACCTGCAGTGAGTGTGCAACACAGCGCAACGTCTCCGCGTCTGCGAGCTCCGTGGTGCTCGAGCATCAAACAAAATTTCGACTTTTTCGTACGATTTTGTACACGTCAGAAAATCAAAAATTTGCAGGAACCTGCACAAAGGTAGAAAACACGCATTTCTTCGCGGCGCCAATCTCGCCACACCCACCGCAACGCTCTCCTTCTGTGCTTCTTCTTGCACAGCACTATTATTCTGACGCACGTCCCACTTCCGGCTCCTGCGTCCTCAGTGGATATTAACCAGGCCAGCGAGTCGCGCGCTCTGCACAACCGTTCTAGTAGAGCCACGGATGTTGACTTGCTGCCCGTGGGCTCAGTCTTGCAAGTCATGCACTTGCCGCTGGTGCCTCACCGGCCTCGTTGCTGACCGGCTGCTGGTTTGGAAAGAAAGCTGGCAGAAGCGGGTAAACGAAGTGGAAAAATAACAGAATGGCGCAGAGGGACACAACCGCACCGCCCGCAAACAGCATCGCCTTGTTCTTCCACCTTTTCATTAGATTGAATTGTACAACTTCTAAAGGTACTACTAACTTACTTGAGCAAAGCGCTTTAGAGTCAAATGTAGGATGCTCTTGCTTTGGTTCTTTCCACGTAATAATCCCGGCGGAAAAATGAATCCAAAAAAATGAGAATCAAGCAACCCAGTTGTTATATTTCACGTACTTACCAGAATTTCTTCTTGACCTTCACTGCGTGCTGCTCCAAGAACTGCGACGCTTCTTCCATCTCGCGGGACCGAATTTCCAGGGCGTGCATCTGGTTCGCGTTGCGAACGACGGTTTTGATACTGTTCCGCGTCGTCTCCCGAAGTTCCTCCGATTTTGCGAACAGCCGCGACACTCGGGCCGCCTCCACGGGGTTCTCGTACTGCAGGAGCAGCGCCTGCATGTGGCGCCGCATACGGCTCTGAGATACTGTCGGACCTCCACCCGCGGGTCGGTTTGTGCCAGTGGCATTTTTCGCGCTGTCTCCTGTGCAAACTGACAGCGGCGGTGGTGGAGTATTAACTACCCCGAAACTTGTTGTAGTTGATGGTGTGGAAGTCTCGGCCTTCATCCATGAAGTCGGTTGCCGTTCCTCCGAAGTAGAACCCGCTGTGGACGGCGCTGACCTGGGAGAACACAACTTCTTGGATCTTTCTGGCTCCCCCGACAACACGGCAGCAGTGGCTCCCCTCTCCTCCTCCCCCGGAACGCTGTCGCTTGATGTTGCAGTGCCGGTTAAGGTGTTGGATGCGGCATCTGTAGAAGTACTCGGTCTGGCCGTACCGCGCGCAGACGCTGCAGTCGAAGAACTACCCGGCGAAGGAACATCCTCGGCTAGGAGCTGGTGCAAAAACCCGGGACTCTTCGCCAACTCCGCTCGTACGAAGCCCTGCAGGTCTTCCAGCAGTTTTGAGGACTGTGCCTCTGGGTACGCAATCGACCTCGTTACGAGCGTATCAAATGCAAATATGTCTGGGTGTAATGCTAAAAGTGAATGATAGACGCACTGCAATACGCAGCTATGCATGACAAATTTCTTAGCTGCCATGTCTTACGTATTCCGCATGGCAAACTGCGTTTTTGCATGACAGGTAAGAGGGCCTTTTCGTGCCTATGCAACACAGATTCTCGAGTCATGCGAGACAAGCATGACAAACTTGGATTCTTCCTGACCCAGACATTTTTGCATTTGATAGAGCGAGTACAGCAGTTGCCCCTCCTCGTCTAGCAAGCAGCACACGAGTATCCTATGTAAAAACGTCCCCACCCCATAGTCAAGTTGGGAACTTAGCAAGACAAACCCAGGAGCTTTGGGAGCAACGCATGACAACTTCCAGCCCGTACTATTGTAGTGCAGTTTAGAAAGTGCAGTCGCGTCACAAATCCATCTGCTCATCCCGTTTACAGCATTACAAATTCCCAAACGCGCTTGGAAATGCCTCTCATGGAGATGCGCATTACAAATGTTCCTGTCATTGCGAATCTGCATGACAACTATGGTGTGGGGACGTTTTTACTCAGGATAACGAGACCGCCGCTCCACTGGAGCCGCATCCGCGTCCCCGGGCTCATCTTGGACCTGATGAAAAAAAATGAAGAACCGAGGTTTATTTCGGATAACGAAAAAGTAAAAGTGAACAACAGGTGGCAAACATATAATTACGAGCCGCGGTGTGTTGTAACCAAGACTTTTGTTGATAGTGTCAAGGAGGGGCCGCAAGATGCAAAAACGCTCTTACCTTGCTGCAGTCAGCAGCTTCGTGAAGGTATGCGCGATTTCTGGAGTGGATTCTCCGGCGGAAGAAAGAATCCGAGCGTCGGCAATGCGACCAAAGCAAACATACGGAAGCATCTTCCCGTCGAGCTCGTTGGTGAGACGGCAGGAACTCATCTGGGGCGTTCCCGCGGGCACCCTCCAGCACCCGAATCTAGATTTACACAGATGTACTCTTGAGGCAAGCTGTTTCGCAGACCAATATTGCAACACACAACAGATACGTATGACAGACCTAAGGATGAGGAACCAAAGCAAATTTTGATCGATTTAGAGAGAAACGAAAGAGGAACAGACGAAACTACACTTAGCCTCAAAGATGAAGAAGTCGTCAGGAAACACATGCACTGCAGCGGAACGTGCACGCGGCAGACACCATGTGAACGCAACGCGATACGCTGCTCTGTTTCGAAAATAATGAACAAAAAGCTCCAGGTAGGAAGATGAACATCAATTATGCGAGCGCAAACATGCAGCGACATTCAACATGTCCGCCACCTGCCTCACTGTCACCAACTTACTTTGGATTATGTCCGCGTACGCGTACTTAGTACTTTGATGGAATCAATGTGTCGCTGTAAATGATGTGATCTTCCCAGTATGTAGAATGAAAACAACATTCTTATTTTCACTTTTCTTCCACGTCCTCTAAAAAGTACAAATCTTTTGGAAGGTCCATCTTGTAGCAGAACCAGAGCAGGAGCTTAAACGGGACGGGGTTCTGATTTTTCTTCCGGACCCAGACTCGCCGCGGCAACAACACCTGGACCTGCGACATGTCGCTGATGATTTCGCGGACGAAGGCCGCGTGTAAGATGGCGACGGGCAGCAGCATGCAGAACGGCTTCCCACTGGCGACCAACGCCCGCAGCACCTTCTGCTTCATCTCCGGGTTTGTGTAGGGCGGGTTGTCCCAGATCAGGTCCACGGTCCGCAAGAACTTTTCCTCCTTCACCTTTTCGAAGAAGTCCTCCCCCGGCTTGTGGTGCACGTTCGGAAACCCGCAGAACTTCTTCAGGTGCTCCGCGCACTTCCCGTCGTAGTAGAACGGCTGCCAGATCCGCAGGGCTTTCTTGTTCGAAAACTTCGCGCTCTTGACCAGCACCTGGTCCGTCACCTGCTGCCACGCGGACGGGCACGTTTGCCACTCGTCACTTACCATGGTCTTCACCAGGAAGCAGCTGCCGCGCTGGCTCTCCGGTTTTGACCTCGATGACGCGGCGCGGTCGTTTTTTGCATAGTTCGCTGAATTTTTATCGCCGACCGCATCGGAACTGCCACGCGGTGGATTTTTCGCACCGATTTTTTGATAGCTTGTTTGTTCACTTTGCTCTTTACCACTTGATTTCCTCCCTTCGCAATCCGTTGGCTGCTCTAGTACTTCGTCGGTCTTCTTGCCTGCTGAGGATGTCGTGTGAAGTGCCTGACTTGGTACTAGCTTTCCTTGCTTCTGAGCCAATTTTTGCTCCGCAACAACTGCTGCGGCGGCCGTCTCTTCCCCACTTCTGACGCCCACCCCTGAAGAAACCGATGCCGGACGTTCCTGCAACTGCCGGCTTTCTCGCTCCTGTACTCGTTTCTTCTGTCGCTTGGCTGCGGCGTCGTCCGCTTTCAAGGTCCGCCGCAAATCTTTAAGCAGCTTCATCTGTCGCATTTTTTTCATCTGGCTATTCATCTATTGAAAAAGTGGTTGCTATTTGAAACCGATACGTGGAGGCCTTTTTTGCGTTTACTAAAGAGGAAGCTCATTTCTGCAAAAGTACTTACTTCGCTGTTGGAAATCAAGTTTTAGCATAAGTTCGTCGTACAAGGCTACTTAGCGCTGAGATCACGATTTGATGGCGGAGCCTCATGTGAATGGACGATTTGAATCTTCAATCTCCTCCTTGACGATTGTTGATCGCGATGCCGGCATTCAGATCGAATTCTTGTTTCATTTTAGTCCTGGCTAAAGATCTTCTCGCACGTGGCAGCAGCGTTGTGTGATTTTACAGACATCTGAAGACGACTGACAAATCTACTTAAGAACTAGCACCAAGAGAGCAATTCGTTTCATTTTGTACCAATTCCAGCACTGAGTCCCTACTCGCGTCCCGGTCGCGAGTAGTTAGCCGCGTAGGGTCCTCTTTCGTATGAGGTGTTGATACCGTCTACTCCCCTGCGGCCCATCGGGAGTTGCTGTCCTACTTCCACCCCTCCGGCGGTGTTACTCGAACGGGACAAAGCTGCGAAATCCACCTCGGGAAATATGAGAATGCACAACTCGCCCTCCGCCTCGTTTGTAATGCAATGCACCAACTCCACGAATTGCCTCTTCAAACTGGTCGAATGAGAAGTTCTGGCAGTTGTCCAAGTAGCACTACACTCCTGTGCAAGTTTGTCATGCAACACATGCATTCTTGTTGACGCTCGTATTGCTGTTCATGCCATGATACAAATGATGGGGAGGGGGAGTTGTGCATTGTCGTAGGCACGTCGGCACTCGTGCTCGTGCGGTGCACCAGCTGCGTGATCTGCGACACGACACGAAGGGGTTGCACCGTGAAGCGGAGAATCAAAAATGGAAGCTCCAGATTCTCGAACATGCTGTCCTCTTGCTTCTTCGTCTCGGCGTTTTTGTCGGTCATCACCCACTATCAAACGCAAAAACGTCTGGGTCTGGAAGGTTGCAACTTGTAACAATGCTAGCTCTCCATACCTAGGAAATCTGTATGGCATAGCCAACAAAAGTCACAGCATCTTTTGTACACGCGGAAATAACGCAGTTTCTCATGCGGATTCCCTATGAGAGAGCGCTCTGGAAAGTTGTCATGCTGTGTTGCATTCGGAACGGTTTTCATCATCCACATTTTAGCATCACAAGTTTCCAGACCCAGACATTTTTGCAATCCATACCCACCCGAGCTTGGACGCGGAGGTATCACTTGTGACAACTTTATTTTCTCCCCCCTAAAGAAACGGCAGCAACGGAACAAGAGAGTATAGAAACAAAAATGCAAATCTAGGTCAATCACAGTACTGACAAGATGTGCGCTACTGCACAACAAAGGTCTTTATTTTCTCGAGTACAAGACAGCTGAACACCACTATGGGGATAAACCTTGATGATGCGACATCAGGCCGCAACGGTTGTCACAGCGGATACGCGACGAGAAAGACGCACACCCAGAGAACGACGACAACGGCTAGATCGAACCGAAGCCAGTAGGACCGCATGAATTTCCGGAAGCCAAGCAGGTACAGCGTCGTGGCGGTTTCGGCGGTGAGGCACACGGTGATCCCAATCTCGAGCCACTCCTCCCAGACGTGCCGGTCCCACTCGGGCAGGTGGCCGTACTGCACCCACCGCTTCAGGTTGTAGAAGAGCAAAAAGGTGGAGGCGACGAGCAGGAGCAGGCAGTAGAGCACGTAGGACTTGGACAACCGCCAGGTTAGCAGCTGCCGCCGGCGGTACGAATTCGGATCGGCCGCCCCGGTCTCGGCGCCCAATTCGTTCAACTCCACCCACAAAGGCTCCGTGTTCATCCACATATTGAAGTGCGTGAAGTACGGCGGTTCTACTTCTTTGCAGAAACGAAAATATCTAGTGATGACGACGGTCACGGTGGGTCGGTACCAGTGAAAATTAGGGAGTATGTTGATATTTTGGTTGATGTTATTTTCATTTTCCTCTCGGAACAAACCAAAGCCCGCGAAAGATGAAGCGGCAGGGCCGCAGATTTCTTTTTTAGGAATGGTTGGGACGTCAAACTGGCCCCATTCCCGTAAAATTTGCGCACAGGGTTCGCGTGGCTGCTGCCAGTTTTTCGTATCATGTTGGTGCAAAAGTTTCATCCAAATCATCCGTGTACAGAAGATGACCCAGCTGTACGGTGCGTGGTGTTTCGTATTTGTTCAACAGTAGTTTCCCTCAAACGTTTCTTATTTTCGAAAGAAAACACAATCGCAACGCCAACGAGTAGAAAATGCCGGGAGCTACTTCATCACGTTGTCAAAAAATAAAGGTTACAGTGCGTGGCGTTCACCACCTTCCCCCAGACAATTTCCGGATATATTAATTCGTACTACCCGCCCAAATTCGACTTGCCGAACAGGATTGGCTGCACCGCAAGCACCCCGATCCCGTGGTACTCCGGACATTTCATGTTGTGCAACACGGCAGTTTCGGCGGACATCTGTCCCCACGTCTGGAACAGGTCGTCCTCCGTGATGGGAAACATGTTGTAGCCCTGCTCCGGCGAGAACAGCTCCGCGTAGAACCGCTTCGCGGTTTGTTTCTTGCGCGAGAGGTCGACGTTCTTCCCCACCGTCATTATGAACCGCTCCTTGGACTGTTTTTCCATGGGCAGACGCGCTTTCTGCAACCAGTTCGGGCCGAACATCCGCGCGGCGGCGGTGCTGGTGCGGTTCGCCGCAACGTAAAACAACTTCCGCATACGCCAGTACTTCGAACTGCTTCGTGGGAGCACCCACATATCGGCGCCGTAGGCTAACGCGTTCTTCGCGACCTCGTCAAATTTCATCAGAAACGCGTCACAGGTGCTCACGATACTTGCAGACAGACGAACCAGCGGATGCTCTTTAGTATTTTCTCGGAAAATTTTGGTGGTGGTGGCCTTCTCCGCTCGTTTACTATTCTTGTCGGGTGTAGAAGTTGTATACACGGCACTGCTGAATTTGTCAGCGAAGTCAAGACAGATTCCATCTAGCTCCGGAAGCTGCGCACAGTACTTGCTGCCTCCGCAGGCGGTGTTGGCGGGGTGGATCGTCATCATCTCAGTGCGCTCTCTTTCTCTGCTGCCTATGGTGAAGGAAAACGATGCTGTTGTTGTTCCACTTGTTGTGTAGTTGGAGGGACTTCCTGCACCATCTCCCGCGACGGGCCACTTCCCTTCCTTTTCGAAATTATCGACCTCGCTACTGCTTCTTCGCTTGCACTGTTTGAGCATTCGGGGCCCCATTTGCAGTTGGAACACGATGTCCTGCGCGCAATTGGGCCAGCTGCCGCTCTCCCGCGACATCCGCGGACACCCGTGGTAGATGGGCTTGTTCAGGTCCTGCGTCAACTGCCCCCAGTCGCTCCAGTGGTCCTTCATGCAGGCCAACGCGGCCTGTGTCCACACGAACAGGTTGCCGAGGGACAACTGCACCGGCTGCACAAAGGGGTTCACGTCCCGCTCGAGGAAAGTCGTCTCCAGCAAGGCGTGCTCCCCCTGGACGGTCGCGTTCGTCGAGGCCAGGCTCTTCCGGCTCGCGATGTACTTCCGCACCCAGTCCCGAATGGTGTCGCGCACGGCGGCAAACACACGATCCCGACTCAGCAGCAAGTGATCCAATTCCGGCAGGAGCCAGTAGCCAAAACGGTCGAACAGGTAGAAATGCTGGAACATCCAACGGTATGGAAAGAGAGCATCTTATTTCCCGCGTTCTGGAGCTAGTAATGGGAACTGAAATCCTTAACCGGAGAAGACACGACGAAACAGAGGTCGTAGAACCAAAGTTATTCCGCGCCGGGTATCAAGCTCCCAGGAGTCTGAGCCAAGCAACAACTACGAGGCATAAAGATATCTATTACTGGAGCACTGCATACCAAAACCTTTACACATCTACCACTAACCCCACAGGAGCTCCTACGTCAACAGATCGAATTCATAACTGGAGGGCGGGCCACAATCCTTTGCCGTTTTGGTGTTTCTATGCATTGCAAAAGTATCGCACTCGTATAAATGCATTACAAATTCCTTCAGCATGAGAAATAAAATTTGTAATGCGGATCTACCTTAAGAACAGGATTTGTATATGCAAGATTGCAATTCGAATACGATAGTTTTGCACAGGATAGTTTCGTCTCGAGAATACCGATTTTCGTCGTGTTCAGGGGCAGTTCGACGATGTCTTGGTAGCTTTCTTCATCCCTTCCCGTGCGGATCTCCCTTTGCATCCCTTCCAGCGATCCGTATTTTTTGCGCAAAATTTCGAGGCTTCCCGCACTGGTGTCGATCACCGCGGCGGCGTACATCCTTTCCAAAGCCGCCACTGCCACTTGTTGCGGACCCGGGTCTACCACCTGCTCCGCTCGTCGCGCACGACCTGCTCCTTCGCCCTGCTGCGGAGAAGAAGGGGACGCTCCTGCGCGACGCCGGAGAACTACGGCGGAAGTAGTAGGACTTTTCTTGTGCGTGAAAAAAAGGTGCGCGTTGCAAACCTTCCGCAGCTCCGCCCGCACGAACCGCCACAGCGCCATCTCTTGCGTCTGCTGGCGCAGCGGACTCCACGTAAAGCAGAACAGCTTGGACGCAGGTGGGGTCTCGGGACCGTACACTGGAGGTTTCTTGGGTGACGCGCCTGCGGGGGCTCCACCTTTGCTCGGAACGAGCAGCTGGCTGGCGTCTTCTCGCGCTGGTCCGGTGGAGGGCGGTGTCTTTTCGCCCGCCGGCGCTCGGTCTCGGCGCTGAGGTGGTGAAATGAAGCGCAGCGCAAGGAGCTTCGTCGGAGGACTGAATTCCACATAATTCGTCACGCCCCAGAATGCAGAGACGGTGAATGCGAACAAGACCCGTCGACCCTGCCCCCGTGTCAAAACTTCCGCCAGTTGCGATACGCATGACAGGCAAGCGAAGAGCTCGGAAATCCACATACGGATCTACGAGCATCGGTGTCAGCATTTCGGTCTCTTATTTATCGTCATCTTCACGATCATGCCGGCATCAAATCAAATCGAGCCAGAAAATGAAATTGCGCTGATCTTTTTCTCGCAGCACCAGAGTCAGGAGGCCACCAAAAACTTGCGCTATTTGGATCCGTCGGGTCGAGCAATCGTAAACAAAGATCTGCACGAAGCTGGTTTCCGCTTCATGATTGATCCCCCAGAACCTAGAAAAAGAGTGGAGACATAAGGAAAGAACTCCGTGAAGGCCACCATACTCACCCCTCACACACCAGGTCGCAGTAGTTATCCGCTCAGCATTTCATTGCAGGCAGATGGGTGAGCTTGCAAAGCTGAAAGCTCTTCATGATGGGATGGACGTTTCTTGATGCGTCGATCATGCTGTACTACTTGTTCCAAAATGCAGTTATGGCCGTGTCAAGATTCGGGCGGGTCAGACACAGCAAAACATGAGACCGGTATGGAACCTGTGTGGCCCTGTACAACTCCTTGTGTTTCAATATCTATCATTGCGCCGGATCACTACTATCAACATGCTTGAAAAAAAACACTTACCTACTTGTTCAAATAAACCTCCAGATACCTAGATACCGCTCTTAGCAAAACCAATCGCCTGCTACACGCTACTCGCCGGGTATCTTGGCAATCGCGGCCGCACTTTACCCCCGCCAAAGCGCTCCGTACTTCCCGGTACATTGCCAACGCCGTCAGACCACAAATCCAGAAAAAAGTCGTAAAACGTAGAGCCCTGCAGGTACATGCCCACAACGAGAATAGCGACTGCGAAGAGAAACAGGGGGTTCCCCAAGCGCTCACGCCACGGCGCTCGCCTGGAGCCCGTCCATCGAGTATACCTGTTGTGGTCCTGCCAGCATATACTATCATGTGTATTGCTTCACAAAATCGCGTAACTTTCTTCAGATAGCGTTTGATCTTTTTTTGCTGAATCTAAATCACGACCTAGCTCCCCGCGAGCACCACAGAAGATTATATCCTGAGAAACTAATGGCGTCTTGTTTTGTATGTCTAGACATACAGCACTTACAGGTAGTAAGCCGCCTCGTCCTTGCCGTGGGCCTCCGCAAAGAGGATCGGCGTTTTCTTCGAATTTCGCGTACGCAACTGCAGGTCGGCCCCGTGGTCCAAGAGTACCGCCAAGCAGGCTTCCTCCCCCTTTCCGGCGGCAAAGTGGAGTGCCGTGTAGCCTTGTTTGTCTTGCCAGTCAATCAATAGTCTCGGGCCGCTACCACACTGGTCCTGCAATAAGGTGGCGTCACAACTACTCGCATCACGACCGGCATGATCCTCTGCGTTTTTTTCTTCTACTTCACATTCGTATTCGGTTCTTTCATCCGGCACCGTACAACCCGGACGCTCTGCTGCAATCACATCGTTGGCAAGAGTCGTGCCTTGTATTGCAGGCGAGCCACTAAAAATCTCTTCCAGCACCGTTTCCAGCGCGCGCGCATGCCCACTTGACGCCAGAAGGTGTAGACAGGTCTGGCTGCTTTCGTTTCGGTGTGCCGGATTCGCGCCGTGCTTCAACAAAAGCTTTGCGGTCTTCGCGTCTTTCGCGAAAAAGAGTGGCGTCTGCCCAAAGCGGTCCTCCACGTCGACATCCGCCTTGTAGAGGAGAAGCAGCGCGATCATCTCGTGTCGTCCGAGAAAGGCAGCGAGGTGCAGGGGGTACACTCGTTTCATCTTGTTGCTGGTGCTTTGGGGTCCTCGTCGAGAAAATGTCGTTCTTGTGTCAGAAGTAGAACTTGAGCCAGCACCGTTCTTCACCTCGTCGTGGACCAAACGCGGGTTCTTTTTCAGCATTAACTTGGCGAGACCTAGCAGATCGTGCAAGATGGCGAGCTCGAGGGCGTTCTTGTTGCGGCACGGTTCCGAAACACAGTCTGGCTCGCAGCGGAGCGTCAGGTCGAGCGTGGGCTGGTTCAGCAACAGGTGACACGTGTCGAAATTCTGGGTCCGCGCCGCCTCCTCGATAGCCAAGCAAAGGAGCGGCCGCCGCTGTCCGGGGTCTTCGTTCGAGTACAGGTTCGGGTTGCCGCCGTGCCGCAGCAGCGCTTCCAGCTTGGTCGTTAAACTCATTTTTCGCCGGACCAAGAGTTGTTTTCCTAAGTATAATTTTCATCTTCGCATGCATGTTGTACTTCTCACACAAACGTTTTTCGATCTTCCCTCGCGGTCGTCTCTCAAGCAACTGCAGGCTAGTAACCAATGTTTCAACCTCCCAGAGTCCAAAAACGATCGCATTCCAATAAAAGGTGCTCATTCCAACAAAGGCCCTCGATCGCTGCCGGATCAAAGACGAACGCCTCTTTCTCCATGTTGCTCCGGCCTGCACGGAAGCCCAGGCGCAACCCCCGGTGTCTTCAGTCGGTTTGTTCTTTATCGAGATCCTTTATACTTGCTTCAAATGTCCTCGCGAAAACGTCAAACTTCGAAACAGCTGTCTTTGTTCTCGTTGATTTTACAAATTTTGCATGATCATGCTTCTGTATTCTCGAGATGATAAATATCTTCTACGAAGAAGTAGGTAGGCGCCTACTGATAAAAATGACAGAAAGATAAAACGCACTATCAGCGCCGCTACTTCTCCTTTCGGCAGGAGAACAAGCCAAAACCTATCATATTGAGTTGTCGTCTAATAGCGACGCGGCTTCCTCGTTGAGACTTTCGTTAGCCCAGGAGTCCGAATCCAGTACGTAATTGCTATCCTCCGCCTCCTCGGCCGTGCTCCCGCCCCCGCCGCGCTCGCGGCCCGCCTCTATCTCCTCTTGCCGTTCCTCGAACGCATCCTGTGTGGCGAGCTTTGCCAACTGGTAGCTCAAGAGGTACATGACGGGCAAGAAGAAGCAGAGGGTGGAAAGGCAAAAGAAGTACAAACTATCGCGCAGTTTTCCCTGCGCATACAGCACCGGATCCAGCGTCCAGTGGACGTAGATAACCTCAGGTAATGGTTGTGCTCGTGGTACAACTAGAAATTATTCTACCATTATTGTAAAAAAACGTATCTGAACCAGCACGAAAAAGTTATCCAAAAATATAGAAGTGCCCTGTGCTCAAATGAGATCATGCAAAGAATCCGTAAAATCTGAGCAAAGTCCCCTCGCGGAAAAGTTTGTTTGACATCACAGACAGAAAAACAAAAAAGACAGCGCGCGCTGGCTTACTTACCTCAGGTTCCATAGACGGGTACGCGTTTCTCTCCAGATCTTCCATGACCGTGGTCAGATTATAGCGCTGCTCCGCCATCCTCCGTGCCTGGTCGTACTTTCGCTTCTCTGCGTAGTTGCTGGGGAGAAAGGTGTCGAAGGACAGGAGCTGTGTGAGTGGGTCGAAGGACAGCAGGCCTTTCAACGAGAGCAGCTTGGTCAGGGGAAGGTCGCTGTGCAGCCTATTGAAAGAAAAAACTCCCCCTCCCCATATTGAAAAGGAAGGTTTCCGAAAATTTGTGTTGCTGATTTGAGGCCACAAATAACATTTGTCTTGCAAGAAGACAGGGGCAAAAGCTTCCGCCCCATTATGAAAGCGATTTGCCATGCTGTTGGGCCTAGAGGGCAGCCGTTTGCCATGCTGAACAACTAGACCCACACGCCCCTACCTAGGTTGGGGATCTGGCCGCAATGCCTTCCTGCAATACACAGCTGAATTGTGTATACAAATCCAGCATCAGAAATTCCGTTTCGATATGGGGAGAGGGGATTTTTCCTTTCGATACAGCCCTTGCAGGGTTGGGTCCACCATGCCGTGACCGCTGGAGTTGCCGTGCAAAAAGATGTCGAGTAGGCTATCAACTGTAAAAATGTCTGGGTCTGGAAGATTCTGAAACTTGTGATGCACGTCTTGCATGAGGCATGATGTCTGTGATGCACGCCCTAGCATCACATATTTTTTGAGGGCATCTTGATGCCTATTCCGCATGACAAATTCCCTATCCTTGTAGCAAAAATTATACTCCTTTTGCTACTCATGCAATACAGATTTTTGTTGGAATCCAAAAGCAGCATCACAAGTTGCATTCTTCCAGACCCAGACATTTTTGCAATCCATATAGGCCGGCCGGGCCCGATTTCCGTGCCCTTCCCGCGTCCCCGCACGTGAACGAGTCGGTCAGGTTCTGCGCCTTTGCGAACGCGGTTGCGTTTTCGCGGGCCGCGGCCTGTCGCGCCAGAAACTTCGGCAACGCCTTTTCGTCCGCGACGCCTATGGTCGTCCCCTTATCGGCGTCCGTGATTGCCGGCGCTTTTGGGACCATGGAGCAGCAGTCCTTTCCTATCGCGTAGTACTGCACGGGCGTCTTCTTGTTTTTATTTTCCTCCTCCTTCTCGCTCTTTCCCACTGAAAGTAGGTCCGCGGGCTCCAGGATGGGGGCCAGACAGTAGGTGGCGCCCTGGCCATCCTGCCACGCGGTCGGGCGGCGCGTGTCGACCTGCGCGTGTAAGAATTCGATGTGGTTCGCCTCTCGGTTTTGCAGCGTGAACGCCGGGTCGTTGGCCAGCACGCGGGTGAGCGTGTTGCCCTTGTAGAAACTGACGTAGTGCAAAAAATGGTCGTGGCAAGCCACCGCCCCGAACACGGCCCCGAACAGGACAGCGAAAAACGTCGTGCAGCCGAGCGGACACACGTCTTCGTCGTCCTTTGTGTAGTTTTCCAGGTAGTAGAGGTAGGCGGCACAGGCGGAAAATTCGATCACGAGGAGCTCTAACAGGTACTGCTGACGAAAGATGAAAAAGAACTGGGTGACCAGGAAGACGGACAACCCAACGGTTAGGTAGTAGTTCATGCGCTTCCCCTCAGAAAACTTCGGGTGCTCCTTGTACACATTCGGCTTCACTTTCGGCAGAATGAGCGCCACGTCCCGGATCGGGTGCCGAATGGGGTGCCACGTGCTCTGCTCGAACTCCATTTTTTCTCACGAGCACACAGTTGTCCAACTATCGCTCGCAAAGCTCACTGGCCGGAACCACTGCCTGTGTCGCTGCGTAGTTCAGTCTACTTCTGTGGCTGAGATTGTTGTATACTAACATGGCGATGATCATCTGGCCCAACCGTAACTAATGAGTGACCGAGCGTTGGTAAAATACGGAGTCGCGTTGTTGCAAATCCTTCAGTTGCTTGCGATGCTCGGGAGGTGGCAATTCAACTCTCAACAAGCGTGCCGTGCGTTCAGACAACGGTAACATATTTGCCCTCGGGTGAAAGGACCCACTGACGATGGGTCAATGCCGCCGCTTAGAGCGGATGAACGCGCATGGTTTAAGACAACAAGTTTCGCGAACAGCATGGCACCCTCAGTAAGGGCCCAAGGGCGGACAAACGTTTTTCGCGAGTCGTACTGTGTATTGACTTTCACCCAATTCATTTCTCTCCTTGAGTCACGACTCAAAGTAGCGTTTTGTCCATGCAAACCCCGAGGTCTCTTCATGCGATACGCATGCAACTAGTAAGTATTCCTAATGGACTTGCTCTACAGTTCACTTCATCTTGGATAATGAACCTCCAACTGCTGTAACAAGTAAATTTGAGTGCTGTTAAATGCGCTACAAGACAGGTGTTTCGCCTACGTTATTTCGCTGCAAAATAGTGATGAAATCCGATAGCCTTCTTGGATCAAAGAAACAGAGCGAATGGACGCTGAACTATTACAGGTCGTGGAGTTTTTGTTTTATACTTTATCGTTGCATTACGTTGACGTTTACAGGCATGTTCGGCAAAAAAAATTAAAATTTCGCGCACCCACTAGCTTTGCCGATCACGACACGTCCAAGCGCGGTGCACCATGTGCTACCGGAACAGACTTGGTGAGAGCCAGGTTTGCTGCAGCAAAAGCATGCCCGCGAAGCTGGAGCAGAGACACGCGAGACTCGCGGGCAGCGACAGCACCGCCCGGGCCTCCTTCCAAAGTTCCTCGTAACTTACGTAGACCATGGCGCCGGCGGCGAAAGCGAGACCGTAGGGCAGCAGCACGCGCGCGACGTGCACGGCCGCGAGCGAGAACACCGCCATGACGGGCTGGGGAAAGGAGCTCAGAATCGCGAAGAACATCGCTTCGCCCGGCGTGGACGACGTGGCCTCCGCTACGTTCTCGCTCGTCCTCGTGGACGAGGTACTACTTGACGTCGCGGTGCACAGTGTCAAACCAATGACCAAACCCTCGGGGATGTTGTGCAGCGCCAGGGCGAGGACGATAAAGTACCCGAGCGCCGGCTCCGTGCCCGCGAAGCTGACCCCAATGGCAACCCCTTCCGCAAACGAGTGGAAAAACATTGCGAGAAAGAGAAACAGCCTGCGCTTGTTCGCCAATTTGCGTGCGGATGCATCTACTTCCGCGGAGGGCACAGGGGTCGCCGTGGCGGGCACAGTCTTTATTCCCGGTCCAACGCGCGAAGAAAGTATGGGGTCGGTCCTAGACGTGGGCCCTCGGCTGCTGGTAATTTTTGTGCCGCCAACGGTTTTGTTGTTGTTGGTCCCGGGCAGGGCCGTCGAGGTTGCCGTTTTGTTTGTGGTATCGATCACTGCTGCGGGTTCGGCCTGTGGTGGTGAGGTGACCGGTGAGGAAACGAAACTGCGGAGCAGCTCGGCCGGGCTCTGGTCGGTGCTGACCACGTGCTCCAAATTGCAGATGAAAAAAATCCCGATTGCGAAGCCCACCAAAACATCCGCGTAGGAAACCGCATCAGTACCAAAGGCCGTCAAAGCGTCTGCGCCGAAGGAGCTGGCAATTCTATCACGAGCAGGCGGTACAGAACTACTCGCGGTTGCCGATGCGGAGGCAGCTTCGTGAGACGACAACGTGCTGCTCCACGATAGGGGAAATAAATCAAGTTCCGTGATAAGGGGAAGCAGATCGGACGCGAGCACAGACGCTGCTATTCTCCTCGTGATGCCCATGTTTTCGGTCGCGTCCGAAAAGATCTCGTGCGACTCCTGCAAAAGTTCAAAACTGACCGCGACCATAATTCCGGCGGCCATGAGGTTCGCGACGGCGATCTTCCCGGAGGACACACTTTCCGGGAAGAAGAAGAACGGAATGCAGCCCAGTCCCGTGCACAAACAGCATGCAATGCTGGAGACGAAAACGGCAAAATACGACGTCGTGCGACCGGCATTCAGTATTGCGCTAGCGCCGGTGCTAGTACTTCTCGTCGCTGCAGCAAGATCCGCCGCATGATCGCCTTGCTGCGCGTCGCTTCTCTCCAGGAGAAATTCGTCCGCCCAGTAGTAAAGGAGAAATGCAGAGACCGTGAGAAGTGTGGCGAGCACGAACGTGGGGATCCGGTACAGGGATGAAAGACCGGTGGTTGTCGTTTTCGCAAGTGCGGTCGTCCCGACTGAAGCCAATTTTCCGAACACCATGCAGAAAAGCGCAATGCCGAGTCCTGCAGATGCGACGGCAATTACAAAGTCCGTCTGTCCGTCCACGCCGAGCACCTGCGCCAGGCTCACTCCGACAAGAACGAAACCGGGGACGCACACGAGAAGCAGGACGCAGACCGGCATGGGGCTCGCCGGCGAGGGGTTGCTTTCTCCTCCTACCGGGGCTTTTATTGCTGGCAGTGGGTTAATATTTGCCTGGCTGCTTGCTTCGGCAGGCGCGTGCGCACCGTCTCCATGCGATCTGTGCCCTGATCGCACTATCGATCCTGCGGGGGATGTCATGCCTCCCGCGTCTTTTCCTGCTAGTCTGCCCCGGGCCGCGGTAGAAGTGTTCTTCGCAAGGGCCAAATTTCTCGTACCAGATGAAGATGAGATCGCGACCGCGGGTGTTCTCTTTAGTACCCCGATGTCGTTATTTGCGTTGTCATTTTGGTTTGGGCGGAGCTCTTTGGAGCAATCCACTGTTTTCCTACTACTCCCAACTTCTGCAGGCTCTGCTAGCAAAGCACAGAGTGGTAGCAAACCGAGGAGGCAATGTAGCAGCGCAGTCACGAGGCATCGCTCTAGTAGTGTTCGTCTTGTCGTCGAGCTGGTATCTACTTCACTTCCTTCGGAGTCGCGTGCACTTGAGCTCGGTTCGGGCGCAAGCAACTGCAGCTCCTCCGCCATCATGTGACCCACCCAATAGTCTGGGTACTTAGAAAGAATCTTCGTCACCATCTCCGCATCCTCGAGGGAGATACCCCGGCGCTGGTAAAGCGAACTCATCTCAATTTGCTCCTCTTCTGGGCTCTCTCGCACTTCCCGGGCTTCAGTCTCCTGCTCCCGAAGCTGTTTTGTTTGTCATGTTCTTTGGTTGTGTTGCAAACTACCCGATTACTAGAAACTAGCACTCCATCGCCGCGCAACACTTCCTAGTACTTATTCGGCGAAGTACTCTTTTTCCTTGCCGTACTACATTCGCTACACACGACACATGTGTCTGCGCGCAGAAACTGACATGGCAAAAAAAGACTCAAGCAAGCTTACTGCCGTAGAAGCGGGAGACGTAATTTTCATAGTTTTTGCACTAGGAATAAACAAAGCAAGAACACTACGGAAGCAATACTCGAAATTCGTAGTCCGCCTGCTCGGTTAGGAAGTCCGCCACTGCGGTCGCGGCGCCGCTAGCCAGAATGAGGGTCACGCATAGCACGGCGACCTTGCGGCGGGGAAGATCAAGACTAATTCCCGCGGCTACCAGTGACGCGGTCATGGTCAAGGTGACAAAACTGGACCGCAGGACGTTCTGCAAAACCCGCAGGTGTGCCACAGATTCGTGGAGCAGCGACTCCGTCCAGGTGTGCTTTTGCTCGGCTGTCGGTGGGTCGCAACCGGTCGAGGAAGTGCTGCAGTGGTGCATCGAGCGCCGGTAGCTCTCAAACAGCGCCCGCCGGGACAGCCCCTCGGGCCAGGATCCGCTCGTCCCGGACCACCATGCCGCGCCGCAGCTCAATGTCGTCAGGGCCACCAGCAGCCCGCTCCGGGACACTCCGGGAAGCCGCATCGTAGCAACTGCCAAACGAGCACCGGCGAAAAACCAGCGGGCCACCTAGCCGTGGCGCCGCCCGCGCACACTCATATTTTGCGGGAGCATGATAGACTCTCCTACTATTACACGTCGTAGCTCTAACTGCGTGCTGCGGGGACCACAGATGGTTGGCGTACTTCTCGTGGTGCCACCATGGGCACCGGTGCGAGATATGGCACACTGGTAAAAGGGGTTGGGGGGTGAACTACGTCCGTGCACAAACGAGTACTCAGTTCTCTTGGGGCATTCTGAGGGGTTCTACGGGAAGGGGACTTCAAAGGGGCACGGATTCGGAATCCTGTGGTGGTTTTGGTTTTCGTTTCACATCTAAAAAAATTTCTGCATTATTTTGTACGTTTGCCTGCACCAGCACAAAAGCCTATGCGTCAAACTTTCAGAACGGCACTTCCAATCTGTACGTCGTAGCTCGGTTGACATTGAACGAATGCGCACGGCGGATTTCAACGAATGTCTAGCGTGGTAGAACATTATTACTACTTTCGCTTCTAAGGGTGAATTCTCTCTACGCAGTTCCGTCCTGACACAAAAAAATCGCGCTCATGTTACGCTCGTCATTCTAAGTTGAACACCATTGCGATGTTGCCGAGCCGCGGCCAACTTCATTCGTGCTTTTAGCATTGCCCTAAAACATCAAACACATGGAGCAATCAATATACTGCATGGTCTACCGGTGCCGATTCTATTCGTGTGCCCAAGACAAGCTTCGTCGCTCTCATTCCAGGCACCGCGTTCGTCGCGACGTAGTCGTACAATGCGGCGTGGCACCGGACTGCAAGGAGAGGTCGTACAGCCCGGCAGCAAACACCACCCTAGCGAGTGCGCACGTCCGGATGACCTTAGCGATCCTTCCGCTCCACTACCGGGGAAAACTCCCAGAATCGGTCTCCGATCTCGGCCCACCGGCTGCTGCAGTTACATGCGCCTTCCGAAGGAAAACGATGTAGGGTTTCCGCGGTCCTAGATCGCGACCGTAGGGCGTTTCGCGAGTCATTCGGTGGGGCGCGTAGCGAGGTCCCGACTCATAGAGCGGCCAATGCAGCTAGATCGCGACTTATGGGGCGACCTGCCCCGTCTGATCGCGACTTATAGGGCGACCTGCTCCGTCTGATCGCGACTTATGGGGCGACCTGCCCAGTCTGATCGCGACTTATAGGGCGACCTGCCCAGTCTGATCGCGATCCATAGGGCGGCCTGCCCAGTCTGATCGCGATCCATCTGGCCGGGTCTGATCGCGACCTGCCCAGTCTGATCGCAATCTGCCCAGTCGGATCGCGATCCATCTCCCCAGTCGGATCGCGATCCATCTGCACGGGCCCGGCGGGGGCGAAACATGCAAAATATTCTGGGTTTGGGGGCCCACTACGCAAAATCTAGCCACCTGGTAGTCCAACCACGCAACATTTTCCGAGCTGGTTGCCCAACCACGCAAGATCTTGCGGGCTGGTGGCCTAACCACGCAAAATCTTGCAAGTTTGTTGCCCACTCGCGTAAAATCTTGCGAGCCGACAGGTGAAATCTTTCAAGGTGGTGGCTTAACCACGCAAAATTTTGTCAGCTGGTGGCTGAACGACGCAAAATCTTGGCAGCTGGTGGCCAAACCACGCAAAATCTTGCAACATGGTTGCCCAGCCGCGTAGAATCTTGCTAGTTGGTGCCCGAACGACGCAGAATCCTGTGAGATGACAGCAAAACCATGCAAAATATTGCAACCTAGTCGCATAGCCATGCAAAATCTCAGAAGCTTGCGGCCGAGGCACGCAAAATGTTCCAAGTTGGCGGCACAGCCACACAATATGTCTTGAGCTGAGGGCCCAACCCGACAGAATGTTACCTATTGGCGTCCCAACTGCACAGAATTGTGTTTGTTGGCGGCCGAACCAGGCAAAATCTGGCCAACAGGCAGCCAAACCACGCAAAATCAAGCCCGCTGGCAACTTAAGGACGCAAGATCGTGCCTCTTGGCAGCCCAACCAGATCGCAGAGTGCAGCTGTGCAAGCCTGCCGAATGTGTGGAGTTTGATTGGTCCAGACATGACCAAGGTTGCGGCCGTCCGGTGTGTTGGGTAGGCCTGTGGGTCCGCAGGGAAAGGCACCTTTGCCCCGGGCCAGGGTGAAACGGGTAACAGAAACGGATAACCTGGACGGTTTTTTTTTTTTGAAAAAAGTGCGTGCCAAAAAACCGGTCTTCTGTCGCAGAAGACCTCGCAAAATTGCAGCTCATGTGCAACGGTTGCGCTTGGGCTGCAGTTTTGCGCTCTTGGTGGCCTGCTTCCTCCGCAGCACAAATCTTCGCTGCGCAGCGCAGATTTGTGCCGCGCGCGCTATAAATCCGGCCGGCACGGAGTAAGTGCGGCCAACAGAGGTAAAGACGAAAAAAAGTAGGCGCAAGCGGGATCCGGGATGAAGTAGTCGTGTCCTCAAGGAACACGTAACGCTTCGGAAGATCTCGAAGCCGCAAGGTGCAACTACGCGGACCACGGTGCACACGAGCGGGGAAGCGAGTATCTTGTTCGTATCAAGTATTTGTGTGTCGCAACGGAGGCCACGTAGGTACCGCCGTGCAAGAAAGTGAGCGCTTGGCTGTCTCTATTGTTTCAATGAGGTCAAGCAGGTGGGTTCACGAATGCCGCACCGGACGCAACAAGAAGTGCCCTCGATCTTCGCCTCAAAAAGAAGCCCAAACACGCACGCTTTTTCCGTGTAAAACGGTCCTGCTTGGTGGCCTGTAGGAGCTCAACGCCTCTGAAAACGCACTAAATACGCCTGAAAAAAGTGTAGAAACGCTCGACCACTCGGATCTCGTTTGTCGGAGCTGCAACGCTTAAAAACGGACTGAAAAGGATGTAAAGCTACGAAGTTGGCGATCTCAAATACCTTAAAACAACCTAAAAAAGCCGTAACGACAACGCACACGCACGCATAACTCCTATGGGGCAAGTACCGTACAAAAAGTGCCTCAGAAGATGTCTCAAATACTAAGCGCCGAACACCGCAAGGGGATACTTGCTGAAAAAATACAAATATGGCCCGTGTAGAGCAGATCAAGCATTATTTTCTCGAGAATGGGCATAAATACACAGTAAAATACGTTGCTTTGATATGAAAATGGGTAATGTGCTACTTCACTAGCGCTGCTCAAGTGCGTTCTCACTGGAACACCCGCGTATTTCTCCGGCAATCCTTCTCACCCTTGCGGGCCTTCGGGGAAGGAAGCAATCCTGGTAATAAATTTGCTGCAGGCGGCCAGAAGTGCTCTGGCAAGGCGTCCTCAGCTGGATTTCCAGCTGAGGACGCCTTCTCAGTGAAATTCTAGATGGGAGCGCGCTGGTGC